GCGGGGAAAAAAAAAGTAATAAAACGGGGTGCCGCACGTCGTCGGCCAGTTGACCCCGGGCGGGCGGCGGCAGATCGGCCCCGAGGGGACGTTTGCAGGAGGATCGGGAGAAATCGTACGGGCACAGGACACAGTGATCAACAACATCTACATATGGTCCATGGACTGGATCCAATCAGGGCGGTCTGGCTGACAAAGGGCGGCATTCTACCCATTCTTGGGTGGGCCCCGGATTGGATCCGATGGGGTCAGGCAATTAGAGCACGTGATCGGATTATAGATTTTCCGGGATACGGCGGCATCCCCTCCTGGATGGCCGTGGACTGGATCCGATGGGGCCAAGCCAAAGGATTTGGTTGGTTCCGGATTATAGATTTTCCGGGTCCCGAGGCGGCAAAAGACAAAGCTACGCCTTCGCCCCCCGCGGAATATCCTGTTCGCGGCCCCTAGTTCTGTGTACCTGGAGGAAGGCGGCACGTACACCAGAAAAGTGCTGTTCAATGTCGATGGATGGATACGCATTGTTGGAGATGGGTAGAGATGCCATCGGGGTCTTTGCGATAGCCATGAATTGTAGCGTAATAAATATCCCTGTTACTGCCAAAAGGAATCCACTGCCATCCGCCAATGAATCATACGATTCATGATCACATCAATACATCACCAAGTTTATGCACCAGTTGGACAACGCCGTTGCTCCTGACTGTCTTGTAAAATCGGGTCGTGAATCAGCAACACTTGTTCCCTTTTGCATCTGGTGTACCCGACGGAGTCATGTCAATCTTCACCCCACCAGTAGGTGCTTGTGCCGCATCTCCGTTGTCAAGAGCTTTGCTCGACACGATTCGATAGATTTCTGCCAGTAGACTTAGACTTCAGTCATCGTGAGTCTGCTGAAATACTCACCAGTGAGGATATTTTGGAATGCCAGTTCGACGTTGCTAGCATCGAGCGCGGATGTTTCGATGAATGACAAGTTGTTTTCACCTGCAAACATATGTGTGTGAGTTCCATGCTCTTGAAGATGTAAGCAGCGACGCACTCGCAAATTGTTTGGCCTCTTCTGTGGGAACAGCCCTCAGATGCCGCAAGTCGCTCTTGTTGCCGACCAGCATGATGACAATGTTGGCATCGGCATGATCTCGGAGTTCTTTCAGCCATCTCGTAACGTTGTCATATGTCTGATGCTTGCTAATGTCGTACACAAGGAGAGCACCCACGGCTCCTCGGTAGTAGGCAGATGTGATGGCTCGATATCTTTCTTGACCAGCAGTGTCCCAGATTTGCGCCTTGATCGTCTTCGTGTCAACCTGAATGGATCTCGTTGCGAACTCAACACCGATCGTGGATTTGGAGTCGAGGTTGAATTCGTTCCGGGTGAATCGACTCAACAAGTTGGATTTGCCGACGCCGGAGTCGCCGATGAGAACAACCTTGAACAGGAAGTCGTATTCGTCGTTGTTCGCCATCTTGAATGTTGTTTGTTGAGTTGTAGGAGAGGTGAGACTGATGGGGCTTTGAACGATGTTTTGTTCGCAGGCTCCGGGTTCTGGGACGTCTTGGCACACGTGATCGTCCAACCGCCGACGGGCTTTTTTCTATGGCTTTACGCCAACAGGTCTGAGAAAATTCCTGCGAGGGTTGGGGTGTACCCGGGAGTGCGTCCAAAGTCGAGCAACCAAGAAGTCAGTCCGAAGAAGAGCCCATTTTCTGAATTGGTGAAAACTATATTTCTACGGTTGCGAATGGGCACGCCACGGTTTCAGTTTAATGTCCTGTGTCTTAGGTAATAGCGCGAGTGACAACTGGCGAGATGTTACGCCAACGTGAGATCCCTTCTGTGTCTAAGGCAACCTCTCCCAGCTTCGTTCCCGAAACCAGGAAAGCTCGCGGTCGGCAACTCCACCGACCTCTTTTTTTTTCTTCCACATCGTTGTGTCTTCTGCTCGTTTGACAAGAACGGCATGGGGTTGCGGAGTATAGCGTCATAACCGGGTAGAATGCTTTTCGTAGCTCGAGCCATCAGAGACGTGGAAGATGTGACTATTTGAGGACTCAATGATACTTCCAGATCGGAGCGCCCGTTGTTCTGCTTCCGCCTGGTTCACCAGTGAAATTGGCATGTTGCAGAGCACAAGGGGAGAGATACTTTTGAGAATTTGTCGCGTGATACTTGTCAGAGCACTCAGCACTACGGCACAATGGGATCGTGACATATGCTGGGGTCCGTAGTATATGTAAGATCAGTTGAACTGAGCTCCGTCAGAATGCCGTTGCTTGCTATAATACCGGACGAACTTCCGGTTCAGAAAAAAAAAAAAAAATTGACGGCATCAGGTGGATGTGGTGCATGACACAACCTCGACTAAGGCCTCTTCGAAGCACATTGAAGCATAAGCACCAAGGACATTTGGGAAATCTTTAGATATCACAGGGTCTGCTGGTGTGGTCATGGCTGTCAATATAATCGTGCCGCGGAAACGATCTGATGACGCCGATGACGGCAAGGAAAGCGTCCTGAATAAAACTGTGTGTCGTGCTCTATGGACAGGTTAGCGAAACACATTCAATATGAAAACAGGGACCGATAGGGGAACTCAGGCATCAAGGACAATCCAACGCCTCATTCATTGTGATTGATTTGAAATTGGTAAGACTTCCACATCGGATCGTTATTTGAAGGCTACGAGCGCAGTCATTATTCAACTCCCAAGGCTCTTTCTCAATGCACTGTACTTGACACAACCGAAAGCCGGATTTCCACGTGAAGGTTCGAAATGAGTGTAGGTCAGGTCGCCGGTGAAGATCAGGTAGAAGCAGGGGTCGACTCTGATGTAGAAAACTTTCCAGCAGCGGGAATACTCAAAAGAGCAAACGGGTCAGATTAGTTGACTGCAAATCAGGAAACGTTATATCTCACTTCATTTGGGAGAGATTTGCTAAGTGGCCATCTTCATGGAAGTCAAGATCGCATCCACGACTTGGGCGCAGGTATGATTGTCCAATCACAAATATGACCTTGGATGAAAACTTTTCACTAAACCAAAAAAAAAAAAAAGAGTGCACTCTACATGTATCTGAGCAATTCCTGATGACTAGAATCAAGTCACGACTTTGCTTCCTGTAATGAGTTCTTGCCAGACCCTCCACTAGCTCATTGGAAGCAAAGTCTGCTGTGGTTTGCGCGACGATGAACACTACCCTGATCTAGGTACTCTCAGTTTCGCAACCTTCTGATGAGCCCCCTTTTCTTCCCAACAAAACAGCATAAATGCTCCTGCAAAGACGTCCCTTGATGACATAGCTAATCTTAGTGCAAATTCACTTTAATCTCTTTCGTGCCGGCCAGCAGAGCTGACAACGTTCCTGCTTTTCAAGGGTCCAAGTGTACCCCCTCATATCCACACCATGTTCCACTCACGGCAAGCCGAAGACAATGGTTGCAAGTAAGGCTTCACTTTCTGGAAACGAGGACGCGGAATATGAGGTGGAACGAATTCTCGCACAAGACATCGCTGATGGCCAAATTGTGTATCTTGTCAAATGGCTGGGTTATCCGGACGACCAGTGCACGTGGGAGCCTTCCGAAAGTTTTTCCAACCCTCAAACTCTCGCTGATTGGCAATGCCAACTAGCGTTGGGTGATGCTTTAGATGAGGAACAGGTTGCAGCGCTTCAAGATCGTATGAATGCATATGCCCGAGCCAAGGAAGAAGACGAAAAAGAGAAGAGCCGCCCACCGATGATCTTGAGAAACATTGGATTCCCCGGTCAACAAGGTCGGATATCCGAACGTTCTTTAGACCGAGGGAATCCGCCACGAGGGTCTTCCCCAATTCCCACACCATCTACAGCCAAGCGGCCAAGGTTATCGGAGGTTGCGATCGAAACACCTGGACATGTTCAAGTCAATGGTAAGCAGTACCTCTCAGACAAATCTGAGGCTCGAGAGTCTGCGCCTATGAAACCCGCGAGATCCACCGAACGTGGCGGCACGGGCGAATCTAATAGTGTTGATGCTCCCATGAGAGCGAAGAGATTCTCGGGAGCAAATGCGGCTGGGAGCTCAAGAAGCACACAAGATACCGTGGGACAGAGGTTCAAGAATCTCGGACACTGGAATAGTTTCACCAAATTTGCTCGACGGGAACCACCTCCAGATATGTCCCAGATCCAATTGGTGACAGACGAAGATTGGGCAGCTTCGGAAAAAAATCCCCATCCCTCGAAAGCTCGAGAGGGTTCCCCTAGACATGTCGGCGGTGATTCGTGGCATTTCGTGCCGGAGACGGAAAAAGACCCGACTCCTCATGACGATTTCCACACCATTAGACCGACAATGCCGAAGACCACTTCATACATACAGACGTCAGCTCTGTCAGTGGGTGGGAAAGAGTCCAATATCGGGCCATGCTTTAATGCACCCGGCATGGCCCGGCGAACCTCGGATCCTTCGCCATCCAGCATCTCGAAGTCCATAATAACAGCAAGAAATGGCCGTTCTTGGAATGTTGGAGATGTAGCCATCAACCTACGCTTCGGAGATCGCGTCGTTGGTGATGTGAAGATTCTCCATCTTCCAGGATGGCTTAGAACGAAGCTGATATCGCTGAAAGATCCGCTTACACGAACAATCAACATCCACTTTCGGGAACGAAATGCCATGAAATCCCACACATTCTCCACCTTTTCTCACAATGTAAGGTTCGTCCCGAAAGGAAGGAAGCTAATTACTGACAAGAGTAGTTGGACAAGAATCCCGTGGCACTCGGCGCCATTGAATCTTATGAGGATACATTGCAAGCCACTGACGGCCTGGCCGAACATTTGGAACGCCACAATCTTGGTGCAATATGGGTATATCCCGAGTTCAGCCGATTTAAAAATGTCCTTATTTTAATCATGTACTCTTGTCGAGCTCCTGGGTGGTGTCATCTCGGTCAAAGAGACGTCACCATGTTCACACCAAGGCTTCATGTGGCCGTTCGAAATACAATTCCGGAATACGGCAGAGATATTTTCCCACCCGTGGATAGCAGCCATTCTACACCACGCCACGTCGGTGGACATGCCCAAAGTTCGGTCGAAATACCTCTTCCGACCACCCCAACTCCGATCGGCCTGATCGACACTCCCAAGTCGCCAATACCCCCAAACCGTCTTACATCTCATGAATCTCCGGATCGAACGCCTTCGACATCAGGCATCTCACACAAGATATCACTTTCCAGCCATTTCGAAGAGTTTCTCACGATAACTGGTAAGAAGGAACGGAAGCCGCGATTCTATATCGCTTTCGCCGAGTCGCATCCATTCGAAGCCGAGGCCATTCAGAACAGATTGGAACGGCACGTCCATGGTCGCTACATCTATAAAAGCTCGGAAAAGGAGGCTTGGGATGCATGGGTAGCGGACACTGACAAACGAGAAGGTGTGATTCTGTTCCATGAGGATAATCCCGTCTACTGCGACCTGAAGGGTTTCTACAAATGCCTGTGGATGCCGAGCTTTGCCTTTTACAATTTGTCCTTCCCGCCGTTTGACCACGACCACTCTATTCAGATCCAACGACTGTTCCCCAGGGGAAACACTCTCTTGATCACCGAAAACTCGATGATCCATTCTTCCAAGGAGGCGTTGTTTGCGATGCAGTGGTTTGAGCAACTCTCAATTGGCAAAGTACAAAGTTGGAAACTCTGTCTTGTACCGAATGCTGCCGAATGGATATCACGTCAAATTATGAGGTCTAACGAAGACATCCAGAAGAGGTAGGGTTCTTTCTTGTTTTGAACCAGACTATCTGACTCAACTCACACGTCTCCAGATATCTTGGCATGCTTGAGGTGATGCACAGGCTGCGGGTACAATCAATGAAAGCTCGGATCAATGTGCTCTACTCTGGCGACCCTGATCGAATTGTCCGATGTGAGCTGCCGAACGAGGAGTGTGATTTTATTCTGTCACCACCTTCTTTCGAAAACAAGGATCCAGCGCTGGCGTCTGATGATGATGAAGCTGTGGAGGCACGCGATAGTGCTCTCCTTGAATACTACTGCGGCTGGGCCGCATCTAATGTCTCTCAATACAGAAAATTTATGGTTCTCGACGACAAATATACCAACAAAACGCAAAAGCACTCCTATCATATATGGTTCAGAGAACCAAATGCATTTGTCCGGGAAGAGAAGTCGAAAATTAGTATCGCATCGACGTGATCTTTACCATCGAGAATGCGGCATTGCTATTTGGGTGAGGGGAGCCGGGCGCTCGAGGCGTTTGTGCATTTGAAAGCATGCTTGTTTGAGGATGGCTAATCCTGAAGATATCATTTCGGTCATGTATGCGTACTCGAGTTCCTGCAAAGACTTTGACTGTGTACATTTCTCAAATCATTTTATCATCTTGGTGAATCTCTTCAATTTTTTTTTTTGGTTTCTTTTCCCCACCACTAGCAGGTATATGGAGATGATGCCATAGGTGCATGTCATCGTTTCTCCCACTTGATTACCTTCCTCATATCCGTTCATCTCAAACTCATCCCGGTATGGATCAGCCTCGTCTTCCCCGGTTCGGCCCAACAGAGATACTGCACAACCATGTTCCGCTCTGTTAAGTCTCTGGATGCTTTCAATGTTGCTCTTTCCCGGCAGGACAATCCCAGACAGAATGCCGGAACTGTTTCTTTTGTTTGTGGGGAGTGGCCCGGAGGAATGCATTCGATCCAGTTTTGCTTGAAGCGCGGCCAGAAAGCATTCCGCAGAGGAATCACACCCAGATTTGGCTTCATAAGCACGTCGGGGGTTATCAACCTTCCAACTGATATTGGGAGTTTCTTTCAATTAGAGATTTGTAATAATCACATAGAACCTCGGGCTTTGGGACAATTCGCCATTCCATCCTGGTCAGAAATTCCAGTTCCAAGAGCGCGAGTTCTTTCATGCTCACACCACCCACTCTCGCATAAGTTTTATTGGTCCAAAAGGAATCACTTAACCCTTTGCTCGCCACTGTGGCACTGGTAATTAAGAATCGATGGACGGTGAGACTGCTAATGGTGAAAGCGGGATAAAGAGCGCAGAGGCGGTCAATATAATAGACGACACTCAGCAGTATGGGAGGCGACAGCGTGGCGTGGGTGGTCAACCGCTGCAGGTAATCGAGGACAGAGATGCCTGGAGGAGCTCGTGAATGGAATCTTGTAAGCTGACCTTCCCGCAGGGGGATAGCATCATTGTATCTGATCAGCTCCATGAGCATGGACGATATCAATACCACCAAATCCCGCGTATTGCAATTTTCGTACAAGACGGGCATCAGGCGCACAGGCGGAGCATCAGGACGAGCCTTCTTCACCGGTGACTGATGTAATGATGCCTCCTCTTGCGATGCGACCCCATTTGTAGTTGGGACGGGTTCTTCGGGAGGCTCAACAGCCTGTCTCTTGGCCTGTATGGGAACGGGGATACTCTCTGCTTTTGCGACGTTGGCCGGCTCGGCGGAGCGAGATACGCTTGGTCGGCGCGTGGTGGATGAAGCAGGGTGGGCGGTCTTGGGGGTTGGATCTTCCCGTTCGGACAACTGAAGGCGCGCAATGGTGGACGTAGGTGTCTTGGTGCTCGAGTCAGGGGAGACCTTCTGGTCCGTTTGTGTTCCAGCATCCACCATTTTTACTCGGGTGGAAACCGGCGGGGGGTAGCGATCCAGAGATCTCGTGCTGGTATTCCTATGTGGGCGGCGAAATGAGATATCGGGGGAGAAATAGTATTTGCGAGCTGGTTCGTTCTGTTTCAAGGCTGGACTGGCAGTTTGCTTTGCAGGCCGATCATACTGAGAAAAGGTGCCACCGGTCGCAAATTTAGGGGACGGGCTTGTTGCTAGCATATTCAAGGAATCTCAACATCGAAAGTGGTGTTCGGCGATGCCAGCCGCTCGTCGAGAATGAATGATCAAGGGGAAAAAACCCCCAAAAATAACCAAAAAAGGGACCGGAAAAGCACTACTTTGCCCATGAAACTCCAAAGCGGTTCGGGCGCAAGATGCGCGGTAGGACGTTGAAAGATGCAGGAGCGACTGGAGGAAGGAGAAGAATTTGCGTCGGAGTACTTGGGAATAGTACCAATGGGAGGTTCTGTAGTGTACATCTGAACGAGGGCAGAGTTGTTGGTCTTCGATAAAGCATGATGGTCGTCAAGGTCCAAAGATTTCCGGTCCTGGATCCGATGGTTTCGCCGAACAGCTTTTGCAGGCGATCGACAACCCACGAGGTGCTGTTCTGGCCTCTGGTTGGCACCGTCACGTGGTGACTGCCGTTAGGGGCGGGGGTGGGTTGACCCAATCTGACGGGACCCTTTCCTGATTCGGGGAGGGTTTATTTTTTGGTCTGACAGAAAGGGGCTGCGGGGTGAAATCATCCCCTTACACCCTGGACATTCTCATAACTAAAGTAGCATCCTCACAGTAACGTATTTCGTGATGCCATATTGAAAATGTCGAAGCGGAGGCGACGCGACGAGGCCGAGGTGCGACCCTGCTCCAAAAGACCTCGTACAGGACCCCGACTCAATTTGCTGGATATCAGCGATGAGATTCTTCTCCGAGTCTTCTCTTTTCTTACTCCCAAAGACTTATTGCGCACGGAATGGTGAGTGGGTGTACATTTCTGCCTCAAAAGCTTGGTTGACTAACATCCTTCTGGCGTGTCCCACCGATTCCGTTCTCTCGCTACCGATCACGAAGTCTGGAAGGCGAAATACTACGACACTTGGATTAGGTCTCGTGCTCGTCGTATCCCATTAGGGCAAAGCCAGGAGGATTCGAAACAAATAGCCAAGACCACGAAATGGTTGGAATATAGCCAGAGACGGCGGGATGGTCCCTTGGTGGATTGGAAGCGTCAATTCAAGATCCGAAGCAATTGGGCAGCAGGCACAGCCAGACTTCATGAAGTCGAGGTGGCGCATCCACCCACACCGCCTGTTATCGCGAAGGTCCACAGAGGCATGATATTCACAGTCGATCGGTTTGCTGGGCTACGAGCCTGGTTGCCAAAAGACGGGACGAGAGCGCTCAAGGCTCAAGTGCGACTGAAATCCGCCGCCGAAGCGACCTGCATGACCGCCGAGACAACCGACGGACATACCAACATTCTTCTCGGTTTTAGCGATGGTGCTGTTTCAATGTACGTGCTGGATAATGAGGGTCATTTCCAGCATCGATACAGCCGACATTCGGCCGACGGGCCTCTTATGGCAGTGGCGCTCGCCATGCCGTACGCAATGACGATCTCCACGACGAAATTCGTAACGTTGTATTACCTGGATGAAAGGAAAACCGCCGAACAGCCTTCGTTAAATATATCATCCATCGTACAATTACGGTCGGATGCGTCCTTCTCGCCCTTTTCATTGGCTCTTCGGAGAGCACCAAGCAGAGTTATCGCCACGGTTGCGTATGCGTTCAACCGAATCCATTCTGGTTGGTGCATGGGCATCCAGGAAATTCGATTGACCACGAATGGAACCTTGCTGGACACCAGACTGACGTCGACACTCGAAACTCCGTTCGATGCGCGACATCAGGGCCGCGATAATTGGGACCTGTCGACCCGGTCCACGAGCTCATTACCTTTCCCGTTGCACCCTCAACTGATGGGCCCACCAACATCACTTTCATATGAGCACCCATTTCTGATTAGTACATTGCCAGATAACACCATCATGTCGTTTTTGGTCACGTCGAATGAGAGCAAACTCGAGATCAGCTCCGGAAAGCGCCTCTGGGGCCACACCTCGGCGGTCTCGGGTGCAGAAGTCAACAATCGTGGCAAGGCAGTGTCGATCAGCTTTCGAGGAAACGAAGTCCGAGTGTGGGAGTTGGAGAACGTCATGGTGACCACGAATCAACCGAGAACAAGTACTGAAATCAAAGCAGTGGATGCTCTATCTGGCGTTGTTGCAGCGCTGGCGCGACGAGGCTCTGGATTGGGCCTTGCGTTGCATGACATGAAACGAGAACTTGGACTCACTCGAAGATGGGTCGGTTTTGATGAAGAACAAGTGGTGGTCCTGGGTGAAAGAGATCAGAAACAGATCATGACTTTGTACGACTTTACCTAGACAGTCGAACGAATGGGGAAATTTAGGATACCAGATTCTCGAATCGCTGCGTCCTCTCTGTATACGTCCAATCAACTTGTCGAGGAAGAAGGATATCCATGTGCTTCATCAGGGCGCAGTCGTGAGCAGTCCAATAGGATTAATGAAAACATGGACATGTCCGACACCAAAGTTGGACTGGAGCAGTGGTGTCTCTTTGCACTCTCTCTCGTCCCGTCTTCGCCAGGAAAAAAAAAAAAGTTGATAAGTGACGTGAACTTCTGTGTTCTGCACTTTTTTTCCCCCCCCCCCCCGGGCTTTCACATTCGCGTCTGTTCTCAATCGCCCTCGCCTTCATCATCTCTTCTCTCAACCAGCAAAATTTTGCTTGAGATTCTCCCCCGTCCACGGTAGACTCTATCATATTCACTCCTATTTTGATCTCTGAACGGTTTCGGATCCTCAAGGTCTCATTTCTGCCCAGCTTCAGCACCATAGAGTTTGTTGATTATCATTCCTCCTCCCATCTTCTGTCAGGTCAACTTCACCATGGATCGAGGCTGCTACAACTGCGGTGACCCTTCTCACCAGGTACTCGCGGCCGCTACTATTACTCTTACATCCCCTTACTCTACTTCAGGCTCGTGATTGTCCGAAGAAAGGAACTCCAACCTGGTAAGGCTTCAGCTCATGTTGACAACTACCCATGATGAGCACAACTGACTTTTCCTCTAGCTACAATTGTGGAGGTATGTGTTCAACGCGATGCAATCACCTTCTCTCCCACTAATTGCCTCCAAAGCCGAAGGTCACGTCAGTCGAGAATGCTCTGCTGCTCCCAAGCCCAAGTCATGCTACAAATGTCTGTTCAACCTTGAAAGGAATGCCGCGAAGCGCCCATTAATTCAATACAGGCGGCAATGAAGGACATCTTGCTCGTGACTGCCTGCAGTCCGTTGCCATTGGTGGTCCAGGAGGTGGCTGGGGTACAGGCGGAAATACATACGGTGGCGGCTCGTCTCGAGAATGTTATCGTTGCGGTGGACAAGGTCACATTGCACGGTGAGGGAGGCGAAAAGAAAAAGAAGAAAAGCAGAGACATAGAATCTTGACCAGAAACCCGCTAATTCACTTTAGTGACTGTACTTCTGGTGGTCAAGGCGGCTTCGGGGGTGGTTTCAACCGTGGTGGTGGCGGTCAAACCTGCTATGTAAGTCTGCCTTTCCATAATTCTGTCTCGGAGCTAATAAACATGCCACAGTCCTGCGGTGGCATTGGTCATATGTCACGGTATTGCATGAAGGATTTCCCTGGCCACTCTTGCCCAGCTAATGATGAGCCAGGGACTGCACACAGGGCCGATCTCAAAAATGCTACGTAAGTTCCCTACCGCCCGACGCCTGCGGATAGCTAACTGTGGAGGTACAGAATTGTGGCGAACAAGGTCACTTGTCTCGAGATTGTCCTTCCGAACCAAGCTCCGAGCGCATCTGCTACAAATGTGAGATCAAACTCCTCCCATTCCCTATTGGCGAAAGAGACTCTGACCACAGCTGCAGGCAAGCAACCAGGACATTTGCAGTCTGCTTGCCCCAATTAGGTGACTCGAAAAGGAGCCTAGACGAATCCTGAATAATTTTTTCCCCTCCCCCCTTTTCCTCATCCAATTCACACAGCCCCCCCCCCCCCAAAAAAGGAAAAATATGGTCCCGTGGACGCTCGATGAAGAGAATTTACCCTCGAACATCATGATGACATGATACCGTATGCATTCGAGCCAATTACGACAATTTCCAATTTCCAAGAACCAGTGACACAAATATTCTGGGCACTATATGTGATTGGTGAAAGAGAATCTTCTCGACGTCAAACGAATATGGGAGAGATTTCAAGGGCCATTGCAATGCACGAAGGAAAGTGGAGACTTGTGCAGGAATCTTTGTCAGGTGCGGTCAAAAGAATTCACCGAGGGCGACCAATGTACTTGCTCAAAAGCATCATTTGTTCCCCGTGGCCTGAGAACGACACTGAATGTGGAGGATGCTGATGAAGACTTTTGCAAGCCTCGCGCTGCTGCAACAATCTAAGAACCCCAAACGGAGAAAACTTCAACATTGAGGTAGGGTTTGGAAACAGATGGTCTGGGTTGAGTTATTGCTAAATGGAAGTACCTTAACTGATGCTTCTAGACATCGCCGTCGTTCAACTTTCTTTTTCTCTTCTGCTGCGACGAACCCCAAGCTCGCACAGGGATAACCCAGGATCAGCTCAATGCAAGCCCCAAACACTGGTAGTTTTTCTGCCACTACCTTGCGCACACCATTACAAGGTATGTTACTACCGACGAAAACGCAGTTCATTGCGCGTGTGCATTGATGTCACCCCACTCTGATCCCTGAGTTGCAAAGTCACGCTGAAGAATGGCTCTAATCAGTACCCTATTCCACAGTATCCTTACACTTTGTGATACCAACTGGAAAGAGGGCAACGAAGGGGATTCAGCGCACAGAGCTTGTAGATTCGACCAATACTGTCATTGCAATTTTTGATATGCCCATACATGGCGAGTTTTCCAAGAAGTCAGTGTTCTGACCGAAGGATTATTCGACATGTTGACAAAAGAAAAGATCACTTGGTTTCCACCCCCATCTTTGGTTGCCCTCCCACACTCCATCAGAGCCCAGATAGCATCGATTGCACTCAACACTTATTCAAGCCATTGTCGAATAGGCAAAGGATTGTGACAATCCTAATCGACAAGCCGTTTACAAAGTCAATGCCACGAGTCAAGGTATCCCCATCTTCCAGAACAATTTGGACAACTGTATCAACTCGAACCTCGATCCGGGTTCAATGTGCCCCACAGTTGCAATCTCTATCTGTTGTCCCCATATTGCTCCTGCAAATCCTCTTGACGTGCTACTCTGACCTGGTATTACCGTGGGGTATCGTAGATGGCCCAAGCCGATTCCCAAAACTGGGCGAGATCCCTGAAGGCTTCCATTCAAGAGGTGAGGGCACAGTGTGGGTTGTGAACGTGGTCAAGGATTCGCCGCTCACAATCCAACTGCCGTTCGAAGCGTGGGAGTGATAATCTAGCATCAATCACATGGTTGTTCGTGCCGCGGGGATGAATATCCCTGCGCTTCCAAGCCACGGCTTCTTCGTCGGGGTTCAGTGGTGCTCGGCTTGGATAGTCACGAAGGATACTTCGTAGTTTTTGAGCAAAGGGTGACGGCAGCAAGGCGATGTTGGGTTATTCGCACTCCTTCATGGAATCAGGCTGGGGGTCTTTGGATGGAGCGGAGACATCTCAAGAAGACTGTTTCTTTGTTGCCAATCGAACGTTGGCTCTTGAGGCGGGAAACTCGTCACCTCGGAGCAGACGTATAGCGGCAAAATACGGAGGGAGATCACAGGTGCTGCGAGAGCAAAACGAACGAAGGCCCTAATTGATCAACTTTGAGATTCCTCCTAGTCGACCAAGTTAGAAAGTCGATCGCGCCAATATTTAGTCGTCGCTCTCACATCCGATTACCTGGTCCATCTGCCACACCCCGCTCGTGTCTTGATGACCATCAGATTTTCAAGCTTTTTTTGCCCTTCTCCTTTCAAAACAGAACTCAGCACATATAAATTGAGTCTGGCGCGGGAAAGAATCGAAAAAGGATTTCTGTCCGAACGTTGTTGGCTCTGAATGAACAAGACAGACAGTCTCCAACTTCGTCCAGGGCTCGCGCCTCCTGACCATGGATGTGATGGAAAGAGTTGATAATCTCCAAACAAGAATCCATTTCCAATGTGTGGTTATATCGACGGCGCCCTTGAAAGAAGGGAGGAATCAGATCTGCAGCCTCTGGACGAAACAAAAACTACATTGTCGACGTGCTGAAGTAGTAGTTGCTCCATAAAAATTCGTAGTCCTCGACAACACCACCGACAAGATCCAAAATTGGCTTCCCTTTCAACGATTCGGCTATACCATGTATCCAACTCTTAGTCACGTTCTCATAAAATGCACCTCTCATCCCCCACCACGCCAGATTCCATCCACGCTTCTTCCATTCTTCGCGTTCCAGGGCGGACATTCCGTTCCTCGCGCTTCCGGGTACACGAGACGCAAGGTCCCGCTTGGTCAGCTGCCGAGCGAGACATTCGATGGCTAAGCCGACAAGCCACGGGGTCCAGTGCTTCTTCCACTTTTGTCCTTCGTAGCCGTAGATGTGAGCCACACGTTGCATCAGCAAAGCATAGAGAACCGGTCGGAGTATATACATCACCTCGGCGGCTTGTCCTTGTAGTGTCGTCAACTGATGCAGTAACTGCTTGGCGGGTTTGACATCATCGGCCGTCAGGACGTGATTGAGGAGGTACGCTGATACTGTGTCAGGGGTGGGCAATGGAGGTAGCGTGAAACCCGTCCGTGGCATGTTGTAAGGTTCGGTAATGGACAGAGACGAGGGTGGTTTGCCAGCGTCTGACAAAGGTGGCGTGGGGACGCCTGCATCTCCTAGCGCCGTTTTGACATCAAATGAATCCATATTGTCAGCCATTCGCATTTCTTCCTCTGAAAACTCTTCATCAGGCTCTTCTGGTTCCACCGGTGCAAAGTCTTCCCTCAATGGCATCGGCGGGGTCACAAGGGGTCGCGAATTGGTCAAGCGCATCAACAACAATCGACAAATCGCCTTGACGATTTCCAAAAGAATGACCACACGCCATCTCGGTTTTTCTCCGCCTCTTCGGCGGGCCAGCATTTCCCAGAGTAATTCGGTATATTGTGCAATCTTCAGGAGGGTGGAGATTTTGCTGTATAAGGATGACGACTCGGCCCAAAAGGTCGTATAGCGAGCGTGAAGGGAAGGTTTTGGCCCTTGGAGTCTGATATTTCTTGCCTTAAGGACGGTCGGAGACAGCGCGAGAATGGCAACGCGGTTCTTGAGTAGGTGATCGTGATAGATGGACAACAGTTGAACAAAGGTGTGAACAGATTCTGCTGCCAGTTCCGAATCGTGGAATCTTGCACCTGGAAGCAGGTAGGTCAAAGAGCGAAGGCTGGTTTCGATATGAGAGACCGAAGATGAGTTAGACGCGACGTAGTTAGAATAGGTTGATGGAAGACTGAGCGCAGCTTTGGTGAGGTCGGCAGATGCGCTGGACAGTGTTGTCATGGTCGCGTGGACCGTTCGGCGCAGCGCCGCGGACGCTGAAGACGCCATGGTTGGACCAGAGAGCAGCCGCAGACGTTCTCTGGCCACATGCAACCAGTGCCTGGGGATGGTGCTGGCTCTCGAAAAGATTAAAATTGATGGTTTCCGGGTCACAGAGTTGATGGAAGGAGGTTGAGGAACGGTCAGATCGTTGGCGTACAGTGATTGGCTGCGCGAAACCTGACAAACATCACCAATTGCCGATCCCATCCGACTCTGACACAAATTGATGTCCAGAGATTGCAGTGCTCTTTGCCAAAGACTTTATAGATGTCACGTGAAGCAGTGCAGCATTACGTTCATCCATCGTGCCCCAGAACATGTATCCATTCATCCCCCACGGGCAGTCTGAAAGTTGAAACAAGGCTTATCGACCACAATATTGTGCGCGCTTTTCGATAGCCTGGTTGCGGATAGCGAATGCTCCGAAGTTTTACCCCCCGGGGACCCATACAGAAAGTCCACCCTAAAGGATCGAACAGATTTTGACCATCGCTGAGAGCCGCGGCGGGATTTCAAACACTCGAACTTGTCTCCAATATGTCCTCTTCGGCAAAGAGACCGAAGAGAAATACGGGCCCCTGGTCGTCCCTTCGAATCCTCAACTCGACATCGCCGATCCTTTCCAAAGACCTCCACGGCTTTCTGGTGACGTGCATTTCGGGATGGAATGACAACTACAATGAAGCTGAAAAGCGCACCATCATTGATAGTCTGCCTCCACAGTACAGAAAATACGAACTCGACGGCGGCGGGCGCTTGGTTTGCCCCATCTCTATTGATTTTCTCCTTGAAGATGCCTACGTCAAAGCTGCCATTCCGAAATTCAAGAGAGACGTCAGCGACGGGTATTACGAAAAGGGTTGGCAAAATCAGGCTAGGAAAGCCCTGCAAGAAAGGCAAGATGGCAAGTTTGACGCATATCTCCAGGAGCACGCCGAGCAGGTATTCGCCGAGCAGCAGGCGCGAGATGACAGCAGCAACCCCGACCAAGCTGACGTTGTTTCCAGCGACGGCGAGTGGCCCGGAATGAGTGCCAACGGGAGGCGCAAAAGCCTTCCACGGACCCAGGTCCGTCGACCAAAAACAAACAGGGGCGCTCTTGGGGTTCGAGACTCGCCCACGGACCCTGGTTGATACCATCACTCCATACTCAAACTCCCTCTAAAATAGAATTTCCCCTCTCTGGGGTGAACTTGACTCTGATATCAACCCCGGAACAAGTTATTCAGGCTCTGCCGTACCAAAGGGTCCGGGGCTGATAGCCAAGCGAGATTGCGGCGAGGGACACCTTGTCCCACATCCCGGATGATAACCTGGCAAACCAAAAAAAAAAAAAAAAAAAAAAAAAAAAAAACATGCTTACACATTATCGAGTGAAGCGACACTGTCCATGCTGGGGCTAATAGTCTCTTTTGTCAAATGAAGTTCTGGAACATGCTGAGGCTACAAATCACGAGTACCGCATCGTCTTCAATCAATGAATCAGGCGGTCTCATTCCGATGATTTGTCCTCTGCAAAATATTCCATGCTGCGTCCAATCCGCCGAGAAATTTCTTGCATTTTGTTCAAGTGGCTTTGACTAGAAGGGGTTTTCCGATGCGCAGTGCCCGGCCACCAACGCAGTCTTGGTCAGCGTTAGGATCACGGAGGCTCGGCCACGTCAATCGGGCATCTGTCGCGAGGACACGAAAGAGAATTTAGTCCACAAGGCAGGCCCAATTGCCCTGCTAAGGCGGAAAGTTTCAATATCGAGCTCTCCAATGACTTTGAACACAAGAGTCATTTTTTGGCGATGTATCTCGGTAAGAAGGAAGGGGGGAGGGGGAGAAAAGGTTTCTGGGTAAAACACGCCAACTTGACAGCCTGGGTTGGGGAACGTGAGCACTGAACAGTGGAAATCCAAGGCCCTGGATGTGGACATGGGGTCGGTCCGTAGGGTGGCTCGAGGAAGCAAAAGGGCGATCATTGGTGAGGAGAGTGGATTCCGCACAGACCCGAAAGAAAAAAGAGCCCTGCCCGTGATTCTGACTGACATATCAAGGATGGCATGTAGGACACAATTGAGAGTTCTGTGGTTCGACGCTTTCGGTCAGCTGGCCGTCCTGATGGGGACCACTGATACCGTAGCCGCGCTGGTAGTACAAGCAATAGTTTGATAGAGTACCGCGCAAGCATATTCACTGTCCGGCTTCGTTTGTGTGTCGAGTCAATCCTTCATGATCTCGGGTAATCGCTTGGAATAATCTGACGTGTCTCAGGCACCGATGGTGGATTTTGGAGGTGTGAATGTGTTGACGGGCCCATGCAGCTTTGGTGAGAAAAAGCCCGACGGTATGTCAACTTAAAGATGAAATCAGGCTTTGAACCAGTTTGCTCGGTGCACGAAGCTGGAGGCAATGCGGGATGCTAATAGCTCGGGGGCTTGAGATCAAGAAACATGGCAGCGAATCGGAATTGATCCAAATCAGTGGAGACATGATAGTGGGTGATGAGAGACGCGACTTTCATGGGTACGTAGTTTACGTTCGATGAGTTTAGGAAGTCCGGTCCTTCTCAACCAGCGTAGCGAGGAAAAGGCAAAATGGGAAGTGGACCAATTTTGCCTAGGGATTTCTGAAATGGGATCGCGGCTGACAAGCCATGGACCATAGCCGGGGAGGAAAGAGGGGGTTGTTTTGATTCATTGCCTCAAGGGCAAGGCTGTTCCAGTTTCGAACCTCGGGGGGATTTCCCAGGCGAAGAACTTCCTCCAGAAGCGAGAGCACCCCAAACCGAAACAGCATAGACCAAGTTTCTGGCCAGCCTTAACCATGCTCCAGTAGAAGGCAGGAAGCCCTGGTCATCTGCCTCCTTTAGGGATGGTCACTTTTTCAGATTGGCCGGCATCGATGCAACATGAGAGGAAGGTGTGAACCAGAAGTGGCGCAAGGCGGTGTGTTTCTAGAATTCGGTGAGAGCAAGCCCGGTCTTCAACTTGCTGGATAAGGGGAAAAAAAAATTGGACCCCTATCCTTTAGCGATTGGGTTTCAACGTGGAAAAAATTTAAAAAAAAAAAAAAAAAAGGACTTTTCAGGGAATATGGCAAAAATGCAAAGAGCAAATAAGGGTACTAGGACAGATCTTTGCAATCGTTGTAGAAACTCGGCACGAGTCAGTGAGAGCCCATGCAATAGTCGTCGGGCATATGACCGTTGACATCAATCAATTGCTCCATCTTTGGTCACATTAAGTGCTGCAGATGGCATTGCCCCTGTCGATTAAGTTCTTGCATCTCCCACCTGTGACGTGTGATCTGAAGAAGGGCAAACGTGCCAAATTTTCTTCGGAACGAATAGGGATCGACTTAGCTGACGGGGTCCTCCGGGCCTCTGTTTAATGTTCAACCGCTTTTTCGGCTGGTCAAGCACATGACCTACTAGCGAAGCAAGCCTTAAACGACAAGTTGTGCAGATAAACCACTGAGATCGTCATTTCGTTTGTCTTGTACCGTACTAAGCTCGTGCCCTGCGGAGTGCCCGGTTGTCACCTATTCAAACCGCCCGGGGATTCTGATCGTGAGCTCATTTACACTAAGCATAAAGTTTGGGATATTGCAGGATCGAGGATGTTCAACAAATTCGTCCCATTGATGATGTTGGCGGGAATGATTCCAGATCCCCGGTTCCGAAGATTTGTAGTTGTTGCTTTGCTGTGAGGGATGGAATTGTCGGTGTGTACACCGCTTTTCGTCATTTGCTGGGGGATTGTTTGGTAAACCTCAAATCACTGCCCTCCTGATGAACTTATTGTTGTCACGGGCTCGAACGCCACCTTTTGACGGACACCGTTTGAAGTTTGCTGTACATGCCCGGCTAATGTTGCCAGCAGCGTTGAGAGCGGGCTGCATAATGTGTTGCTCCATGTCGAGACCACCCAATGATCATTTTGTCACCCGTTGTCTCACGTCCAAACAATGTCAATGTACTGCATCCAATGTCACCCGTCTCCCATAATGTGATTTGCTTCGGCACTCACATGACACAGGATGATGGGGAGCTGGTCCAGAGGCTGGTTCTTTTGCTCCTTGCGGGTGATTGACATGTCCATAGACGGTTCAATGCAGTGCCTGACGGTTAGGGGAGTGGTGGAGAAACATGGGCTTGATCGGCATGATGGACCTTGTCGAGCAGAGCCCTGAACTCTGGAGCCGGTCCGCTTCACCCCTTCCGCAGGCTAGAACCTGGGACCACCCAACAGGGTTCGTACGGCGGATAAGACCAGGCTTCGCGCGGATCCGGGTATCAATTGAGTTGGGAGGCGCCAGTATGGGTACAGAACTCCGTATTAAATATCTTGCCCATCTTTTTCGGCGTCGCTCGAGTCTCTCTCTTGAGGGGCCTCGTCTTCCGTCCTCGCTTACATTACCTCCCTACCAGGCCTTGAGCCGATTCCCCCGGTTGGTCAAAGCGGCGTGGGTTGGCGTTGACGGCTGTCTGCTCCAGGTGGCTGCATAAGGGGACTTGGGTTGGTGCTGTGTTGTTCTTCGGATCGGACAAAAGCTGAGAGTGCGATGACAGGAGATCGGGTGGGAGAAGGGGAAGGGAGGAAGGAGAAATGAATTGGCGGGGTCAAGTATTAGAAAAAATTGTTTCGATAACTCAGTGTGTCATTCAGCCTGTATCAAAGAGTCCATACAGCCGTAGTTACACAGACAAGTTCACAGGAAAATAATTGTCCATGACTGTTGAAGAGACAATGTAGGCCGTGGATTCCCTGTAGCACAGCCTGCCTCAGGGACATACATAGTCACACGAACCGAGGAAAAATCGCGTCGACTTAAACTTCTGCCACCAACAGGCAAGACGAACTTCACAATCAATTTTTACGAACTCTATCCCACCTCTTCCCCCTCTGAGGCTACCGGGCCCAGTTCGCCTACCAAACTAGGCAGTAAGTTGGCTAGTTCCTGTTTGACGCCAGTTCTGGGAGCTTGCTGCGTCTACTGCAAGCCTCAAGCCTTTTCCCTCTGGACGGTGAACCCCCAGTATCGTATTGCACTCGGGAAAAGGGGGGTTGGTGGGGGTTGGGTGGAGGGGCGGGCCTTTGGGCCAGTGCATCCCTCCTGTTTTAATACAACCGGGTTTCAATGGAGAATAGGTCCATTCCGCCTTTTCTCCAGGCCAGAGAGGTATAGGGAACGATGATATCAGGTCCCAACTTCTCCCCCTCCCTTCTTCCGCAGGGCAAAATAGACCACGAAGCGACTGAAAGGGAATAGTACAGAACGCCAACGACCGCTGCCGCAGCTTGCATCGAGATGGAGATGGAGAATGGAGGCGAAGTACATCTGTCTAGCTCCTGTTCGAGCTTTGTTTGCAGCTGCCAGTGCCACTGTGCCAGAGCAAGTGCCCAGGGCGAGGGCTCAGGGCTGTCCACTCTCCGCCCTCTGCCACGATCCCTCCTGCACAGGAGGAGCAATTCAAGGACGACTGCCGCCGAACTGACCCGCTCTGCCAGACCGCACTTTTGGAGTTCTCTTGTTCATTCTGACATGTCTTAAACCAGGTCCTTCTTGTCGTTTCTTCACTTAGTTCTGTCCTTTGCTCTCCCTCTCCCATATGCGAGAATCAAACGTTCCCATAGTCACTCCCCAGCTCATGTGTCGTGATCTAATTGCTGTGACCATTCAGCGCAAAAAGTGCCCAGTGACCGTTGCTGTCTTGCCACGACCCATTTCACCTTTGCTGGAGGCTCATCAGCGTTACCGGGCCCTTTTCAGCCCTCACCCTGTTCGCTTTGTTCAGTCCCCACGAAATACAAGGCAGCTGCTCTCGTTCTTCTCTCTTCCATGCATATGACCATATCTACTCGCCAAGTACAACCTCTTTCTCTCCACAATCTTCAATCTGACGGCACCTGGTCCCATCCCCCAACGTGGATATCTCGTCGCTGCTCAAATCGACGGACGACGACGAAGGCCGGTCGGTCAGTTCCCCTGCTTCAGTGTCTCGATCAGAGTCGGTACCGTCCAGCGCCGCCACCAGCGTGGCTCCCTTGCCACCTCAGCCGCGTTCCGCGGTGCCCGCGAAGAGATTGTCGACAAGCCAGGATCATTCAACTCAGTCTCCAGCGAAGAAGCAGTCCAAGTGGTCTCCCGAGGAAGACGCTAAGATCATCCAACTCCGCCAAGATGGTATGAAATGGGAGGATATTAGCAAGCACTTGCCTGGTCGCAGTGCCATCAGTTGTAGGCTGCACTATCAAAATTACCTCGAAAGGAGGAGTGAATGGGATGAGGATCGCAAGAATAAGCTCGCAAGGTTGTACGAAAGGTATGTTGAGAAACGTCGCACCAGATCACCGAACCAGTGTCCAAAAGCCCCCTTGTGCCCATAATCATGTCCCCCTTATTAAGATAAAGGGGGGGAAAAAAAAAAAGAGAGAGAAAGCTCAGTTAGATTGATGATGTTTTTGTCCCGAACAGATTCCGTGCAGATATGTGGGCGAGAATCGCAGAAGAGATGGCGATGCCATGGAGAGCCGTCGAGGCGATGCATTGGCAGATGGGAGAACATGAGATGGCGAAGCGCGCTGGTGTGACACCTTTCTCCCTCACCAACGCTACCAGCGGCCTTGATTCAGCTTTTCTTCCCCCGAGATCGCATGCTCGATATGGCGGCCCTCCTCCACGCTTACGTCGTGATCCGATGACTCGAGAAGCCTCCATGCAAGGTCCTCAGCAACTCCCTTCGTTAGCAGAACTCACGGCAGGGCTGCCGGCGTTTTCTGCACCACCTTACCGTACGTCAGACACTTTCCATCACCATCACCGGTACAACCATCCAAAGGGATGGAATGCCCCTTTCCAATGAGCCGATAATAGTATTGTCATGGAGCGAAGCATGTTGGGCGGAAATCGGAGGAAGGCCGGGTGCCCCCTCTCCTTTCCCGCATTTTTTTTTTTTTTTTTTTAAAAAAAATAACCGTCTCCGGGTTTTCATGATGTTTCTTGGGAGCAAACCGGGAACTAGGCTGTAATATAGTGATGTGATACCCACCAACGTTATCAGCGGGCGGTTCCCAGAAGAAAATTAATCTGCCGTGTCATGTTTTCAGTTTGGACGCTCAATTATGACCCACCAGTTGTCCCGATCATATCCTGACTTGACTATGCGAGCACCGGCGGCTGCAACATCGTCCTGAAGTTCACCTTCTCGGTACAGATGGTAGTATCGTTGGTATGTGGCTCCTGAGCTGTTTCCTTGGGTGTGGTGATTTGGCTTGAGAACCCAGGGAACCAGAACGTCTTGTGTGTCACCATGATCCCAACCTCTTCGACTGTTCTTCTGCTCAAGCGCCCATACAAATATCAAAGCTTGGCCTCCAGAGGTGTCTTTCAATGGTGGTTTCAGTGTATGCAGGATCCCTTTTATGGCTTGAATCCGACGCGCGTTCGATGAAAGGTGGTGAATGACAGCAATGGAGATGGCGAAATCGAAAGTGGAGTTTGGATGTGGGAGAGCGAGGGTATCCGCGATAATGGAACTGTGCGGTTCGTGTTGACCGGCAATGTCGATCAAAGCCTTTGACCTGGGAGAGAGAGTCAGTGAGATGAAAGAGGTGCATACAGATATCCGTTTACCTGTCCGAGGCAATGATAAACACATTCCTGTTCACCGTCAAGTATTTCCCGTTACCGCAGCCAATGTCCAAGCCTACAGATCCGGCTGGTAAACTGCGCAGGAAGCCTTCCACCACCGGCCATGGCTGCGAAGATTTGTCAATTGAGCGGCCTGCACCTTTCCCTGAGCATGTTCAAACCTTGTATCGGGTGGAGGAAAAATGAGTCGCGATCTCTTCATAGACTTGGTGAACGTGTGTGCTCTCGTACTCTAGGAGATCTGCGACATTCTCGGCCATCGTTAGGACTAAATGCGCTCCAAAGAAAATATTCGTCAAGTCCTAGACGAAGCAGTGACAAAGCTGAAGATCCTTGCCTAGGCAGATGTCGGGCGGAAACCTCCTATCGCATTACTCCGCAACCTCGGGGCTTTTTTTTTTTTTTTTTCCCCCTTGCGAGATGATGACTCCAGAATCTACCCCAATTTTTGCTTATCCGATTGGTTGCCTTGCGAATTCCCCCCATCATATTAGATAATTGACTTACCAAGCAACCAAACATCATTGAAAGCCATCCCCTTGGAGATCTTTCTGTTATGATTGATGCTAACGAGATATACCGATCAACTTCAATCTATTCACTACATCCTGAGAGAATCATCTATCAACATGACGCTGGCCGATATGATCAATAATATTAGTTCACATGCAGTCGGAAAAGTACGTTTCAGCTTCCTCGAGTCATTCCTTTTTCAACTCAAATAAATTCCGTTGGGTCAAAACTCCTGGATCATCAATGTAGAGAATGGCCAATGGGCGTCACAGAACCTCCACTGCCTCTTGTGCAAAAGATGTTTGGATCTTATTGCTTGGAGACCCAAACATGCTAAATATACCTGAGTTTCTGATCATCAATGCCAGAACAATTGCTAGGAGGGGGATCTGAAGAAGTCAGTGCCTGTACCGAGTCCAAAGAGCTCAGGACCCAGATACATACCCAGAAAAAGAACAGTTTCCGATCTCGGCTCAACTCAACCCTTTCGACTGGCTTCCTCAACGACAAACCTGGTATACTTGGGGAAGAAGGAGCCTCTGACGACTGGTTGGTTGATTGTCTTTCAAAATGGAGATCCGCTGCGGCATCGGTAGCTGCTACCAGCGCAGACGACTTCTTGACGCTCCATGCAGTCGAGCTGCCTTCATTGTCCGGATAGAGGTCTCCGTACGCCGGGGGGGACGAGGGCGGCGCAGGGGGTGAAGATCTCTCTCGTTGACTAGGTTGTTGCCTCGAACCCGGCCGTTGTGGAAATAGTGAGCTGACGCGACGAACCATGGGATATGCCTGATACTCCTGCAACGCTGCTATAGGCCCATTTAAATTGCCGAGATTCGGCATGACGGACTGGGCGCTCTCGTTGAATTGCTGTAGTTGAGCCACCAAATGATCACGCCATGCCAGCATGAAGGCCGATCGTGCCACTGCGGGAGCTGCGTCGGGGACTCTCTCCTGCGGTAAAATTGAGGCTTGAGGGGCGGGGTGTGGTACACTATTCCTTCGCGACTGTTCCATACTGACCCCGGCTTTCATGAGACTCGATTGATTCAACGGCTGCGGGAAGTCAAGGTCTTCGGACGACGCCATGGTAGGTGTTTCTTCGTCGTCGTCGTTGTTGTTATTGTCGTTGTCGTTGTCCTCATCGTCCTGGTCGTTCGAGTCAGGGTCAGAGTCAGAGTCATCTGATTCGCCGGTATCTGTAGTAGGGTAGTGGTTCGAAGCATTATCCCAGAAGGACCGAAGGGAGGATGAACTTCGACTGTGCAGTCGCCTCGGTGTGTCTCCACCGGCACTGCGCGACCGATAGTGTTCGATCGGACTCATCGTCGCTTGGTAAGCGAGCAAGGATGTTGCAAGATCGGCAGGAGTGAAATGACGAATGCTGCGAATCTTAGGATCGGCGCCAGCTAATCGAAGTTGGTGGATGACGTGCGTATTTCCATTCATCGCCGCATGATGCATCGGCGTATGACCATTGTTGTCAACCACATTAGGATCGGCTCCCCTAGACAACAAACCCGCTACAAAGCGAGCAAGACCTAAGGATGAGGCCAGATGCAGGAGTGTCAGGCCAGACGGTCGGCGAAGGTCAAACCGGGGGACCTTATATCGCTGTTGATCATTCATGTGCTCTAGAACACGCAGCATGGTGGCATCCAGTTCGCGTGTGTCAACGGGAGCCTCCCCACCGGGAGGGCCGGTGCTTCGTTGATGCCCTCCATTCATCGCATAACTGCCGTGAGAAGACCATAGCGAATGGGATTGCCCTTGAAGTAACTGCTGCGCCGCTAAGTAAGGGTCGTCGGTGGGGTGCTGCATCTGTTTGCCAAGTGCCCGTAATGCCAGACGGAACATCTCCAATTCTCGGTCGTCAACATATGTGAAAAGGGAGGGTCGAGATTGGGACTGCTGCTGTATTGTGGAATATTGCGGATGGTCGTGCTTAAAAACAACGGCCACGACACCGGGTTGTAGAGCTGGAGGTGCAATACAGTTTAAGCATTTCTCGCCCCAGAATGTCGTCGTCGTCGCCTCCGTATCGCCAAACATGACTTCGAGACCCTGATAGAAACCGTTCCCGAGGAGAGTGACTTCCGTGCCGCCGGTGACAGACCCTTCCGCAGGCACGAGCTTGTGTATCAGTGGAGGTGTCCGTCGCACTGGTGGTCCCGTGAGCTGATTAGATACGGCTTGTCCGAACGCGGCATCTGCCGTTCCGAAGCTATTCCTGGCCGAGCCGGGACTTCCAGGTCTGCTGGGCTGGCGAGATGGTGGCGCAGAGATCATTGCCTGTCGAGGGAGATTTTCCAAACTGAAAGAACGGTTGATGTTGGCGGCAAAAGACGGGTCACTGCCGTTGGGTGTAGGAGGACTAGTACCAAATGGGGCCGGTCGCGATGGAGGCATTGCAAATTGACGATCAGCAGGCCCCATGTACGATGCCATATTGGGAGCATAGGGTGAGGAAGCAGCTGTGTTCGGCATTGTCGCGGGTCCAGGAGGCACCTGCGACGTGTCGAGGCGAGTCATTGTCAACCCGGATGGCAATTTGCCAGAACCACTTTGCTTTCTTCTCTTGGCCGTGGGGCCGGATAGTCCACTTGGAGAGACGGGTCTAGAAAGATTTCTAGGGGCCAGGGTAGTCGAGGTCTGACTGGATATTGCCGATGATATGGCAAATGGACTGCTCGCGGGAGTCATGGGGAAATTGGGATTGAAATTATGCTGTAGTCCGTGCAAATCGGTCGTGGAGAAGGATTGCTTGAACATTTTGGGATTGACTCCGTGCATCTGAGGCTGCTCCGGTCCTGAGGTTGGGAAAACGCCGGCACCGGGCAATTTTGGCCCTGGTGTCGGCACTGACGCCGGAGGGTTTGTTGTTGTTGCCGCTGCAGGAGCATTGTGGGTTTTATGGTCGTCAGTAATCATGATCGGATTGGTCATGGCCTGAGCGACAACCTTGTCTCGATAGTCATTGATGGTGAAGATGACTTGGAACCCCATCTTCTCGTTTTGGTGGCGACAGTAACACGCAATTCTCATTGGAAGCTCGACTTGCATAGCTCCCGGGGGTGAAGCGGCAGGTTGGGTTTCAACACCATTCGGCGCCGCAGTCTGCGTATCACGAGGAACCTCTACCCACTCTTTAATCTCATTGGTGTTGAAGACGACCACCCTTCTTTCCTCATCCTTTTGAAATAGTTCTTCCTCTTCGGGTTTCTTTTGCTTCTTCCTTGAGGCCCTTTTCCTTTCACGCTGGATGCAGCCTGCGCAGATACGTACTTCGCCGCCATTCAATGGCTTGTCCTCATCGTCCCTGGAATTAGTGGAGTCGGTTGACCCGGGACCGGGACGGGCATGAGGAGCCAATTCTTCCCCTCTCGCACGCGCCCAAGCTCTTTGCAATTTGCGAGGATCCTGCATGGCACTGGTACAGACCAGAGAGGTGTGAAGCTCCAGAATCTCTGCCGACCGATCCACATTAGGCTTGGCCAAGAACTTAGGCTTGGAAACGGTGTGTCTCGGAAGCCTCAACTTCCTAACACCAGATGGAAGCGACGAGAGAGTCAGCCTGATCGGAATTTGGGTTTCGACGCGAGATTTGAGGGAAGTGGGATGTACGGTGAGGACAGGAGCACCTTCGGCGGAGTTGACCGTGGACGGGGGGGAAGAGATATCCTTGGTGAAGGTGGATGGAGTCGCGCTCGACTCGGGGTCGAAGCTGAATCCGGCCGTGGAAAATTGCAAGTTGGGAGGAGAAAGGGTGGCATTTCCAGGCGAGTCGCCATTCATGGTGATATGGTTAAAGGTCTCCTCTAGGCCTGACGAAGGTGAGTGTTTTCTCCAAGGAGATTGGCCTTGGGCAGAAGAGAGCATGGCATTGAAGGGTGATGCCTCTCGAGAGCCTGGGAAGAAAAACTGACGCTGGGTGTCGCTGGGAAATTGGCCGGTCGAGACCGGTTTGCCAAAGGCGACAAAGTTATTTGGCCGGTTAAAGGGTGGAGCAACCAAAGATCTCTTGATACCGCCGGCATTGATGACATCAAATCCGCTGGGAGTACTCGCCGCAGTGTCGAAATCGAAATCAGAGGCCATCTGCCGATTGCTGGCCTCAAAGTCATGGTCCATGCAAGCCATGGACGTGTCCTCCAGGAGTCGCTCGTTAGACGAAATTGAAAATCCATTTATCCCACTACTCCAAGTTCCCTGTACAGCATTGTGGGCAGGGGGAGAGGCGGTCGAAGCGGCAGATGTGGTGCGATTGTGATCCACAGGGGATTGGGAAGAAGAACTGCTGGATCCCGACCCAGACCCACGGGGTGATCGGGCCAGCGTGGCATTGCCAGGAAATGGACTGAAGCTGTCCACTTCACGTTTTATGGACAGATCGTTCGGGTTGAGAAAGCCAGTGTCTGTGGAATTCGGTTGGTCTGCTTCTGAGGCTGGAGAGGTCAAGAAGAGATCGAAATCTTGGCCGGCAAAGGAGGGAGGTTGGTCGAGACTAGCCTGGAACAAATACATGTCTTCATCTTGGGTGGATGCCATGCCGCTCTTTTTCTTCGGTCTTGCAGATTCAGAATATTGTTGTCACCGTCACCCTGACCAGCCTATGCCATCTCTTTGCAGGACTCAACTCAAACGGACTCGATCCGGATACGATGGGACGGATGAGACGGAAATGAAGTGAGATGAGGAGGAGACGGGTTCTTGTCGGATCTTAGAGGATATTATCACCGAAATCAATCGAGATTTTGGCCGTTCGTTGTGTGTTGATGTTTAGCTTGTGGCAAGCGGATGTGCTCACCGCGCCTCAAATAAATCAGCCGACTCGTAATATGAAACTTGGAGGAGTCGGCAGAACAATATCGATGGCGCGCTGCATAGAATTTGGCGATAAGTCGTAGATGCGTCTCAGATCGAGGTGATTGAATGATGGAGGTGAGTATACGATGTAGGTGTTTGAGAGGCAAAAGCACGGAAGAAGTGAATGAATGGAGACGGCCAGAACCTGAGTGCGGAGATGGAGGAATTTGCCAAATTGACTAGTTCGGTCAGGCGCCGAGAGCTTCAACTTTCTCTGACCGAACTTTAGTTATGCTGCAGTCATTCATATTCGGTCCGATGATGATGGTAGCCACATGAAACTCTCCTCATCTCTCCGTCTCCCTCGTCATCAATCATATATCAAAATGTTGATTCAAAAGTATCTTCATTCTGATACGCTGATTGTATTTACTCCGGGCAAGCCTGCTGGCGCCACTTTCGGGTATATTCGTTTTTGAAGGTTGCGAGATTTGAAGACCCTGCTCATGCACGAAGGATTTTCTGCCGCGGGCTTTGATCCTCAGACCCATCAAAGGTACGAGAATGAGCTGTCTCCCGGTAAAGAAGAACACTCAGTATTTACATCAAGGACGCCGCTGCAGATATGATTTGCGTTTCATGTGATACGTTGAAAATTCTATACCGATATTTACACTCTGAATTTGTGTTCTCTGCCATTCCCATTTGCGAGCGCGGAGTCGCCCAGATGTCTGGGATACTTCATCAGCGAGTACTTTTTTTCCCTCCCCCCTTTTTCGCCAAGGATTATAATAGCGCCACCTTGCTGTCATGAATGATTCCTACGAGCTGTCAGTCGCCACACTCTCTTCACCCACTACACCCCCCTACTTTGCTTGTGGTGTAATTCATCTCCCTGTCACATCTCCCAATCATTCATATTCACTTGACGCATGCATCTCATGCCACCTATGAAATTGCAGCCTCTGGACCCCAATGCCTTGGGGCATACGGGGCTTTCACCTCTGGCTAAGGTACGGACTACATCTCCCCTGTCATCCACCGCTGGCGCTGTCTCCCCCCCCCCGAAACCATTTTCGGCCGAGAGATGTGGAGTAGATGGTGTTTTCTTATCAAGGGAATTCTACCTTTTTCTGATCAAGCCTGTCGTCCGTCTGGGAGCCAATGTAGTATACCGCTTTTCCCAGAATCAACTGGCAAGACCTGACCGGTGATGTTACCCGCAAAGTTATCGCTGGCAAGAAACAAACATGCTCTTGCAACGGTTTCCACCGGAACGGCCTTCTTCAGCGCGACTGTTGCGTGGGATTCCCGCCATATTATCCCCGGGTCTTCGGTACACTCTTTCCGAAACTGTGGGGTATCCACCGGTCCAGGCGCAACGGCATTAATGCGGCCGCATGGATTGATAGTCGCTACATCGCGTGCTAGCGACCGCACAAGCCCAACTTGAATGGCTGCCTTGGAGGTGGCATATGGTGCACATGTTGAGACACCGAAGCGACCGGCTTCACTGCCGAATACCACTGCGGAAACGTTTCTGAGCTGGGGGTTGCCGTGGCTGCGTATGCCGCGAAGCCATGCTCGACAGGTCAGGAACGTCCCGTCGACGTTGACATGCATAGTTCGTTTCCAGACCTCGAGAGGTGTATCTGCGAGCGAGTAATGTGGGAGGTACGACAAATCCAGGCCAGCCACGGCAATACAGGTTGAGACTACCCCAAACTTTGCCCTCGCTCTCTCCATTCCTTGCTCCAACCCAACCTCGTCAGTAATGTCGACCAACTGGCTATGCAGACGGTCGTGGTTGATTGGGTCCTTGGGTTCGACGATGTCGAACGCGGAAACACATGCCCCAGCCGAGAGGAAAGCCCGAACAACTACAGATCCTATCGCGCCACTAGATCCCGTTACCAGGACATGAGATCCTTCAAGACCCAGCCCTATGTCGAACTGATTGCCATCCATCTGATAATCCGCATATGAAGTTCGGACAGGATGTTTTCCTTTGCGGGAGACGTTTTTGTGAAGTCTCGGCGCCAAGGCGCGGTCCTCGGTATTACGTTTTCCCCTGCAAAATGGAACCTGTCTAATATGGTGCGCTCCCCGTATAGAGAAAATTTATACGGGCAAGAAAGGGGAAGTCAATACCATCCTATGGGGTGACTTGAGGTAGCATTGGAGGCGTTTCTCGAGTACTTTCGTCGCTTACCCTGTTTTTTCATGGTTCCGGAATAAGTGGTAATATCCTTTTTGAAGTCGGTCGAGTCATCAACCCCACTTTGAACGGTTCACGGGATTGGAATATATCCCCGACGAATGGCAAAAGAAACTTGTTCAAACAAAACCGTAACGCAGCCAACGTCAAAAGCTCGACATGCCTGAAAGGAAGAGAGACATGATTGCCCGAGGGCAGAAACATAGAGTCCCGCTAGGAACTGCCATCCTCGTTGGACTGCGAGCCCTTGATCCATTACTGCAGGGACATCTTCTGCTCAACTCTCCACTGCCTCAGCTGGCGACCATTTTTGGTCTGCCTCCACCAGGACCTCCGCCAGCGGGCGGACTCCCCCTCGCTGGTACCAGTATGACGCCATATCAGAGCCTGATACTGGGGTTCTCTCTCGCATCGGCCTTCAAACACATTCTATGGGCCGTGTACATCAACAATGAGCCAATCTATCCCGGACCTGCTATCGGAATTGGTGTCTTCAATGCGATTCTCAACACATTCAACACGCTGGCTTACAACGCTGGCGCGGAGAACCCGACCTATTTCCCTTCTTGGAGTATCTACATCGGAACGGCATTGTTTATAGGGGGAATTCTGATTGAAACGATGGGTGAGCTCCAAACGGAAAGCTTGCAAGGACGACCCCCGCAACGAAGGGAAAATTTACCAGGGTGGACTGTTTTCTGTGGTCCGCCATGTGTCGTATCTGGGCTACAGTCTGTGGCGGGCGGGTGCAGCACTGGCTTCCGGTGGGCCAAAGTCAAACGAGAAGTGCCCTACGCTCTGATACCAGGAATTTGGTGAGGGACAGGCGAGATATGGCGTGATTATTCTGTCAATTATTTTCATTGATTTAGGGGACAAGTGCTCAAGAAATAGTATGACTTTTCTTTTCGAGTGATACCAATCCGTCCCCAGTTAACCTTTCTCTAGCGATACTGACTGCTCCTCCCAACCGATTCTTCACTTTCGTCATAAGTCGGTAACGTATCCTTGACCGCGATGACTTGTTCTCGGTTCTGCAGTTCTGCTTTCCGTTGGCGGGCTCTTCTGATCTCGAATGCGATCACGAAGACCACGTACAAGACGAACATGATGGCCGCCACGACACTGTAGGCGATACGCGCCTTTTGTGTGTCGGAATCAGTCTGGAATGGACTGAAAGATGCCAGTCTGATGCCGAGGCCGCCATTGATCATGGCTAAAAGAATCAATAGGCGGCCAACCCAGAGATGGACGCGGCCAACGGGTGTGCGGCCGGGGGGCTTGGAAGGTTTGCCAGCCTGGACCGCCAGGGAGCGCCTTTTGTAGAGACGGTGATGGATAGCACCAAAAATGGGCTGAAAGAATGCGATGGCGAGGATGGCCAGGCCCAATCGAGGGTGGGCGTCGTTCCAAATGCCAAAGGCAGCGGACTGTTGTGCAAGCCAGATGCCCATGCCCGCCGCGACTATGTAGATGATATAGCTGAAGATTTGGCCGATGGCGTGGATCTTGAGGACGATGGGGTTTTTGATGTTCAGCCGTAACAAGATGGCAAGAGACGGGATAAACATGACCCATACGAGAGAGGCTAAGACGGCGTGGGCAATGAGGATGCGTGTTGCTTTGTTGAATTCAGCTTCCGAGGAGAAGACAGAGCTTTGACTGGTGGAACTGGAGGATGAATCGTCACTGCTGCTGCTGCTGTCACCGTCGCCACCGTCCCCATCGTCAAAAGGACCCCTTCCGTCTCCATCGTCAAACCCGCCTCGCCATCCACCAAATTGTGCGTTGGCGGCAGTAACAAGCAAGACTGCTGCGAACAGAACTATGGTTCTAGTACGAATCATGGTTTTGGAACGTGTCGAGAAAAGAAATTTGGCTGGGAGAGAAGAAGGGAATTGTTCAAGGTACGAAAAGGCAGAGAAATGAAAAACCAACAGGCCGCCAGGCGTGCGGGCGGACCGCTGATCGAAGAAGAATGATTTCGAGTTTCAAGGCCCGTATGCAATGTCCGAGATCGACGAAGGGGCTGGAGGCGAGCAGCTACAGGTACGGAACACAGGAGGGCATGGTTTACCAGAAATAGGACGGGCTGGGCTTGGACAGCCAATCAGCGAAGGGACATTGCGGCGATGAGCATCCTGGTGATCGGAAGGGTTTCTTGGTATACGCGTGTGCAGTGACAAGGGATGGCAGCGTTGCAGAGATGAGGCCGGCAAATAGGATTGGAGTCAATGGGGACCCGGGGGCAGTGTGAGACGCCTCCGGTGCTGAAAATGGTGGTGGATATAACTATAGATACGCATAAGGGAAGTCATTTGAAAAAAAGTACGGTTGCCTGACGACGCTGTACTCATGCCATCAATGGGGGTTGTAGGTAGTTGTCAGACCCTCAGACTTTTCTGTCAGCTGGGCGCTGCCGGGTTTTGGAATGCCCGATCCACCGACCCAGCCCAAACTGGGGGCCTAAACCCTAAGCTGCCTTCTTGGGTATTTTTCGTTGTTTGACAGCGCAGATGAATACATCCCCCCTGGTCCCTCTTGAGCCATGCTCGCGCATCATGCTCCCCTCCCGCAGACTGTTAACACGACTGCGCATGCTTCTCTTTGAACGAATCGGGTCATCAAGGGTATCGATTCCCCTATTGCCCATGTGGTAATGCTGACGCGTCCAGAACGCGAGGACAATTTGAATCAGTAAGGCAATGACAGGATCGTAAAGAGTCGGGAAAAATACAAACTCGGGTACGAAGGCAGTCCGAAGCTTGAGGATTTCTTTGGATTGGTCGCAAAGAACGGTCTGAAACTATGAAAAAATGTCATTCATATATCTCCCCCTGCCGAGATCATGTTCAAAGATGGAATGTAGGTCTTGCATAAAACATCGAAACATACAAAATCGTAGGATGTTTGTGGTATGTACCATCCTGAATGAAATGCATTGGCCTGGGATATGAAAAGAGTTGTGATGGTTTGTTCATCGAGGGTGAGGAGTCTTATGGGTTGTCCTTCTATAGCTTTTGCGCCCACTTTGTTTTTCTTTTTGTCATACTGACAAAATGGACATACGCCACTTTTGCTGCGGTCGATAAAAAAATGCCGACATTGCCTGACGAAAATATTTTACTTGTTGCCACGCCAGGGCACGTTATCTTTTATTCCATCATCTCTTTGTTTTATCAAAATGCAATGAAACGACTGCAACGGAGATCCCCCACTTCGGCAGTGGTCAATAGCAATCTAGTAAGGCAAGCTGGTGTTGTCACTCCTGCATTATCGTTTAGCTGAGGCGCATATACGCATTCAAGACCACGCTTCCATAGTGCTAAACACGAACATCATGTGAGATGATGCATTTCTGTCGAGGTCATGGCCGAATCTACTCGTCGTTCCGGCAGACAGCGCAGGGTCAATCCAAAATATGCACATGATGGATGGGATAAAGAGACTCTACGAATTCTACGCGCATCTTCAGAATCATCTGGCTCGAGCCCTGACGAATCTTCACAGTCGGGAGATCTACAAGAGGACGATGACTTTATTACTGCTCAGGCCGACGCAGCTCCTGATATTTCGTCTCAGGGCGAGACAGCTTCTGCCTTTTTGACCCAGTCTTCAGATGTCGACACGCACGATGAGGAGGAAGATGACCAAATACGCGTTTCCTCAGATGAAAATATTCCTGATGCTCCGAGAATGAGAAATAACATTCGATCAGTGTATGCAAACGCCGCTAGCACAACGGCTCATTCTCGTGGCCTTCAGTCTGGACACCATCTCCGCGCGAAAGGTTCAGCATACCCCATTACCTTTGGCCCTGAGATCGGCGACTTATTTGACGTTCTCCAAGCTCGAGATACTTGGCTGAAGGGACGTGATGTTACAATTCCCAGCCGCCGGACCTTGTCTGCTGCCATCAAAGCGCCGAGCTTTTCTCGCAAGTGTAGTGTTGAAACCCGTCAAGAATCTGGTGCAGAAGACACAAAGACGTTGGATTCGCTTCCGCTGGGCGAGTCGATCTCCAGAAATCAACTCGCGCAAGAGATCCCGGAAGAAGATTTGTATTCAAAATATTTGCTCCGTGGCCGCCCATCACATTCAATCATCATCGGCCCGCGAGGCAACCAGCGAAAAATAGCCCTTGATTATCTGTCTGCCCTAGACTTTGGCCAAGCATGGGTGAAGTATTCAGAGCAAGAGATTACACAAACTGTCCCCAGTCGATACCACGAAGGCTGGTTAGTCAATGTGGGAGACAAAGTTCAATCTCTGGCTTGGGCTCCCTCTGATGGTCCGGTCCAGTACCTCGCCGCTGCTGTCCGATGCTCATCTACTCAGCGACGTTTGGCTTGCGAGGAAGAGAGAGACCGACCGGCGTTTTATTCGTCGCCTCCATATCCCTCAAGCATCCAAATCTGGGCATTCCACACCAAATCTACCGAATACCCGGGAGTACGAAAACTGAGCATGAACACGGAGCCCTATCTGAGCATTGTTTTGGCAACCGAATGGGGCAACATCCGTCAACTCAAATGGTGCCCCGTTGACCGTGTAAGAGGGATGGGCGACGAACAAGAACATCCGGGAAAAACAACCACGGACATCCACGTATTGGGGGTGATATCCAGTGACGGTTGTGCCCGAGTTCTCGCCGTTCCTCTTCCAGCTGGGTCCGGTTCAGTGACCTCTACTTCTCTTCGAATGGAGCGAGCGGGCATTATTCTTCGGCCCCCCCCGGAAACAATATTCACAACCCTAGCATTCATGTCCCCCACCGATCTCATTCTCGGTGCGGGAGATGGATCAGTGCACCTTTTTGATCTGACCGAACAGGCCCACGACGATGGGACATGCCGCAGCTACGTGAGGCATCAACTTCACCATACGTGTGTGATCGCTCTTTGCGCAGCCTTACCAAGTCCGTTCTCGACGTTTGTGGCGAGCACTTCTGCCTCCGGCGATCTGATGTTGACAGACTTGCGAAACCCCGACCAAGACAGGATATCGTTGCCTCGAGCATGCTTTCCAAATCGTGACCTCATTTTCTCTCCTTTTAGCCGCTCATTCCTCACTGCTCTCGATCGAGCAGGAAACACCCGCCTCGAAGCAAACTCGGCTACATTTGTTGTCTGCCACCATCTCCGTCAGTTTCCCAACAGCTTGAAGGTAGCCAAATTACCGGACTATAGCGGGGCGGCAACGGCTCTGGCTGGATCGCGATGGCATCCTTCCATCGTGGTCGGAAACGCTCGTGGACAAATTTTCGCAACCAACTATCTACGCCGGGTTCTTCCCTACAGAAAGAATGCCCCTCGTCAAGCAGCAAGCGCCTATCTGCAAAAGATTTGCGAGTATGATTGGCGGGCCTTAGCAGTGGAAGAAGGAGGACAGAAGGAAAATACTCTGGGGAAGCGGAAAGACATCGATCTCTATCATGGACAGGATGCGAAAGCGGGAGTATCTCGATTCGACGAAGGGTTCAAACTTGAGAAGATTGAAGTCGGCAACGTTCCACCCTCGAAAAAGAAATCACAAAGAATGGAGGTGGGAGCGACAGAGGCCATTTTCGAAGAAGAGCAGGCGGTCACCGCCATTGACTGGAATCCTAATGCTCCATGTGCGGGCCTGGTGGCGATAGGCTGGGGCAGTGGAATCTTCAGGGTACAGGATCTTGCTCATGATGCAGAATGAGCATGGAAAAGTCCTTTGATGATGATTACTCGTCCGTTTGAGTTGAGATTCACGGAAGGAAACCGGATGCGTTGAAACTATATTTACTAGAGATCACAGCTTAGCATAAAGAGCGAGCTAACTTGGGGGGGCACAAAACATCACGCTACAATTGATCGCCAACGACATAGTCATAGCCGATGAATTCTTATTCTTTCATCTTCAATGTTCTCTCTGATCATGTCGTTTTGCTCTCATCAGCCAGTCCCATAAATTACATTGAGTGCCGGGAATCATACTTTTTGGTTCCAGGTGGTATACATGAACAGAACCCCTTCGCGCTTTTTGGTTTCAAATTTTTCCCATCCCTGTTCCTGCGTATGACTTTCCCCTGTTCTGGACCACCACCCGATGCAAGGCAATGCAAAAGAACTGGGAAACAATTCGTGAATGTGGCCGGTGTGATGCTGCGCCAAACACCCAAGAAACCCGGAAATGGACGATGAGCCCGAGATGCCCCCCCCCCAAAAAAAGGCACATGCAGTGTCTCAAGCCGGATATGACGCCGAACTCACTCAAATCTAGCTCTTCTCACCTCGCGGACCGCCGCGACCTCTCGGTGCTCCTCCTCGGCCGCTGCTGCGATATCCATCTCCACGACCTCCTCGTCCACGACCTCGGAAATCTCCACGGCCACCGCGACCTCCTCGGCCACGACCACGTTCTCGGCGGACTTGTTCAAACCCATCATTCTCAGCAGCTGGCTTTTCCTCGGTGGCAGCACCTACTTCCTCTGCCCAATTGCTGGCTCCATGCACGGCAGCGGGGGTGGCATTGACACCAGTGTCGGTCTCCGCCGGGTCTCGAGAAACTTGCACCCACTCTTCATTTGTTGCACTTGTGTCAGTTACAATAGATGCCTGAGGATCCCATGTAGCCTCCGCAACAGCATTTGCAGCATTTGCCCCAGTGGATGCTTGCTCCAGCACTGGTAAGGCCTCCGGTTCGGCGGCGGCGTCGTTAGCGGGAGTCTGGATGGTAGTGGTATCACCAAGTTCGGTAAGAGCAGCATTCGCAATGGTGGCATCAGACTTTATTTCAGTCGCATCCGCGGAAGGCTCAGTTTGTTCAGTCTCATCGGCCACCTGCTCCATGGACGGTACCAAATCTTGGGCTCCTCGAAGAGCAGATTGTTTGACCTGGGCAAATGTGAAATCCAGCACCTCGCCTTGGACATCTGGGACCTTGTCTTCTGTACCATTGATCAAATTTTTCAAGGTTGTGAGAGAAGCTTCGTTGCCCTGATAGACAAGGAGTAGAGCACCTTCGAAAGCACGGCCTTCTTCAGAGTCTGCCTCCTCGGATTGACGTTTTGAAGCGGCAGCATGCAAGAAATGAGTGACAGTCCTCAGACTGTCTTCGACAACCTTCGCCTTCGCGCCCTGCATTTCTTGAACGACCTTCTCTTTGATGCTCACCATCTCCGCTTCATGTGCCTCAACCAAGCTTGACTTCTCTTTCGCGAACCGATCCTCTAATTCCTGAGTATAGGCGCGGAATGAGTTGAGTTGTTCCTCTAATAGTGTGAGCTGCGCTTGAAGGATGGGTTTTTTGAGAATCTGGGCCTTCTGGTCGGTATTGAGTTTCTTTGCAGCTACCAGGTCGTCGAGAGACATGTTGGGGTTTTCGCTAATGACAGCATCGGCCTTAGAGGAAGCAGCAAGTTTCTTGTGGATATTCCGGATGTTTCTGTCGAGCGTCAGTTTTGTGGACCCGTCTTTACATGTCTCGCAGTTTGGTTTTAATAGATACCTCGTGAGATCTTTGATGTACTGATTCTCGGTGTGAGAATCCACGCCGTTGGTAGTGGCTTCAACTACCGGTGTGGCTGCACCGCTGCTAGAAGGCGCATTTTCGGTTTTTGCCTTGCGTTTCTTTGCGGATTTGGAGTCAACGGAGGCGGGACCAGCAGTAGACATTTTTTGGACGCAAACGCAGGAGGCTGCTAGACGTTTGGATCGTGCAGAGAGGTCGGCGAAACGCAATAAAGGCAAGTATCCAAGTAATAAAACGGGAAAGACAACGACGTGGTTGTAGAAGAATTCGATTTGCTCGCGTGAGGCTACCTTCGAAGGGGGGAAGGGGAAAAAAAAAAAAAAGAATACTGAAGAGCGCAAAGCAAACACATGGGGGCACTTACAGCCGCACGCCAAGCTTCAATCGAACCCATTCATGTTGAAGGGTCTCCAGAACCTTCTTCTACAATGTAATAGAAAGAGTCGGATATGCCATCGAGGTCATTTTTACAGGACCGTCTTCTCTTAGGAGATGGGTCAAAAATGTTCTAGTTCTCTCCAACCCATGATAATGAGACATACAGCGTGGTGATGGCTCCTTACTCAAACCACCCAATTCATGAAGGAATCAATCCCATCGATGATGTCGGCTCATCTTCATGTTCCGGCTCCAGCCATTTTAGTATTATCCTTTCAAGCGTCCAGGTATTCAAGCATCCTCCATCCTGCAGAATTGCCCAAGCCGTCAAAGCTCAGAGAGACTGCTCCCTTCATTATGCTCAGAGCATGGTGCTCACGAGATGTCTTCATATTCTTCTGTCCCGGATTAATGTCTAGGATCGGTCGCATTTCCTTCAGCGAATCCATATGGACCGTGTGCGGTCTTCTGAGCTGGTTTTTGTTTTCAAGATTTGAGTTGAAGCCACGAGGCCCGGGAGAAATTGTTCGATAACTATTCCCCTCTGTGTGGTTTTGAGGGAGGGGTGGGTTCGCACGTCATGGAATGGCCTAGCCTTTGAATCGTCGAAGACTGATCTTGTTCATTATTAGCGCAAGCTTCGAGATTCGTGAGGTTCTGCCATACCATTGTGACTTTTCGTATATCTTTGGCTGCGATGGCCCTTTTTTCTCCCTCGACTCGTGCTTTGCGAGTTGCGTTCTGCATGAGCCTGGTTTCATTCTGGATCAGATCGCATCCTTCAGGGAAGTGACCCATCATACTCTTCAATAAATAGGACGTAGTTAAGGAAAACCAAGGTGTCAACGCCTTTCCCCACATTTTTCCTCGCGTGGGCTTTCATGATCCTCCGCAATGTCGCTCGTGGAAACGATTTCCTTCGAGCCTTCATGGTGCTGTGAGTTTGTGAACTGGTTGCGGCTCTGCCAACGCGTGGAGGGGATTTGCGGGAACGAGTAAACACAGTCTTGGCCGGAAACTTGCCAAGGCTCTAAGTACTATTTGCACTACAAAGTGGTCCCATTCCGTACTCGATACCAACAGCGCAGGACCAGAACGTGAAATTATAAGTGTTTTACATGAAGCAAGATAAAACACAACCCTATGGTTTTTACACACGTTGGCTGGTCCGTATTGCGTGCCAACAGGGACAAACTCACGAGGTCATCAGCTTCGACATCAGATGAATGGCTGATTTGGCCCTCTCGCGGACATTCAAGTCCGGATCGACCTCAAGCTTCCGTAGATGAGTAACAAATCCCGCCTTCTGGAGCTCAATTGCGCGTTGTTTACATCCAGATCGATCACTAGCATCGTCTTCATAGGTAAGGTTGATGGCAATCCAGCAGCATTGCGCTCGAATCTCCCGGTCTGCATGACTGCAAAATGTCAAGACCTGTTTCATCAAGGCGTGCTGTGATGCAATGACATTCCTCCACTTTGGGTCACATGCACCAATATGCACCAGGATGTATAACACCTTCACCACGATCGAGCTTGGTGCTGGTGTGGTATAATTCTCTTTTCGTGTCGGCCCCGCCGATGTACGTGGACGTAATCGGTCGAGCATAATCCTCAAAAAATCTTCTTGGCCCATCTCGTCGAAAATATATTTGACTAAATCTGATGCGTTTTCACCGCAGAAGAGGTTCCGAAGAAGATCGAGTAATTGGGCCTGAATCTCAGTATCGTCTTCGGTTGTGTGTCGTATGTCAAACACGTTCGGTTGATCGAGAGGTGCTTCGACATTTCCACTTGGAACTAGGCCGCTCTCCCGTTCTCCGTCCGAGTCTTCGCCCATAATGACATCTTGAGAGTCGTCGGCCGGCTCAGAAGGCCGGCGATAGGTCATTAACGGTGGATATTCCCTTTCCACCAGGCCGATTACTTCGCCGTCTGGGATGTCAATGGGATCGGTCTTGATCAGCAGCTTTATCCAGCTGGATCCCAACTCGTCGACCACATCCTGCTTCAGTTTCTTGCTCGCATTTAAGACAAGTTGCTTCAGCGCCCATAATGACTCCAGTCGAAGTCTCGCATTTGCAGAATGAGCTTGCTCGCACAGCTTCTTTACCAGCGTCGATTCTCCCACACTTTCCTTGACGGGACTAAAGTCGATGGCTAGGTTCGTGAGAACCCTGGTAGCGGCAATCCGGACCTCCGAGTTCGTCGAACTCATGAGCTTGATAATGGGTTTGGCAACCTCGGCTTCGATGAGCTTGGTTCTTAACGCCTGAACAGACCTCGTGAGCACCCTCACCGCTCCGCAGGCAGCAAGAATGACGGCGGCAGAATTCCCCGACGCCTCCATCTGTTGATGGGGGCCAAGTTGAATGTGGTAGGGTTCCAAAGCCATTATGATATGTGCCAACACCCCTTGGTCACATATCTCCTTGCGATAGTCATCTTCAAATGGTGCTATTGCGGCCAGTGCCTGCAGACAACCTTCCCGATAGTCCATTTCGCGTCTGGTGGCCCAGGTAGGCCCGCCACGGCCAATAACATTACCGGGCGATGTCTGATCTGCTGGTATTTCATCTGATTTGTGGGGTTGCCACGGGGATGATTTGCGACCAGCAGGGCCATCAAATGTCATCTTCAGACCAGCCGACAGATGAACAATAGCCCTGCCCTCCACGGCTACCCGCTGCATCTCGGGATCGTCCATCACGAGCGCCGCCAGGACCGCCGGAACTGCCCTTGTGTAATGCAGCCCGTTACATAGATGTGATCCGCCCAGTTGGTTGTTGAAGCTGTCCTGCCGTGTCGGATCGGGAGGGTCCGGATTGAGCATTCGGGTCAGTAGCGGGACAAGCAACGACGCAAAGGAGGATCCCCGCTCCCTCTTGACGAAATTCAAGCGGTACAGGTTGACCAATAACTTGGCTGCAAGAAGACGTCTCTTTCCGCGCGACTCACGAACAACGTATAGGAGCCACGAAATGACGGCACTCTCTTCAATGTCGTCCACGGTTTCCCGGCCCACGGCAAGATGGGGTGTTTCATTTGTTGTTGGAAAGAACGAAGCGCGGCGCTTAGGCATGGCTGTGACGGAGCTCAATGGCGGGAAACCAGACTGAGTCGCAGAGATGGACTTTTCGGACACCGGGGTGGAAGGCAGAAGGGGATCGAAAGGTCCCTGTAAACGTGAGCGAGGGACGGCGGCCCCGGAAAAATAGCTTGCTCCCCATGGCGCTCGTCGTATATCAGAAGGAGAGAAGTCGTCTCGGAGGTCGGGCAGCACTGTTTTGATTGTGGGGTTTGCCAGGAACATTCTTGTCCGAAATTTGGAGTGTTCGGTCAAAACACAAAGGGATTCCAGGACGGGTGAAAGATGAGCGAAGGACGGGGCCGGTTCTGGAATACGGGCAAGGACGTCGCTCTCGCCGTTCAAGGCATCAGGGCCCGGAGGAACAAGTCCTTCTGCAACCACAAAAGATGCCAGTCGAGCTGAAAGCAATGTCAAGACCCCGCCATCGACAAGAGCACGTTTCTGGGGTTCGAGGGAGACGGTTTTACAAAGAAGAGCCAAAATGGCATCACACGCCTGCTGAGACGCCATCGTATCATTAGCGCTTCCAATAATATTTCCAAAACATCGTATGTATTTTTCCGAATACAACAAATCCGCCAGCTTGTTATTCTGCGGCCAGTGCCCAACGACAGATGGAGGCAGATTGTCGGCAACAGCGTTGAGACATTTCAAGATGGCGAGGGTTGCTTTGGAGGAGAGAGGCAGTAGTAGAAAGGAAATCAGTCTCTGCAAAACGTCGGTTTCGAGGAGCGGTTGTACAAACGGAGGTCCCTCTGCTCAATACATATTAGCATCCTCAGGTACACGAAGCACAAAAGTGGCGCACCATGGGCGATGACGCAGAGGACCTGCGCAACTTGAGTGAATGTCAATTCATCTTCCAGTGTTGGTTTTGCTGCTGCTGCTGCTGGGCCACTCGTGGGCTGTGTCTCAGTATCGGTGAGTATCTTCGCGAGGGTGGGAACGAGCCCATGCTGTATGTATTCCACTTTGCGTGACAGATGCCCGGTCAAGTCATACTTTATTCTCTTTAACGCTGGTAGTTGACGTGGTGTGCCGGCCGCGGTCTTCAGATCCTGCAACGAGGACGGTACACGCCTCGTTGATGCCATGCGAACGGTGATCAGTTATCAAAGGTGATCGATACGGCATCGGGGGTGACTTTGTAACAAAATGTGTTGGCGGATTGTTGACACACTCGCCCACTCCAAGATTTGCTGGGCAGGAACATGGGGTCCAGGGCCCAATCGGGAAAGACCAAAACCGAGTTTTTTTGTACTTTTTATTTTTTATTTTTTTTTTTTCCGGGCCTCTAACGCGTCAATTCAACTTCAACGTCTTCTTTGGAGCGCGCCAGGTACCGGCTTCTGCAGTCAATCCTTCTTGGGCCTCTCAACAATAGTAATGACCAGTTCGTCACAGCCCCTAACCAGGACTCTTATCCTCGCATTGACCCAGACCGAGGAACTTCAACGCCATATCGAAGAAAGCGCCGAGGTGATCGAACAACTCCGTCGGGAGAATGAAAAGCTCAGGCTGGAACTGGAAGAATTGCGTCAGGCACGAAACTCTGAACAACCGAATCGTTCTTTCCAGCTAGACGACTTGTTCAGAAAAGATGCTGAAAAGCAAGCCAAGATTGATCATCTGAAATCGAAGCTTCAAATGGTCCAAGCAAAGGAGAGGAAATGGCGTCTGAAGACCCCTCACCTGTCGTCTCCTATAACCTCTTCTGACGAGGCTGATCCCCATATGAACCCTGGCACTACGTCCCGAAAGCGGCTTCGCAGCAAAAGCCCAGAAACAGAACCATCGCCGCTCAGGAGAATTTCCCCAAACTTGCCAGCCGGAGGAAATCTCACACCTAGGAGCTTTGGTGATCGGGGAGCGGATGCCATTCCTTCGATTGCGGAGGATGGGGAGGATCACATTCGAGGTCAATCTGATTCGATAGCTCAGAGGTCTTGCGAGGGGAATGAAGCAGGTTCGCCCCGGCAGCGTCTCCAGACATTACTTGCTGCTCCCGCTCCCGCTCCCACTCCTCTGCTTCCGAGGGCGAAATCCAATTCCCTCAGTCCGAGGATGGCGCCCTTACAGGATCAAGTGAAACCCGAAACATCTCTACCCCTTCCGAATGTAAATCCCCTCACTATTGTAAACAATAATTCAGTGAGAAAGCCCCTGCTCCTGCCGCCAAAACTATGCTTGACTGCAGAACCTGAGGATCAGGAGCCTCTGCGTTCTAGGCCAGTCAACTGTCTCAGCCTTTCACACTTCAAAGTCGATCCAGAACGTACTGGCGGCTACGATCATGTCTACGACAAAGTGGTTCGTGGTGGAGAAGCTAGGAAATGTTTGCCTGGCTGTATGAGACCTGAATGTTGCGGCGGGAAGTTGGCAGCCACCCTCCCTGCTGATCCCCACTTATCAGATGATGTTCTGCTACTGGATTTCTTGGGTACCGAATCGGAGGCTAGGATACGATCTTTGACACCTTTGGCGAGGATGAATCTTGTGCATGAAGCCCGTACAAAAAGGCTGGCGGATTTGTATGGAAAAATGCCCCCGACAGCATTCGAACGGGCACAAAGCCCGCCGGGATTCTGGAACACTGACATGCCAGGAACTCAAGAAAACAAGGAGGACCAGGAGCAGGTCAGACTGAGGGAACAGGAGGAAGTGGAGAGAAGATATCGAGAGGCTCAAAGGGAGAATGGACAGTGGCTCTTCGCGGACGAATAACAGATGAATGAGGGATGTTTGGATTCTTCTGCCTTGGAGGGGGTTTTGGGCTTCGATCGATCGTCTTCTTTCGGACAGATGCAGTCCACTAGAACCTAACCTGCGAGCATCTGGGCGGGTAGGTATGTTTGCTCTGAGCCTGGAGGCCGGTCTTGTGCTCTTGGCTTCGAGATTTTAGGTGGTGGCTGTGTTATTGCACACCGAATCGACAAGTTGATCGGCAGATTCCCCCCTAACCGAGATTATGAAGCTGAAATTTATTGGACGCTGCTCCACCCCATCGCTTTTTGGCCTCGCACGTCTCTCCGGAACTCTTTCACATTGGATGTGCTCCCGATCGCTTCTTTTTGTCGCTTCTGTTCGCTTGTCCGCTGGAAAGATGCAAAATGCAAATGCCGATCTGAAAAAGACCGTGGCCCACAACACCTGTCAGCCTTACAATACATGACTTCGTTGCCCATATCTGGGAAGGATTCTTGTACATGCTTCTCTGGAAACGAGAAGAACGTCTCTTGTCGGCTTTTCTCACTCTGTCTCCTTTATATTTTTATTTTCCCCCCCCTTTCTTTCATTGCTGTATTGATTATACTGCCACTCTTTCACGCGGCCTGACCAACTCATATTTTGATTTTTCAGTCACGTTCATTTTTGCGTTGTTCTATCGCTCGTTGGAATCATGAAACAGTCACTCGTTTATCATGTGGCCTTGCTGGCTTGGGCGTCACTCGCTGTGTCGTCGCCCATCTCGCGCCGTGACGTGTTCGGCCACAATGACTTTAGCTGTCAGAGCCTGAACCACCCGAACCCGGTGATCCTGCTACATGGCCTGGGGGCCAACGAGTATGAGGACCTCAACGTGCTCGAGGCGTATCTCCAGACGCAAGAATTTTGCACGTTCGGCATTACGTACGGCGCCTATGACGCGTTCCCGTTCTTTGGCGGTCTTAAGGCCATCGCCGATTCGGCTCAGGAGATCGCTCAGTTCATCCTTCAGGTGCGCTCCGAGACTGGCGCCGACAAGGTTGACCTAGTCGGCCATTCTGAAGGCGGTTTTCAGGCGCTGTACGTGCCAAAATTCGAACCGGGCGTTGCCGGGATCGTGGACAAGATCGTCTCTATCGCTCCACCCACCCATGGCACCACCTTTGCCAATCTTGCTGACCTGGCATACCTGGGCGGCAATGCCAGCCGTGACGCTGTCGGTGAGATTCTTCAGACCTTTGGCTGCCCTGCCTGTGACGACCTCTTAGTTGGCGGCGATGCCGTCGCCCGCCTCGATGATGGGCCCATCGCACAACCCGGCAATAACGTGCTTGTTCTCGCCTCAAAGTCTGACGAGCTTGTTACCCCGACCTCCACCTCCTTTATCCACGAGGACGGTGTCACCAACGTCTGGACCCAGGATAAATGCCCACTGGAGATTCTCGGCCACATCGGCCTGGCTTACGACCTCGATGTCTGGTGGACCGTCCAGAACTGGCTCGACCCAGCTTTCCAAGTCCCCGCCCTCTGTGTCCCTGGTCTGCCGTTCTAGAAGATCACTGAGCAAAATCGAATCTGGCAAAAGAACAGAAAATTGTTGAAGAATCTTGAGCATGCGACCAAGTCATATTCATAACCGAAGAGAGATATATTTAATATGTATATATGTAGCGGTACGCTGGCACCTGACCGGCGCCAAGCAAACGAGAATCGAAATACGCTGATCGGAGATAAAAAGATTTTCTATTCCACTTTTCTGCTCGTTTTCTCCTTCCTCCCCAATCTTTTTGACTCCGGAGGTCGTTTACGTTCTCAACAATGTCTCAAATCCACCTATGAGGGCCTGCGGCTATAGCTGATGGTGCCCACTTACACCCAGCTAGTGACAATCCATATCATATTAGATGGGGTTCTGTTGGCTCAGGTCTCGCAGACACATCCGTCGCCGCAACACAAGGAAAAATTTCCTTGCCATGCAGAACCAAAATTGCTAAAGCTAAGTACATCCTTGAGATCGGCACGCCGGGAGCACTATTCGACAAATCTGGATGGCTAGTCCTGGGCCTGATGTCGAAGTAACAAACATTGATATCGATGAGCATGCGAACAAAATCGCAAATGAAAATAACCGTCAGACTGGGTTGGAAGGACACGTGGAGTTGTTTTTGGGGGAATGCTTCGGGGGGTTTTTGTCCAAAGGTTAAGGCGGAGATAGGGAAATGGGAAGAGGCCTGCTTTTTGGATTTTGCTTCCATCGGTGCAGACAAAAGCAACCTGGAGTACTTCAATCATGCCTTGGATATGGTGCACCAAGGTAGTATTATCGTCATAAATAATGTTGCTAGAAGAGGTACGGTAGGTGGTTGACGAAGAATCCATTCAAAACGATGATTGCGTGAGAGGCGTAAAGAGGGTGATTGAAGCTGCTGGGAAAGGATAACAGAGTGGAAGGCACAGTCATCCAAACTGTGGGAGAGAAGGGATATGATTGTTTCCTGCTTGACTATGTGGGGGTAGCTTCATCGTTGTCGACCGTCTCACAGCAAATACACCTACATTGCGCCTTCTAGGGTCAATGAACCGAGAACCATAGCAGCAGCGAAAAAAAAGATGATTATCCTTTAGTTTCTTTAGGCTGAAGTCTGCTACAAGCTCAGTGGCTATAGTGGTCAATTTTCCCTCCCATAGTTTTCCCACTGATCCTTCCATCAATGAATCCCTTCCATCAGTGGAAGGGGGATAACAGTACAGTCTTGGAAGGAAGTGTCCCCTGGAGCAACGACAGTGCTCACAAGCATGCGCAGCCGCTGACCTGGAACAATAGCCAGATCGGTGACGATGGAAATTCTCACATGCCTCACTATCGGAATCTTGACCGTTTGGAAACTCTCAATGTTTCATGAGGTCGTTTTCTGAAGACCGTCAGTGGTAGTTGACTGGCTCTCCTTCGATAGGTTTTCACTAGTCGATCTGATAGTTGGAGGTCCCACGAATTCCATTCCTTGTCGCAAGTCTGTGATGCTTTCGAGATCTAGGTAACAGATAGGTTGAGTGTGCCATGGGTATTTTGTGACGGCTCTGCGGGAGCATTCAAGGGAATCACAGGTGACAATCTGTCATTCTTCTAGTACCTTCGGATCTTTCTGGGCTTCTCGGAGGATCTCCTTCATTCGGGAGGGAAGTTCTTTGTCCTCTTTCCTCCATCTTGCGTTGTTGGGAAAAACTATCCTTCGCAACCTGTTGACCCAAGGAGCTAATGGCTGATAGTATGGCGTGAAATTCTCCTCTGCTGTCCTCTGGAAATCGCGTTCATCGTCTATTGTGCCCTTTTTCAATTTGGCTAATTCCGCCATGTCCACATAATTCCACTTCTCAAAGTCTGGGACAACCACACTTTCCGTACCTTTTTGGTTATAGTGGACGCATATCCACAATAGGACCCAGAAGAACGACTCGCAGTCATGCATGAATGAGTGCTCTTCGTCCAAAAGCGCTCCGATCGCCATAAATGCTCTTGTACCGGTCCTGCCACGCGCACCAGAAGAACCTTTTCGGTTTATCCTAATCGCCAGGTCTAGGTCGATCAAGTACGCTGGCCGAGAAGGATTGTCGCTGTCTTCGTTCATTATGAGATTACCTGTTGATATGTCGCGCTGGAGGATGCCTGCCTGAAGATACAAAGATTCATATCCTGCATTGGTTAACTAAAGAACCAATAAACAATCCGAGGAGTTCGTACCTTCTATACAGCAAACCAGCGCAGCTAGTAGTGCGACACGAGAGCTTGCCTTATAGATTGGTTGTCCGTAGTCACGAACGGACGACTCGTCGATGTACTCGGTTTATGAGAGGGGGGTTCATTGTCTTTTTTGTCGGGGAGCTGGAGCATCGCCGCTTGCTGGCTGGTAAGAGTGTCTTGACGGAACTAGACGATCATTTGACCCCAATGGCACTGGAAACGTCGAAAGTTTGCCCCCTCTCGGTGCTGCTCCGAGATAAGGGCATACTCGGTGGCATCGCGGACTTTCCTAATTTGCGATTTTGGGAGGCATAATTTGCCGCTTTCGAGATCTCCAACCCTTGACGGATATTGGCTTGAACATCATCGTTGATGCCACGCAGTTGAACCGTTTCATGGTGATAGTATCTTGCCACGTTCACAACTCCTTATTCACCTTCTTCATCTCGCTCTGAAAACTGCCACGAATCCTTGACGACAAGAGGGGTCCTGGACTCGTCTCCATCGCGATAAGCCTTCCAACAAGTTGTCGCTCGGCCGATCACAGAAGTCGCACGTTTCATTAAGGTCTCGAGAACGAGTCGTTCGGGCTGACCATTGCGAGTGATCTTCATGTATCTTATTCCATTCGACTCGACAACAGTGGGATCGAATCCGAGCTGCTCATTGCCCGTCCAGAGAAACCCCAACACCACCGAGACGAACTGCAGGCCATCTCTATTGATATTAAATGGTGTCGATGCAATTCCGCCAACACGGTCAAACTCCCACAACCTCATGATCGATCCGCAGAGAGTAAATCCCAAGACAAAGCGACGAGTATCCTGAGCGGCCAGCACCTCTCGTACATATCTCGCCAGGTCGAGCCATGTTGCCGTGGCCATATCATGACACGGATTCCTCTTTGGCTCTCCTGGTACAAGAATCCGCGACCAATGATATGTGGAGTCTTCCTTTCCATTTGGGTCGTCCACAAAGCATATGTCCGGCTTTCGTTCGGCTGTAGAACCTTCCAGGGGATTATTGGGCTGTCCTAGTAGTCTTCGTGAGGGAGTCAGGGCGGGAACAAGGTTTTATGCGAAATCCTGGAAAATCCTGACTCGCTCAGAAAACCAACGGATTACATCCTCCTCCTTAGCCCCTATCGGCCAATCCCTCCAACCCGTTTTCTTGTGATACAAAGGAGTGTCACCTTTCGGGCATTTTTGAAACACAGTTTCAGCATTCTCTTTCAGGTGAGGTACCTTCCCATAGAATGCTTCATAGAAACCTGGTATGTCTGTATACAGAGGTCCTATCTCTTCCTTTAGCAAATCATCCATGAATTTTCGATGTTCGGACGTGTTGACAATACTACTAGTACTGTGTTTGTGAGGAGTTTGGAAAAGAATATGTGCTCGCGGTGGAGGAGGAGGAGGTGTAGGCTCAACAACGGCGGCGTATGCTTTTTCGAATATGATGTCGTCCGGCTCTTTGTTTATGACAACTCGTAAGAGAGGGACAATGCGTTCGATATCAAGGTGTTTCGAAACAACCGCAGGGATAAGGCTGGAAAGATCGGCAACAAGAAGACCACGACCAGTGCGAGAGGGCAATAGAAGAGAGGCAGAAAGGAGTTGTAATGTGACTATGAGCTGGACCGCCAAACTTTGGAACTCTATACAGGTTAATATAGACATGAGCATCAGCGTATCAGTCACTTTTCTCGCTTATTTGACCAAGAGCGTCTGTTGACGGTGGAAGTTCCAATTTCTCACAAGTCAAGCTGTACGCGTCGCGAAAGGCATCGAGGGCATTTCCGATGGGATTGTTTTGAAGGATCTCTGAGATAATAAGGGCCATCGTAGCTCGCAATTAGAGCACAGCGAATCAGGCAAAGAGGGCTACAGCATTCGAAGTTGTCATGATAAAGCGGATATCGAACTAGAAAGCAAAAGCGTTGGTGAGGATAGCGTCCGCTCGGCGTACCTTCCATGCCATGGGCGACGCTACATTTGAGACCACGTGACTATACGAATGCCTTGCTCTGATTGGTTGGGAAATTGTTGAGAGCCACGCAACTCTCAGATTCCGAATCTTTGGCCACGTTTAGTCGAGAAGCACAATTCAGGATATGGTTTAGCAAACGAAACCGAGAACCCCTCTCCCGAAGCGTCCGCAATCTGAAAAGAGGATTCATTGGAAATTGCTCGAATTTTTCAAGGAGTTTCCGCTCCAAGGTGCCGATGCGAGGGAACATGGTATCCTGATGCCCAAGGAGCGTCTGAAGAGAGGGTAGTCATTCAAGTATGCCTAGGGCTATGTGTAAACAGGCCTGGTCAGAAACGAACGAAGAAGACGCCACCGTCTGAAAACTAAAGATCCTGTTCGTGAATGAAGTCGAGAGGGAAGGAAAGGACTACCTGCCAACAAGACTTTGTGATGGTATTGAATAAAATTCATTTCAGTACATTATCGAGAAATACGCACGAGTGCATTGAGCTCGCCACCCTGACGAGGTAGAGTGGTAAGATACAAAGACAACATGATTCCATGCGAAGTTTGAGTCTGTCCCTGTGGCCATGATCGGCCATGCGTTTTTTTGCTACACAATGCCGCTACGCGAAAATGCGGTGGGCATATTTTGATAGAACTCGAAACCGAGACTAAGAGAAAAGAAGAGAAGAGAATGCCAAAAAATAAACCCTGAATTTTTGGTGTACAACCGATTTGCTGTTTCAGCCAGCCTTCGGTGAATGGAGTACACAGGTGATTTGTTGATAGTTTCCGAGACCACTTCTTCCGTATGAACTTTGTAAACCTTTCAGATCGAGAACGCCCATATGTGCAAAGCCTACCCCCGGGGGTCTTTGTAGTCGAAACTGAGATGTTATGACGCCACCCAGCTTGTTTTGAGCTCGGTTTGTCTCAGGAGTCAAAGATGGGTGCGAAAATTGGTACTCCTCGACATTCGAGACCATACACCACTCTTTGGGTGACTGTTGGGTTGGAGATTATGAATACAGCTTCAGCACCAGAAGATACATACAGGTCGTAGGTGTGCCTGACCAGATCAGGTCTTCCAGCGACAGTGGTGTTGATAATGATGGCTTCTGGATCGGCTCGACGAACGTGTTCAATGACGCCGGTTGAATACGTGACCTCCGGGTCAGGGGTTGACCACAAAATCCGACAGGAAATATCCCTTCTGCACAACAATGACATGATTGGACCGATGCCTGAGCCAGTCGCTACCAGAACCATCTTCCTGAAAATAGGAGCAACGTAGAGAACTCCCATCGTGGGGATTCCCCGCACCCAGAGCTGAGAAGGCGGTGATCTGATGAGGTGGGAGGTCCAATCGCCGGCCCTGGAGACCAGAACTGAGAATCCTTGACCATCTTCTTTCGGAATCCCAGCAAAGGCATGCCACTCAAGAAGGGGGCTGTCGGATAATCGAGGTGCCGTACACAGAGGTAGGTTGGTGTAGGTAAAATGAAGGCGAATTGCATGATCAGAGAGAGGTTCGGCATGGACTGGAACCTTCCTGAGCCAGACCCAGGGCAAGGCTATAGAGATGGTGACAATCATCAGGGTCCAAAAGAGCGGACTTTGTGCTATTGCTTGTTGAAGAGCGATGTTGGAGTTTGGATCGGTTGCCCTCGCATCAGCCAGCAACCCGAATTGAACCCAAAATAAGGCTACGGCTGTCCAGCCTGCGAAGCGATGAACCCACTCAAACATATTGTGTAGTCTGGTGCGGATACTTGGATGCGCCACGACGACAATGGAGACAAGAAGGATATCGAGGACGACGGTGATGACCGTTATTGCGTTCTGATGTGCCTGGATTGCCCGAGTTTGGAAGGCCTTTACCATTGCGACATTGAAAAAGGCAAACCAGATTGTTGCCGACATACCAGCGCCACTGTGGACTCCGCCTAGGTGATAGATTTTGGCGGCTATTCGACGGATTCGAAGTGGAAGCGACTGAGGACATTTACCAAATGACCAGAGGAGAGCATTGATGACGAGCTCTTGTCGAATCAACACGCCGACGGTCAAATTGGTTGAAACTGTGGTGGCGGCCGTCTCCGGTGACAGAGAGAGAAGTCTATGCTGTATCGCCAGAACTATCATGGCGGTGATGTTTGCAGTCAGGACAAGGATGTTGAGCCGGCGGTAGACAGACAGAACAGTCCAACGTAGGTTACGAACGATGCGGGTATATTTTTTGACAGGCATAGGTATCTCTGGTATCGGTTGTTTTTCCAGAATCAAAGTGGAAGCTGATCGTGGGGAGGATTGGTCTTGAAGACGCTGGTCCCGGGGCAAGACAGATGGCGAACTGGCCAACAACGAGAAGTCGGTGGTCTTTGAGGTTCCGGTGGGAGGTACAGGATAATATAGATCATGGGAGAGGTGCTGATTGAATACATGATCTTGGTGAGTTTTGACGGAACCGGTGTGTGAGGGATCATGATCTTGCCGATGTGATCGATCGGGTTCATGAAGTGCAGGGAGAGCGGTGAGTGCCATTTCCGGGTTGACTAGATTCGCCATTTCTTTCGTTAGCAAAGACTCGATTACGCAATATTCAGAATGGGCTGTGGAATGGCAAAACCTGGGGGGGTTGCAAAACGAGACTGCGATATTTGGAAGTAGTTCGTCAGCGAGGCTGGGAGGCCATACACACATACAAGGGCTGTCTCTTGAGATCAAGTGCTGGACAGGGTATAAAGGGGAGGTGAAGATAAAAGTATGACAGTTAGAGAAGAGTGATGTCGATGGGGGAGGCTGAAGGTGAAGTTGAGGAGAGTCGTGCTGGCAGAACAATCCCGGGAGGATGTCGCTCAGATTCCACCCACGTGATTGGCGTGCGTGGACGTAGCACTTACAATATTGGTTGGAGAATGTCAGGGACGACCTTTGTCTCTGGGGGGGAAGGAATTTTTTTTTTTTTCTAAACTGTTGGCGAGAAGCGGCTGGACGATGTGGTGGTTATCATCAAGGGGAAAATGAGGTGGAACCTGAGGTGCTATACCAAAACTCGGATAAAACCAGGGTTCAGAGGCTCAGAAGGATTGAGCCGGGTAGGCAAGCTCAGATAGGTAAACGGCAGAGTGAGTGGATCTTGGAAGGATATAGCAGGAGGGTGAAATCTCGATGTGGTGAAGGAAGGCATTGTGGATTGCTGGGACAAGGTGGCTCGAAAACGTAGGTAATGAGACATCATGCCGCCGAAGCTGAGGGATGACATAGAGGCAAAGACAGAGGCCGAAAAAGAACCCGGTCGACCGATTGTAAGCGACGAGGAAGAGGAGTAGAAGAGGCAGGAGGAATGAAGAGTGAATGGCGAAGGATGGTGATATTAACGGTAATGCTGGTGGCGTTGGTATTAATGGAACGGGTGAATGGAAGATGGTGTTGCTCTTTCCATTCATCGTAGGGGCTATGGATTCCATCAATTTGTTAGATTGGATTAGGCAGGATGGAATTGAATTAGATACACAGTTCTCATCCATGGGCCTCCGACTCAATTGGTAAGGGAGGGTTGCAAGATGGAACCATGGATTTGGATTGATATTTCTGTCAATTGGTCCGGTCGAGTTTTGTGTTGTCGGTAACCAATTGCTTGAAGGGATGCAAAGCCTTCAAAGTTGGTCAATATATCGGAGGAAGTGGCATGTCCTGTCTCGAGATGAGCAGGCAAGACGAAGATGCCAATTCATGGGGGTGTGGTTAGTCCGTTGGCCAGTGGCCAGATGCCAGACGCAATGGAAGTGCTCTGTGAAGACATCGTCTGAATCTCCTTGATGGACGAATGTACCATCTTGACTAATGCAGTCACTGTCAGAATAGAGCGCGGAGTACTGCTGCCAACCCCCTGTTACCTGATATCTGCTGTTTGCAAAAGGAAGAGGCGTACATGTAGTACGTATTGCTTTGTTCTCACTTACCTCTCCGCACAGCTCGAGAGTTAAGAGAGGTATGCACACGCTCTTGTCTTTTGGCTCTCACCAGTGACTTCTCTGCACGTCCCTGCCTCTGCTGTTTCCTGCCTGCGCTGTATTGGTCAGTCAGCCCATGTAATTTATCGAATCCGTGGCGCTGCCTTCAATGTTCCAATCTCTCTTACCTCTCTGTTGCCTCCTCTGCCATGTATCCCATCGAGACTCTTCCTTTCATCATCCGGTCAAAGTATACTGGGGCCATCCTTTTATCTCCCCTTGCATTCGCTCTTTGTCCTCTTGTAACCTACCCAGGCAATTCCTGGCTGTGTTCATTTATAAACACCGGAACCCGTCCTCACCTCGGACAGGAACCTACCTCTGATCCGCCTCTGCATCCCTGATCGTCCTCGACAAAGGCACAAAGCATGCTCGTTGCATCGCTCGTCCTGCCTGACCTGCTACTATCCCTACCATCCAGCCACGTCCTCGGACTCCTCAGACACTTGGCTTTGTTCTGCAAGCCACCCGTTACACAATGTCTTTGTCCACACTTGCGCCTGTCGATGCTGTCTGGGCCTCGTCCAAATTCATACCCATCCCGACCGCAGACATCTTGACTTTTGCCTTCGCCAATCTTGGTCGGTACGACCAAAATGCTCCGGTAACCTGCTTGAACCTGGGAAATCCCCCCCAGTGACCACCAGGTGCTGACGAGACACACGGCCATGTCCATAGATTTTTGTCGATGCGCGTAGCCCATCAGACTCGGTCTCGGCTCTTCATGCCTACCGAATCGTTCATCAGCTCATCAGAGGGTTCAAAGAGCTCGGTTTGAAAGAGGGGGATTGCGTGTGCCTGCATTCCTATAACAATGTGAGTCCTTCTCTCTCTCTTGCCCCAACGGGTCCTGTCGTTTGCCTCCGCTTTAGCTGCTGTTTCGTGTACAACCCCGCTGACCGGGTCGATCTGGGGTTATGAATAGATCTGGTATCCCCTCCTTTGGCTCGCAATAATCGGTGCTGGTGGCTGCGTCTCTGGAACAAATCCTGGCTACAGCTCTTCCGAACTGGTCGGGCATTTCAATCTCACAAAGCCCAAGTATATCCTCTCCGAAGTAGCTTGTATCAAACCAATCATCGATGCCGCTTCTCAATGCAACATTGCCACCTCCAACATCTTCTTCGTCGGTACCCAAGATATCCCTCATGTCCATGGCTGTCGAAGCTGGCGAACATTACTCATCGACTGCGAATGTGATTGGAGCGCGTCGAATCAGCATGATGCTCACTCTGCCCCAAATCGGGTCGCGGTGTACGCCATGACTAGTGGAACCACTGGACTGCCCAAAGTTGCGATGATATCACATCGCTACGTTGTGGCACAGACCGTGTTCTTGGAGAGCCAATTTGACGCCAGACCTTACCAGGTATTGTCATCACGGAATAACCCCTCTCTTGTTCTTCGAAGAATCCAAGCTGACATGGTTTCATAGCCATCACAACTCATCTGTCTACCTGTCTTTCATGCATTTGCGTCGCCGTTGGCTCTTGTCCTGCCCCTGCGCCGAGGTATTCCCACCTATTTTCTGCCTCGATTCACCCTTCAGGGTTTCCTGCACGCCGTCGGCGCTTTTTCCATCACCGACACCCCCGTGGTTCCTCCGATCATCGCTTCACTGAATCAATCCCCCGAGTCAGATCACCACCTCCTCCGAAGCCTTCGGTATGTCATCTGTGCCGGCGCACCAATGACTACCCGTGTTCAGACCAAATTGTACGATATTCTGGATGCCCATGCCGTGATTTCTCAATGTTGGGGAACAACCGAGGGGGGGTGGCACACTCTGTTCGATTGGCAGGAAAAGGACACTTCCGGAAGTGTTGGGCGATTGATGCCAAATGTCCAAATGAAAGTCATTGATGACGATGGGAACCCGGTGGGGGAGGATGACAAACTTGGTGAAGCCCTGATTCGATCACCGATCATGTTCTCTGGTTACCTTGACAATCCCGACGCAAACAAGGAGGCATTCGATGTTGATGGATTCTATCGAACTGGTGACCGCGTTTACGTTCAGAACAACAAGATCTTCCACGAAGGAAGAATCAAAGAAGTCATGAAGGTCAACGGATGGCAAGTCTCGCCAACTGAACTCGAGACCGTTCTGATGGAGCATCCGCTGATTTCCGATGCCGCCGTAGTTGGCATGACTCGTGAGAATCAACTGGGGATCCAGGTGACATTACCGTGTGCCTATGTTGTTCGCGTTCACGTCGAATCTGTCGGTCAAGGGTCCGGAACGTCAAACACAGATGTCAGGGGTGGCCTGGAGCCGTTGACTGCGAAAGAAGTCACCGATTTTATTGCATCGAAACTTATCTCGTACAAACATCTCACCGGAGGCGTTGTCTTCGTCAAGGAAATTCCTCGCTCTTCTACCGGAAAGATTATGCGTCGACTCCTGTCTGCCACAGAGCTTGATTCTTCGAATTAGGCAGGTAGCAGTGTGTCGGGTGTGGGTGGTCGCTTGGGTATCAACGAATAATCAGAACGCAGGTCACGAGACATCAATGCACTTGTCAGTCCGCGCTAGTGAGCGTCCGAGTATGAGGGTTTAAATTGTGGAAAAGGGACAGTGGTTGACTGGGGTTTTAATGAGCAACGACCTATTTGACCATTGAGAGCTTGAGGCTGCCTTAGATCTCAGGTTAGCGCGCCAAGACCTTAGATTCCCGGCTAGACCATGCGAAAGAATCCCTCTCTGGTACGACCTACATGCCGTTGACATAAATCTTCCATTCTTAGTCTGGCCATATTGTTGAGTTCTTGGGGGAGGTTCATCACAGCTCCATTTATTTTCGTTGACATACGATATCGGCTCCCAGAGCGCAGAAGAAGCTTCAGCTCGGCAAACCTCCAAAATGTCGGTCTCGACTCCCACCGACATCTCTGTACAAATCGTTGTTCCTAGCAACACCCGTCCAAATGACCCGCCCCTCGTATCTGCTGAAAGGCGCATCACTCCGTCCTGGACCGTCGCAGAGTTGAAGCGGAAACTTGAACCGGTCACAGGAATTCCCGCTTCTTCGCAATCCCTCCGGATTCGATCCCTTGACGGAACTTGGCTATTCCTGGACGACGAGGCCTCTCTTGTGGGTGACGTCAGATATAATCTACACCGCGGCTCAGAGATTGAAGTCATAGACGGTCGGCCGACACATTTGCGGCAGACATTCAACTTCTCCGACTTGACTTCCGTCGAGAAGTATCAGATGCCCGAGGCTCAGTACGAGAAACTCGAGGACAGCGTGCTTGCGTGGAAACGACGCCAAAAGCTCGGCCGGTTCGATCCCAATGCAAAATCTGCAGAGGATAAGGCAGAAGACAGATTCAGGAAGGATCAAGCGGAGATCGAAGCCAAGGGTGTTCAAGTCGGCCTGAGATGTCGAGTCGGTAATGATGACGGGAGAAGAGGGGTGGTGAGATTTACCGGAGAAATCCCCGGCCTGGGCGGAGCCAAGGAGGCAGGCTGTATTTGGGTGGGTATCGAACTCGACGAGCCTGTTGGTCGGAATGATGGAAGTGCAACTGTCGAGACAGAAGAGGGTGGCCAAGCAGTCAAGAGAATGTTTGAATGTCGAGAGAAATTCGGCGTCTTCGCCAGGCCCGAGAAAGTCCAAGTGGGCGAGTTTCCACCCCTCAATGATTTCAGAGACGAAGAGATGGAAGAGATATGAGATTTTGACTCCACCATTGTTGAGGAGCATGGTGCGACTTGATCCAAGTGGGACAGGTCCCCGGGTCGTCAAGGAGATCTCGAAGACCTTGAAAACATTGCTTCACGAGGCCGAGGCGAATAGAACAGCCCAAGATAACATGGGTAGTCTACCCCCTGCCAGCGTTCCGGAAGCAAGGTCTCTTGTTACTCAAAGCTCTCGATTCGGCTTATGTCAAACAAAGCGCAGGTCAGCACGCAGCAATCAAAAGAGCCCCTGCGGACCGGACGAGCTGAAAGGCACGATACGATGTAGATTTCAGCCGGATAGTCCGTCCATCTTCATGTGACCGTGGTTCCAAGGTCCATGACGCAAACGAATTTCACTTTATTTTCGGTCCCAGACGTCTTAGCTGTTCATCAAGCCCGAACGGTACATCTCTCCTTGTTTTACCATGATATTCGTGGTCACCAGTGATATACATTTGAAATCATGACACTCTGCAAGCGGAACAAATGCAAGTTGACTTGCCCAAACTGGGTGCTGATCCCAGCAATGGATCATATAACCAAGCTCATGCATTGAACAGCCACTGAAGAACCGGGGAGTGCGAGAATCATGCCTCGTCTTCAAAAGGGGTCGGGCTCACAGCCCTGACTAAAGAAAACGCGCGCGGGCCTCTCAAGCTCGTTCTCCATTGAATATTGATTCCCTGTTCAATACAAGCTCAGCTGCAATTCGTCTTCTTCAGGGCGACTTTTGAGATGCTCACTTACCTCGAGGAACTTGCCAAAATCCCCCCTTCCCAATGCTGAACCGAGTCATGCTGCCCGTTTCCTCGCCGCCCGGGGGACCTACTGTTACCGTGACCCGACCTTTCACCACGAAGAAACTCATATGCATTTTGCGGCTGTTCTTGGGTCGTTTCACCCCTCCAGGAGGCAAATCCACGAGGCCCGTACCGAAAAATTTGGTGCTGAGTAATTTGGCGTATCTGAATGAAGGACCATCTTCGAGACTCGACCCTTTCACGTTGCGTATCTTGATCGCTCCCGGCGCGTGTGCAATTTCCACTTCTTCCTCTTGCTCCATCGGTACCTGTTCTTGTTGATCCCATATTGAGACGTTGCCCCGTAGTGTTCCGCTTTCTATCTCCCAGGGTTCCGCATATGGATCTACTCTTGGAGCATCACTCATCTCGAGATCTGAATCCGATGAATCTGAATTCGGCGAGCCGGAATCATCCACTAGGGAACCCCGCGTCGTGCTCTTCTCTTGGCCGATCTTTTTCTTTCCCTTAGGTTTCTTTGTCCGTATGCTAGCGTCAATTTCTTCCGTTCGTATTATCTCCTTGATGCTGTTGAGGGGGAATCGGGCACCATCTTGCAAGCTTGTATCGCTAGGACTTCCTCCATAAACGCATCGTTCATTCCTCCAGTACGCCAAGGGCTTCACACTAATTCGGCCACTTCTGGTAAGCATCATTCCATCGTTTGCGGGAGTTTCTCGGCGAAGGATATATAATGATCGTGGTGGGCCCGGCCTCGCCTTCACTTTCTCAATAATATTGTTCAGCTCCTTCTCCTGGCGAGAGGATAATTTCATATTGGTATCCTTGTCTCTCAATGGCTGCTTTCCTTTCAACTTTGACGAATGGGTACTGGAGTTCGAACACTCTGGCTGATTGGTACTCTGTACATTGAATTGGCGTTCGTTTGTTTTGCTAATTTTGCTTGGTATGGGAGGCGGCACAACCTTCCAATCATTTTCGACCACATCGGATTTCCTCTTCTTTCTTGAGTTGGCCTGGTTTCGTGGGACTGGGGGTTCTGATGGCTCCGGCTCAAACGTCTGTTCATCATCGAATTCCGGTGGCGGGGCTCTCAGGCCCTCGGATGTACTCTGTATTTCGTGGTTCGACATTGCCTCATTGTCGTCATCAACTGCGGGCACGAAGTCACTCCGTTCCTGAGCAATAGCTTCCACCTCTCCCATAATTTCCTTGTACGAGTCCAAAATATCGTCATCCCCAATTGAGGCCCCAATATCACTTGTAGCCTGCTCGATCTCCAATAAACTTGGTCTGGATTTGCCATTCGCATACGCCATATTGGTGGTAATATCTCTCAAGGGAGACTTTTCAGGGTTTAGGCTGCATCTTTTCGGGCGTATGGTTCGACTTGGAGTAAGTATCGGGGTATTCTCGCGATCTTCGAGGTCCTCGTACTGGGGGCCTTTTCTTACGGAAAAGATATCCATGCCGTTACTTTTCCTAGCTGTTCCACTGATCCCACTCTTCCTCGGCGAAGATGATCTTGGAGGGAGGGACGCTCCACGGGCCGACCGTCGAGATGAAAGTGCTTGGGAAGGAGTAATTCCGGGACCTGCCTGACGTTAATTTGAGTTCACCGTTCGCCGTTCGATGCCAGTATAGATGTATATAGTACAGCAATACGTTGAGATCTTGACTGTTTCTTTTCACGTACTGTCGATACCAGACATCTCCACTGACTTAGGCGACGCACTCAATTCTTCCACATTTTCCATCTCTATCATGGTCTTCAGGGGAGACGGCTTGCGCGGAGACGAGAAGATCCCGGAAATCTCTTCCATTCCGTTCACATCGAGAGGTCGATGGTCGAGAGTGACACCGGTGCGCCTACGTCCCAATTTAGTGGTCTCTTCATCATTCAATGCGCAATGGGCCCTCACCGTCCGAGCTTTCCAACAGCCGAGTAATCCACATTATCGCGCTCCCGGCGAAGAGCGGGTCGATGAGCCATGGTGAGCACAGCTGAATTGACGACGGCTTGGGTAAATCTTGATAATGGCTACCTTTCTTTTTGGGACTGGGAATTAAGAGGATTTGTGTTGGAGAGCGTTCAGTTTCGGATGTTTTTGTTGTCGAATCGCTCAGGTTGGTTTAGTGCAGCGTAGGCTAAGCAACTTCGGACATATTACCGGGGAGCATTCTGCCATTTATGGGCGTCTCCATGTACGCGTCCGGATTGGGGGACTCGCGCGTTCCTTTCAAAACTTGAAAATCCAAAATGCTGTAGGCCTCAGCTTTGCACACAATCCTCGACAAACACCCTTGGCGACCATGGAAGACGATCGCAGCACGTCGGTGGCTTTTGCTCCTCCCTCGGTCCAAGACCATCACGAGACCCTCTTATCTGGGAGATCTTATGCGCATTATAGCACAGTGCCCGAAGCCATTGTACCCAGTGAATCCTCTCAATCCAAGCCTGGTACACCGTGTGTATTGGGCGTGGATGAAGCTGGTCGCGGACCTGTGATCGGCCCTATGATTTATGGGGTCTACTACCTCCCAATTGAAATTCAGCAATCCCTGCTAGCCACGACATACCGTTTCGACGACTCCAAAGTACTAACTCCCGCCATGAGGACCAATCTGATGAAGGCTGTATGCACCAGTGACACCGACCTTTTCAAGTCGTCCGGCTGGGCTATCAAATCGCTCTCTGCCCAAGACATCAGTGCTGCAATGCTGAAGAATGGCGGGTCCTACAATCTTAATGCTCAAGCCATGGATGCATCAGTCGAATTAATCCGCGGTGTTATCGACAAGGGTGTCAATGTGAGGGAAATATATGTGGACACCATTGGGAAGCCGGCAGTTTACCAGAAAAAATTGGAACTCATTTTCCCCACGATCAAAATAACCGTGGAAAAGAAGGCTGACAGTTTGTTCCCTTGCGTCAGTGCGGCAAGCGTTGTGGCCAAAGTCACGCGAGATGTCAGCTGTGAGGCTCTCTGGAAGGCATACGCCCTGCAGGATTCCACATCATCCACCGACGAGCCTGTCACTTGGGGATCTGGATATCCATCGGATGCCAGGTGTGTGAGCTGGCTCAAGGACGCCATGGATCCCATCTGGGGCTTTGGAAATGAATGCCGATTTAGCTGGGGCACGGTCAAAGACATGCTAGAACAGAGAGGTGGCCCAGCGACAAGGATTGACTGGCCTGACGATGTTGATGACGAGAACATGAGACTTTCGCACTATTTCAGTGCAAACGGAATGGCTGGACCAAAAACGGAGAGCGATGAGTTGCGGTATTGGTTTGGAAATGGTGTGGGACAAGAAGCATTTTGACCTGGCGTTCAATCATTTTTTTCCCATGTCCAATACATATTGCCCCAGGCCCTCTTCAAGAACGCCATGAAAATGCTTTGGACAGAACCATCGAGCAGCAACTTTGCTTCATAATTTGGGTTTCATCCACAAACCTTTGATCCCTCCATCGAGGGCTGGCAGATTAGCAGGTCCGTCATAGATATCTCTCTCCACGGCTCTGGTATTTACATGCACCGGTCCAAGGTCGGTCACCCGTGCAGCACCTAATAGTCGAGTGGCTGTGGCGGTTTCATCCCGCAGGATCTCGAGTACTCTTTCAACACCTTCAATGCCTCCGGCACCGAGACCAAAGAGCGCGGCTCGACCGATCCCCACGGCTTTTGCACCGAGCGCCAATGCCTTGACGACGTCAGTACCTCTCTTAATACCTCCATCAACCACGACATCAATCTTATTGAAGACTTCGGGGCAGTATTTCCGGATCTCCAAAAGCGTGTGGATCGAGGGTGGTGCCGTGTCTGCCGCTCTACCACCGTGATTGGATAAAATAATTCCCTTGACTTGAGGCGCATGTTGTGCTGCCACATACGCGTCTTCATGGCATTGCAGGCCCTTCAAGATAATGGGCTTCTTTGTGTGTTGTTTCAGCCATGGCAGCGTTTTGGTCCAAGTCAACGTAGGATCAGTCCCAAAGAATAACGACTGCCCAATACCTCCGCCGCCCTTTAATTCCGCCCCCCCGGCATCTTTGACAGCTTGTGATGTGTCCTCGACAATAAATTTGCCTCGCTCGTCATGTTCTCTCTTCCCTGGCACAGGTGCATCGAGCGTCAGACATATAAACTTGATTGCATCCAGTCTGTTGATCCTTGCCAGCATGTCTTCTGATTTCCTCCGCTCAGTTTGAACATACAGTTGCCAGCCAAAAACCTGACCGGGTCCTGCATCCTTTACGATCTGCTCCGGTGTCATACTCGCATTGTTCGAGATCATCTGCATTGCACCGTATTTCTTGCAGGCCTGAGCTATTCCCCATTCTCCGTCCGGGTGCGCCAATCTCGCCATAGCCGCGGGTGAGACGAATACGGGTAGATCCAAATTGTAACCCAAGAACTTGGTGCTGAGATCGCAATCCTTGCAATCCACAAATACTCGCGGTCGCAGCAGGATCTGCTTGTATACAGCGTTGTTCATTTGCTTGCTCACAAGATCATCAGCAGCTGAGTAATAGTACGCCCAGGCCTTCTTAGACAGCTTCTTTGTCGCGGCAGCCTCAATCTCATCGAGGTTTAACATTGCCGCCAGAGGCAATTCAACTTCGGTGTTCGGTTGCGGTCCAACATCTTTCGCGGCCTTGACAGGTTCGGGAAGCGACTTGGGATCAATGGGTCCGATTCGCGCGGATTCAGGTAGGTTTTCTTCCAGTGTTCCAGGAGGGTGGATTGGATCGTATTCTTCGGTGGCATCTTTGCCGGCGAGTTTGAGGATGATGTTGGCACCGCCAGGATGGTCAGGGAGGAAGTTCGTGACATCCCACACGTTACCGTACAGGATTACCCAGCAGGATTCTTTGGAGGCATGCTTTTGGACTGAAATGGTGTTGCCAGTTAGCCCAACTTTCCCAGTCGATGGCGAGATGTGAGGAGCAAGACAAACTCACCTTCTGAATAGTCTATGAGCTTCGACATTTGTCTATGGGCACAAGCTGCTCTAATTGACTCCGTTGACAGATATAAACTACAGCCTCCCTCGACACAGTGCACAAACAATGGGAAATGCGAAACAAGACAAGAGAGATCGCCCACCTAAATACATCCCACGCGATTGGATCCTTGCCCAGGAGGAAGCTTTTCATTTGCCAGCCAAAGTATAAAAAGTTTCTTTGTCCCATGCCCCCTCTCTCCAACTTTCGGGAATTCTTGTAGGCGATAGATGAGGAAATTCTCGGCGTTTGAGATTGTGGCTGGTGGTTTTTTGTCGGATAGAAATCCGACCCGGTCGGGGTTTTGTATGAAGCCCTCTCAAACTTCCCGAACACATACGCAATATTGAGGTATAGTTCCGTATAGGTCAGATTGATACCGACACATGATCAGTCGATTCTCCAGCTGATTCGCATCAGGCCCAAGCCAACGTTCTGGTCGGAAGGCCTCTGTTTTTGGGAAAATACGCAGGATCCATGTGATAACAATATGTGGCGCTGGTGATTGAATGGGCAGGCTGGCTTATACCTACTCCGGAATCAACATAACGTCCACATAGGATCATTTCCTCCTTCTGACACTACTCAAGCCATATTGTGCAAGATGTGAGTCTTCCATCGAAACCAAGCAACAAACCCTCCTGCAATTACTCGCCTCCTAAAGACACCCGTACCCAACCTCAGGCTCTCCTGAACCACCGCACGCTGGGAATGCAATCAGGAGCAATTCATAATAACCTGCAAATTGTACTTACTAGGTACGGCAAATTCTCCAAGACAGCAGAGCCGACGAGCTAGTCGCTGTTCGGCTCGAGAATAGCTGTCCGCAGCTCTTCTCGCAACTTTGCTCATAGATGTCTTGTCGTTGATCAAAATGCCGGGTCGACATCGACATGGCGTGGGCTGTCGTGTCAGTTCTAGCTCCGTGCAAAGTGAATGCATCCGCTGTCAATTGACGCGACGTGGGCGTGGAAATTTTTTTCCTGTCTGGTTTCGTCCAGGCGTCAAATACTGTTGGGGATGATGAGGCCAACCCCCTATTTCGCATGATCCTATTGATTCTGATATCACAATGCTGCAGAAGAGGTCAGCAGGGCTCTGGAATCGGATCCGCAAAGATCAAACGATACCTCTGTGATCCAGTTTGTGGCAACCAATTCTGGCGAAAGCATTCTCAGTCTGCGCTTTGCTTAACTTTGGGGGCTGCCACGTCAACCACGCCATGAAACGGAGGAAATATATGACCCATTGGGGCGATGTTGAAAACCGGTTCCAGCTCCTCTATAGTGGCAGGCCGGAAGTCTTCGACGACGAGAGGTTGAAATCCTCTATCCGCGAACATGTAACTTGTTACTGCAGCAGCCCAAGCTGAGATCATAACTTTGCCCCATGTACGCCTCCGAGCCGAGGACGGAGAGAATACTTCGTGATCCGGTCGTGGATCAGTGGTTCCAGTCGAACGATGACCACCTTTCGAAGAGTACAGCTGGTACGCAACCTGCCATGATTTTGCTGCCAGGGGGTCAAGAATGTTGAAAAAAATATCCGTCTGCTGCGGGATTGTTGTAGTTGTCTCTGAACCTAGTGAAGTGACATCCCATCCTCAAGGTTCTATAGATAGTCGGGCGAGCTTTGATACGGACACGTAGAGCATTGACGCACTCATCGATAAAGGGCACGGACAACTAGAAACAGAGAATTGAAACAACCCAATGTTGAGGTGTCTACGAGCGAGAGCTCGTGGCCCGCTAGAGAACTGGCGAAATATTACAGGTAGTCTGCAGCAATGAGACATGAAGACTTCTATTACATTCTTATGCCCATGTGTTCTTAGCTCTTCGCTGCAGATCAAACACCATCTCACTTCTCATTCTTCGCGGTTCCGGAGATAGTAAGCCTTCTAGCGAGGTACAGCAAAGGAAAGGATTGGCTTGTTAGAAACAAATATGGTCATTTCCCAAAGCTCCTCCCTGTTTCAAGGTGGACGGTCTGTGATACCGAGGTGTCAAATATTGCATTCCACCATTTGGGAATAAGGAATGTTGAATGATCTGCTGATCATGCGTTCCTTGACGGAAGCGGGAGCACTACTAAACAGGCCATGGAGAATCACAGGGTCTCTGGACCTCTTCTAGGTCTCGAGGATGAGTCCGAAATACATGTGCTGGTGCCTTGGTACCATACAGTCTGTGAGGTCATGAAGAGCACAATGGCTAGCAAGAGGTACAGAGTGAAGATGACTGGCTGTTGCGGAGGTAGAGACTTATAATGCGATTCTAACAGTGTGAAGAAAGTAGGCGTTTATTTGATGCTGGCGGTTCTCCTCGAGCTGAGCCATGTCGGAGGCGAGTGTCTACTTTGCTGCTCCTTTTACCACCTCCCCTGAATGACGAATGCAGGTTGTTGGCAAACTCAATTTATTCAGAACAGATTGACGACTAAAGGAGACAATCCAAAGGGACGACTTCGTCAATGACTTGCATGTCTCCATATTAGGGCCGTGCTTTTCATCGTAATGGAACGGCCCATCACCCTGGACCGGGGCTACTGGTCAACCTAAAATCTGGGAAAGGATATCCCAGCATCATGTTCCATTGGTTGAGCGGGGACTTTCCAAAGCCGAAGATGGCGGTGAGGCCCTGGAAATTTGGCTTCGCCGAAGGACAGCAGTTGAGTACAGGGGTAGAGATGGGGCAAGCGTTTACAAATGATGTCAAGATCGATTCGAGAATATCGTTGTAGAAGAACACCTGGGAGAATCGGGGGGGGGCTTTTTAGATTGGTTGATCGAAATCATATTAGCTTGGTATATCTGAAGGATCGAGGCTGAAGGATTGAGACTGACGTGACTATACGGTAGCGACAGGTAGAGAAGGTGAATCTGTGTCCCAGACAACGAAGTGCGTTAGATTGTTGTCATTTGGCCCTGAGTCAACATGGTTAACCCATCCTTCCCTGACCATGAATTACAAAGGTACACCCCATCTTGGGGCGTTGATGATGATGCCCATTAAAATTCCTGAAATGAGACCGGTTACGGGCAAAGTAATGAACCAACCGAAGTAGATCCACGCCACCATGCGCCAATTGATGGTCCTCCAGGTACCAGAGCATAGACCAACGCCGACAGTGGCACCGGAGATACATTGAGTGGTCGAAATGGGAAGCTCTGAAACAATCGTTAGCCTGCAGCTGCGTGAAGACTAACCTGTATCGTGAAGATATGGGAGATGTTTTGAAGAATGGGTCGAACGAGGGGAATTACTTACTAAGTCTCGTAGCCAATATGACGGTGGTGGCAGAGCCCAATTCCATCGAGAAGCCTCGAGATGGAGAGTGGAGAGTAATGCGGTTACCAAGATTGCGCATAATGTTGTAGCCATAGGTCCAGAGGCCAATGACAATAGCAGCGCCTCCGAAAGCCCTGGCACAAGAAGTTAGAGATGTTGTTCAAGACCTCTGAGACTTGGAACCTTACAAAATCCAATAAGGGACAGGACTCTTGGAGTCCGCTTCGTTCGTGGACCAGATGTGATAGATGCTGGCATAAGGACCAATAGCGCTTGACATCTAATCAGCAAAAAATGTTCGAGTCAACTGTTGAAAAGGGATAGACTCACTTGGAGACATCGTTGGCACCATGGGTGAATGAAGCTGTGGCAGCCGTCATGACTTGCAGGAATGTGTACATGTATTCCGCTCGGTTGTCATAGTGCTTACCATGTGCGTGGATGGTTTCGATATCGCCGGTCAAGATGTTGCGCTTCTTCTGCAGGTTGAGAATGTCCTTCTCAACGCCATGGAAAAAAACCCTCTTGAACTGCCAGAATAGAACGGCTGGGCTGAAGTTGGGCCCTTCTGGTCGAGGACCAACGATGGAGGAGTGTGGAACGGGGGAAGCAGCGGGGGGAGCAGCAACAACATCGCTGTCAGAGTGAATGACATCCTCGGACGAATTGAGGCCCCTTTCTTTAGCCGCGGCTCCGTCGGCCTCGACATCTTTGACCTTTTGGTCCACGGCAGCGCGGTGAGCTCGGAGCTCTTCCATGGTCATATGGCCGGCATAATAATCTTGAACAAACTGGTAGCCCTCCGGTGGCGGAGGAACCTCGCCTCTACGAAGGAGGATTGGTCCCAAGGGTATGTGCCAATATCTCAATTGCCAGTCATTCTTAAACATGATTCGGTAGAGCCAAGGTAGGAAGAAAATGGTGACCAGCAGGGCGACTGCGCCACCAACACCAAAAATGATGCCAATTGTTTCGCTGTCGCTGATGTCGATTCTAGAAGAACCACCCTTCCACACGATAAGCACTATAGGGTGATTAGTAGCGCACACGAAAGTGCCGGTCTGCAAGAAGACTCACTGGTGAGAAGGGCGGCTGTGATCCCAAAATAGATTGGAATGCTCACAAACGCTTTCGCAACAGGGTTGTTGCGAAGCATGACTCCATACTTTGTGATCAGGAAGATGACGGCACCAAAACCTCCAGAGATGAGAGGAGCGAACACCCAGGCAAGAAAGACCTGGACGACCCCGGAGTTGACATCTCCTCCCCACCATTGGATACCATCAGCGCCCACCGCGGCAATACCCATTCCGATGACCCCTCCCATTATCGAGTGCGTCGTTGAAACCGGCATGCCAAATCTCGTTGCTATCGTCAGGTAGGTGGAGGATGCCACAACGGCGCACACCATGCCCAACATCAACAGAGCCGCGTTATCTCCGAAAAGATCAACGTCAATGACCTTAGTTCTTATCGTGTCGGCCACTCGAGCGCCAACCGCGATGGAACCACAGAACTCCATGACTGAAGCGATGAGCATGGCTTGGAGATATGTTAAAGACCGGGAGGAAACCGATGTCGCAAAGGAGTTGGCCACATCGTTGGCACCGATGTTCCAGGCATCGAGGAAGGCAAACATTGTGCCCAGGGCAAAGAGGTAGTCGAATTGGTGGAGATACATCTTGTATGAAGAGCGCGTTCGCTGGGACCTAGACTAAAAATCTGGGTTGGCGAATTGTTGTGGATGGGAAAGGGCATCCCGAGTCTTTTATGCTCGGGTCATGGCGACCGTTTTTGCCAGAACGGCATGGCTGGAGCCGCGTAGTCAATATTAGAGGGGACGCCCGACTGATCAGAGATGAGAACAAGTTTTGATCCCCACGAGCCTTCTCTCGACCCCTGCGATGGCACGCTGGAAGTCATGCAAAAGACGTTCGAGAATGAACGCAATCAAGCCAGGCAAACACACTGCCAAGAACGTCGAACGAGAACAACTGGCTCCGCTGGAGAGTTCTTGGCCGGGGGAAGATGTGATTTGATTCGCTAGGCGCGAAGAGTGGTTTGACAAGCCGGCCCGCCATTTAACAAAATGGTTTGCCAAAAGGTGTCGCCTCTTGGCACTGTAGTGAAAGGGGGATCCGCTGCCAAGAATGCCAAGAATGCCAATATCGGAGAGCCTAACAGAGGAAGCTTGAGCTAATCACCGCCACGCATCGATGCACGTGGGCGTTGGGGGATCGGGAATGCCTTCTTCAATGGGGCAAAGTAGCAAGAGCAGGCCACCACAGACAAAATATCGCCTTTGCCCGTACCAACGACCTTGGGTCGAATGCGACACTGGCATGGCATGCTACCTCCCTCGGCACTCGTAATCTCTGCGCAGCATACAACCTGGGGTCCGGCGCTTGGCTCTGAGGTTTCCAGAACCACTGGTATTGCTAATTTCTTTGCATGTGTGAACAGCTCGAATCGGTGGCCAAGGCAACTCACGCGGGAATCATGCCAAAATCTCTCCTCTCTCAGGCCACTTCAGGACATAATATGTCTTCCATCAGCATGGGACTGCCAAAAACAAGGGAAGAAGAGAGGGGTATCAGTCAAGCCAGCACCACGATTTCGCTGACGGCCCCGATTGGATTGAGGGACGTCCAGCCTGCACATTAGGTGGCTGCCTTCCCCAGTGTAGCTTGCAGGCAGAGATATGCTCCTGGTAAACCGGGAAACCCGATCAATTCGGTTCGATCTCCAACGAATTTCTTTTGCTGACTTGCAACACGACAGCCGCTCTCCTCGGAATAAGCAATTAAAGACAAGCTCTGAATTTTGAGACTAGCCCAAAACTTCCTCACTTGATGTTGTTTTCGTGGAGCCGATGCAAAGTCCAATGGAGTCAATGGTCATTGACACACCCTAGGCGCTGTCCTGACGATTTGAGCTTATCGGTGCTCTGTAAAAGACGCTCCCAAGATCATCGAGGGTCCACCAATATCTTGGATTCGGGACCGGATCCCGAACTACTTGGCCCCCCTTTTGGCTCATGCGTGGAGAGTATCATTGGGTGGTACGAAATTCCCTTGTTCTAGAAGCCTTCCTCAACGGCATTCCGAAGCTGACATAATTGGCCGAAACAGACTCGTCTTGTTGCCACAAATTTGCACTTGATGAAATAAGTTAGTTGATTCGTTTTACGTCGAGCCAACCAGATCACATGTACCGTTACTTAAATGGCGGGCAAGCCGGGCCCGTGGTCGTGCCCACCGTACCCAGAGAATCTGAGACATATCTTTGCAGTCCTGCGTAAGAACACAAATAGTTCTGTACCAAAATGACGGGGAAGCAGCCAGATGTAAAAACATGAATAAAGATAACTCGGATGGTCCTTCTCGAAAGAGATTAAAGAGACAACAAGTTGCTGGTGCCGATACTTTTATTTTGTGCTGATGTGAGACATATGGCGATTACGCAGTAACATGAGATCGACGCCGTTGAGTCTAGGCAGCGATGGATCATGCATTCTCAAAAGAAGGGGGTTCTAGAAAATTACTGCGTTGGGATGGACCGTAGGGTCATGATAAGCTTCGATGATCAGGGATGATCCACAAGGCCCCCAAAAAGAAAACCTTGGGGCTAAAGCTTTTGAATACGAGTTTTCGGCAAAACCTGCCTTTCCTTTGAACAAATTCCCGGGAGCTTTGCTCCACGAGATCATCACGTGCATTCAGAACGGGGCGTTTGTCAAAAGCAATCCCGCTTCTCCAAAGTCCCACCCATGTGAACTTCAACTCCAGTGGACACGTTCGCTTGCAAGATCAAAAGATGTTCACAGTAGGCTCCACACTCCTTTCGTCGTCTTCTAGGGCCCAATCTCACTGACCATGTGCCTCAGTCCCGTCACCCTGAAGACCGATTTCGTCTGCGTATGCACCGGGCCCGGTCTGTGGACTTGACAAATGAAGAACTCGTCGAAGTCCGAGCCGCACAACGAACCTTTGAAGGCGCCTACATCCGGACTTCCCTATCACAGTTCTCCTTCGCTCTCGTGGTTCTTAAAATCTTCACGTCCGAATTCTACTCCATCGGCGCGTTATTTGCCGTATACGGTGCCGGCGTTCTGCTTGTGAGCGCCTACAGGCGGCAGCAGGGGAATAAGCAATTCTTCAATGAGGTGGGGGACGACGGCCTAGGGAGGAAGAGATTCAGAACTAGTGGGAATGTGGTGGTTGTACTGACGGCATTGAGTATCGCTGCATATGTTAGCTTATTGGTTTTAACCTTGAGATTGGAGGCTTGATGAGGATTCCATCGACTCATGGGTATTTAATTAAAGAGATGTACATTGGCCTCCTCGAGCTGACCCTTCTCGCACCGATTCAATGTCAGGAAGAACAAACACGTCGACGATCAAGGCACTCTCGCACAACGCCTCTACACCTTCTGTCGTCTAATACTGAATAGCGAGAGACTACAACCACTTCTCGCAAGCCGTTTCTTCGTGATATCTGGTTACCCAAATTTCTGAAATATGGATACATCTAGCCGACGAATCAATTCAAGTAGAAGGCAACGGACAAACGAAGAAGCCTAGGCCGGTGGCACGGTATTATCCGACCAAAACTTCTCTCGCAGGGATGGCTATTTGTTTGATCTATCTTATTGCGCCGATGGTTGATCAGCAGACAATGCAACAAGCTCAGTTAGCAGCCAACGGAAGGCAAACCCGATGACAATGAAGGGAACATGGGGGCTTTTATACCTTTCGTTATCCAAGAAGATGCAACAGTCGCCTCCTTATGTTCATTGTGACGCCCAGCAGCCCGTAGATCCCAACCAGCATCGAACCAGACTCCAGAAGTCGATTGGATTGTCCTCTTCTCGACTTGGACTTGGAAACAGTCACACAGTGAACACGTGATTGAGCGAACGATGATTCAGATACCATCCTTATTTTTGGAGGCCAAGCAAAGCAGTGCGAATGCCATTTTCCCGGATTTCAAGGAGAAAGTGCGGCTGAAATGTAGCACTGGTAGAGGAGATAGGCGTCGACGCAGATCAAAAATCCGGGTCCATCGCCCGCAAGTGTGTGTTTTGCTGGCCTAGTACCAGGATAGATGGATGCTATCAGCAAACGCAAGAATAAATGATATTCAGCCATGACCGTCATACCCAACTTGGCCGAATGGGCCATGGCTGCTGTACCAGGCGTCCAACATGATTCCAAAACCGAGGGCATAAGGGGGTTGGTGGCTCGATGCTGGTCTTTTTGTCAGTTGTATTCATCATCAGTATTCTCCTCCATGGCCTGTTCCATGGCCTCAAACGCTTGGGCCGTCTCATCGTCAAGGTCTTCATGAACGGCACCAGTATTGTCATTGTCGTTGTCTCCACCCCCTGCGTCTCGATTCTCATCAGCATCATCAATACCTTTACCCCGCATGGCCCCTTCCACAGCCAGCCGATCAGCCGCGATATTGCCTACATCGTCCTTGTGTCCTTTGACCCAGACGAAATACGTCGCCTTGTTGAGCTGTTCTCTCTCCTCGATCCGGTGTCGGATTTCCACGATCAAGTCCTTGTTCTCAACCGGTTTCCCTTTGGCATTGACCCAGCCGTTTTTCCGCCAGGTTCGATACCAATTTGTCACACAATCAATGGCGTATTTGCTGTCAGTGTAAATGGTGACTTCTCTGTGTCGCGGTGTAATGTCTAACGCACGTAGAATGGCCGTCAATTCGGCCCGCTGGTTGGTTTGTTTGCTGCCTTTGAGAGCCTCGGAAACGTTTCTGTAACGCCAATTGGTTAGCCTTTCTTTTTCTCGATCCATTTCATGTCCTTTCCGTCGCCGTTTCGACCCGGGTACACCGTCGGTGGGTTCGGGGCTTTGCCGTCGCGCTCCCCAGTCGATGGTATATACCAGATGAGGAGCGGACGGAGGTAGAGAGGTAGAGGTACGGGTGGATTTAGGCTTGGACTTGGATCTGGGTTGGGGTGCGGATTCATCATACTTTGGGTCTTGTGGTCCGAAAAAAACCCCTACTCCTGCCCTTGCACCGGCTTGACCATTTCGAAGACTTGATCCGTCAGTGTAAATGCGAAGCATTCCTGGCGGATCCCGTTCTTTGGCCATCATTTTGGTTTTATTCCTTTCGTCTTCTGTTCGATCGACGATAGTCCCATCCGCAGCGAGTTTGAGATTCGGATCGTACCCATCCTCTGCCCCGGGCGGAAGAGGTCTCCGACCAATTTCATAAGGATTGCCGTCTTTGTCTAGAGGTGCATAGGTACCATTCAACTGCAAACCCGGAGCCGAGTTGCGCACAATCAAGCGACGAATCTCTTCCTCCGGACTGATGATGGTGGACGAGTCCGCCAGATGAGCCTTCTTTCCTGCGGCCACAAAAGCTTCTGCTTCTGCTCGGGTGTTGAATTTCTTGTGTTTAGGTTTCCTGATTCCACGAATCTGAGCTTGAGCTTGTGTCCAGTCTGTGTAGACTCCAGGGACTCTTCCATTTTGAACTGCATAGAACTTTTCGTCTCCGGTGGGATTGGTCGAGGGCTTACCCTCCATAAATGCCTGCGCCTCGTGGAGGGATTGGAATGCCTTGACTGTGAACATGTCAGTTATAACTTGATGCGGTCTTCGGATTCATATACCCCATACACACAGCTCCCTTGTGCCCTTTCACTTGGCTGAGACAATCAGCCCATGTTTCGTAGATTCCTGGTTTCTTCCCTTGCCTCACGGCATAGAATTTGTTCTCGACTGTTCTTTTTCTTTTCAATCCGGCTGCGGTACTTGTATTGGTGAGACCGGGACTTGCACGGGGAGCATCGTTGGTCCGGGGAGGTAGAGAAGGTTGCGCCATGAATGGTCGGGGAAAGAGGAGGAAAACGCGAGCAAATCTTCGAAGGCGCCACCGGAGGATGGAGGATTCGTAGGGGATTGTGCCCAGGGTAAGAGTTCGATGATCGATCAAGACGGGCGTCAGCGTTGGAAAACGACGTTCTCCCAGAGCATGTGACCTTTCGGACGCGGTGAATACTGGGTTAGCGACCTCAAAAAGGATTCACCAGAATGGGCAATTCATTTGAGAGAAAGGAGTGTGGTGAAAGAGAAAGATTCGCATACGGTGAGCTTTTGCCCTTGACTTTGCAGGATAAGGGACAAGGGAAGGCGGGACGTGGCAGAAAAAATGGCTGCGGAACCCGGATCCTGCGCGCGGGGTAAAAAGTTTGCCTTCTTGCGTTGTGATGTAGAGTGATTGAGGGAATGTAGCAGACGAGGATCAATTCAAAGGTGTGCGAAGCTGAATGGAACATTGGAAGGAATCACGACTGTTTTGACCAGGAGCGGGGACGAAAGCGGAGCCCGTCGTCGAAGTCATAGTAGACCTGGTTGACCCTTGGATTTGAACACTATCTATTCGCTGCCTCTCTATACCAGTAAATGAGATCCGAGGCCAAGGCAAATTGTTAAACTCAACTATTCAGGGGGGTACACTGATGGCCGTATAGCCATTTGTTTTTCTCAACTATCAATTCTCGACGTTCCTGTGTACTTTCCTAGTTGTTTTTGACACTCGTCTCAACCATCACCGATTCCTCTGCTTTCTGTTCGTCATACTTATTCAATTTCGCCAGCTGCTCCACAGGTGTTTGGGCACCCACTGGCGGGGTTTCAATGAGATGGACGGGTCGACTTGGTTCTGCGGGACTTTCCAATCCACTGTCCGGTCGCTCAAGAGGTTGCAGTGGTCCTCTAATTCTGAACGCCCCCGTGCTCGGTTGGGGCTCATTCTTGCTGTTCTTCCTCCGGCGTACATGATTGTTATGCTTATGCCAAGGGCGAAAATAAAAGTGTGGTTGGTCATCCTCTCTCTCACTACTGAGCGCTTGAGACATGGTCCTTGGAAGATGGTAGCCTAGCTTACCCAATGGCACTGACAGGCCATGAACAACGATGCTGCAAATGGCCAAAAACCAGACGACCACTTTCATAACATCTTCCAGCCGAGCTGCATCTTCTCTCATCCCCCCGTCCACGGTGATTTGACGGAGGAAGTCCAGACTGACATAAAGATAAAAGATGGCCGAAACCCCGATCGGACCAAAAAACCCCACAAATGCCGCTTGTTGAAATTCTTCGATCTGGGGGATTTTCTTGTGGATGGCAAAGACTAGGGGAAGCCGGCGGAACAGTAAAATCAGGATTCCAAGAAACATCAAACGATAGATGGGGATAACACCGTTGGATCGGAAGGATGCCCAGGGACAGATAGCACCGTACCAGAGGAAAACTGAGATGTTGAGTAACATGTCGATGGTGGGTTGAAGGGAGTCGTCTTGAGTCTCTAAACGGAACCTTAACCAGTTCAGCGGAAGAGAAGTTTATGCTGTTTTCTGAGCCAAACTTACCAGTCATCCCAGGTGAAAACATTCCCAGCCACGAAACAAGCCAGAACGTCGTCGGATCCGATCATGCCACATGTCCCCGTGATAAAAAGCGCCAGAGTGATGGCGAAGACGAGAAAACTCTCTCGGTCGACGAATTTCCTTTCCTCGGCGTAGTGCAAGAGTTCCTTGGCCAACCAACCCACGGTAATCCCGTACGCAACGCTCAGCAAAATGGTGTACCCCCAGGTTTCTCCAAACCAATATCCCATTGCCCTGCTAGCTCCTCCTGATGGGTCAGCCCCTCCTTCCTGAGTATATTTAATCAAATACAGGGCAAGGAAGAGAAAAGGATAGCCCAGGCCATCATTGGCGCCGGATTCGGCAATGATGATTTTCTGCAAGGGTTTGGGAATGTTGGTGTCGGCAAATTTGCCTTTGACGATGGAGTTGGACAAGACGGGGTCGGTGGGCGTGACACAGGCACCACAAGCAAGGGCGTGTAAGATGTGCAGATTCGGGACCATGGCCCACACCAGCATACTGGCGCATAGCCACATGGCGGTCATGCCTGGTCCGAGGAGAAGAGCGAGGGATTTCCATTCCGTATACAAGTACCTACTAGGCAATTGGACACCCGCGAGGACTAGTTGGACGCCCAGGACAAGGCGAGAGAAATACAGAGTGATGGTGTCGAGATTCTCTTCTATGCCGCCGGCGTACTCGAGTGGTTTGATGAAGTTTGTGGCATGGGGAGAGAAAATGACTCCAAACACCGTGGAAATCAAGGCCTCGGAAAGATAGAACCGCTCCTTGCACAAATAACTTACCAGGCCAAACAGGGTGATGAAGCCACCAAGAACAGCACAGACGATATTGAAATTGGAGATGATCAGAGTCGGCATGGCGAGTTCGGCTCGGAGAGATGGGATTGAATTCAAGTTGGACTCCTCAGCGAGGCTGTCACGCGAGGCTTCTCCCCAAAGTATCTGACCTTTCCCTCTGCCACGTTAAAAGGTTGAGCCAAGAAAGCTTCCCGTATCTTGGGAAGGAGTTAAGCCGAGTCTTGAATGATCTTGCGTAGTCTTATGTGGTCTTGGAAATGTCTTGGAATAGAGTCTTGGAATGGATGGATGATGGTGGTGAGACGGCTCCGCTTGGTGACTTAATCCAAGAAAAGTAGATGGAGATTGCAAGGGACGGGTAGAAGCAGGTTGGTTTATTGTCTGCAAGATGCTGTCGGATCGCTGCCCGCCTCAATAAGTGTTATTGGCATAGGGTGCGTAGAGTACGGTGTTGAAGTGTAGAAGAGGTTGAGCACGCAAGGGTTATCATAGGAACACGCGAAGAGAGAATCATTTGTCCTTGTCGAGAGGCCAGCAAGGGACGCAAAAAAAATGGTAGACTCGCTTGAGAAGGGGGGGATGAAGGGATGGATAACTGAAAGGCGTCCTTGGTTGCAATGTCATCAACCGGATAGACGGCAAGGAAAAAATTTCCATCCAAGCCTCGTAGTCCGGCAAAGGCATCACGGTAGTGCGATATGATTGTCTCGACTGGCCGGAGCCATGCATGCGAGGCAAACTACAGAGATACCACGAAGACTGGACTGCAGTACGGAATCTCGTGCGACATAACAGCTGGATGGAGTGTACGTTACTGTTGTTATGATCTACGAGGCAACTCTTTATTTATTCGCCCTCGTAGTCGATTATTCTGTGCTGGGTGCTGACGAATCCCATGATGCAGCACAGCCTGTCGGTATGAGTGGGATTTAGGATGATTTGTGCCTCTCTTTCTAACATCCACCCATCACCTGCCCGTCTTCAGAGTGATCTCTTTTCTCATGCGCCCAGCTCTAAGCCATAAAATCAATCCTCCCCCCAAATTCCACCTCGTACCCAAAAAAAAAAAAAAAAACACAGACCACCAGCAATATTGACCTGGGGATCCTCGTTCTGTCTTTGTCTTCCAGCAACGCCAGCGCTAAATCGGTCAAAGAGCCCCCATAATATCCTACAGTGTGTCGGGAGCGAGAAACCACAAACAATCTTTCTCAAATCACCAGTCCACCCACGAGTTGATCCCTGACGTGACATCAGGACGCTGTTGCCGGCAACAATCTTGCCAGTCAAATCCAGAGGTGTTAGAGTTCAGTCGTAGAAAGGCCGAATATATGTGTCAGAGGGGGGACGAAATAGCAAAAACATTGATATTACGAAGCCCGCGTAATCATATGTCCACATCAACTTAAATATATACAGCAAGACTGCAACGAATCCGAAAAGGCCAAATCAGGGGTATCATGAAAGATAGAAGCGACAAAAATAGAAACAACAGAAACAATTTAGGCTTGTGGGTCAGTCGCTCGCCTCATCCGATAGTCAGGCTCGTATCGAAATTCATCCGTGGCAGGATCCCATCGGTACGCTTTGAATTCGACACCATAAGGTCTCTGTTCAAACATGTCAGCCGCAATTGAACTCCAACATCGATATCAGTCCTTACCGGTTCGAGCACATATGCCACTCCCAATGGGACGTCGAGGTCGCTAATGTCTTCTTGCTTGAGACCCATGAAGTAGGCCAGTAGAACCCGGGAGATGCTTCGGTGTCCAATGATCAGCACGTGGTCCGTCATTCGTTCAATCTCCAGAATCACTTTGCCCAGTCGATTGATGATGTCGAGATATCCCTCTCCTCCGGGACCAGGGTATCGATAGTGCAGTTTGTCGCGTTTGCGAAGTTCGTATTCTTGACGGAATTTATCCCGGATCTCGGCGTACGTCATGCCTTCCATTGACCCGGCATTTAATTCATCCAACATGCGCATCTGTTTCAGATCATAGTCGTCTTCGTTGAAAAATTGACCTGTCTCGATGCTCCGCTTCAGCATGCTTGTCCATACGCAGAAATTTCGTTCTTGCAGAGTCTGGGCCGTGCATTCAGGATTCGGAGGCGTCGTGTCGCCCGGAAGGGGGGGAAAGTGGCTATTCGCCTGTTTCTCTGCCTGGTACGCCTCCCAGGCTTTCCATTGTTCTCCGATGAACTTGCTCAGGGCTTGAGCATATCTAACTCCATTTGGACTCAAGGAACTGTCTCCTCCGATTTTTCCATTGACATTGTCCACCGATTCACCATGCCGAGTAATCCAGATTTGTCGGGGCGCCAGGTTGAAATTCATCAAATAGGTGACGGTCTGAATTGACAAAAACCCCCTGACTTGGTGACTGACCATCTTTCGCCCGACGTCGATCATGGAACAGTACGCCATATTGTGCTCTTCTTCGAATTCGTCAAGTTGCTGGTACGACTTTTCGTACTGTCGCACACGCTGCTGAAAATCCTGAAGTGCGGCCACGGGATCTTTTCCTTTGTAATCGGGGCCTGACAACTTCAGTCGCATATTTGCTTCGAGTAAATTCCGATCTTGGCATCGAGATTCGAGGAAGAGCACGTTGATGTTCTCGTCGCGCTCCCGGATATGTTTGATCAGGGACATCCGTCGTTCTCGCGTATGGTTGGTCGCATCCAATATTCCGACAGATCCGCCATCTTCCAATACGTACTTCAGTAATTCATCCAGGGCTTCATGTGCTACTTGCTCTCTCAATTGCTTGCCCCTGAGATTTTGGGGGTCGAAAAACTGTGCGGACTGGTCCATGGGCTCGGGCGCCGGCAGCCGAATCGGCTCCAGCTTGTCTCCAGATCTGGCGCTGCCGTTCATTTGAAGCGGGCTGATGGGAGAAGCGGAGGTGATTTCACCGTTGACGAGAATCTCGGTCTTGATCGCAGGTGGTGGGAGAAGCTCGCCATGGTCGACGACCGTCTGCGAGCCGGTGGCGGTTGAATTCATCTGGCGGACTGATTCTCGGAGGGCCGCGTGTGTGTGATCAGGAATAGGCGGTCCTACACCGGCAGCCACCCGTCGCCGGTCTCCAACGTTGAAGATTCTGGTCGGATGTTGAAGCCAGTTCAAATATCGGGCAATCTTCTTAACAATATAACTCTTTCCTCTTGCGGGCAAACCCACCATTATGATGATGAGTTTGGCGGCAACGTCTCGTTCTGATATGCGTCCATCAGGTGAAACTTTTGACCGAGTTAGTCCAGGAATGTCGAGGGTAGTGGCACGGATTTTGGGAGTGGCCGGCCCAGATGCACTGGCGCTGCCACGGGCGATGCTGGACATGGCTAGTCAGTATTTTTCTAGAAGTCGACAGAATTGACGGTTCTCGCTCACATTTGAGGACTTGTGGGGGCACTGGGAAAAGGCGTATCTGTCAAAGCGTTTCCCATCGAGGACGGCGGATGGGATGCAAGTTTGTTGGGGGAGAAGGAGGCCTGTGCTCTTCCGAATGCAGATTTGGGAGGAGGCATGAGGCCGGTATGATACGCGACATGATTGAGAGAGGACTCGACTTCCGAATTGGGAGAGGAAGAAGCGTTTGTCATGATGGCGAGGCGAGCAAGATTAGAGTATCGCTCACTGAAACGAGGATGGAGGGTGGGAGTGAGAGTTGGACTCGGTGACGGCGAGGGCTGTCTTGATCCTTCCAACAGAGACATTCAGTATGAATACAGGAAAACAAGAACCAGGAGATCCCTGGGACAAGACCCAGAAAGGAGGTTTTAAAAAAACAGAATCAAAGTGAGGCAGTGAGAGGGTAAGAAAAATGGCTGAATACGCCGCCGGGTTTTTGAGTTAGAGTCTGTCAGAGGTTGACTCAAAGCACCACGGACCAAAACAACAATTGATCAACTCACTGCCTAACTGTTTGTGCTACTGTTTATGCCTCTGCGTCTTTCCTCCTCTTCAAAATTCCGTCTTTTGTGTAGTCCTCGGCCGCTGTTCCCACGGCACCAGCTGCGTCTTTCTGTTGCGGGCAAAGCCCCAGGTGGTCAAATCGATAAAAGAGGTCCTACCACCCCCGGTCAAAGTGGCACCGATTGGAAAGATAACCTTGCAGCTTTGTTGATGGTCTAGTGCGAAGAGGCGTCGAAGGAGCAATTGAGGATCCAACACGTTTTTCCTACCACTGGTGGGATGATGGCCGATGGATGACTGAGATAAAGTTACTATGTAGAAGAAGGGATGAGTCCAAGAAGAAACTACAGCGGAAGGCAAAATGCTCCTGGCCGCCAGGAACTGACGACAAGGGAGAGCGGCTCGTGTTAGGCAACCCGGCTTTGAATATTTCTGTATAGCGTAGACGAACCCCAGACACCGATGAATCAATAGTGACGGATGTCCAAGGCGCAGTCATATTTTCAGGCCGCCTTGGGGTTAAACAATCCTTCAAGGCTGCCCGGTTCATCAGCCCGGATTTCCGGCTGAAGCACCCCCACTGATATGCAACATCAACATTGGGCAGCTCCAGTGGCATGTTCGCTCCATACAGCTTGGCCCGGAGACCACCAATAACCGGAAGGCTAATAAACACGCGGCTCGCCTTCTAGCCGCCATTCACTGCAGGGGATCCGTCCAAGTATCCCGCCCAAAGGTCGCAAGCCTCGGGTACCCACATCCGTAATGCCACTCATTAGACTACTGGGGCGCCTATAACTCCACCAACGGTTTTATGCTCGAGAGATATCACGCTCATCACAGAAATGCCTCATCCATAGGTCATGAGCCTCTTTTTCGTTCACGTTGACGGGGACGGCTCGTCTTGATGCTCTTTCGCCTCTCTTTGCTTCTGCTGCCTGCTCATCGCTGCTCGAGCGATGATCTCTCGTCGACTCAAGCCCGCCTCACTCTCGCCATGTTTCCCTCTCCCCAGGACAAAGTCTCCTCCTGTCCAACCTCCGTGGTCTGCGTGTTCACTAGCATCGTATGTGTCATTAGGATTATAGAATTCCTCGTTGGACAGACGATGCCCGCCATGAAGCGTGTCGTTTCGCTCCACCTCTTGCTCAATTTCTCTTGTCAAATTCCAGAAATTCCGGTCGTGTTCACCCCAGACGTTGTGGGAAAGTTCGTGGCAAAGGGTCTTCCGGATAACCTTGTAATCTCTATACCCGTCGTATCGGTCCGTCCGCAGTCTTAATTCAATCACTTCTCCTCTATTTCGATTCAAGCCCAATGTCTTGGATTCGTGCGTCGTATGCTCCGCCGGGTTCATTTCTGTCAGGAGACCAACACTGAATTTATGTTTGCGCATCGAAGCCTTGATTCCTGGGTCGTTGGCTAATCTTTCCAGATATCGTCTGCTCTTTTCAGGATTGGGAAGATATGGCAGGGGCTCAATCGCACGAAACGTGTACGTGCTCTCTTCTTGGATCTTCTTCCAATCTCGCGTCTTGTTGGCTTTAACCGGCTTGAAGCTGCTTGGTCGCGTCGCTCTTCGACTTGCACCGCCCATTTCGTCCATCTTCTTGACTTCGGCATTTGGGGTTCCTATCAATTTGATCCGCGTAGTAGGAGTGAGAAAGTCATCGAGTCTGCGATCGGCGAAGGGGTATTTGGTCAAGCCTGGTTTGGGGAGAAAGAACAAGGACACTCGCTCGACATCGGCACCAATACTGTCCGCGCATCTGGATGCCAAATCATGGATTGTTTCATCCGCGACGTCCTCAAACTCGAGGGTTTCATCCCGATATTGAATCTTCATTGAAGGCTCGTGAACGTCGGGGACCGGTGATGAGTGAAGTTGGGTCTTCGTGGTGCGCGGCGTACTGTATGGATGTGAACTTTTGAGGGACGAAGAAATTAAAGCATTAAAGGCTGGCTTGCAACACTAACTGGTGAAAGAACATGTTGTGAGGAATCGCGCACTCACCGTGTATTCGCCTTCTGTGCAATTCGAACATGTGCTTCGATATTAGTCAGCTAGCGAAAGTCGCCAGCGGCGCAGGCAACGCAAGATATGACTTAGAAGCTCCTTTCCCAGATTCTTGGGTAGCGTCGCCACCTCTAACTACGCCGACATTGATTGGCTAACGTAACCGGGGGGGGGGGGGGGGGGGGGGCCGGGGGGGAGGCCGCCGGCTAATGCACATCCTGACCGCGCGCTTTTACATACCCCGGAGACTGCCCGGCCCTCAACAATGTAAGATCAATCAATCTGTTGCCGTCACCGCGCTTGTTGTCTGTTGGCTGAACAAATGGAATGGACATACGCCTTCCCGCGTTCATTGGTGAGACCATTCTCACTTCCGTTGTCAATTGTAAGGGCTGTCTCGAATGGAACCTTGAGTTCAACACGAATCCCTATTCAAACCATGAGCCGGATGGTGTACATTCGTCTCCACTGGTCGGACTCCCTATGCCATGGTTGTATATGTGATACCGTGTTCCAGGTTTCCGGTTTGTGCGCCAACTCGTTGACAACCGCTTCTCCAACGTTTTAATTGAGAGGTTCAAGGTCCTCGTCGTCCTCCCTGCGTTCGCCTCATTCCTTGATCTACAATGCTCGTTCCTGCCCTTGTATCTCCTAACTGCCTCCGCCTCGACTGCACTATACAGTCATTGAATGAAATGACTCCCTATGTCACGGCCAAAGCCAAAGATTATGAGTCTAAAGTTCAGACCGTGCAATGCTCGGAAAGTTCTGGATTTATATCCGTCTCAGGCTGGCAAGGTAGAAAAAAAGAAGGAATCGCTCGTACTCACCCACGTGCGTAGGAAGTGGCAATGGCATCAAGAGACGGCGACTTTGAAAATCGTCGGATAATGATGAGGACTCGAGGGAGTTGGAGCCTTTATCTGGCGACGAAGACAGCGAAGAGTTCTCAGAATATCGTCCCACAACGGACAGTAAATATTCTTCAGACGATCACGACAACGCTCCTGATGTCACCAACTGTAAGCGACTCTGAGAGGTCTATCACATCGCAAGGGGACTCCGTCGCTTTTGTCCCTTTGACCCAAAAGCTGATATCGATCGTCCCGTGCACCTGCACAGCATCTTGCTGGCAAAGTAGATCTCGTCGCCCGGGACCTCCCGGGCATGCTTGTTCGTGTGGAAGGCGTAGAGGATGGAGTTGACTGTTGAGAGGATGATTCATTTCTGGTAGTTCACGGCCTACACGCAGCGACAATGGCGGGCCGGAGCCTTCTCTTGGAGGAGTAGGGGCAAGTGGTCGGATGATTTGGTCGGGGGAGGTCTGGGTTGATGCGTTGCGGAAGAGGAGAGAGGGAACTAGATGATGTTGGCAGCTTGAGGGACGCAGGATTCAAGAGAGGGGGGCTGCGTCTATTGAAGGAGTATGTATGTATTGACATCGTGCAGTGAACTTGACCTGGATCAAAAGTGGGCAAAAATGGTTTGATTGATTGTTCTTACGTCCGCGCCCGCCATTCGGCCTATTGGGAACCAGCCCTGTCACGTGATTATTCTTCCCATATGGTTCTCCAATCCCTGCCTTGCCTTGACATTCGTCTCTCCTGATAGACTGTGGAGTCTAGAGAAGGAATGTGTTGTTGTTGTTCTATCTAAGAGAGAGCAAGACGAAAAGAAGGGCGCAAGTTGCCAAGCCAAACAGCCTCACGTGACGTTGCCAAGGCAAAAAGTCACGTGACTGGCCAACATCTCCGGGCTTCAGGCTGCCGCTGTAGGTGGTACGAAAGTGGTTCTAGTTCTGGTATATCTAGTGCTGCCAAAACAAGGAAGGGCAACCGAGCCTAAATGAGCTAAACTTATTTCGGTAAGAGAATATTCTTCGATTAAAGCGGCATCATGATAGTCTACTTCAGGTCGATCCGGCAACGAGCGTGATGAACATTTGCATTGAAAATGCCTTGTTGAAGGAATGGACTATGCTATCAAGGAGATCTCCAACCATTCATACATTCGTGATGGACGTCTTATCGTCTGTGAAATTGACAAGGCAGTTGAATTTTTGCTTCACAAACCAAACGGTGTCCAGTTCCCAATCCTTCGACGGCTCTGCCAGTATAAAATCGTACCGCCGATATAGTTGAGGAATGAGCTTTGTGATTTCCAGAAGGCTAAAATTCTTTCCGATGCAAGTACGTGTCCCTGCTCCGAACTATGGCGTGTTTCAACAATGTTAAGTCGGGTCTTGAGAGGACGAAGATGGGAAATGTGACGTTTACCGAGAGTACTACCGTTTTTCCTGTTCGTTTGACAAAAGCTGTTGTGGTTTCTTGAGCAAGAGTGGCTGAAAGGCCACCTTGCAATCGGGGGCCAAGGGGTCTTTCGGTCGACATCGTATGCTGCCGCAGCTGCGCGGACTGAGACGTATCGGTCATTTCGTACGGCATCGATAGCTTGCTGGAGTCGTATCTCCTTGTTGGACGCCATTGGAGAGTGTGAATTGGTTGAGTGCGAGCACGCGTTGTTGGGGGGTTGCAAAAAGGCGTGGGTCAAGAGGAGGTTGAGTCAAAGGTTCGATGGGTGGACTTAAGTGGGACTTTCATCTCGTGCAGAAACATCTAACCTTTGATCATCTGCGGGTACTCCGGTAATTTCCAACCGTGGGTATTCTCCAAGGGCATCAAGCGAGAAGCAATTCTGTCCAACTTCAAGAATGAAACTATCCCCGCGAGACGGTAGAAAATGCCAACAGTGAGCGGCGTCCACGGAATCTTGTCGAATGAACTTGGCTCGGTCGAGTATTTTGCTTGTATCCGCTTCATGTAAGGCTGGAATCTCTGTTCGTATCCCTGAAGCGCAGCCTGCACTCCGTTGTCCGCATCGTTGCCACCACTTTCACCCTTTGCAGGACAGCACCGCTGAATCTCGCCAGCTAGAATATAAGCGCCGATCAGCGCCACACTGGTCCCAAACCCATCCGGTGGGCAACAATATCCAGCATCGCCCACGAGCGTCACACAGCCGCGTGACCAGCTATCCATCCTGACCAGGCTCGAATACTGGCAATAGAAATCCTCGCCGCCCTCCTTGAGAGCCTTAACCAAGTCATCGGTCTCCCACCCGCTGCTTTCAAACATTTTCGCGAACGCCTCCTTCTCCGCCTTGACGTCCCCTCTTTTGACACCCTCCATTGGTCCAGAGTGCGCCTCACATCTCAGATACACCTGCATTTCCTGGAGGTTGTGACGCCGCGTTATCACGAACCGCTTCTCTGGCATCAGGTACGTGGTGGCGATGTATGCGCCTTCTTGCTTCGCCGGACGAGGGATTGTATAGTATGCTATGCGCTCACCGAGCGTCACAATCGGGTCCTGGGCTTGACCGGCAGATCCATCACCGAGCATCAGCCTTCGAATGCGCGACCCCTGGCCATCACAGCCGACCATAAGGTCAAAGATTTCCTTCTTGCCATCTGCAAAGCTGGCCTCTACACTATTGCCCGTCCACTGGAAGCTCTCCACCGTCGTTCCAAAAACATACTTCGCTCCGAACTTCTCAGCAGCATCGTGCAGAATCACGCAGAGGTCCTTCCTCATGATCTCAAACTCGCTGGAAACGCTCTGGGCCCCCTTGCCCGACTTATTCGCGGCAAAGAACGCCCGCCGCCGGCCCGAGCTGTCCACCAGCTCCATGCCGTCTTCGGGCACGCACTTTGCACGAACAGCCTGTTCGAGACCCATGCGCCGCATCACCTCGATGCCATTGCCTCGAAGGTCGAGTTGTAGTCCGTTGGTCCGGAGGCAGTGGTGTCGCTCGATGATCGTGACAGCGTGGCCGAGCTTGGAGAGCCAGAAGGCTAGCGCATTGCCGGCAATGCCTGCGCCGACGACAAGAACTTTAAGTTGTCCCATGATATTTCAAAGGTGTGAGTTGTGGCGTCACCGAGAAAGTACAGCATCACGCCATATTTATACCTCGAAGGAGAGCTTCAGGTTTGGAAGGTGGGAGCCTAGATAACCCTGCAGATATAGCAAGCACAGCTGTTTCGGGCGCTCGGGCGCTCGGGCGTCGGGCGTCGGGTGCTCAGGTCGCAGGCTCGGGCTTTCTACAGTATATGTCCCGAGTTTCAGAACCCGTCACCAGCATTGGTAAAATTGGATGCTCTGGGCAGAATGCCGTGCAAACCACAGTCTGATTCTCTAAGCCAAGTCCCTTTACGATGCGGCATGTAGTGCGTTTCGTTCCAGCAGCTAGGTCGCGGTGTGCCTGGCCGACGAGGATGCGCGTCATCTTGTCACCATAAGTACGTACAGCAGCCTGATTTGTTTCCTGCTCATGAATTGGAATGATTAGTCTTCTTTGATATCCCATCATCGAGGTTCGGGTCATCGCTCCACCATCGGATCCAGTCTGTAGACCACTCAAGCCCTTACTGATCAACTCGAGATGGCTCGTAACGGAGCGTTAACGAAGGAGCCTCGATATCGAGATGATCTATGGATCGGATCTGATGAAAGACTACCGCCATCGGATCCAATCCGTGGACCACGTGGCCGGGAGGCATCCTACTCGATAGAGGTCGACGTCCTGATATCGAGATGATCTACGCATCGGATCCAGTCTGTGGACCACCTAGAGAAGTTCTAATATCACACTCGAGATGGTTCGCAGATTAGATTCGATGGAAGGCCACCGCCATCGGATCCAATCCGTAGACCATGTGGCCAGGGAGGGCCGGGGACAGTATATGGCGCTGGCCTCGATATCTAGATGGTCCCCAGACCGGATCTCATGATATACTGTCGAACAGTATATGGCAACATGTTCAGCTGTGATACTGGAATACTCGGCTGGACAAGGATCTCACCTATGGGCTGGTCGCGGAGACGCCGAAAGGCTGTGCCAATCATTCCCTATATACATGTTCGAGGCGGGACCTCAGTTTGATAGAAATCAGAGCATTTTAACAGCAACCGATGTACTACTAGTGATTGTTTGACACCTGTTGTTTTTGCCGGCCAATAATGTTGCTGCCCAGGAAGGGAGCGTTGTAGGATGAGTCGGCCTGTCGCCAACGATAAGGTCAACACCTGCCTGGGAGCTGGCCTGAACGTAGTGAATCGTACTGTTCGTCGCTATTCATAACACGAAGTCCCATACAAATCACACGAGCCTTCTTGTATGTCGGTATTAATCTCCTCTGTCTCCTCATTCTGTGATTCTCTTAAATCAGCTGAAGTATTCGTCTTAGCGCTACGATTTCGTACAGTCCTTGCAAACTAGGGAAGAGGATATCGTTTATAGTCTTTCCAGATAAAGGATCCTAGCGATAAAAACAACCATTCGACGACTTTAGGCGCATACCAGAGACTTTTTTCTGACGTCTATACGTTTGCAAAACGGTTCTTGAGACATACACGACTATTTAATCTCCCAAGGCTCTTCACGACTATTCGCAAAGACGGTGGGCACTCTCTCTTACCGTCGTCACGAGAGTTCTTCCCTTACGGTGCTAGCCTATACCTTAATAGAGACCCTTCTTAAGAAACAACCAGCCAAGCGAGACAGTAGTGCTACCAGCCCCTTGCGTTACTGTCCCAGGATTTCCAACATCCAGGCGAAGACAACGCCGACACCATCAATGTCGCCTCTTAACTTCCAACCCACCCTAGAGTCGTGTTCCAGACGACCAGTTCGACTCTCCCCCAAGCGCCAACAGCACAAGTTCCTACCCACCCTCCTCCTGTACCAAAGTGCAGGACGCGGAAGCAGCACCGACGGTCCTGCCGGGAAGCACTGGGACGCATTGAAGTCGCTCTAGCAAGAGTCGAACAACAAGTACGGGCGGAGGAACGCGTGGAGGAGGTCGAAGGTACGATAAAAAGCCTGCGTAAGGAGCGGCAGCCAGCTCCAACTCGGTCAGTTTCTTCGTCATCGCCAACACCTGCTCGACTTCACACCGAGCCTCCGTCGTTCCCTTACCAGACATTTGAGTTGCAGCGGAAGGATCATTGAACTTCAGTGGGGCAATCCTCTTGAAGCGCCAACCTCCCGAAAGACGCGGTCGTCTCTTTGTTGGCCATTAATGCTGTCACGCCGTACTTGTCCTGGAGGTCTATATCTTGCCCCCAACCCAATAGAACCGTTACGAGCTCAACTGTTCCAAACTCTGCTGCTATGGTGAGTGAACTCCGACCGGTGTTGCGAAACCATCCTACAAAGTTGCGGTTAGCACCTTCTCTGAGAACGCTTTCAGCAGCTTTAAAGTCCGGTGGTGTCCTCTTGCATATGGTTAGCAGCTTTCGGTCGAGCCTCGCTCTTTTTATAAACGACAAGCGGTCACGGGCCCTTTTTGCTGCCGTGACATCGATAACACTGTCTTGGATAGGCATAATGCTCGCGATTACTTCGCCTGATTCCGGACTGGATGGCCGCTCCATTATAGATGGCAGTTCTTCAACAGGGTCGATAATGCTTTGAGCGTAGGTGGTTGATTTATCTAGGAATCGCTGTAAGGTGATCGTGCGCACATTTCCAACGTCTTCGAAGCGTAACTGGAGCTTTAATATTTGATCCAAGATAGTAGTTGTGTCCTGCTTTATATCCACTGTCCCAATTCTTATCGCCGAAGTATCTTCCTTCCCTTTAGAGCGCAAGCAGCTATTCGAAATCAGCAACATTGGCAAATGCGTTTGGATCAGGAGACCAACATGTTGGCCATGCCGAGCGCAATGTTCAAGGTGGCCTTGTGGTCCTCGAGTTGCTGTCTCAACTTGTTCATTTCGGTTTGTCCATTTATAGCCCAACGGACTCTGGCCATTCTTCTGTCAGAATCTGCCTTGACCAGCAGAGCTCTAATATCTTTAACAACACCGTCGCAATTGAGGAGTACTTCGGTTAGGATGTGCTGAAGAGAGTCAGGGTATTGTAATTCATCGCTCAGGGCGTCCTTTTGCAAAGTTTCGACCGCGAGCTCCAGCGCTGAGAGCTCACAGCGAGTACTCTCCATGTCTTTACGTGCATCACGAACGCCCGACGCAAACCGAGTAATAGCTTGGGTCAAACTGAAGATCGAGGAGAGGAGTCCGACGGAGGCCCCAGTAATGGACAGAGGCTCCATTATGGCAGCCAAGCGTCAATGCAAACGGCGATAAAGATTAATCGAAAATGTTCAGCCTGATTTGAAGTCGTACATCGATTTAGGTGTGTCGCCTTGTGTTCTGCAGTCTACCCCACTCTTTGTGGCTTGCGAGACTCAGCCACTCGAGGTTGCAATCCACCTGCTCCGGATTTCTACTTTCTCTCGCTCGGATAGACTGTCCTGTACTGTGCAATTGATTCGCCAAGTCGCGTGAACTGACAGCCCAGTCTCATACCCGCAGCTAAACATCTCGCTAAAATTTAACACCCGAAATGGAGCGTACCTACGAGTAGCAAGACAGTACCAGGGGCAAGCTCTGCCCTATTTACACCAGACACACGTCCGGATGAGATGGGAATTGATCGATTCCTCACCTTAGCATGGGCAGAGACAACTTAGAGATAGGTCCATCTGAAGCCTCAAAAGCGTTTTAGAGACAGGCGAGCGATATAGCAGAAGCTAGCGCCCTGCCGGCACAGCGACAATTGTCTACGCCACTTGCTGAGGTTCAATGTTTGACTGCTCAAAATTAGCCCGGCGACCTGAACAGCCTAACCCGTGCTCTTCTTCTCGTCGCCTCTCGCAAGCTCCACTGGCGCTTTGTCAACTAGCTCAAGTCAACGCTCTTTAAACCTCTCTTCGTGCTGAGGACCGACCTCCCTTTCTTCTGGACTGCGCCTCGTCAGACGAGCTCCGTGCAACATCCCAGGGTCGAACGCTTTGCAAGGACCCAGAGGCGACGACGTGTTACCAGATCTGTGGTTCGCGATTTGCCACTGAATGGAGGTACCTAAAAACCCACCATGTTCCTAGGGGTTTGAGGTACCTTTCCATCCACTTTGCCTCCCTCGCATAGTTGGCGCTTTTTGGTGTTCTTTCAACGACGTCGTTAACAGAGTCTTTGCACTCATGCCCTTTTTGGGGAATGTATCCTTAAGCTCGATTTGGCATAGTAGATGGAAAGGCGCAACCAACGATGTAAAGGTACCTAACAAACCTCCCCAGGTACCAAAACATCAAAATTGAGGTACTCACATACCTTTGGAATTTGCGAGCTCTTTACCTTATTGTTGCTCGATTCGCGATTTGTATGGACGATAGAAAAGCTTCATAGACAACAGAGGCACCCTGACACGCAAGAACGCTAAAATCGAGTGCAGAAGGCGCTGTCAAAGGGCTTAACGACGTCGTTCAATGAGCGCCAAAAAGCGCTAACTATGCCCTAGGAAAATGGGGAGTGTTTCAGGTACCTTTCCACCGTGCGGACAACGCTCGCACAGCTAGGCTCAATTGGTGTTTAGTAAGGTCGCTGTTGTACGCGATTCGCTGTGGGTGGTCGCTCTCCCGATACATTCCCTGTTTAGTCACCAGTCATTGCGTAGAATTCATATCCAACTCTTCACGAAGCTGTAGAGATCGTTGAAGTTAGGCATCTTCGTTTTCAGTGTAGGTCACGAGAGAAAGATGGCCGGCCGAGCCTCGACTCCGTGGAGGGGTTGGAAGGGAGCCGATTAGTCGGAAGGCCAGGCTTCGGAATGGATTTGGAGATCGGATAAGCCGACTCTGCTTCCGAGACTTGAAGCTGTTCGAGGGTTTTTGGTATAATATTATGTACTGTTGCTAACCCTTGGTCCAAAAATTGACGCCTGCAGGGGCTTCTAGACCTGTAGGTACAAGAGGTGCTTTTCTGTCATATATCTATCTGGACTAAAACTGTCTACCATTCATCAGTGCCGAAAATGTCGTTGAAAATCATCATCATTGGCGCCGGCCTGGGGGGATTGGCAGCAGCCATCTCGATCAAGACCGAATCACCCAATCACGAGGTCCTGGTCCTAGAATCTGCCCCGGCTCTAGCGGAGGTATAAATGAACGATTACGTCGAAGAAGCCGGCTAATCTCTGCACTAGATAGGCGCGGGCCTTCAACTCACACCAAATGCGACTAGGCTTTTGGAACGATGGGGCTTACAGCCTCGACTCCAGAACCTCGTTACCTGCCCCGAAATATTCACAATTCATCGCTACAGCGATGGGAAGCTCCTCGGCCAACGGCAACACTTTGGACAGGAGATGCTGAGGAAATATCGAGCGAATTTTTGGGACACTCATCGAGCCGATCTCCAGCTTGTTCTATACGACCGCGCTGAGAGCTTGGGAGTCAAATTTCGATTCGGTGTGTTAGTTGAAGGACACAATTTCAAGGTGCCAGAGGTAATTCTGGCAGACGGCGAACGGATAGCCGGAGACCTCATCGTAGCGGCTGACGGCAAGGAACCATCTTTCCAAAACTCCCTTCAAACGATCGCTAACCTCGTCAGGGCTTTGGTCGAAATGTCGCGCGAGCTTTCTAGGGAAACCGAGCCCCCCGATTCCGACAGGCGATCTTGCATACCGCATCGTGCTACGGGTCGAAGATATTGACGACAAGGACTTGAGAGAATTTGCCTCCGTCCCTAGGGTATGCCTCTGGGTTGGGCCGGACTGTCATGCCATTTACTATCCGTTAAGAAACAACACCATGTGCAATGTCGTCCTTCTTGTCCCAGACAATCTCCCCGAAAATGTGGCCAAGGCTTCAGGTGACCTTGGAGAGATGCATGAGATCTTCAAGGATTGGGATCCGCGGTGGGTTGACGAATGTAAAACAGTCAAACAAGCTGCTGATTGTCTTTAGTTTGAGGAAGTTGCTGGCACTAGTCAAGCAAGTTGACAAGTGGAAATTGATGCACCGTGAGTATCTGAAAATGGAACCCTGTGTGGCGTGACATTTGTCTGAGCTGGGCGAAATAGTCGATGAGATGGAGCGATGGTATAACGATGAAGCTACCGTGGTGTTTCTAGGGGATTCGTGCCATCCTATGCTACCGTACATGGCTCAAGGGGCAGGATCAGCCTTGGAAGATGGAGCCACACTGGGTATCTTGCTCTCAAAGGCTGCATCCCGTCAAGACCTCCACGAGACCTTGAAGAGATACGAGAGTCTGAGGAAGCCTCGAAGCTTGGTCCTCCAGAAAGGAAGCATGAGACAGGTACGACGAAGGTTTTTGAAGCTGGACTTGCCTTCTGACTCCGACGCTAGAGATACTGGAATCACTTGCGGGACGGCCCTACGCAGAAGAATCGAGATCTCTTAGCTGAGCAGCAGTTCCAGGAACCCCAGCCTGGATACCCATTCTACTGGTTCGTTCAATCTCTCTCCCCGCTCGATTGGTCGTATTCTGAACTTTCCCTCCAGGATTGATCCAGAAATGCAGTCTCGGGTCTACGGGTACGATGTTGTGGAAGAGGTCGGTTTTAGCCCATCACCCGCATGATCTGCTACTAATAGCCACCGAAAAAGCTCAAAAAAGCAGGTGTCGACACTGGCAAGTTCGATCACCGCAATCGGAGTCCTTTGCTTAGCAAGGTCTAGGGAATAAACTGACAGCTATAGCGGTAGAGATGGGTAGTACAAATCGGGTGCGCGCGGCATCCCAAGAACCGTGAATCCCGTAAAGGGCGCAGAATACAATAAACCGCATGGTGAGATGCTTATTTCCAAACACTCATTTTCCCCTTAGGAAGCTCAGTGAGCGTACATGGAAATGCGCCGGTTTGATATGAAGTCAAGTTTTTGGTTATACCATTTTGTTTCCAGAGAGCGTGAAGGTGGGAACGAACAGATAGCTAGGATGCTGATTAATTCTGTAGCCTTTTTTTTTTTTTTTTTTTTTACAGTGGACCATGCTCACTCGACAGCTTCAGGAAGCCATATTATACTAGCATCGATCATCCCCTTCCGGACAGAACTCCGGCCGCGTCCTTTTTTACTCCAAGAGGGATCATCACTTTCAGCACAGACCGTTGGAGTGCTTCAGCTTCGACTCGGGTGGGTAATCTATCTGACAATCCCGGTGTTCTGCGAACTTGCCGTCCATGACGCGGTACATGTCAAAGACGTGCGACACTCTGTCGCCTTCCCAGCGCGTCGCGTGATGCTGGACAATCACATAGGGCCCGTCCAACAGGTTCCTCTTGATGCCCATCGCGATGTGCGGCTCGCTCGGGCGGTTGGACCAAGTCCTTCCAGCCATCCCCACAATACCTTCGCCCCGTCGATGATCGACTGTGGCCCGCCCCCGACCATGGAGCTGTGTTGCTTGTACCCTTCATAGACAAGGGCGCGGGTCCCGTCGAATTCGTAGTACTTGAACGTGACGAGGTGGGGCTCGATCGTCCGCTTGATCAATGCAACTTTGTTCTGTCGTGTGTGGCGGTTGGTCTTTGAGCTTGTTGTACTGTTCTTTGACTTCGTCTCTGAGGGCCTCGTCGCTTATGCCTATTTTCCTTGAAACGGGGGAAGGGAGGGAAGTATCTTTGTTCTTGTTGATTTTGCTTGAGGCGAAGAGAACAGAATATATGGATGGAGTATCTGATTGGACTATAGCCACCCAAGGTAAAAACTCAAGGTCGTCGCTATCTGAAATGTGAACAGTTGATACAGTCGTAGTTATGGATTTTTGTATCTGCGGTCATTCATGAATCAAATATGAAGCTGAACATCGAGCTATCTACGTACACCTACCCAGCTCATCCCCATAGCGTCTGGGAAGAGGGGGGTCCAGAAACTTTTCATTCTGGGTTCTCTAGGTGACACCAGGTGGCAGACCCTTAGCAGCGAATTATATGCCCTCCGAGTTTCTTGCTAATCCGGTGTCCGTATATCACCGAGATGAGGCTATGCCCTATATGATCAGTCACATAGATCGGAGCGACAAGCCGGTTCAAGTATTTCAAATGTCTACTTCCTTGCCATCAAGCCACCGCTTCGCCTGCCAATATAGCAAGTCATGCTTCCCTCCTACTCCCTTGAAGCCTCCTAAGATACCCTTCTCCCGACGATGCCTAGGCATGTCAATCAACACTCCCACTCCCGTGGTTTTTTTCCTGGCAGTAAGTGAGATATCGATACTTACTCGGAAACTTTGCAGACGTTCATCGTCAATGTCAGGGACTCTTCCGGGGTCCACTGGTATCAGCTTGTCATTTTTCATACCAGTGCCCGACATACATCGCCTTCCACTCATTCCAGAAAGAAGCAGAATCGACAGTCTCTCTCTGCGTCGACCTCGCAGCCGTCTAGAGTAAAGCGTTGTGTGGCGGTGGCTTTATCTACGTGACGGCGCGTATCGCATCGAGGCGAATGTCTGTAGTAATTCTGTGTATCTGTGCATGATGAACACTCCGTCATCCATCCCCTTTTGGAGAGGACATAATAATTTGTGAATAGTGAACATGTCCGCTCCACGTCGTGTAAACATACGCATTGGGGTGAAAGATGGATGCCAGGTTCTCCCATTCGCACGATCCCTACGTTTAGTAAGATTGCCAGGAAGGCTGCGAGGATCGAACCGATACACTAGCCAGCCCTCTGCAAGTTCTCTCAGCTTGTACCTCTCCAGGACGATGGCTTCTAGGTCATTGTTACGAATTGCTGCGTCTGGCCGCAGACCATGTGAAAATCCATTTCGAAGCTCTTCCAGAGACAATAACACGAACAGGGGTTTTTGGTGGTCGTGTACCACTCTTGAGTCTTTCTAGGATAAATGCTGCCTGCAGTTTAGAGGCACAAGGAGGACGACAATCAAAGTAGCTTAGGCAAGACTGGAAAGAGAAATGTACAGGCTATGATTGGCTCAAGGGCACGGGCTGTCATCAAGTTGAGAGAAGGAGGACTGGCCGCTGTATTCCGACCCCAGCCTTCCAAGTGATACCTGAGATGATGGGCCCCGGGTGGGGGGCGGAAGTCAAAGAGTTGAGCGGGTGGTCAAGACAGTGGTCGACACGTTTAGTCTCGCTCGGATAATCCGCATCGGAAGCTGTCTCGGTATTAAATACTCCAAGTTCGTACCTTATCGGCGTTCTGAAGTAATACACAATGAATTCGGTGCCCATTCTAACTCGGGTGTCCTCGGTATCCCGTACTCATGAGCCGGTTATCGCTCAGAAAGGGAAGGGTGCTTGGCCTAAATAAAAGTCGGGGATGGGACAAATCAGTGTGTGGCTCTCATCCTTTCGGAACAAGAACCCCTCGAGGCATTTTATTCCTTTCTTAGCTTCAAAGGAGCCACTTCCGTCCATCGTGCACTCTGTATTCTACCAGAGAATTCCACCTCTCAGATCTCTCTGATACTAGTCCCCAGCTACCCCTCTTAGGCCAGACGAGCTAGCCCGTCGCTTTGGGGTTGAAATTCTCTATGACCGACCCGGTGCGAGTTACTCCAAACGGGCGTAAGAGGCCCAGAGCGGCACGAGCGTGTGAGGCGTGCAGGGCACATAAGCAGCGATGCGATGAGTTTTATCCTTGTAGTAAGTGTAAAAGTGAGGATCCAGATCATCCAAACCTCGATGACTACGCTCATACATATGAAGAACGAAACATCACTTGTGTTTACGTCAACTCTTTTCGATTCCGAGAAAGTAGTGTCTCAAGCCGGAGGTCGAGCAGCAATCCTGGAGCACGCAAAAATGAGATCAGCACTCATGATGGTCGTGAAGCTTCGTCTACGGAGGACAATCCATTTGGCCAGACCTCTGGCTCCGCTGTCTCAAATGGCAAGGAGCAAGAACTGTGTTCACAACCTCTAGAGGCCTCAAAGAACGTGGAAGGTGAGCTTAGGGAAGTCAATCAACATACGCTGGACACCGAATTCCACGGTCCATCCTCATCCATGGCGTTCTTAGCTGCTATCCAGCAACAATCTACCATGTCTAGTGAAGATCGAGTCCAGGCCGACGTTTCCACACCCTCAATCATCTCGACTCTCCACAATAGTTCTTTCTCCGCGGAGTCAGAATCCAGATATGACCCTGAAGGAAGCGCGCTGTCGGCTGAAAGATACTTTTTTCGCCAATCCCAGTCATTCTTAGCAGCCTACTTTCAAACTCTCCATTTTATTCACCCCATTATCGACAAAGAAGAATTTCTCCTGCGATGTGAAGACCTTTGGTTTGGGAACGCAGAGAAACAATCAACTTCGTTTGTTGCACTCTACTTTGCGGTCATGTCACTTGGAGCGTTGATGGGCGAATGGGAAGAGCCCAAGTTCCTGGGCAAATGTCGATTTGAATGGTCCAGGAAAATGTTTCGATGTGCCAACCTCGCCATGATCCTGTCCCAGAGGAAGAATGACCTAGAGACAGTCCAAGGAAATCTAATTCTGGCCAAAGTCTGCCAGAACGAACTCAACCCCCACCTTGCGTACACCTACCTGGGAACCGCTATACGGATAAGCTTGTCGGCCGGTTACAATCGACAGCCAACTCCAACTCCAAGTGAGCCGTCTGGACAGGTATTGGCCCAAAGAAATGCCGCTTCGAGGACATGGTGGGGTTTATACTCGCTCGAGGTGGAGCTGAGCTTTGCCCTCGGTCGTCCAGATTGCCTTGGTCTCGACGTCTACCACAACCGTGAGATGCCGGGAATCAACGACTCGGAAACCGCCATCATAGCGGTCATGGTAGAACTTGCCCGAATAATTAAAAAGGCATCCATCTCGGTTTACCTGTCCAATGTCACCATTCATGAAAGGCTTCGCTATGCCCATCTGATCGAGAACGAATTGGAGGCGTGGGTACAAAAATTGCCGTCGATGCTGCGGCCGCAAGCGTCAGATGGGAATAAAGGTGTCGGCATCATGCGTACTCGAAAGTGGGAACAGCGACAAAGAGACACCCTCGAATTCCGATATTTCAACGTAAAAATGGTTCTTTTTCGGCCCTTCCTCCTTCACAAGGCCCGGGATCCCCAGTCGCAGCCGGTAGAACTCGACACGGCAGTGTCTAAATGCGCCATCGCTGCACGGGAGACTATTCGGAAGATGTATCAGATGTTCTGTAGCCATTCCTATTTTCGAAGTTGGTGGTACAACACAACATATACGCTGTATGCGGCCTCCATCATACTATGCTACGCAACAAAAATTGCTCCAATTATTGAACGCCCAGAGTTGTTCAACCTCATTGGGATGAGTGTTGAAATCCTAGAGGCAATGAAAGATGCCGAGGTCGCCAGAAAGGCGGCCGAGTTGTTGAATCGTGTCTTGTCTCGGGTCAGGGAAGGGGAACTTGACTCAGACGTCGTGATTGACAACTCGAATTCCCAGCCATGTCCTGCGTCGCTAGATGACCCGGCTGTGGACATTCCCCAATCACCCATAACGAAACTATTCTTTGATCTTTTCTATGAGCAGGGAAGTAACTTTGGGCAGGACTCGTTCTCATTATACGATGTGCCGCCTTCAGAATGGCTAGTCTAAGCCCTCAAATACTAAATGTGCCCATGTCATGGCCAAATAAAATACGCTAAAAATCAAACCAGGAATGGAATCGAAATTTATCCAGGGACTCAACTGATCCACTCGAGGTATCAGATCCGAGTCGTAATAATCGCGACCATACAACTTGTCATATCTGGGACAGGGGAGGGAAGGAGAGGAAGAAGGGAATGCCGCAATGGCAACGATTGACTGAAGTGGTCAACGTTGTTCTCGTTGTCTGTCTGTTTGTTCTTCCTCGAGGATTACATGGGGGTAGCAATAGTTCGACGAAAGTAGTAGATGAGTGCTCTAGCGGCCTGCTCCAACTAGGCAAATCATCTTACGCATATTTAAGTCCCAAATAGATTGCCTTACGTTTGCTAAATAATAAAGACAAAATGGACTCAATCCTCCAAGCTTTGCATGGACTCGGCAGATAGGTTCAATGCCGTCACTCCAACACATTTCAAAGCTGATAGATCCAACGTCTGAGATTTGGCCTTTGCCCGAGACCTTTTTGTTGTTCTCCAGTACTCCATGCAACGGTCTAACCGGTCCTCCAACCTGGGAACTGCATAAGTCGGATCGGAGTTTCTATCACTATTACTGCGTCAACCATCGCGAACCCAACACCGCCGCACTTTTTAATCAGGCTCATTTGGAATCCCCAGGACATTCTGCCTACTACATCGCTTTTATCTATACAACCGTTCAAGAAACGTTCAGTGGTGCGAGAACAAGTTCTGTGACTATATCTGGCCTTCTGGCGCATTCTTGTGTCCACGGTATGCCGTCACGTCCGGTCGATCGACCAACCCAGTCCAACTACCCGTATGTGAAAATTTTCCCTATAATATCTCAACTCTAGTGTGACAGAATCGGGATTTCGGCAGGCGGAAGGTGAATGATAGGATATTTTCCCTCAATAGTATCTCTTACATCCTGTTCCAGGTTCTCTTTCGGTAAGCCTAGTCTCTGATCCTACGGATTCAAGACATTGAGATCGCCCAAAGTCCCGCCTTCGTACGCCCGACCTCAAGTCAGGACGCATACGGGGTTGCCCAAGCCCACATGTCTTGACACTTTTTCTGTTCAATCGCCTCAGGAATGACCTCCGCAGCCTTGACATGCTCGACTCTCCACTTCATTGTTGGCCACTTTCTCCAGCACAGCGAGAAGCTAATTTTGCTTGGTTGTATGAGGCGCAGTATAGATTTATTCGCTGCTTCTTCTGGACTGGAGCGAGTAGATGGCTCGTGCTATCGTCTTTCGTGTGCCGATCCAATAAAAAGGATCTTACCCCCATCAAAATTCACCGCTTTCTTCATGTCAAGGTTGAATACCACCACCTGGTCGGCGAGTCCCTGGAAAGAACTATTAAGCCCTGATTCTTGTCGAGATTCGTTTGAAAACCTCGAGGCAGGGGGCGTGTTCAGTCCTCCTCAAACGCTTAACGAGGGAACTTTTCTTCTGAGCCAAGGGAACTTGAGCCTCAATGCGGGGTTCATGCAGTATGTTCCTAGTCCTGTTCTCTGAAGGAATGAGGCATTTTATACCTGCCCTGATGGCGGGCCTCGATAAGGATGTGTTGACCAAGCTCACAGTCATGGATCAGGAATGACAAACCACGTCTTGTCCCCTTGAGGCTCTCCATCAATGATTCTGTGCTATATACGCCAGGACCATCAGGCAACTAAAGTGTAACTAACGATCAGCAGGGCTCGAGGGGGGGCGTTGATCTCAATTATGGTACCCTATCCATGGAGCTGATGAGTACGGAGTATACATGGTGAAGAAATCAGTCTCGAATGTCAGGGTATAGGTCGAAATCTGAGATGGCCTGCTGATGGTGGAGGTGAGCATTTACCTAGGTATTTGCCCATATTACTTGCGAGTGAAAAATCTCGTCGCCCAGGTGTGGAAAACTCAACTCTCACAGCTCATCCGGTTTCGGGAGAATGGTGATGCCGTCCTGCGACGCCTTCGATCACTGATGAACTAGTTCTGCTTCCGCTTCCGCTTCCGCTTCCGAACGTCTCATCTCCACTCAAAATCGTCTTTCTCTTTCCTCCGCGAAAAAAAGGCTCTCAAAGAATCGGAAACAAGCGATCTAGATCCATTCCAATCGGAAGTGAGCTGCTTGGTTGGAAGATGGCTGGGGCAAATCCGGGGGTTATATATGGGGAATGTGGAGGCAAGTGCATGGTTGAGACTTCGAGAGGCTAGTCCATTGATTCTCCTTTCGAAATCTCAAGGCAAAAAGACCAGCAGTTGCAATATTCGTCCTGCAGGCCATTTATTTGCTTTCTCATCCTTGCCCTCCGATATGACTGGCGAGGCTGGAAATTCTGACGGTGCCGTGTCGACATCTCCCTTTTCCAAGTCAGAGGAAGGACTTGCGGATGTTGATCACCACGAAGGAGCTATGAAAGAGACCGCCCATGAAGCGGCGGAAGATGGTAGAGCAGCAACCGACATGTACGTTCGGAATTGGATATGTACGGTGTTGATGAGACTGACATCAACTTCCAGATATGGCCGGTCTCTCGTGGGCGTTTGATGCTGCGGCCGAAATCCGGCTACGCCGAAAAATCGATCTTTACATTGTCCCAACAGTCGCCATCCTATACCTATTTTGCTTCATTGATAGAGCCAATATTGGCGGGTCTCTTTTCGATTCCTATGCCGTTCATACGCTAATCGATGCCTCTCCAGGAAATGCAAGACTCGCAGGATTTGAGCAAGACCTGGGTCTTAGCGGTTACGACTACAACCAGGCTCTGTCGGTCTTCTATATCTCATATATTATCTTTGAGATACCATCCAATATCGCATGTAAATGGATAGGTCCAGGATGGTTTCTCCCTGCTCTCACCCTCGGCTTCGGGATCGCTACTGTAGCGTTTGCATTTGTGGAGACATTGGAAGCAGCATGTGGTGTACGATTTATCCTCGAGGCGGGCATGCTCCCGGGAATTGCATATTATATGTCTCGATGGTATCGAAGGAATGAACTGGCGTTTCGACTATCGCTCTACATCGTCATGGCCTCCCTCGCAGGCGCCTTCGGTGGGCTTCTAGCAATCAGCAATTCTGACACTGGAGAGTTTCGGCGATCGACATCGCTGGCAGATGATTTTCGCCCTCGAGGGCATCGTCACCATCTTCCTCGCTCTAGTGTCATTCTTCACTCTTACTGATCGGCCCGAGACGGCACGCTGGCTCATTCAAGAGGAAAAGGAGCTGGCAATCTCGCGTGTCAAGTCCGAACGAGTAGGCGCAACGGAGGTCCTGGATAAGTTCAACTCGAAAAAGGCCTGGAGAGGAATCTGGAATCCGGTCACCGCTGCAAGCTCTTTCGTGTTTTTACTGGGCAACGTCACGGTTCAAGGACTCGCCTTCTTTCTTCCTACTGTCGTCCGCACCATTTATCCAGACCGCACAGTTGTGTCCAATCAGCTGCATACGGCGCCGCCATATATTGTTGGAGGATTCTTTATTCTTCTGGTCAACTTCACGAGTTGGAGATTTGATCGTCGAAGAAGGTAGATACGGTGCGACGTTCCTGATCGCGGCTGGGGCATTCAACTCGGGCGCACTTTGTAACGCCCAGGTATCGGCCAACGTTATCTCTGATACAGCACGGTCAGCCGCAATCGGCACGAACGTTATGTTCGGTAATGTTGGTGGCTTAATAGCCAGTTGGTCGTTCCTCCCGTTCGACGGTCCAAACTATTATATCGGCAACGGGCTCAATTTGGCGACGTCTTCGGTGATGCTGATCACCGCCACTGGGATTGGGCTGTGGATGACAGCGAACAATCGCAAACGGGAGAACAGGGACGTTGATGCAGAGCTTGCAGGTCTTAGCGCCCTTGCGGTGGAGAATATGGACTGGAAACACCCTGGGCTCAGGTGGAGACCATGAGCGGTGAACCAAGGGCTGGGGAGATGGTCGATAGTACTGTCGAAGTCGAGGTGGTTTGGACCGATATTTTCAAGTCCTCGTTGTGTTTAGTCACTATGTTCATGGAGTAGTCGGAAATTGAGCGGTTGAAATGAATAGAACCCCCGATGGCGCCAAAGGAACACATGAAACGTCGTAGTAAATGAAACCCCGACTCGAAGGTATACGAGTCTACCGTTATGAATGCACAGGAGTAGTAAGGCCCCTCTTTTTGGTCTCCCCTATGGGCCATTGTCAAGGTAAACGGTAACCATACACATTGTGCTGGTCAGGGTCGTGTTAACGTACCAAAGAAGATATCTTCTTTCATGATACCCTACAAGCATTGTGTAGAAACGAAAATCCAAATCAAATTCCGAGGCCTCATTGCACTCTCTATGGATGACTGACGGAAGCAATCTGCTTGATCAAGCTGTTTCCGGCAACTAATACCTCCTCTTCACCCGACATTTCAAAGGTCCCTCCTTCTCGGAGATACCGACACTAAGCGTCGAGATCTTCTGTTTTGGATCCTCCATTTCCAAGGTATAGTTCTTGAGCACTGTGGTCAGTGTTTTGAGAATATTCGTCATGGCCATGTTCCGTCCGATACACATCCGATGGCCGACGCTGAAGGGTGTCAGGTTTTGTTTGAAATATTCCGCTTGCGGTCCCAGAAAGCGCGAAGGGTCGAAAATGTCGTGATCAGATCCCCAGATGGCCGGATTGTGATGCACGACGTGGTTGAGGCTGAATACGGCTGTCTGCGGGAGTGTATTTTTATTGTGAGAGGGGATTGGGATTGAAAATGGATGGGAAACTTACACCTTTCGGAACCCAGTGACCGTCTATCTCGGTTCCAGCTGGAGCTGTCACTGTCCGGGGCAATGGCATTGTAAACGCAGGATTAATTCTGAAGTTTTCATTAATGCATGCCATGGAGTACGGCAAACATTGCTCGAGTCCGGTGATCTGGACGGGTTCTCCAAAGGAGGTACACACGTTAGTATCGATTTCGGCCACGACTTTCTCCAGAATAGCAGGATTTCGGAGAAGATGAGAAAACAAGAGAGTAAGAGTCCCAGAGGTCGTATGTGAGCCTGCGACCCTGCACGTCGTTAGGAAGAAATAGAACTTCAGAAGAATTGGCTTACACCATGGCAAATGCTTCGGTGTTGATTTGTAGTTCGGTCAGTCTTTCCCCTGTCTCAGGATCCACGGCGCTGATAAGGGCAGTGAGAAGGTCTTTCCGCCCGGTGACTTTCTCGTTCAGTCTTCGAGCAACGCACTCTGCCGTAAGGTTCTTCAATTGCGCCCGAGACCGAGTGAGTCGTTGAAGCCAAGGCAAGGGTGTCCACGCGGCCATTGCTTTCAGGTATGGCATCATTTCCGGCATCATACCTAGCAAGCATCCGAAGAAGATATGGTCGTTTATCGGTGGTAGTTTCTCTGCGCATTTTTGGGTCTGAGAGTCGAAGCTTCGGCTGAAAGCAAGTTCGCCCAGCACATCAAGCACGAAGAATGCAATTAGTTCCTTGAGGTCGAAGACTCCGCCCGTGCTTGCACACTAGTTCAGGTTATCCAGCAATTTCAAGATATGTGTGTCGATGAACGGCTCCATTTCCTTAACGGACTGAAATGAGAAGCCATGGGCCATCTGCCGAGATCTGATCCAGGAGTTAGCCCTGAGAACTGTATCGAACAGAAGAGGCGCGGATGAGTCTTACGTCTTCATCTTTCGTACCAAATAGATTGGGATTGAATGTGGTGAAGCCATCGTAGAAGCCGGTTTTAGGTAAGCTGCGGCCCCCTTTATAGATCGCGAAAACTGCTCCTCCAGTATTGAACGATAGATCATTCGGACCGACTCGCACAACACCTCCAAAGTTGTCGTGTAGCTTCGTTAAATTCTCGGGCATGTGTAATGTCCATAGTTGATATGCTTTCCATAGGTTGGTGAAAGATGCGAGCACAGGCCCAGGATACCTGGATAATGGGTGGCCAAAACGGTAATACACAATATACGCGGCCAGAACCAGAACTATGGGAGTGATAATGATAGCGACAGGAGACAGGTCGGTCGTGAAGGGAGATAAAAAGTTCATTCGCTTCATCATCTGGAATAGCCTAGTTGTAGAGAATCACAGCTAGATCTCAAACTGATGACTGAACGTTTAAAAGCCATTCTGTTTTAGATATGCACCGCACAATGGACCCACGTATCGTTGGTATATGTTACAACTCGTCAATGGCTGCAGTTGCGCGGTCGGAAGCTGCAGACATCGAGAGCGGAACTAGCGTGGTTTTCATGAAGTATATTCAGCCTCGACCAGAGCTTCGTAGACGTGGTTTATATTGGATTTGTTGCCATTCGAATGCCGTTTCCGACATGGCAATCGAATTTGAGAGCGGAACTAGCGTGACGCCCTGATTCGGATCCTCTCTGAATATCATGGTGGAGCCGGAGAACTTGAACCTTCGGTCGATTCTTACCGGCCCATGGCCGTCATGGTGGGCTAGGGGGGAAAAAACCCCTCCAAAAAACTCAGATTTCTGCATTCTGAGTGGTCTAGGCTTTCGAATCGAGCGCACGGTCTAGAAAGCTGATGACATTCCTTAAGCTCTGGAATGCTATCACACTCTCGCCGGCGGGGGACTCAACGTTGACGTTACCCGCTCTTGCGTCAAATCCGTGCTCGGCATCTTCCGGAAGTTCCACGTGTACCTCCACTCCATCTTTGCGTAACTGGTCTGAAGCTCTGAAGCTCACCTCTACCGGGACGGCCGAATCGTTCTAACCATGCATTAGCATTGTAGGTGGCAATTTCCCTAGGTTCGAAAATGTGAGAGGGAACAAGTTTCTATGCTTCTCCGGAATTGATTCGACTCCCTGCGCAACAATAGCACGACTCAGGCCTCCAATGCCGGTCATATAATCAGAGAATAGTCCCTCAATGTGGAGAGCCGAAATCAACGGAAATCTCTGATCCTTGCCCACGTCAGAAGGTAAGGGATAGGCGCTCAGTTGTGGCCTGTGATCTTCGGCATCGGTCCTGGGAAATCGAGCAAGAATGGTTTCAGTGTCGATCAATGGTCCCCCAAAGATATTGGACCCCGGCGTTGTATGTCGTTCATAGGTGGGATCGAGCGTCCCATAAATCAGTAAGAGGGCACAGGGCTGGCTTTGGACGGTGGCCGCCGTAGCCATTGCGAGATATCCGCCAGCACTCGACCCTGCCAACAAAATTGGGCCAATATTGCGATCAATCTCTCGACCAAGAGAGGACATTACCCAGTTATACGCGTCGACTGCATCCTCCAGCGAGCTTTGAGCAGTCGTTTCTGGTATTAAACGGTAATCTGGGCTGACAAATATCCATTTACGAACAACACAGGCGTGTACAAGCCAGTAAGGTAGAAAAGAGTATCGGTCACCAACAATCTCAAAGTGTGAATATCAGTTTTGAGAATTTCGATTGTGCAATTGATTGCTTACCAAGAAACCACCATGGTAGTGCAGCAATACGGGCGTCGGTGATGTGCTTTGAACTTCCGGGTAGACCACATCGAGCTTGATGTCGCCATGCTTAGTGCATTTAAGTGTTTTGGATTTGTATCCATCAAATCCGTCGAGTGGGAATGAATCCATGTGTGTAAAAATGTCCCAGCGGGAAAGGGGGTGTAGTTGCTGGTAGTTATTTGTGCAATGTCGAACTGGAATTGCCGATATTTCAAGTGGAGCGTGGTCACTGTTATCGGCCACCTCTTTGAGCTGGGAAGTTCACACAAAGAAATGACCTGCGGAATATCTCTCCACTCGGAATGCACATGGGCTTTTATCGGGTCTATGGCTGTGAGCCGCCTTGACAGGCCCCATCCAACTGCCGATATTGACTTTGTAACTAGTGAGCTCTGAAGCTCTTGGCTGCCCGGCACGGTGACATATTCAGGTGCAGCGAGCACCCGATATCTAGTCTCTAACCGAAACAAATGGTCCTGCAAAACATAGAACGCAAATGAGGCGGGGTCCCAATTCCGAGGGACGGAACATAGCATGTCTCCTATGTCAGATTAGAAAGATACTTGTGAGTCTCACAACAGAAGCTATGCAGACTGCCCCCACTCAACAAACGGAAAGTCAAAAAAGGGGTCGAATCCAACCGAAGCGTCGAATAAACTATTCACTTGTTCTCTCATCTCGCGATTTCTGGTGGCATAATTCGACGGATTCAAAGGCCCCGTTAGCGATCCCACGTTTGGAAAAGGTGGGAACAATTCTTGAAGCGAAAGTCCCCCGACTCGTTGTTCGACACGCATGCATTGGACGCGTGGAGAAGTTTCGTTTGTAGTTCTCGTAGACCCTGTAGGCGGCTCCATAGCCGCATCATGGGAGACGATTTGGCGCTCAGGACCTTGACCAGATGTAGGGCTGTATCAAATTCATTTCTCACGCTGTCCCAGAATAATGAGCTGGCATTGACCACTGCTAGTAAAAGATTCCCAAATGCTGTGAGCAGAAGATGTTTAAAAAATAGTGCATGCTTGTCGATTATTGCGGTGTGCTCGCGGAATTCTGACGGGGTTTGAATCGACTCTTTCACGATTGTGATTGCTGTCTGAGCATACCGCTGATTTTGATTGATCCGGGAGAACGATTGCAAGACTGGCCTAAAGATTAAATTCAGAAGATGGTGTTTGCGAACGACCAGGATGGCCTGATGGTATGCCAGATTTTCGTACTGTATTTGCCGCTCTGCTCGATTCTGGCTGAGTTTGAGATTGTTTGGAAGTTGATCATACCAGTGCAGGATTTGGTAGTTAATATAGTCAAGGTCATCAAGCTTTAGCTCTGCGCCTCTTTCGCCCTGGCTGTTCAGTGCGTTCCAGGTTTTTCCGGCCAGTTTGGTCCACTGAAGTAGAATAGAGAGTATTGAATCAGACTCGTCCTAGATACGGCTGAGCGCGTGTGAGGGGTCCACGGGCGAGAGACAAACTTACAAGTTCGAACAGGGAAGGATGAACGTAAGAATCCTGGATATAGAACGGTATTCCGAGGTCCAGGCTCGTTCTTCTTTCGAGCATATAAACCGACCAAAACGTTCGAAGAGCCACTGATCGTTCCTCTGGGTTAGGAAAGGTCTTTTCCACAATTTCTCGACGATGTAAACCCATTTCCAGACACAATCTTGCCGCAAATCCACTGAACCGGCCCGTACGGACTTCATCGTCGAGGTGATAATGGTATAGGGCCTAAATGGTCACGTTAATATCGTTTACACTCTGAAATGAGTTAACTGGCTCACCACGAGGATGAGGAGCTGAATATCGTGAATGCCATTAGGGTGCCACATGATGCTCTCCACCGCTTCTGTGATGCTTTGAAAGAGCCTTTGAGCTTGATCGTTTCTGCCTCCACTCTCAAGCGTACGTTCAATGGCCAGCACGAGTTTCATCTTATTGGTGTCGTCGTTGAAAAGCACTTCCAGAACTCGCCCTCCCTTGTAGAAAGGTCCGTCTCTTTGCGCGTTCTCCAGCACCTCGAAAACGTTGCTGGCAACTTTCAGTGTCTCAGAGCGGGTCACAAGCCGGAAAAGCGACCCAACATGGTAACACCAATCATCGATAAGGTGAAAGGCATCCTGTTTCTTGACGTCCCATAATGGATCCATGTTCAGTAACTTCATGAGTGGACCATACTGTGTTAATCTCGATGAAGAGCCAAGCGCACTTCCCATTCTCGGGGTAGGTTTTTCAAGAATGGCCCCTGGGATGCCCATTGCCTTGAGGTTTCCACTGACCACGTTCAGAGTGTGCTCTGAGCTCGACGGCCCACAAAATTCGGGAACTTCAGTGCTAGAATCTCCGGGAGGTCGAATCGATTGGTTATCCCATAATGGGGTGGTAGCTTCGACAGGCTGCTGTTGATTGATTCTAGAAGTGACGGGAGCAAAATCCTGAGGTAACACTTCATTTCGCCGAACAAAGGTGCCAGGGTTGCCTTCAGCAGGCATGGGCGTTCTATGGGGAGGGGGGAACATAAATAGTGAACAAGAGTGGCCATCATCTTCACCTACGGTTGATCAAGTGCACGCTGGTAAGGATGCTCCGGATAGGTACATTGCACAGCTTTGGCTTCGCATCTCTGGCAGGGTTCGCCTCCCGTGCATTTGATCTTTCGTCGTTTGCACTCATTACTGGATAATAATCAGTCATCCAGTTCCAGAAGGATTTTTAATTGCTGGAAGTCGAACCATGCTTGATTGATATACTGCGCTCTCCGCGAACGCGGTATATGATGACGCTTGGTCTTGGCGTTCATTAGAGAAGAAGTCGCTCAATGTGGAGGAGAAAAATAGAACAAGAGGCTCGATTGATTTGATAAACCAAAGTATCCTTGCATTTGCTGCTAGAATGGTATGAAAGAGCCACGATGAGAAGTGAAAAGCCCTTAGCTCCCTGGCGTGGCTCTCCAAACTCCGGGGGAGACCCCGAGCGCCGCTAATAGTTGGAAAAAGAACGGCCATCAATATGATAAGTGGCAACGCCAAGGCTTGTCAAGTCCTCTACCGTGGACTTGAAGGTGTACACGTCGCTCACGTGAGGTAGTTGGCTTGGCAATGATGCAACTTGCGCCCTTCCTCCTTTTCAGTCTTGCTTCCTTCACTAGACTCTGTAGTCTATCAAAAGGTTCTCTACACCGCTCTCGAGGAGGAGAGAGGCGTAGATCCAAGAGGTCTCTGAATGACCAAACCTCTGTTCGAAGTGAACCCAGAGCGCTGAGACGTAACCGAAGACGACAACATCACAACTCCTTTAAAAGATCTCTTTACCCTGCAGAACAGTCTCTTCTTCCACAAAGAATACTTCCTCATTCCCCTCAGAGACCTCGACAGCAGGAGAGCTCTCTGAACGGCGATGGGCAGAAGGTCGCGTGAACGCCTAGACTTACGAAGCCGAGACATTCGAAGCTAAAGACGGCCTCGAACTCGACACTCGCTAGAAGGGGAATGGCAATCGCGATTCTAAGAATCTGAGACGTAGTTTAGAAGTAGTAAAATAAAAACATGCTGCATACATGGCTCCCATTATATACAGTATTTCCTCCATTATCTCTCACCACTGCGTGCATGCAAATACAATTTTTGTCAGTCTTTGTCATTTAGTGAGCGTGGCGGCGGGAAGCATATCGCTTGCGGAATTTGTCAATGTGCATCTTGGCTCCAGCTTGGAATTTCCTGACATCCAGATCCTCATACGTGGTTCGTTTCTTCAAACCAGATTGGCCCGTGAGTTTAGCACCGTAAGGGTTTGCAGCTTCATAGGCAGCCAAAGCAGAGCATTCCTCCTTGTACGATTTCTTGCCAACAAATGCTTCAGCATCAATGTCGTCAGGTCGTTCAACGAATTGAAGAGCAAGACCACCGTCGACGTGCCATGTGATGTGACAATGCATGAGCCATGCGCCAGGGTTATTGGTCTCAAAACCAATCACGGTCCAACCCGCGGGCTGACCAACTCCTGGAGAACCTCGCAACATGACAGTATCTCGACGCATAGGGTTGTTGAAGTTCAAGCTATTGACTGAGTCCGAAGTAAAATTACCGATTCCTGTGCCGAGAACAGAGAAATCATGACCGTGGACATGCATGGGGTGAGAAGCGAAGAACTGGTTCTGAATGATAAAGTATACCCATTGGTTGGCTTTGTTGAGAATGACCGGGTTGCTGATGAGGTTGTTGGAGGAACCGTCCGCAATCGTCTGGAGAGTTGGTTGACTATAGTTGACATTGATGGCCGCATTGTTGATATACCATTGGAAGACAGTCCCATCATCATTGGTGGCAACGGACGTTACAGATCCAGCAGGGATGGTCGATGCAGATGATTGGAAGGAAGTCAAGGTACCTGCAGGTTTCTCAAGGTGTGGCACCAAGGAAGCAAGAGGTTCATCCTGGCAAATGTCGGCAGTGACGTTGGTGATGGCAGTCTGGGAAATAACGGTCGCGGTAGAGTTGGCTCCCTCATAGGTCATGATGGCGTTGGCAATACCCAACCCAGAGTTGGCACCACCAGAAGGACATTGAGTTTGGATAACGGCACGAACAAAATATCTGCTTGGGGCTTGGTCCATCTCCACGATAACGTCATATCGTTGACCGTTGGCAATGTTGAGCGTGGTGGTCTTGTAAGGAATTATGGGGACGAAATCAGCGGCAATAACGGTCATGGTGTGCTTGTCGAATCCAACGATGTAGGCATTTTGCGCGGAACTGAGAGTATTGCTTAGCTAGAAAAACTAAAACCCAAAGATTTTGCGGGGCGAGAAGAGGAAACTCTCTCCAAAACTGACCTGTTGATGATGCGGAACAAATGCTTCTTGCAAGGTTTGACAGACCACTCAAAGGATTGGCCGGCGCTGCCATCGGGAGACTTATTCTTGCCATTGAACAAGGTGTTGAAAGAGCCAGCGGGCCCAACGTGGGCGATACGAGAAGCCATAGCAGCAGCGGAGACCGGGAATGTGTCGTCAATCATGACAGTGCCCATGTCGAGATCATAGTTGGCAGTAGCGGGTCCATGAATGACAATGGGTCCACGGATACCATCACCGTATTGAGCAAACGAATGGCTGTGATACCACGAAGTTCCGTACGAGCTTGCGTGCCAAGTGTATGTGCGAGAGCCACCATTTCCAGCAATAGCACACTCGGTAACACCGGGAACACCATCCTGATCATTGGTGCCAAATTGACGGATACCGTGGAAGTGAATGGAAGTGCTGTTATCTTGCATTTGGTTGATGACCGTGACTTCGATCATGTCCCCCCAGTTAGCCTCAATGACGGGTCCTGGAACTTGATCATTGATTGCAAGAGCAAGCTTGGGGCCAGTTCCATCGAAAATCTTGGTGGTGTTGGTGATGGTGAAGTTGTAGCTTCGGGTGACACCGGTGAAGTAGTTGGTGGTGTAGACATCGGTGTCGAGATCTTTGCCATCACACCACTTGGATCGATCAGTGGCGGTGTTGCAAATGTCAGTTGAGTTGGACACTGGAGTTGAAGTAGCAGGGCAGAGGCCGCTGGTGGTGGTTTTGCTGGCAGAAGCTGTGGCCGAAGAGCCAGTAGAGCTCGTCTTTGATCCGCTGATAGAGCTGGAGCTCTTGTTGGCACTCAGGGAACTTGTTGAAACAGTGCCAGGACCAGTGCCAGTCTTGCTACCAGTGTTAGAGGTAGTACCGTAGCTGGCGCTGGCGGTGGTGCTGCCGCTTGGTTTTCCGCTGCTTGGTGAGGTTTCGGATGAAGTACCATGCACAGAGCTAGTCGTTGAAGAACCAAGGCCTCCATGGCCACCAGAGCCTTCAGAGCCACTTGTGGTCGTAGCAGGATTAGTATCATCAGTAGTGGAAGCGGTCCAGGTGGGTGAAACTGTCGTTTCGGTATCCGTGGGTGGAACATTATTCCAGTCGTCCCATTGGCCTGTGTATTTGGTCTTCTCTGCATCCCACAATGACGCCCAAGCATCTTCGGCGCCATTGTTCCCCTTGCCAGGGTGACCACCGTTTCCATTACCTCTCACGCCAGTAGCATCAGGAGCATCACAGGTCAGAATTGAGGTTAATGGGCAGACTGAGTGAGTTCGAGTAGCCGTGACGGTGACGACGATATCGGACTCGGATTTGCCTGCATTGACAAGGCCGAGCGCAGCAGCAGTGAGAAAGAGAGGAAAAGAACGCATGATTGAACGAATGGACGCAAGCACTACAGCTTGCAGAAAGGAGTGACCTGGAAAACAAGTAGGGCGTGCACAGAGAGAGAAAAAGAGAGAGCGACAGAGACAGAGACAGAGAAAGAAACAAAACCGTTGGGAAGCGAGTTATATCAATTATCTCTGCACCATTGGGGAGGACTTTACCTTTTGGTCTATCATTTGGACCAGCCTGATGGGCCTGATGCAAGCGATGGGGCAATTCGCATCGGACACCGACATTACTTGAGCTAGACTTATGGCGCTGGGGGAACATGTGTCTCAGTTTAGCACGGTGGACAGAAAGAGAATGGTCTCCTCCGGTGGAAAGACGGCAGCGACCTCCTGAATGATGTCGACCAAGGAGTGCCGGTAGGTCTTTGGTGTAGTGTTGGGGTGGACACGCCGAAGCTCGCTAAGCTTTCGCCGGTGGAAATTGGATTGATCTTAAGTTTTAGGAACTTCTTGTCACGGCGTAGCGCCTGCCAATCGGGGTGGGGATAAAGGAGAAGTCGAGGTAAGGACTTTCCAGGGAAAGGAAGCTTGTTGTGCGGCATGAGCTTGTTTCTATAGCCTGGGCTAGCAAGCCGCTTGCTTATGAAGGATTCGGGCCAGGGTAGTGGAAGCGAAATCGAGGTTTGATCCATCTTGGGAGACACGTGTCGGTGAGGGATGGAGGAGGGTAGAGGTTGAAGAGGGATCTGCAAATGATGCCAGAGCTGACTAGAATAGAATGAGAATGGATTGCTGTTGATTCGAGGATTCAAATATTCGTAGACCGCACCTCGCTTTCTCTCAGCGGGCCACTTCGGCTCGTCTGCCCCCGTCATACTGTCTCTTTGCTGTCAGCCATGCGGCGACGTCAAAACATCCTCATACGCCTTGCACAGATCCCAACTCCCGTCATCCCATTTTCATGTCATCCTCGATGATCTGTGCTACCATTTTATCGACATCATTTCGCACGACGTCAAGTTCCTAAATTCAACATCATCCCATTGAAACATTAGCGGTCCGGCCGAATATTTTTGGTTCATACTCCATCTGGCCCCACCTCCTTGTCTTTTAGCCTCCTATGTGGGTTTTACCGACTGCCAATTTCTACGAAAGAACCGTGATGCTTGAGGCATCCTTCCACATCATATCTGATTCGCCTTTCCCTTGCCGTGATTTTTTATTTTGAATCATGGATAGATTTGTGCAGGACAAGAAAAATATAAGGGAGGCTACATAGGAAATACAATATCGTCACGGCCAAAGTAGGGCACAAGTAATCGTTTGGTATCCTCAGCCCAACGACCCGGGTCCCTGAGGATCTGGTTCAATTGTGAAGTCAACAATCGTGAACACTCCCAAAACCGCGTTGACTTCCCCATGTTTTCCTCATTGGCTCAATCTCCTCAAAGGCTTTTTCCATGTGTGTCCGAGGTGGTCGTCGCGGTTTCCAATTGCGAGGGCGCAATGGCTTGACTTGGTCAAGGGCTTGGTACGCTTAATTATGACGATCAATCCTGGCCATCTCCACAAAAGGCATTCCGGGTGGGGCGGTCCTCCCTAATGTTTTGCCCGGATCGGAGTGTTCAGGGGCTGGTGAGGCCACCAGGCTTACATTGACCTCGTACGAGATTATCGCGGATGATTTTCGTCTCTAAGATTGAGATGTTGTCAATCACAATACGAAAAGCAAAACAAGGCGTGCTCTCAATCTTGGCTATCTCGCTGCGGACTGGTTTCCAGTACCCAGATATCTGCTTCTCCTTCGGACAAATTCTGTGTGCATCTCTGGCTCACCCGGGCGGAATGGCAGAATGGGGTTCAAAATTTTTCATGCCGGCAAACACTCAGCATCAAGCACCTCTCCCCGGCGAACTGGGAGCCGTATCATCGGTCTTCCCCAACATTTCGTTTGTCAAAACCTCTCTACGGTCAAGCTTCAACTGCTCGCCATTTCGTGACGACATTGTTTCTCCTGCATTTCTGGCGGGCGCATCTTGGTAACAGGTCAAGCTCTTCCTCATGGCGACTGCCGACCTCTGATGGCCTCACTAAATTTCTGAGAGGCGAAGCTCTTTGAATTGGGAGAGACGACGTTGCGACAACATCCCCGCAAAGGGCCCCGAAGTTCAACAGACCTCGGTGCCTGATTGGTCTTGAAAAATGACCCATTTTCTTGCATGCCCCATGGTGCTGTCCCTGCTACACCAAAGATTAAAATGATATGGACTACGACGTCCATCCCGTGATCCGAACTCAGTGACAAGGTTAGAGCCAAATTTGAGGGGAATGCCCTATGGGGCTATTGCATCCAATTGGATTACTTTGGGACACTCCAGACTCTATTCGTCGTATCCGACTAGGCCTTGATGGATGCAACGACGCTCAGAAATCTTCCGGGCATGGTTACCGCAGACTTCGAAGAAACGACTTTGCATGTTGTGGGGAACATTCAATATCCTGCTAGGCAAGCTGGTGTGCGGTGTCGCAACCGTGCCTGGTAAGCTACATTCGTACTGCTCCAGATTTCTCACAGAAAACGTCTAGTCGGCTACCCCAAGCCAAGAAGGTCTACGCCAAAGGTTCTTGCCTCGCCCTGAAGCTGGTTCGTACTTCATCTCTAGATGATGTCTAATATCCCTGAAATCTCAAATCGCCTCTGGAGCTGCCTTTTCGATTTTCAGATCTTCGAAGCACTGCATCATAGTCATATATTCTTTAGCGAAACCTGATCTCACCAAATACCGATTTCGATTTCAGACTTGAGCATTCATCGTTGTACCTTGAGCCACCCTGAGCCATGGCTATACAATCCACTGCCTAGCCCGAGTAAGTTCAGTGCCTGACTGACGCTCCTTAGATAACCCCGATCTTCAGCCCCAACCTGGTCAAGGATTCAGTTTCTGGTACATCCGCCTCAAGAGTTCTAGGTTCTGGGTTATGGAGGCTACTTATTCTTGCTTTGCCATTCGATGGATTCCACATCTGCTCCAATGAGCCCAGTTCTGTGCCCACTGACACCATCGCTTTGCCAAAGCACGTTTCTGTCCCTCCTCTGACCAGGTCAAACAATTCCTTTGTGGCCATGTCTCGCCCTCGAATCTCCACAGACTGGTTGAAATCTGTCAGGAAATTGCAGAATGTGGAAAGTACAGAACATCCGTAAAGCTTGGGAGTCGGCGCCAGAAAGGATGTCTGTGGAGTTATTAGGCCCTCTAGCGACCTGACAATTTTGTTGGATCCCGTCATGAACGGATCGAACGTTGTTTACCTCCCAGGCCGAGCTCTGAAGGGCATCGTACCAGTTAATTGAAGGACGGTAGCTTGAGGATGGAAGAAATTCGCCCTCGAAGTTGGTTTCAGACAGAGGACCAAGGAACCACCACTCTTTCAAGCTCGACCTTGCCATACTGGCCATAGCCTCGCCGGGGAATGCGCCAAAATAAAAATGTTTCGTTTACTAAATGAGGCGATTCGTATCCCCTCAAATCCGTGGATGGGCTGGATCAGCTACGAATGGCTATCGGGAATCAAGGTCCGGAAAAAACAATGTGAGCTATCCCAGGAAACAAGACAAGGCTGGGGAGGGCCGAGTCAGCCAGCCCCTTCAAGCTTTCCCACATGTATCAATCATGACAGCCTTTGCTCTATGCTTCTAGTTGATTTGCTTCGATGATGCACATGGTCCATCACGTTTGTCCTCCTCCCTCCAGGTCGCCCTGTTCCTTCTCACGCCTTGCCAATATACATCTCAATCCTTCCTGCTGGACAAACCAATAATCAAACAATTCCCATTCCGCCTTTGGATCGGCCAGTTCGACATGATAGCGTCGAAGAAGCTGCGGCACAAGCTTCGACATCTCCATCAGCGAAATATTCTTGCCCAAACATGTTCTTGATCCAGCACCAAACTACAAAGAAAGGGGGTACGTCAGCGCTTTGCCCTATATTGTCTCTAAGGACGGAGTGAGGCCGTAGAGTAACTCACCGCAAGCCAATTTCTGTCCATCAGTTTCAAGGTTTGTTCATCGGCGTCCAACCATCGTTCGGGGCGGAATACATCGGCATCGTCCCCATAGACAGCCTTATCTCTCGCCGCCACCCATGGATTGATTCCGACGATTGTGCCACTGGGTAAGAATGAACTTCCTATCATAAGCCCTTCTTCCGGTACCACTCGTTCAAGGAGTTGTCCAACAGCCGGATGCATGCGTAAGGCTTCTCGCATGCAGGCCTGGAAGTACGGCATGCGCTGAGCCTCGTAATAAGTGATATACTCGGACAATTCGCCCCGAGCGTCAAAAGAAAGAATCTCCTCCACGAGCTTTTTGTATATATGAGGATTTTTGCAGAGGTAATAGAACATTGCTCGAAGAGAAATAGCTGTAGTATCACTACCAGCAAATCTGAATAGGTGTCAATCAAAAGCTAATCAGGTTAAAGGATATCAGAAACGCACACATTTGAGGCGGCGTGGCCCAGGAGCTCTCGATCACTCATCACCTGCTCCCCCTCTCTGGTTCGTTTGAAGCGCGCGACGATGTCTTTCTTCCCATGCTCCACTTTTGAATTCTGTCTTTGTTCAAGCTGTTGTGCGGCAAAGCCGACAATATATTGAGAGGAGTTGAGTCGCGCCAACGTGGGAATCATGTCCGCAAACTTGGAGACTAGACTGTTCCCCAGGAGCAATTTGTGTAGGCTAGGGACTTGGCCGATGATTGAGTTGTAGACTAACCTGCCCTCAATGGCGGATATAATTCCAAGGACGTCTTCTTCCTTTTCCATGAACCCCAAGCAGTTTGAAAAGGTAATAGAGGTAATGACGTCGAAGGCATACCAGTGCAGCCAGGTTCCAAAGTCAATATCCCGACCCTGCAAGCCATCTAGCTTCCGTTCTAGGATTCTAGTGCAGTCGTCGGCCAGCGACTCAAGGTCCAAAAGGGAGCTCAGCGCAAAAGCGGCACCGACTGGACGCTTGAGATTCTTGTGTCCGGTTGGATCAACGATCGAGAACACGGTAGGGATATTGCCCCGCGGGGATTTTGCGTGAAACAAGGTGTAAAAATGGCTCTGAGTGGCTCAGTCAGCAAGTCAACTTGGGCATTCTTCAAAAAGGACTGTTGCACACCTTGTCGAACTTGGACGTGATGTTGTAGATCACCGATATTTGGTCAGAGTCCGCAACGGAGACATGTATCGGCCCGACTCGTACAATGGGTCCATATTTCTGATGGTAAGCGAGATGTTTCTGGAACTGGCGGCCAGAATAGGTGGTGAGGATTCGATCTAACGGTGATATACTGGCGAGGAATGGTCCCGGAATTTCTCTCAAGCCTTTTCGATATCGTACACTGACCAAAAATAAGAAGCCAATTGCCAACAAAACAGCTCCAATTCTCGACCATGTAGAATAGTCAAAAAAATTCGGCGGCGACATTGTCCTTCAGGCACGTTTATCCGGGCACGGTGAAGTTGGGAAAGGTGGCCGCTCCTTGACGCAGTACGTTTTCAGATCTCCTCGTCTTGAACAAAGCAGCGCCATGGGATGAGAACAAAAGGAAAATATAGGAATCGACGAAAAGCAATTTGGCCCAAAGATTGAAAAATCAATATCTCACAATGTCCCCCGGGAGATCGGGTTCTATCCGGTGAACCCCCGCAAGCGCTTCAGCATCACAATGCGGAGAGCATTGCGGGGACTTCTGCTCCGATACCCGGGTATGAAATATTGCTCTTCCGCTCTTGCCGCTATCGCCGCTATCAGGAAACACTTTGTATGATCATGGGTGAAAGCCGGGAGCTGGGAGTGGGCATCATTCAGCTTTGTGAGAAACAATGGAAGCGGGTAGGAAAACATGGTATCCTAGGTCCAATCTCATCCCCCACCTCGAAACTCTTGCGCGCCTGGGATATCCGCACGATTCATTTGGATGGTAAGATGCCCAACAAACGCCTCCCCCCCCCCCGGTTGAATGACCTCCGATACCCTTCGCCAAAACCAAGATTCAAAGCTTTCATGGCTGATCCACATCCATCCTGTCTAGAATCAACTTCACCTCATTTCCTTTCCCAGAACCACCATCCATTTCCGTAATCAGCGCCGCGGCTTTTTGCTTCAGCTCTCGGATGACTTTCCTTGAATAATCGAAACTTCCTGTTCCTTCCATATACTTGACGGCATATCTCTTGACCTCATCATCGGTGGTTTTCTGTTTGAGGATGTTGATGAGCTGCAGATTGGAGGGGTTGCTCCGTATGGAATGAATGATCGGGAAGGAGAATTTGCCTTCGGTCAAATCCTCACACAACCCCTTATTCTTTGTGTAGGCACTTGATGACAAATTGAGATAGTCATCACATATCTGAAAGACCAAACCCATCAAGTTAACAAGCGGCACGCAATCAATGCGGCCTTTTTCTGGAGACTCGGCCTGCATCAGCTTGACGGCCAAACGAAACAAGCCCCCGGTTTTGTTCTGAACCATTTCGAGGTAGTCATCCTCGGTCGGGCAGGTCAACGTATCTCGCCAGTAGAGCTCCATTCCCTGGCCGCGATGAAGATTGAGCAATTCCGTTGTGAAGATTTCCATTACTTCGTCTTTGTTTTCCAAATGCTGAAGTTCTTTCAGGGCGAGAAAATAGACGTAGTTGGCGCTGTTGATGGTCTGCGCCGTGCCAAAGATATTGTGTGCAACTGGGACTCCTCTTCGCAGCATACTTCCATCCTGCACATCGTCGATCAGAAGCGAAGATGTATGCAACATGCCAACCACTTTGGTAATCACATCCAGGGATAGTGGCGGGACGTGAAGGAATGCATTGAAGGCTTTGATCAAGGCGGACCTGATATCCTTTCCGGGATGCGCGAACAAATAATCATATGGTCCCATGATGATCTTCTCTTTCTGCGGTGTCCACTCCCCCAAGCGTCTCGACATGAGGTTTTCTGGAGCGGATTTCTTTTTCGAATGCCTGCGCTTCAGACCGTTGGTGTGTTCGGAGGGAGGTGGGCCCACGGTCGGAGGCAAGGAATGGTGCTTAGGAGACATCCAGCTGTCTTCGGGAAGAGGCTTGAGGACGGATTTCGAAGGTTGGTGCTGAATGCCATTGGGAACACCGGCAGAGCTGTAGCGGATGGGGATGGCGTTGGGAGAGGTTGGGTTTTCTGTGGCAGTCGACATCGACAGACAGGTCTCGGGTTTAGGTGTGAACGAGCATGTGAAAGCGTCGGAATAGATTTGGGTGCGGTTGTTGGCCAAATGTATCAGAGTCGGCGTGTCGAGAGATGAATGGCTCGGTGGGCGGTTAAGTTGAATGGGATCTGGAGCTGAAGAAGCAAGATAATAATATACAGGTGTGGAGTGGTTAGAAGCTGAGGTCAGACAAGTAGGTGCGCCCGTAGCCTTTTAGGCATCGATGACACGGTCGCCGCACCTGATGGAGAGAGTGCCATCACATGCCGAGGCCTAGATGACTAGGCTTAACTGAGAAGAAGATGCCTACAAATTGCGACTGGCCTTGCCACTGAGTAAGTAAATCAACGGAACAAAATCCGACCGGTAGTACCTGCAGGTAATCTCCCAACTAGCAGGGCGCCAGTCAGATACCCTGACAGCAAAATACTCGTTGCCCCCGCATGTTTGGATCTAACCTGTTGTGGCGTATATAGCTGCGCCTTATCCATCTTCTCGAGGACGTCTCTCAATTCCCACCGTTTCCACCTCTTCTCTCGTGGCAGCCACAATGGAAACTCTCCTCTCCCACTCCTTCGACTACCTCTCCTCCACATCGCCTCAAAGGATCCGCAAGGGACTACGACAGGTCGAAGGACTTCTGGCTCAGCTATGTCTGCCAAAGGTGACCGCGCTCAATAAGCGACAATCTATGCTGCTTCTCGGGTCCTCTTCGCCGCCATCTGGCAAGAAACTATCCGAACTTCCCGAAGATCCAGCTTTCCGAGAATTCTTCAAGCTTCAACAAAGCTTCCAATGGAACATTGCGATGAGATTGGTCGCGTGTCTGGAGAGATTGTTGGGGAAAGAGAGCAACGGAACAAATGATCTGTTGATCATTCAAACATTGGACCTCATCCAAGGAGTGCTGCTTTTACATCCGCCCTCCCGCGCCCTCTTCTCCCAAGAAATATACATGAACGTACGTGTCACCAACGGCAACCCGTTCTTAAAGCAGCTTCTGACCCCCATACTAGCTTTTCCTTGACCTGCTGGACCCTTCAAACTGTCCCGCCATCCAATCTTCCACCATCATGGCTCTCGTCACCTCGTTACTCGACCAACCTCAAAACACCCGAACGTTCGAAACCATTGACGGACTCCTGGTAGTGACATCTCTCTTCAAATCTCGCAGCACCGCACGCGAGGTAAAATTGAAGCTGGTCGAGTTCTTGTATTTTTACCTCATGCCTGAGTCACCGGCACCCAAGATGTCGATATCCACATCAGCTACCAACACTGCAATTCTGGGCGGACGAGGAAAAGAATTGATTGCTGCTTTTGATCGACGGAGAGAAACCGTGAATGGTCCGGAGGGTGGAAAGAATCCCCCAGGTGACAAAAAAACAACAGAAGAGAAGCAAAACCTCCTCAGCAAACACCTGAACAATGTCCAGGATTTGGTGCAGGATTTGAGAGAAGGGGGTGGTATTTTTGGTGTGGGCGGCCAAGATGAGTGAATACTGCCTCGAGCTCACCCCGTTTCGGGACAATTTTGCAGCCTATAACCGATGCGCCTCTCGCTAAGTGCTAACCTTAGACGAAGGGAATTTAGACTATGTAGCTTTGCCATAAAGTCTCCCGCATTGCCGAGCATTTAAGCATACTCTGAGCCGCTTCACCTGCTTGCTTAAACCTCGCACAATCGTCCGTTCTCGAGCATCTTCCTCAAAGGAATGTTCGTAATACGCTCCTAACGAGACTTATTCGAGTTCCCCATAGCCTACTCTATCCCGTGGAGTTTGAGTCTGCCCTGGCCAAATCGAGGAATCCGCCGAAACAGCAGCAGGCCAGATCTCCCCATACCGCCTGCAAGCTCGCCTTGCCTCTCTCGGCTTGCGACCCTCCATAGAAACCGATAATAGCCTTATAGCTTAGGCTTAGGCTTAGGCCTAACCTCCCAGTTCCCGCCGATGCAGTATGTTACCGTCCGACCTCCAGTGGCTTTCCAAGCACGAAGATCATAGACGTTGCAGAAGTCTTGGCCAAGAAGGTTCAGATCAGAAAAGTGTGAATCTAACGGTGCCAGATGAACTGGGTTAGTATATCCGGCAATTCTAGCTCCCCAAGGACCATCCTTCTGTTTAAGACCGAAAGCTTCCGCTACCTAAAGTTAAGGCATTCTTCCTATGGATGAACACTTACCTGGGTTGAGATGTACGTCAATGGGGCGCTAGTATCCATAATAAAGAAAACCCAACGAGCCTGATCACATGGAAAAATCATGCGAAACTTCTGGCCGTACGCAAAACCATGAAGTGTTGTAGTCATCGTATTAGCCTCCTCTTTCGTCGCCTCCTTGAGGTATGGTATACCCACAAGTTTCGAAATTTCAGAGTGTAGCGTGTCGTTGTTTATATCCGCGATTAAGACATCATAGTCTTTCGAGTCCACGCCACCAATGTCATGAATATCAACAAATTCGCCACGCTCTATGGCCTCTTTTGCTGCCTTCTGGCGGAAGAAACCTATTGGACTTGGACTCGAAGCAGAGAAGCGCCGAGCGAGAGTCGCATAACTGGGAGGTCCCGAGAACGGAGCTAGTTCAGTGTTGAGATAGCGCGTCTGAAGACGACCGCAGAGAGGATTAGGGAGGGGGTTGCGGAAGGGATTGCGAAGGGCCTTGAGGGCTTGTCGGCTTAGAAGCTTGAGCACGGCGAGCCGGGAAGTCCATATTGGAGGCCGAAAGAGTGATTGAGAGTGCTGAAGTGTATGAATGCTGAAGTGCATAAATAGGTAGCAGTTGCCAAGACAATTCACGTGCCGACAGAGGGTCTGGGGGAGTCGCACGTGAATGTAAAAACCATTAGCAATGCATCTTGAATGACGAATGATTCCACAGATTCGACCTGATATTGTGATGGGCAGCTTGATCTCCCGCTTGACTTTGGTTGGTGCAGGATCCGTGAAGAGCAGGTCCTGGACTGCATGATGATTTGAGATTAATTGTATTGCTTATATGTGATGAACTAGACTGGATAGGTAAAAGTAAACCCGAATACGCAAATCCAAAGTCGTGATCAAATTGTTTTCCATAGGGGCGTTGAGCGCAATGCAATGTCCATGACCCGTAGTGCAACTCTTATTCTTGGTCGCGATTGCTGTGACTCATGACGAGTTGGAAAGGAAAAGGCGGTATTGTTAGCCTTACCGTGGCATAAAATATTCCGAAACAACAGAAAGCGACGCAAATTTGCACTCGTCAGAGCGTTGAATTCTCATTGTTCTTTTTAGGTCTTTCCATGCGCATCGAGGAGTTCCAAATTCCGCAAATACCGTCACACATTATCTATTCATTATTCCTCTCTCAAGATGGCCATTCCTCAATCTCCAGACCCATCCATCCGTTATCTCTCCACCACACATGCGTACGATCTTTGGGCCGCCGTCTACGATATTGACGGAAACTTCCTCCAAGCGCTTGACACTATCGAAATGAAAACTCTCTTGCCACGAATGCTTGAGCTTCTTGAAAAGTCGCCATTTCCACCACCCTGGAAGCTGGTCGACCTGGGCTGTGGGACGGGCCGTAATACGGCGGCTTTACTGGAGGTTAAAGGGGCCACCGTCGTGGGTCTCGATGTCAGTTCAGGGATGCTGGAGGTTGCAAGACGACGACTTGGGAAGTTTGGAGTCGAGGGTATATTGCAGCTTGAGATTTTCGATATGCTCCAACAGCCATCTCCACCTGCTTCGGCCGTGGGTGCAGACGCGGTTGTCTCGACATTGGTGATTGAACATATCCCGGCTGATATCTTCTTTCGCCATGTAACTCAAATCCTCAAGCCCGGTGGAATTCTGCTATTGACCAATATGCATTCAGAGATGGGTGGCATCAGTCAAGCAGGATTTATTGATCCCCAAACTGGCGAAAAGATTCGTCCGACCAGTTATGCTCACACGGTTGCGGAAGTGGAGGCGGAAGCGGCGAAGAATGGGCTGGAAGTTGTCGGCAAGATGGACGAGAGAGCAGTGGACGAATCTACGGTACCGATACTCGGCGAACGGTCGCAGAAGTGGGTTGGAATAACCGTTTGGTTTGGAGGCATTCTTCGAAAGAAAACCTTGAGTGAAGAGTAATGGACATTCCACGCACCATCCAGTCGACATGTCCCATTTCAGCTCGAGAAGAACCCACGCATCAGCCGGGCTCTGTGTTGTACCAGGTTTTCGTGCATCTGCAATGCTTCTTTCAAAGTGGGTGTTTTCCATTCTAAATTTTCGTCGAGAACGATCTGAGTGTATGCGAATAAGCTGGCGTCAAAGAGCCCAGGGGTTGTCTGGCCAAAGAAAAATTTGTTCTCTGCCAAAAGAGTCGATAATGATTGAAATGCGTCGGCGGCTTTTCTGTACAATTCTTGGCCATCAATGATAGCGCTTGTCTTCAACAGTTCTTCTCTGGCCGCGTTGCGAAGTTGATATGCAAGACTCATTCGAACGGCATAAGATGTAGACGCGGACGCAACATACATTGGCCATGCTACAGAGCGGAAATTGTCTTCGTCCAAATACAAGTAGTATAACCAGGCACTTCGAATGGTATGGTCAATCAACGCGGTGTACGTCTCTTGTCGTGGGTGAGTATCCTCCTCTTTTCCGCCTTGTAATACTACCCATCGTGCTATTCGATTCGCGGGAATCGGCGCTGCCGGTCGCAGAGAGTCCTGAGGAGCAGGCAAAAGAAATGGGAGAGAACCCGTCGGAGAAGCGTGATTGTTGGATGCCCGAGTGCGAAGCGGAATACCATGGAACTTGAGATACGCCTGCCATTTCAAACAGGATGGATTGAAGGAGGGCGCGTCACGGCTTCGAGGCTCGTCCGACTGAAAAATGTATAGGATAGTCTCGTTCTGCTGTTTAGGAGCTCGTTGAGGAAGACCATTTGCCGGATAGGTGACGAGAGGAAATCGATCGAATACGCGACGGATGGGTTGAGGGAGAGACCACCATGATGAGGGCGAGGATTCCTTGGACCATGTTCTAACAGCAGCCTTTGAACGACGCGTTGTTTCGGTGGTATTGCAGTGGTCGTTCATATCCACCCCCATTGTTGTGCACCACCAAGAAAATGATAATAATATCTGGCCAAAGAAGAAACCGAGGGAAGTAATAGGGTGGGAAAAACAAATGGATTTTGGGTGTGGAGCGTCGTTCACTTGCGCATTGTAAGTTCACGGCGCCCCGGCTTACACTCCGTACAAAGATCTTCTGACATCTCAATGCCTGCTGCAGCTAATCACTCCTTCAACCCACTCATTGCATTCCAACTCAACCATATCCATTCCGGCCACATTCTTTACGAACCAAAGAACACGGTGCTAGGTCTTTCAGCAAGGAATTTTCCACCTTACAAAGTCTCTTGCTCCTAAGGATCGTTCAAGTCTTTTCCACCTCTACCACCTGACCAAAATTCTCGTCATCTTCCACGACACCGAGGCCACACAGTCGGACCACCTTCGGGTCACAGCAAGCCCCAATCTCCTGTCTTACCGCAACATGCATGACAGATCAAACGAAAAGGGCGCCACTCCGCCGAAATCCACCGCGAGAGTGGAGGATGGCAAGATCCGAAAATTGAAAGCGGCAAGCAAAAGCGATTCCCCCGCAATTCAGCATTTCAATGGCAAAACATATGCTTGCGAGTCTTGTAAAAGAGGGCACCGAGTTCACAAGTGCGATCATGGAAAGACGAGACCCATATCAGAAACAAATCAACCGGGTCGACCATCCGGTGGTCAAAAACGAGGATGTCAATGCCCGAGGAACTGCGCCTGCACAACAAAAACCTGCAAATGCGAAAGAGATTGCGCGTGTACCCAGGAGATGTATCTAATCGTCAGGCTTGACAGCCCCCAAGTCATCAATCGAGAAGCCACATCCACCCCGAAACCTGTATGGGAAGATGCCCATGGAAACAAGATGACCCTAAAGAAGGTTTGGGCCGATGCAAATGGCAAAGAAATCGACGACGAGGAATACCAAGATCGAAAACGCCGTATGAAAGAGAGGGAGGAAGGGGTTGCTTCCCCCCCCCACGTCGTCCAATCACCATGTTGCAGTTCGAAGAAACCAAAAGAGGAGCCTGAATCTCCCCCGTCCATATCTTCGGGAGGGTGTCGACATCGACAAAATGTTGCCGCGATACAGCCTCATTCCGACAGTCTCGCTCCAGACCCTCCTCCACACCAGGCTAAAATTGCCAATGACCCTTGGATGTCTGCTTGTTCATGTGGGTCCGGCTGCTCTTGTTTGTATTGTCCCGACCATCCCAACAACGCAACCTCGATCAATCATACCCAGCAACAGGTCAAGCACCTGGCTGAACATGCATATACCGGTGGTGAAGGTTTGATGCCCATGTCTTTCGTCCCAGACTCCAGTTCCACCTCCTGTATGGGAGGACGACCATCTTTCTTTCTTTCGAGAACACCCGGTGTTTCGCAACAACAACTTCAGCGATTTTTCCCTGAAAATTTCGACCCCAATGCCATTTATCTGACATATCCCATTCAACAGCACTCTTGGACGAATCAGCCAGTTAGTGCCCATTGTTCTCATGTTCATTCCCCATCCGGCGTGATGGCGGCGACTCCAGAGACGAGCGATGCATACGTAGATTCCCTCAATGATTTGTCCAGTCAGTCGATACCTTGGGATCTATTGCCAAATGATTCAAATGGTACGTGGAATTTCTCGGATGGCCAATTGGGTGATACCTCATTCAGCTGGATCGACCTGGACGCATCTCGCGGAACGGATTACAGTATTGGTCAAGCGACGGTGGCGTCAATGTCAAATGAGAGCCATTTCCAAGAACTTCAAGTTACAACAGCCCAACCAACACCAAGTATCGAATTGAATCTAGATCCCATGACCAGCCCAACCATCTTGAACGGTTTCCCCGTTCTCGAGAGCAGTAGTTTTCCAACTCCGGCGCCACAACTGGACCCACAAAATGCTTTTTTGAATTTGGAGGTTGAAGGTAGCCATGCTCTGCCCAATCACACAGTCAATGCACAATCGATGCCGATAGATCTTGGGTTCTCACAGCAGAGCGCGCTCAATGGAAATCCCTCGAGCCATGCTGACGGTGAATCCATGCAACCCCCAGGAGTATCTGAAGCCCAAATCTTCCATCAACATGGATGTGGTCACCAGGTCACTACATGGCGAATCACTAGCCTCAACGGGCCTATGACGCCATGGAATATGTATGATTCGTTGACCGATGACCAGGTCGATTCCGATTTACGAGGAGCTGCTATACCAAATTCACCCCCAATTGCGAATCGAGGATGATGAGACCGGATTATGGTACGAGCGAGAGTGCCTATCGTAGTATGGAATGTGCCCGAAACGGGAGATACGGAAATGAGAGTGATGAGAAATGTTTTTTTTTTTTTTAATCCCTGGAACGAAGTTATGTCATCTGAGCAAAGCGAAACCACGGAGCTTTCAAACCGGCTCTTTTCCTCGGCCCACCGATGAAGTTGAGATTGTACCTGAGGGAGACACCTACATAAGACGGAAAATGAGGTTTCATACGAGACTCCATACAACACTTTGAGACACTTGTGCAGCATGACCGTGGTATTTGACGGAAATCACCAGTGCGTTGCTTTACGTGTCATAGGAAGACTTGCATTAGATTCACGGGTTTTTTTTTGTCAAGATACGCCAGCATCTGTATTTTGTGAATATAGCGGATCCGGGATAGGTATGGAATCTCGGAGAGCCCAACCGTCGTTCATGTAGAATCTCTTTCTGTTGATTCCAGCGCTGATGCATTGTTATGATCAAGGGGATCATGATCAATTCGTGACTGGAGTTTCGTATATCTTGGTCAACATCATCAGTCTCGGCTTGCGAGTTTGGAGTTTCATAGCAGATCATGAACAGTACGTGTCTGCACATCGGTGTCATAAATGTCTGCTTTAGATCGTACGCCCTATGACGACTCGTTTTTTGAGAACTCTCTGCATTCCACTTGCACAGGTAACCGATCCCAAATCTTCGATCATTTCCCTTCATGGAATTTATCTCTTACCATTCTTCGCTTTCCTAGGTCTCTGCAGGTAGCACCGGCCTCGCATCTCCATGGCCATAATCAGCGGAATGTCCCAACCCAAGTCCGCTATCCACTCTTGCTTTTACGGAGATGACATTAACAAACTCGACCCCGTCCACGAGCATAATACCATTCTCATCCATCTCGATCGTGCTTTTTCTTACACTCGGCTTGGAGAATGAGAACGTTCGGGTGCGGGAATGGGACTTCCTTTTCGAGTCAGTCCGCGAATGGGAATGAACTTTAGGAGGGGAGGTGGATCGTAAGTTGGATTTTGCGGCCGAGTTGTGTCGAGAGTGAGAGGGGAGCGAACGAGGACGATCTTTGCGCTGCGACTTGGACTTAGAGCCCGACCTCAATATACCCGTGATCGATCTCCTTGTGTTGTTCTGCTGGCTATTGGCCTCCACAGTCGCTCCAGGGCGGATTTCAGATCTCGACGTCGAGACCCGAGAAGCCATAGGTATAGCTGAAATGGAAGTCGATCTATCCGAGAGCGATTTCGAGCGCACGAGCACACCAACTCTGTCGGCCAAATTGGACGTTAAACTTTTACGAGGCTGAGTTTCGCCTTCCTCGGAAACTGAGTCGTGAAACGTGTGGAAGAGCGAATTTGAGGCCCGCGATTCGGAGCACGAGGGATTGAATCGTGTTCGATGGTGCGTAATGTCAACGTGAGAGCCCGAGCTGGTCCTCTGTGATCTTGATCTCCGGTGAGATGTCGATTTTGATTGTGAGCTCTGTAGTTGATTTTGTTGGTGGTGTCGCCAGACTTCGTCGCGAGTTTTGGGAACATCTGGCCCTGGACAGGAACCCAAACATTCGCTGGAGTAGCTTCGCATTTCAGTAGGAACGGGGCTTGAGTGAGAATGGTGTTTGTTCACAAGAATTGATTTGGGGGGTGAATTTGCTCGTGAAATTCCTCGCGAAGTTGCCGATGTGAGGCACGTGTGGTATTGTAAATCGACGAGTTCGGTGTGATCGCGGGAGTTGAGCATTCGGTGGCACCAGGATATCTCCCACCTAGATACGGTGGAAGATCCCGGCGCTGACGGCGTCGAGGCTCCTCTGCCTAAGGAAGAGGCCTGTCCCTTCGATGTCATCCACGGGGAATTTGATTTCGAGCCGCCACCACCATGATATGAATCTGGTTGCACGAAGAGGAATTCTCCCCCATTAACATTCCAATCACCTCCACCCATGGCATCCCCGCTGCCAACACGTCTGACGATTTGCCATGCCGATTTCATAGCGCCGCTCATGAGAGAGTGTTGGATATAGCCGGGTGCTTTCTGGCCCAGTGACAGTGTCCTGTGCATGCCTAGGATATCGTAGAGTCGTGTTGACGGGTCAGCATAGACAGGATACAGACATTGCGTCAGGGCGGTGTAGGAAGAGATCAAGGTGGGCAGACCAGGTCCGATGATGATTACCCTTGGGAGTGAACGAGAGACCGGTTTGGAGAAGTTGGCTGTAGCTGGGGCGGTGGAAATAGGCCGGTGAGAGGGATGGAATGGTGATTCTGGCGAGGATAGTCGACGGATATATTCTTGACAGTTGCCACAGAAGAAGTGACGGATGAAAATTACCAGTACTCTTCTCTGGTTTCGTTGGTCATTGTCGCTGCAGTGGTCGAAGAGTGAGCCGAACAGCAGGGGAGTGCCATCGGAGGAGTAGATCTCGTGCTCGAATGCTTCTTTGAGCGTCTTCTGGTTGGGAAGGGTTTCGATGGCCATGCCGATTGAATTCTCTCGTGGTTTTTCCTTCCGATGCTTTCTCGTGCTCTCGTTTGAAAATTGGCGACTTGGGATGAGCTCTATATATATATATATATCGTCGTCGCAAATCTCCAGGATTTGCACCTGAGCGGGAAGAGATACAGGCTTTTAACACCGACGCTTGCTGGAACAACACAGCAATAAATGAAGACAGATCAAAGATCAAGCCCACCTACCTTTACGCGCGGGAAAGAAGTATGGTAACCTGGTGAGACGGACAAACACCATGGAGTGAAAATGTTTTATCTCTCTGGCGGTTTTGGTTCATGGAACCATTGCTGTCGGAACACCCACGACCCGAAACTTTGCTTGCACCATGGTCATGAGGGCGGTAACTATGCTTGAGAACCCGTCAAAAGGTCAGGGCAAGATGGACGAGGAGTTCTCCTATGAGTTTCGAAGTGTGTCAGAGGCGTCTGAGGCTCCCGAAGTTGTGGCACACCGCAGCTCTGAAAAAGGCGGGCTCGTCTTGGACGTTTCAAGTAAAGACCACCACCTCCTGAAGGTCGCACATTTGGGGGGTAAAGAGCCCATTCATCTCCCCATCAACCAGCTATGATTTCCCGTAGCGAGCAGGATGGGCCACGAATGAGCTCCATAACCCTCTATCGCCCAATTGGGGCCCAGGGGGAGGAGGGTGGTGTTGGCGCACGTTCAAAGGCCCGGATTGGGCCAAAGATGCGATCTGCATGGTTAGCGAGAACCTAAAAAACTTGAACCAGCAGTAAACAGACCACGATGGCACATATATAGAAAGTCTTCGAGTCTATGAGAAAAGAACCCAAGATTCGAGCTGGGTCAAATGAGTGTGTTTGGCTTGAGCGGCGGATAAAAAGAAAGACTTGAATCACCGCCAGAAACAGCAACGACAATATAGCAATCTCAACAGGAACCAATGTCTTCCCCTCTCGTCGATCCATCTACCATCCATCGGTCAGACCATGACTCCATCGTGCATCTCTCCTCTTCCCTCTTATCCCTCATTCCCTCCAGGAGTAAGCAATAGAATGATTGTGGGCAGATTTGTCAATGACAATTCGCCGCTCACATCTCATTTCCCTCAATTTCTTCCTGACTGGTCCATTCCTCCATACTGCTCCTCGCCTCTCGCCTCGTCCCAATATTCTGGCCACTCTAGCAACCTGCGAACGACGGTATAGCTAGCTGCACGGGACCTGTCGCTTCGTCGCTGTCGATGTCGGCGGGAGCCTGTGACATGCCTCCTCGTCGCCATGCAATGACTAAACTAGGCTGATTGGCGGGTCTCGTCAAATATAGTCCCGGTCCTGATGATGATGACACTGATGATGGTAACTGCATCATATATGAGTTGTGCTCCGATGAGATGGCTCATTCTTGATGATTGAACTTCATCGTCGTGGTCGTTATGTTCATATCAATCGTACCCGCCTCCGATTTGACTGACGAATGCAGTGGAAACGCTTCTAGCATCTTCATCCTCGTGCGCGCCCTTCCCAAGCTTGTGGTTGGGTAGATATCCGACTCCGGGAATTCCTCCTTCAACATACCTCTTCAATCGATCTGCTTGGTTGTAACTGGCCTGCTTGTTCGTATCATGGATGGACAATTGATCCAAACTGACTCCTCCCTGCCCAACAACACTTCCAGTGATGTCCGACTCCGTCGCCACCATTGATTCTCCCGCGACGCTACCAGGGACTGGTCTCGGTTTGACTCCGTTTTGTCGACGACCATTTGCATTTTGAAGAGAAGGCCATGCGTCGGGAGTGAAGCCTTGAAACATGGGCGGATATCCAGCTGGAACGCCCACTCCCCCCATGGCCGAAGAGTGAATGGAGGAGACATCGTCCGGAATATAACCCACAATCGATCCTCCATCGCGATAGTCATTGCGTGGACCTGTTCGACCATTCATCATACCACTAGCGAGATGACTGGCGTGATTGTACGCCATTTGATATCGCTGAGGTCCTCGATATGATTGCTTGGGACGGCTGAATTGATGCAGGGAGATTTGCAGGTTGCTGAGAGGTCCCTCAACCAAGCAATTGCGCTCCTTGAAATGCAACAAGAGATAGTGCCATAGAGGGTGTTTGGACAGAACCTTGGGATTGCCGAGAATTGCCAACCCGTATTTGGCTCGAGTCATGGCCACATTAAGACGACGAGGATCGCTTAGGAATCCAATGCCTTGATGATCATTCGACCGGACACACGAGAGGATGATGAAATCCTTTTCTCGTCCTTGGAAGGCATCAACCGATGCCACCTCAATCTCCTTGTACATGTCTTTCTTGAATGTGCCGTTGGCTTGCATGGAACTGACAATGTAGCTGCGCTGGCCCTCGTATGGAGTGATGACACCAATATCTTGTGGGAGAACCCCGGCCTTGAAGAATCTAGTCACGATTTTCTCCACGTTGGCTGCCTCGGTGCGGTTGAGATAGGATGTGCCTGATGCCGAAATTTCTTCATTTCCGAGATTGGACCAAAACATCATCGGCGCGTCGGCCACAGGCCATGGGAAGTCCACCTCGCGTCGAAGACGCTGCTGCATCGTCACACCATTCTGAAGAGACCCCTCGTAGAACATGTTGGATGGGAATTCAGACAAGCAGGGATGCATACGGTACTGGACGTTCAACCGGATCGGAGCACAGCCCAGGATGACCAGACGCTCGAACAGGGATTGGTTGAGACCGGCCTTGGCTGCTTTCTTGTTCATGATGACAGGGCCAAGTTGTTGATGATCGCCCACAAGCACCACCTGTTTGCATCCAAGGACGAGTGGGATCATGCATTCCGGCTCGGCCGATTGAGTCGACTCGTCAATCAGAACCGTGCGGAACTTGAACTTGGCCAACCTAGGATCTCCGGCGCCGACACAAGTGCAGCAGATGACATCGGCGTTGGTCAGGATCTCACGTTCAGCTGCTCGCGTCAACGATTTGTACTTCTTCTCATCCTGGCTGGACAGTTCTCCCAATTCGGACTTGAGCTGATTGAGTTTGGTGAGTTCAACATTGCTGTCATTCATTCGGACTTGCTCGTGCAAAGACAGGAAACCGACCGGCGACTCCACATCTTCTCGAGATTTGGCGGTCACGCGGACAGTTTTCAGTCCGGTCCGATGAATGCGTTCGCACAGCTGGTCCACGGCCACGTTGGATGGAGCGCAGACCAACACTTGGCCGCCGTTGATTTTGGATAGATGATAGATAATGGTCGCGGACGTGACTGTCTTGCCGGTGCCCGGAGGTCCTTGGATCAGGCTCAAAGGTTTCTGAAGGACAGATTTGACGGCATTGATCTGACTGCCGTTGAGTTCAGGCAATCCAGGAACGCTAAACTTTTTGGGCAATTGAGTTTTCATCGGCGCTGCCGCAACTTCATGACCGAGGAGGCGATGGAAAATGTAGCCCGAAACACTCATTTCGTCAATGGCGAAGGTCTTCATTGCCAGCTGCATTCGATCGAATGAAGTTGCTTTCCACACATAATCGGCGGTGAAGTTGTGCGTACACTCGGTCGGGACGGATTTGTGGTCGCCCTTGGACCGTAATTCAATCGTGACCTCGTCGGATTGATTGTTGGGTATTTTGATAACGTAGCCGACGCCCTCCCAAGCCGGACGCAAGTCTCCGGTGTATTTCAGTCGCATTTCGTCTCCAACAGCAAGCTTAACATCGCCCAATTCCAGTTTTGGTAGAACAAAACTGGCGAGATGCTTGTTGTTGAGACCCAGGTCCCATCGGACAATCAAGTTGTCTTGCGACTGACTCTCCTTCAGCTTTCGATCGTAATCCGCCTCGATTTTGACCAAGGGCCCAAAAACATTTTGGTATTGGTAGGCGTCGTCGTATCGAAGGAGAACTGGGGCAGGCTCGTCGTCAATATTGGCCGCCTTTTCAAGATCGGTAATGGTGGCTGCAGAGTTTTCCTTCCAAAGTTCCTCCAGTTTGGCAATCATTTGCGGACTCAAATGTCGGGCGCGAAGTTGTTCTTGGTCAGTCGGTTGTGCAACAAGCCAGGACAAGAAAGATCGATCTTCAATCAAGGGCTGCCATCTTGAGGTGTCCCAATTCATGTCCTTGGACGAAGGCATAGCCGCACAAGGTTGTCGACAAAGGAGAACCACCACGGTATCAGACTTGGCCGGAATGAACCCCAGCAAGAAAACATTCTTGGTTCCACAGTTGTAGCACTCCAGCACCGTATCCCCCAACGAGCTGCTCGGATGCAGTTGGACTTCTTTATGACGAGCCCGGACTAAATGGTTGACAATGTGAGAGGAGGAGGTGTTTCCGCGAGCGCTGCAAAACCATTTGCTGCAGGTGAGGCATCGAACGACGCTGCTTGGGTTGTGGATTCCGCAATATCTGGAAGACATCAGATTAGCACGACGGATTGATATGCTGGCTCTTCAACATACGCGCATGCATGAGGTGGTAATTCTTTCTCCTCCTCGGCCTTTGTGACTTGCTTCTTGCCATCGACCGCGGCGCTGGCCAGACTCTCCAGGTCGTCCTCTTCAATACTTTCAGACTCATCGTCGTCATGCTGTCGTCTTCTTGGGCCCTTGGCCAGGCTGAGGACGCTTTCGTCTGGATCGAGTGCGGAAATATCGTCGCTGGCGTTGATCGCGGCTGCGGAGTTGGAAACCAGGTGGTTTGCCATGTTGCTAAAAGCCTCCATGATGAATCACGGTTATTTCGAGAGATCCGAAATCCCGTTCTTTTTGCTTTGGTTCGGACGTGTCTCGCGGATCAGAGACAGTCGTCCGTGTGAGGAAGGGGGGAGGGTGTAAATGGGTGCGCAGGTTGAGAAGAAAAACCGTTCTTCCTACAATGTCGATACCATTGATTCACGCCAACATGACAGCTCCATGCCCCTCCAAGAATCTCCAGTGCCTAAAGGTTGTCGAAAACACGGCGACCTACATGCGTAGGGTGTAGGACTGTGTTGGTGGTGGCGGTGGTCTGGAGGAGGCGAAGGAGGGCTAGTGCGGCGAATTTCTTTTCTCCGCTACAGAATAAAAAGAAAAGCCTTGCCAGAGTTGCCATCTACGTCCCCCCTCGATTCCTGATGCCACAGCGTCACCATGCTCCGGCGACAGGCAAGAGAACGACGGGACTATATCTATCGTCGTGCTCTTCAACTTCGAGACGCAAGCATTGCTGAAAAAAGGGCCTTGCTAAAGAAGTCCTTAGCAACTGGGAAACCACTCGACCCATCGATCGCAAATGATAAAAGTCTTCGAGAAGATTTCAAATACGATGAATCCCTCGACCCTGAGACCGCTGCTGCCCAAGACTCCATCGATGACGAATATGCCATGCTTTCAGGACTCTCTGACCCCAGGCCGCTTGTCACCACGTCGCGAAGCCCCTCAACACGATTAAGTACTTTTTCCAAAGAAATCCGACTCCTCCTTCCCACGTCAATCAGATTGAATCGAGGCAATTTGATTCTTCCCAATCTCCTTGCCAGCGCAAAGGCCGCCGCTTTGAGTGACATTATCCTCCTTCACGAACATCGAGGGACTCCGACAGCCATGACCATCTCCCATCTTCCACACGGCCCCACGGCTTCCTTCTCCCTTCACAACGTTGTTCTGAGAGCGGACATTCCCGATGCGTCCAGAGGCACCGTCTCCGAATCATATCCACATTTGATCTTTGAAGGATTCACCACCCGACTGGGTAAGAGGGTTGTTCAGATCTTGAGGCACCTCTTTCCTCCAAGGGATGGCCCTCACAAACTTGGCAATCGAGTGGTCACATTCAAGAACGTGGAAGACAGCATTGAGGTACGACATCATGTCTTTGTACAGACTGGGTACCGGGACGTGGAACTGGCTGAAGTTGGGCCCAGGATGACAATGAGGTGTTTTGAAATTAGGGGGGGCACACTGGAAAAAGACTCGGGAGGGGACGTTGAATGGGCATTGACTCAATACACCAGGACAGGCCGGAAGAAAGACTATCTATGAAGAACGCGAATTGTCGAATCCCTGGATTCTCGAGAAGTTCAGACGTTGAAAACAGCAAGCTTCCACACACGACCACTCTGAACTTCCTTTCCAGTTTCTGATGGGAGATGTGATGTTGTCGCGAAGCTTGGCAACGTTGCCGTTCAGCCGATATGTATCATCGGCTCTGCTGAACCTCACTTCCACCCAGCTCTGGATCGCTTTCTCTCGAATCTCGATCAATAATCTTCGACCAACCACCAAATTCAGTGTCTCGCCATCCACCTTCTGGAGTCTTCGCCTTTATGTCGACTGGATCATGACCCACCAGCTCATTGGTATTCATCACAACCGTCACGCTCGGCCTCCTCTCTTTTCCCTCAATCGTCTCAGCTCGTCCGCCAACATTATCAAGTCCATGTTGCGTTGAAATGACTGGACCCAGGAACTCAAAGAACCTGTCATCATCTGCACCATCGTCACCTCCAATCCTCCCCTCTCGGTCTCCATCCAAACCATGAGCTGACTTCCCGAAGCCCTCACGAGCTTCCCATTCGCATCCGACTCGTTGTTTAAAGAATTTTCGGAACATATTCCACGCGAAATCGAATGTGCTCCCCGGTGGGGCAAGGGTGTGTAACAGGCGTATGCGTTGGATCTCGACCGGTTCGAATTCGGACTGAGTGAACTTTGCGAGGATGGAGTTCTGGCCAAAAAGCTGCAATCCCTTCCCCCACGGATCGGGAATGTGAACGCGAAGGTTTGGGTTAGATGATTTGAGGGACTGAGGAAGTGAACTGGCGATGACGGGATAGATGGAATATGGGATATTTTTGGGGGAAATAGTACAAAGGCACCGGGCATGGCGGGAGGATGGGTCTTGATGGGATGAATCTGGCGTGTGCAAGCGACTGGGTGCCTGTGCTAGGAAGCGGAGAACGATATTCCGAATGCTGACTTGAAGGTACAACATCATCCAAGTTCGACAATTTGCATTGCCGATCCGGATATTCATGGGAAATCGAGTATACAGTTTCGGACTGGGAAGAGAAATAGGGTGCATGACGCACTTTCAATCGATGTTTCTCGAGGCGGTTCTTCAGGATGTCCTTTCTGACAAGCGTGAGAAGGTACACCAAGCCATTTGCGTCGATGAGTGGTCGATAGCCGTCTGTGGTGCAAAATAGGGAGAGTCAGCAGAGCTCGGATGCTCAGAGTCGACGAGTGGAAGGAGAGAATGACTAGACACCACTCTCCGACACCCATCTCCTTGAATTCCGCACACGCACGGTCGAAGTCTTTTCCTGTGTCCGATCAGTTTCAACGACACCGCAGCCCCGTTGAAATCCACACCCGTCATTCTCAGGACAGGAGACATACCCGAAATTTCAATCCGTTTGTCCTTGCTGGGTTTCACGTCCTCGCTCTCTTCCCGCCCTTCACTCGTCTGTTCGTTTTCTTCCTGTCACCTCTTCCTCTTCGGTTGTACAGCAAGTATTGTCACTCTCACCGCTGGCTTTTTCACCGGTTTCGCCTTTCATCCTTCTCTTTCTGACGATTTTGGTGACCTTTCTTTGCTCCCATTCATATTTTGTCGTGTCTAATGGTCGGCGAAACTTCGTGAGCAGACTATCCTCGAGCCACTCGAGCCGCACAATGTGAACGGTCTTGAGCCGGTGGGCTTCCCGAACTATGAGAGCTATTCAGGTGCTGTTGGAGTTGGGGACAGCATGGATTTCTGAACATAAAGGGTGCTGTTGAGCATTGACAATGCTGAACCCGCCGACCATGGATTTGGACCAAAAATTTTGTCATAGATCTAAAACAATCAAAAAGCAAACGAAAACCTCGACTGTAACAAACCCATACCCACAAACGACTCGGCTGATTGGCGTGGCAAATGCTACGGTATCTAGCTCTCGCCAGCAGACGAACAAATGGCCGGGATCACGCCTCGAAACGCAAAATAAAACATCGTACGTTAACTTACCCATGGGACAATATCGCCGCCAGGCCTTTTTGCTAGCGACCAAATGGGTGACATCTTTGAAGATCTCCTTCGCGAAGGTACCGCCATTATGCGCTACCCAGCCTTTCGGAAAGTCGTTAGTCGACGCGAGGTGAACATTGCGAAACGTTTTGCCCATGTTGAATGGCCGGTGAGCGGCTTTTGAATAGGAGTGAATGATGGGACTTGCGGAGGTATGAAAGAAATCAAGTGAACTAGAAAAGGTCCTTCGAGTTGAGAAAGGTGACGGAACGAATCAAGAGAAGTATCTCCCAGCAATTTATGGGTGATTGAACGAAGTAGCGGGGACCAGGACAATGGCCTGGCCGAAAAAATTCGACTCAGTAGGTGTCTGGTGTTTGAACAAATAAGAAGGGAAGGATGAGGGCCACCTGATTATTCGGGCCGACGGGTCGGTGGACGGTGAAATCTTGTGAAAGTGGATAGACGGCGGTCTGAATGGCGTCCAAGGGTCAGCTTCGTATTTTCAATTGATGCTATGTGTCGAAGCCATCAGCGAAGGGGATATGAAACCCGTGTATATGTGAGAAACCATTGAGTTATCCCCTAATAGCCTCGACAAACGCCGCAATCTTAAAGGCATCTTGCTTTCCATCCGACTCCACACCGCTGCTAACATCAACCCCGGCAATGTTGTTTCGATAGGGCCCCAGGTCATGCAATATTCCATTGACGTTCTCAGCCGTAAGACCCCCTGCCAATATCACCTTTATGTGGGGATCTTTTGCGAAGAGGGCCTTTACATCATCCATTTTTAACTGTTGGCCTGTTCCTCCTATCCCGGCGTCCAAGAGCGGAAGGGCATGATATCCACGGGAAGAAATTCCTGGGTCGGAAGGAGAGAATTTGCGTAAGACCGGTACGGGGATCGTCCGGGCATATTCAATGGGCTCCAGGCCGTGAAGTTGTACGGCATCAAGACCGAGTTTATATATTTGCTCGATAATGTGGTCCAACGGCGCATCGACAAAAACGCCAATTAGTTGGGCACGGTCTGGTCGCACCAGAATTCGGGAGGAGTGATCAAAAAAATCTGATGCACCGACATCGGAAGGATCAGCAGTCGCAGTCGAAGGTTTCGGTGTCGTTTTGACGACATTTGCTATTTGCAAGGCAATTTCATCTGAGACAAACCGTTTTCGATGGGATGCCAAAATTATGCCGACTGAGTCCGCTCCACTTTCGATGGCTGCTTTGGCACCTTCTGGAGTCCTGGTGCCGCAAATCTTGACTGATAGCGGAGGTTGAGTTTTCTTCTTTGGCTCGACATCGGGGTCTCCGACAAGTTGGGCGATAAAATCAACCGTGTTTGATGCTCTCATCAATGCTTCGCCAACCAAGATCGCTTTTACACCATCCTTTCGGTAGGCCTGGACATCTTGAGGGCCGAATATGCCGCTCAATGCGCAAACAATAGTAGATTCGGGTACCAGATCCATCAATCGACTCGTGGTTCCAAGATCGACTTCAAAATTCGTAAGATTGCGATTGTTCACGCCGATGACTTGAGATCCGAGATCAACGGCAATCTTCATTTCTTCTGCGGTGTTGACTTCCACCAACGGTTCCATTCCCAATGATCGGGAGTAGTGGTAGAGTCGAGTCAACGTTTCCACGTCCAGCATTTTCACAATGAGCAATACGGTATCCGCACCAGCCAGTCGCGCTTCCAAAATCTGATATTCTTCGAAGATGAACTCTTTCCGTAAAACCGCTGGTCGATTCGGCATGCTGTCGAGGCTCTGTCGAACAGCTCTCATATCTTCCAGGCTCCCTTTGAACCATTCGGGTTCCGTGAGAACCGAAATAACGCTAGCTCCAGCCGTGGCATATTTTCGAGCTTGGGCAGGGGCGCATGCCCCAAGTGAAATGATCCCTTTCGACGGAGACGCCCTCTTGATTTCAGCCAACAGCGCCAGAGGATAGGGAGATTGCCGGAGTCGTTTCGGGAAGGAAATTTGTGGAGGCGCAAGGCCAAGGTCGTAGGCAGCTTGGAGGTCTTCAGGGCGCTGGGATGGGACGAGCTTTTGTGCCGCGACAGCTTTTCTCCGGTGTGCATAGATCTTTTCAAGGATGGATTCCTTTGGGGGTGCTGGATTTCCATTTGGGAATCCACTGGACTGCTTGTCGGGAGAAACAAGGTGTGGGTGGTCAGACCACTTCCCTCCGGATATTCTCAGGAAGTTCTTAAACATGACTCTCCCATTCTCAGTCAGGATGCTTTCCGGGTGAAATTGGACTCCTTCGATGACATATTCCTTGTGTCGTACACCCATGATGACTCCTTTGCCACCGTCAGGTCCCTTGGCAATCCAAGAAGAGACCTCCAGCGACGGAGGAAGAGTAGGATGTGTCCCCGCCAGAGAATGGTATCTTGTGACGGGCAGATCTTGAGCCAGTGTTGTGTAACATCCTTTCCCGTCGTGCCTCAATGACGAAGTCTTGCCGTGAAGGATCTCCCCAGTGACGTCGACTTCGCCTCCAAACACAGATATAATACATTGTTGTCCCATGCATACGCCAAGTATGGGGATCTTACCCGCAAAGTGTTTGATGGCATCTTTGCTAATCCCCGCGTCGGTGTCTGGATGACCGGGACCCGGGCTAATAACAAGCTGCGTGGGACTCTTGGCGATCAGATCTTCTAGAGTCACCTTGTCATTTCGGTATACGGTGACGGTAGCACCCTCAAGAACGAGGTATTGGTAGACATTCCAGGTGAAGGAGTCATAATTATCAATGAGCACGAGATTGCTGGCGGAGGGCAGTTTTTCGGCGGGTGTGGGCTGGTAGGGAGAATGATCAATGAGAGCAGAGGGCGCCATGGTGAGGATATGAACGGGGGAGGAAAGGAATGGAATCCTCGTGGTGCTGTTGATGTATGGGACGCATGTAAGGCTAATCAGGGCGGCTGACAAGGGACGATGCATGGCCGGCGTCGCTTCTCCGGACTTGTTTTACGGCGGACTCCAGCAGCCCAGGGCGCAGTCTTGGCGGATCCTGGGCGGTCAAAGCTTTATTCCCAACAACTTTCTCAAGCTCATCGATCCCCATCAGCATTAGCTGTAATGGAGATTTGGACGTGCTGACAGCTAATCAAGCAACAGACTATCTGAAGGGGCTCCGGGTGGTCCCTTGAAACAGTCAACTTTATGTCTAACAACAGTCTGTTCGCCCTTTCTCTCAATCCTGGCGGCAAACAGACGATCCTGCTGCTCCATGGAATCTTCTCAAGCCACTTGGAATACGCAAATGTGGTTCCGTTTCTGAGCGATCATCACCTTCTGGCTGTTGACCTGCCTCGGCATTCGCGATCGGCTCATGTCCGACCCTTCCAGTTGCCCGCTGCTGCCGAGCATGTGGCAGAAGTGATTCGGACTCAAGCTCAAAATTGCCGCGCTCACGTGGTCGGTCTTTCGGGAGGAGGTTTCGTCGCACTAGAATTATCAAAGCGACATCCTGACCTGGTTGAATCCCTGTTTGTCACGGGTGCCTCTCCCTTCACCGGATGGACCAAATGGCTCGCTGAACATCCGGGAATTTTGTACTATTGTATAGCATCCTTCGTGAAGTATTGCCCAGATTGGCTCTACCGGAAGATGTGCTCATGGGGTGGCTTGCTGCCGCACGACGATCTCCGAATGGAGATGAAGAAGAATCTTAACAAGGACTTGCTGGCAGAAGGCTACGGAAGTATGGTGAAATTCACCAAAGCTGATATATGTTTGATTACCGCCAGGACCCTGACAATGGCTGGAGGATTGCAGGACGACGTCGAGGCAACAAGAGAAATGGGAAAGGTTCTACGCGGGAAATGTCCAGAGAGCAAGGCGGCTGTAGTAAAAGGTGCAGTTCATGCTTGGAATTTACAGTTTCCGGAATTATTTGCAACGGCTGTACGGACTTGGATTGGAGGATTTGATTCGCCTGAAGGTTTGGAAGAATTACTCTGATTCATGCATGCTGGACATTGGTTTTAAGTCTGTTGGTCAGCTGTCACTGTCGATTCGATGAATGGTTCCACCACTTCCAAGAAATGATCTGGTTTGGACGAGAAGACGACGTGGCCTGCGTCAAAAGGTTCCAGCCTCGATCCTGGTATGTACCGATGAGCCGCTTGGCCTGCGCTCAGGGGGAAAATGGGATCTCGCGTCCCCCAGACGAGCAAGACAGGCGTCTTCATGTCTTTCGCTCGAGGACGCAGATCATGGCCGTCGTCCAAGAAGCTCCGCCAAAGTGCTGCCGCAGCCTTGGCCCCCTCCACCGTTCCCGCCCGCGCAGCCGCTCGGCGGGTGATTTCTTCATCATGGCTGGTTTGAGGGCTCATATATCGTCGCACCAGATGTGGCATCACAATCCGTGAGACGGTTGCGAAACCAAGCATGCGAGTTACCAGACGGGAGAACAAGTTCCAATCAACAAAGCCGCCTGTATTAACCAGGACGAGGCCACGAACTGACTCCGGACGATTGATGGCTAGTCTGGCTGCGGCAAATCCGCCCACCGAATTGCCAATGAAGATAGCCGGCTCAATGCTCAGCCCACTGACAAAATCTTCCAGTACGTTGGCGAATCCAACGGCATTGAGGTTTTCAAAGGTTGAGACCCCTTTCGAACTGCCATGCCATGGCCAGTCGACGGTGATTGTCTGGTAGCGTTCGGCGAGGCGGGCAGCGATGGTCTCGTAGTCGTGGCCATCGTGGAGAGTAGCGTGAAGCATGATTATAGGTTGTCCTTTTCCTTGGACGGCGTATGAAATCTCTCCTGCTCGCGTTGATATCGAAGGCATTGTTTCAAAGTATGAGTACCCCAAGTTCTGCCTTCTGCGTTAAAGATCGTGTAACGGCAACATGCCCCAGAGCACAACAGTAGCATTTTATCCTCGGGTTCGTAGACAGGACCATGTCTATGACCATTTCTCAAGAAACAAAGTCCTCCATGGCCTGTACTTTTCGTACGAACGAGCCAATCACAAAGCGGTGCTCCGGGCACACTATTACCCCGACGGACCGATTCAAGCTCGAAAATACAGCCCAAATGGGTGACATTGAACTGCTAGTGCTAGTAGTCCGCTGGATGAATTGCGGTGTCGGTCTCGTTCCTAGTTCCAGTGGCCGCAGGAGAGCGTTCGGAGACGAATTGTTCGGATACGGGATTCCGCATATCAAATCACCAAGCACGAGATTCAGCTGATTTGTGAAGTCGAGAGACTCTCCCCGGCACATTAATGCATATTTCTTGACATCGAGATTTTGATATCCGCAACGTTTACGACCTCCCACGTCTCTCACCGGGCTGGTGACATTGGAACTTTGCACACGGGAGCATGATATCGGTGTCTTAAGCGCGAATAACTTCAGCCACTGTTTCCCTAAATAGCAATGACGCATAGGACTCACGTAGAGATGATAAAATATCAGGTTTGATTGGCTTGTTCTGGGCCGAGTTGCTGGCCGTGCTTGAAAGCGTGAAGATCAACACAGATGTAGCCGACGTGCCATTGAGATTCTGCCCGTCGACATGAGTCTCTCGCCGTATAGAAAACGGGTGAATGCCACCCAAAGAATGAACCAGTTGGATCCCGAATTCGAAGCCAACATAGCTTCCTTGAGGAATTTCTTGCTTTGGACTATCCGGATAAGACGAGAGGTACACATCCATCACTTGAAAAGGTCCAAAAGAACATGGAGTGTAGTGATGATAAACAGTCTTCTTTTAACCGTTGGTGCGACCAGATTTGATTGCGTTTGTTCGGTGGTGGAATTCCTGCATTGCCGTCTGTTAGGATGCTGTCCAAGGAAGGAAAGAGAAATATATTTGAGCCATCTTAATTGATCAGGTCGGCTCGAAAGACTCGGAGCAGCATCCGTTCTAGAGTGAAGATGTAACTGTCAAACATTCCCTTTACATAGCATGCAAGAAGTCTTTCGTCGGACCAGTCACTCTTGGACTGTGGACGATTGACTGCGATAGAGCGGGTGTCATGAAGACTGACATGATCTCTCGGGTTGACGGGTAGAGAAGGTGGTCGACTTCAGGAAAGATGAGGGTTGCCGTTGGAAATATTGATCTTGGAGCGATTGATGCGAGATATTTGACGGTATATTGATCGGCGTGGAGCCAATGTGAACTGCTCATCAAAGTAATTTTGAATCGAATCACAATACCGGTTGAAAACGGCGTATCTCGGATCGATTTACATGTGCATAGCTACAACGTCCTCGAGCTCCTTCTCACTCAAAAGAGGAACCCCAAGTAGTTCATTGTCAGCTCTGTCAGTCATGTCACTATCATAACCGTTTTCCGAACACCGCGGCATGAATCAATCCGATCATCGCACCCATGATCTCGTTCTGATTACCCTTCGAAATAGTCGCAAGACAGTTTGCCTTCGTTTCCTCAGTGCTTGCTCGCTGTATCTTCCATCCTGTTGGGTCACGCCGCTTTGCTAGCTCGATAAGTTGATTTTGCGTGACAACGGCTTCGTGGACGAAAACAAAGCGATTCTTGGTTTGTTCCAGGTGAGAAAAGATTCCTACCACTGCTTTGGCGACACCAGCCAAGGTGGTTGTGCTAAATTTCCTGTCGCCACCATCGAAGATCGTTGCCGAGTGGGCCTTAGGATCCAATAGGAAGCCGGTTGCCAAACCCCAATCGAGAAATGGGCCGTTAATAACGACGGAATAGCTGAACCCCGGATTCTTGGCTGCGACCTCCTCCAGTTTCGTTTGAGTAGCAACCTTGTAGCCGAAGACCGGAAGAGCTTTGGTTTGAGCATTGGTGGTGTCAGAACCGAATTCGGCGGGAAGAAAGCGAGACCGTGGAGGCGACACCGACATGTCCCCTGAGGGCTTGCTTGAGTGATTCCACCGATGTGTAGTCAACGGTCGCATATGCAACGTTCCTGTCCGCCGGGATGCCTTCCTTTCGTGGGGAGCTGGAGCGGCTTAGGATGGTGACTGGGTACCCTGCATCGAGAAGGGCGAGGATGACGGGGAGGCCCAGACTTCCTGCACCTGCGACGGCAATGCGTGGTTTTGTGTTCGCAAGCGTGGATGCCATATCTGCGTACAGATTTTGATCGAATTCTGATGAACTGAGTCTGTCTGTGATGTAAGTATTCTGACCGGATGAGGTTCAATACTGGTCGATGTTCCTCTGGCTTTAATACTTTGTCTTATTTCCATGATGGAACAATGAGTAGCCGATTCCGAAGAAATTCCTTGCGAGTACCACTACCTGAACCCACAATCAGGGGGCCCGCAGCCTCGTCGAGAAAGTCTCCGGCGTGTTTCGGGGAAACTTGTTCCCGAATGGCGTCAAGGTCGTTTCCGCGCCCTCTCTGGAAGTCGCCGGCGACGGAAGGTGGTGCCAATGAAAGAGACGGACGACGACCAGATGAATAAGCAAGCGCACATATTTCGCTAAAACCTATGGTGCTGCTCCAGATATCAATCCTGTTAGAACGGTGTTTCATGGGGCTATACGGGCGGCCTCTGACGGTCTTTTTGACTGGAGGAAATAAGCTGCCTACTAAAAGCGCAAGCTCGCTATTCACTATTTCCTTCCGCAGCCTTCAAAGATTGAGATAGTCAGGTGAGACCACACGATTAGAGTGGCATCCTGGAGCATCTGATCACATGACTATTTGAATCCTCGTTTCGGCCGGCGTTGCGAGAACTGGCCCGGGTGACTCGATTATGGTGCCGTCAGATGTCTTCACTATTAATATGGAGTTTGGTCTTGATCATGACGCCGAAAGATCTGACAAGGAGAGAACGTTTGTGACTTGAATTCGAAGTTTTGTTGTTTATCCGATTGTGACCCGAGTTGATGGCTCATATAATCTTACCAGAAGGCCATCGATTTAATTCCCACACCAGGTATGGGGACCAGCGTCGATCCTCCATAGCAGCATCACCCACGACACAGCCTGAAGGAATTGTCACCAGAATTGTGGAGAACAGGTGTTTCTTGGCCAACCGCGGAGCATTCCAACCAGCCCGCGACGCGATTTGAATCCCTTCCATGTGAATAATTTCGTCACAACCATCAACAGACAATAATGCGCTGACAAGGGCTGGCGCTTCTCTCAAATATGGCGCCGGCGTCGCTGAGCCCTTTATATCTTCCTGACTTGAGTAAATGCCTTAGCGGCGAGCTTCTCCTTCCGCACGTCCCCTTTTCGCCGCCCGCAGGACGTAGAATGACATGCTAATTTGTTCACAGTTCCTGGGACGACCTCCTCAACGCTTTACTGTCTCATGAGGATGTGAAATCAGAATTTGCCGTGGAGGTGCTCTCCGGAGAACGGCCCAAGAAAATATTGTCTCAGCTTTTGCCCTCATTCCCGCCGCAGTCCTTTTCATCAAAGACCACATTTGAATCTACTACCTCCACCATCCCTTCATCTTGCGATACTCTCTACAATCTCGACGAGCTCAAAACGGACGCTTTGTGGCTGAGCAAACATGCCGATCTTGATGAGCTGGAATCTTTGCGATTGACAATTCTGGAATGGCAATACCGTCCAGAGTCGAGGCTGAGAGAAGGATACTCCGAGGCAGAAGTTGCCAGTCTGAAGGATGCTCTCGGATCAGATTATGTCGACAAACAGTTACAAGCCCGGGAAGACTCTCTTGCGCGAGATGACACCAGTTTTGATACCCAGAATTCGCGCCGTTTCAGATTAATTTGTCGACATCTGCAGCAGCAAGTCGTCGTGCTACGAATCAAAAAGGAGCTTTTGGATCTCAGCCTTTTGCCCGCATCTGTACATACCTTGCCGTCAACTCTGCGAAAATTAGCGTCGAGCCTAATATCAACGGATGAACAATCCTTGCGCGGTGATATTGAGATCGCCGTCCACGGCATTCGACGACAATTGAGGAATCTGGAGTCTGGTCAAAACTGGGAGACCGATGAAACGCACACCCCCTTCCTGAAAGACGCGACGGACACATGTTGCTTGGAAAGCATTGGGGTAATTTTGGAACTCCTAATGCTGAGTGTGAGGAAGTCAAGGGCCACAACATCTTCAGAGAGTCTCCTGCTTTGGCTGCAGTTGATGTCATCTGTTGGGTTTTTCAGTCCATTCCACTCCGAAATTGATGCGCAACTGGTTGCTATCCAGAAAATGCAATCGATGGGATCTTTGGTCACATCCGCTTTGTTGGATCTGGCTTCTACGGTTGCCACTTTGAACGAAGTCGCTTCCTCTGGCCAATCGGTACGACCGAACCACCAAGAAGGGTACTTCTTCGACGTCGATTCGATTCATGATATTCATGAACTCCTTTTCAATCAAGCTATTCTCGCCAACCCCCACGCTGGACCGACTATTCTATCATGGGCCATCATTATCCATCAAATCCGATTGCTGGCGATGGCCATCAAAGAGAATAGGGAGAGTCATCATGTTCAAAAGACGATCGACGGAGTCGCAACATTTGACGCCGCTACTGGTCGCCGAAGCTCTGCGAGCAGTAGCACATCATTTCAACAAAGTGTCTTTGAGGATCTGTTGGAGAAGATTACAACAAGCAGCCTCAACGAAGATCCATCCAGCGTTCTCCTCGACATGGTGATCGGTCGATGCGGGGTATTTGATTATATCGCTTTTCTCGGCGCATCAACTTCTGGTCTCCCGACCATCCTCGCGGCTTGCCAGCTGCAAACACTCCAAGAACTCATCGCCGTATCTCAGTCCTTTCTAGGCTACACTCCAGATTTGGTGTCTGCACAGTTAGCCTTGCTGTCGACAGTGCCCGGTGGCTCCCCACAAGAAAGACCGTACGACCCAGTGATTGAGTTTGTTAAGGATAAATATCTTCTGGAAGGATTTTATGATGTGTCGGCTGCACGATTTCCCTACGAGTGTCTCCCATTTCTTCAATTCTGTAGGGCACTCGCCAAGGCCAACATTTTCGACAACCAAGGGATACAATATGTCGAGTTTCGCCTCCGGAATCTCACCACATTTACTCAAGCGGCAGTCAGGGGCGTCGAGTACAGGACCATTCGCGAAGACGAGAGTGCCAGCTTTGTAGCCCTCAATAAACCAGTCAACATGCTCGATCTCACGCAAGACAAGCTTCTACCACACGTGACCGAGCAGTCACCGGCCTTCTCCATCATTCCCGCCGATGCCACAGGTGAAGTCATATCGGACCCAGATTCCTCAACCAAAGTGATCAGGTGGCAACTTGAATACTCGTGTCTCGCATACATGGGCCGGTTGTTGGAACTACATTATATGGGACTCCTTCGCACTTCCCTCTCGCAGTTTGAAGATCCAGAAGCCGTGATATCGGAGATTATCGGCATTTTCGCAACTTTACTGTCGACAATTATTGGGAGCACTGCAGGAGGCCGAAGCGAGGACCAAATACGTCAGCATTGCGCCAGCATCTTGGACGAAGCCAACAGCCAACTGAGTCCGGATGCGGATATTGTCTCGTACATCTTCGAAATTCTTGAGCAGGAGCTCCAAGCTTTTCGTCGGCGATCTGTTTCGTCTTTTGATTGCCGAATTCTGATCTCTTGCTTAGACTTTGTCGTTGTTCTCACCAAAATCCGCCCATCCTTGGTTTGGTCCAACATCAGTCGAACAAGTCTCTTCAGCCGCCAATCCTCCGCCACATTAGTTCTGGGAATCGTGTCTGCTGTGGAAATACCTCGAGGAAATTTCGACTTCCTAGAGAGATTCGCTCAACTATATGATGCTCTAATACAGTTGGCTACCACCGGTCCGGACGATGCGTTGTCAGGGACCAACGTGACCTCGGCCAGAAGAAAAGCCACGGCACCAACTGTTCTGCGAATCCAAGGACCGCTATTACTGACCACAACTGAAATTCTGTTTAATGCCTACCAAGCCATTCCGGAGTGGTCATTTCAATCTCCTGCACAGCAGAGTCGCATCACCAACCTCATAACAGAATCTTTCTCCGATGTCCTTCGCTATGCCTTCGACATTGGAGATGCTCTGGACTCCTTCACCCCACCAACCACAGTTTTCTCTGAGCCTGCCAAGTTTCTCGTTTCATCATTCCGAGCCCCAACTCTTGATGATGTCGCAGTGAATCCCATCCTTCGCATTCTGTTCTCATCCGGTCAGCGGGACATGTTCGGCTTGAGCGCGGAAGACGAAGCTGACCGCCACGTAAGATCCACTCTGTCTTTGGCAACTTTGCTTGTTCGGTATGGTCAACGGCGAGGTCTTCCGTTATCATCGGCGGAGGTGCACATCTTCAATGCGATGCCTTTACTGGTGCGAATCCTGCAAACCAGACCTTCGATTCGCGCTCATTGTTTGGGGCTGATTCGATCCATCGTAACATATGTTGATCAACATCAGCCTTCTTCATTGCTGGGCCACTTGGGTTCTGCTTCTTGCCTCGATCTCCTTCACCTGGCCAAACACATAGACCAAGACTCTCATTCGAGCGAAGTACGCGTTGAGCTCTGGAAGTTCATGGCTTTGTTGGTAAAAACTTCGCAACAATGGCTGGCCGTGGTGATGTTAACCGGGTCAGCACCAGATGCCGCCAAGAAGGCGAAATCTCCCGAGTCACCGACCAAATGTCTTCGCGGAAAAGATTTTTTAAAATCTGCTCTGGGTGAATTGAGTAACATCTCCAATCTCTTACCCCAGGTCGCCGCCTCCATGCTCGAGTTTGCCTTGGAGGCACAGCAAAATTGGTCATGGCTGACAAACGACCTCAACACTTCACGGGACTTCCTCACGAAGCTCGTTTCCTTTGTGACCCTCATCGAGCCAAGTCGTCCACATGACATTGACCTTGCCTACCAGAATTTGATTGCCTCTCTTGTGACGGATCTATCCGCCGTTCACCTCCACCACGCTAAAATCACCAGAGATATTGGTGCTGTTAAAATCTTTATCCCTCTTGTCCACTGGCTTACCTCCAATGCGGTAGAGGTTTCAAGCTATAATACTTCTTTGCACAGCAACTTGCGCAGAAATTTCGCTGCCAAATACAATGGGCTTTCTGTCTCGGCCGTTCAGCGCACTGGCCTGACCGAACGACAATACGGTTTCAACTTTTTCTACGATCTGGACTACGCAGACAAGTTGTTCTGCAAGGACTCATTCTGGAATGGAGGTTCAGGAACGCCCAGCAATCAGTCCTTTTCGGCAGAGTTCCGCAGGGCAAACGTAAATCTGTCGGTGGTGGACTCGGAACTGATACTTCTATTGAGCCTTCAGCGTTTGTGTTTTGAACACTGCAAGTTCTTTGTCCAAGACCGGGAGATTCAGAAGGCTATGGCACACATTGTTCAAAACTGCCTGCAAGCCAATTCTCGTAGCTATCCGGCGGAGGCGATTTTCGACTCGCTTTTCCAGACCCGTGCAGATCTGTCAATAGCGTTACTTCGCGAGCTCATTGTAGCCGGTGCGAAAGGTTCCGATTTCATCATCTTGTTGGAGTCCGCATGGGATGCGGTCAGGTTCAGGAACGGATCATATGAACAAGCCATCGTCAACGGTGACCTCACTTATTGGCGCTCGATGCTCTACGTTCTACTCATGGCCACACAATTTCATGTCAACAAGAAACGCAAACCGACAACGATACCAGGAACAAGCACCGCGGTGGTCACGCTTGACCCTGCAAACACGACTTTCCTCGAGATAACAACACGTATAGTCGCCGAGGGGTTCAAATCCGCTGTTTCTGCCCTTCAGGACCAAAAACAAAGCAAATTGAAAAACAACACCGACGATGAAAACAATTTTATTGGCCCACGGGACATCTCTCTCTTGGTGACAATGATGCAGACAATCCTCAGACTGCCAAACATTGATCAGTTCTCGGTCGAATTGGCTGAGCGAATCTCTTCTTCCGGTATCATCTCAGCGTGTGTTCTGCTTTACTCTTGGGCACACTTGCTTACTGGGCCTGAATCTGACAATCAACCTCGTTACGCTGACTTTTGCGTTCAGCTCCTGAGTTCCGTGTCTTCACTTCCGCTCGTGGCAGAGGAACTCGCCATCGAAGGTGTACTGAATCGCATCCTTGCCTCTAAAACTACGGAGTATCTCCAGCGTGTCCCTGGCGGAGCATCACATGTTGACCCGAGACCGAATTGCGGCTTTCTCTACAGGATCTGGGCTACAGGTCTGCTGCCCTTGTGTTTGAATCTCCTACACGCTGTTGGTGGCCCGATCGCTGCGGAAATCTCCTCTTTTCTGAATCAATTCCCAAATCAGCTCGTTCGTGCAAGCACGAGCTTTATGCTAAACCTGCAGACTAAAGCCGAGGAGGGTACGGATGTCCTGACTCTGACAGTGGCGGGTGAAGCTGGAACATTAGCACTGATCTCCTATATCTTGTCATCCTACCGTGATGCCGGGGCTTCTGCAGCGGTGGATTCAACTTCAATACTGCCGTTGAAGGGTTATGATGAGCATAGGAAAGCGATTGCGGAAGATGTGAGGGATGTTCTCGCCTTGAAAGAGGACGTGAGGAGAAAGATGACTGTACCGACGGACGAGAGAGAATTGACCTGGCAAACTTCAAAGGATGGGGACAAGTTAGATGCCAAGATTGTTCAGGAGTTGCAAATGGCGTTGGCATCCCTGGGTAGAGATGATGATGAAGACGAAAAGTAGAAAAACTGGGACGGGCCACTGTACCTTAGAGGACACTAGTTGCTGTGAACCTTACCATTCACGATTCTAACGATAATTTAGAAGAGCTGGCTATATGCCACACCGCCTTTTGTACACACGTCTGGAAGGCTTTGTTACTATGGAAAGTGAAGTCGACATCCTTATTAGTCCAGACCCATTGCCGACGCTTTTTGTCTCGATACGAAGATCTCCCAAAGGGAAGTGGAAAACATGGCATTTATCTCCTCATGTACATCAGTCCTGGGCTATGAGGAGCTTTCGGATTCTGTAGAGCTGAGCATGTGCCAGGATATCAATAACAAAGGGCTTGGGTCCTCGCGGCCCCTAGGATTGAACAATTGGAACGTCGAGCTAGTCCACCGAGTGGAGGCAACCCCCGGAACAACCGAAGGGATATAACTCCGGGTAGGATTTGGGATGGACTCATTGATTGTCGGATGATAAGACCCTCGAAAGATTACGCGCTTCCCAAGATTGCAGTATCTTGCGTGAAGTTGCCGAGCCGTGAAGCGGTTGATAGAAAGAATTATCAAGGGTCAAACCTACCAGAGTTCCAGAGGGCCCAACGTGGATGTCTCAGGCTTGTGGGCGGCCATGGTGACAGCGCGGAAGCTGCAAGTTGCCTTTTGAAACATTCGTAACGCATCGTCTCGCTCAACATGCACAGGTCGAGTCACCAAGAGGAAGCAAACCTGATTCCATAATGCCCGACCCTAGGACAGCGTCTGGCATTGGGAACGGCGCTTCCGGAACAACTTCTGGAATCCCAAGACTTAAAATTGACTCTGTCGTGAAAACCGGAGAGGCGCCTCCGTTGCAATTGGCAATAAATCCACAATTGACCTCAAATCTGTAAATCCATAATCGGAATGATTGGGTCAGCTTCTTCGTCGCCTTTAACACGGTGTTTTCTTTGAACATTGTGATAAAGCAGTCCAGATCAGCAAGTGCGGTCATCGGCGCTTCCTGGTGTCGCGCCTGAGTATTTCTGAGCTTCACGTCATTGCAATCCCTCATGTACCTGATAAGTTTGTATTTAAGACGATCGCCAGAAGTCAAGAAGCCTTCTATCATATTCCGATCTGCGGCAGACTGAGCGCCCTGTAAAGTGCTCCTCAATTTCTCCATAGACTCATTGAGTCGAAGTACGAGAAAATAAAAATCCCGCACAAGGCCTGTTGATGGCGCGTCTCGGCCGTGGTGGCAGAGAGTCGAGTCGTAGACCCATTTCCTTAATGATTCGACATCGGACACAGACCGGGACAAAGTAACCATTGGGAAAGGAAGATTCCAATCCTTGATAGAGCCGCCAGATGCAACATCACCTTGTCTGATGTCCTCATCCGTCGTCAGCGGCGATGTAATAGGGAATTTTGACTTCCAATTCGCGATTTCAGGAGGCAAATCGCAACTTGGTTTGCCCCTCGGCGTTTGTGGAGGTTGATCGGTATCAAGGTTAGATTCAGAACCACCGTTGGCACTCGGCATATGGGAGGTCGTGTCAAGATCGTTGGGCTTATGCTTACGGAGAAGTGCAACGCCATCGTCACCACAAGCCAGCGGAGTCGATGGTCTTTCGCTAGAGAATGATGAGGAACTTTTCTTATATGACCTGTCGATTGTTTCGCATGTTTTGATACCTCGGCAGGAGTGATCATCTTTTCGTTTTCTCTTGGATATAATGATCAAATGAATTGTGTCATCTTGCTGAATGCCGTATTCGGACAAGGTCTTCTCATCTCTCAATGGTTTGCCGGTGAAGGTTAACTGTTGATTTTCTGCAGGAGCTCTCTCGCGGCGGGCGATTTTTGACTTGACATGTCTCACCGTATCAGACCCAACAACGCTGAGCGTTAGCTTCAAGTGTGTGGAACTCTGCACGATTACACGAAAGCTTCTGTCAGCATCCACAGATGGGGTCTCTTCTTCCACTCTTGTTTCCGTGGCTTGGTGCAGACTGTCAATCAACTCATGTTTCTCCAAGTTTGGTTGCGTTTTAACCACCACTTGAACGGAAAAGTATTCTTCGATGTCATCGCATTCAAGATCGGCTGGCCCAGCAGCTGCCGATGGCGGTGCCTTAGGGTTTTCTTGCAGCGTCTGCGTGGATCCATAGTTGCATGCAATGAATGGCTTTGCAAGAGAGGTATCTGTGGAGGAAATAGAGCTACGGCTATCTTTGTCGATCCATGGCCGCGATTGTCGTATTGCATGGACAGGTATGGCTGGCTCCTGTGAAATCTGGACGAGGCGATAACATTTCGGGCAGTGGCGACCCCCATATATTATCTCTTCATTCCTCGTAACCGCCTTACAAGATGGAATGGGACAGAAGCCCTCTGGTGCTTCGATGTTATCAAAGACCATAGTCATGAATAACTCGTCACCCGGTTCAATAGCATTGTCCCAAAATTGTGGCTCGAGTCTTGTTCCTCGGCGTACATGTGTAACGAACCAGTGACCCATTTCCACACGACGCAGTCCTCGCCGATTCACAAAGATGGCGGCAACCAATCTTCTGGCACCTTCCCACTGTCTAAAGACATGGTAGGGAAATAGGGTGACATTCTTGAAAGCATCTCGAAACTGGACCATTGGACAGTCTATTCTCATGGGCAAGGAATGCTCAATTCGAGCGAGCTGCCCTCGAACTTCCCAAAACTCCTGAAGAAGGGATGCCATGGTCTGCAGCACGTCTCTTGTCATGTTTGTAGTCAGCTGTACAGAGCCCGAGATAAGCTCAGCAATCTGCTGTATTCTCGAAACACGTTCCATAAAGAATACCATCATCTTGGCCATGAAGTCAATGATAGAAGTGGTATCGGCTTTGATGACAGCGACTTGCCGTTGCACAGCTGATATGTCGCCAGACAATGATATCATTTGGGGATTGGTGGTCGCTTGATGTTGAATTTCACGAAGCAACCCATTTTGAGCTAGCAAACTGTCTGAAATTGCTCTTTCTTGGCCGACAACTTGGTCAATTTTCGAATATCCAGTTAGATTGGTATTCTCCAAGCGTTGCAAAATGGCGATTTGAGTCTCAGTAGCGGCCTGGGCAAGGTCGGCTCGGTCTAGCTCAGCTTTGGCAAGTGTTTCAGTTGTCTGTGTCGCGAGAAGGAGTAAGATGGTAGAGACTTTGGGGATCAACCTCTTACGCAGATTCTCGACTTCGTCTTTCCAAGCAAAGGACCATTGCAAGCCACGGCTAAGTCTCCTAAAGGGATGCTTGGTAGCGTGCGACGTCCCGAGACCTTTCTTGAACTTTTCAATCTTCCCCAAGAATTCTTCCAACGATCTTTGGCAAACTGATGCCAAGGCACGAACGGCGTCCAACGTCCTCAACTCATATGTCCCCGGCCGAACAGTGTAAATATTTTTCAATGCACGGTCGAGAGCGTCGAGCTCGAGAATGAGGTCTTGATATACAGAGGCCGACTCGGGACAACTTTTCAGCTCCAGACCCGTCTTATAGACGAGCTTTGAAATGACGAGGATGTCGCCTGGGGTTCGAGTTAGTCGATTTTGAGTTTGCATGGTGAAATTTACGTACCCACTCCGCCAACGGGCGTGACCATTGTTAGGTATCAACTCATCGCAGCGATCCCAAGACTTCTGGATACGTGTGAGAAGACGAGAGGTTGCAGACAAGGAAAAGAAACATGTTGCACGCTGGTAGATAACAAGGAATAATATAATAGTACAAGTAGATGAAAGTGAGGCTGAGTGAGGCTGAGGCTGAAGGCTGGCCACCACGCCGGGCGCAAATCAACACCAACTGCTGGCACCACGTATCCACAATTCCTCGTAAAACTCCTCAGCATTGAGCCCATTCTCTGTGTTTGCTTGATGCGTTTGCTCGACTGCTCCCTGTCCACGTCGTCTGTCCAACCTTGCAGCTTCAATAGTTGGCCGCGATGAGATTCCCGTTGATCCCCCTGGCCTCGTCAGGCGACAGGAAAACCGACGAACCCCACGACATCATCCACTTCGCCGGGTCTTTTCCCAGCCGACGGTCTCTTCAACATCTTGTCCACGTACTCCATTGGCAACTTTTCCATGGCCATCCTGAGGGCATCCATCGTCGTCGGCCCTACACGAACTCCATTCACTGCTATCTTCATGTTTGCCCCATATGTCAGAGCACGGCTTCGAGTCATACTATCTAGGCCAGCCTTCGATACACCATAGACGATCATGGGATCGGCATTTGCTCGTTCTGATGCCGCTGAAGAGATATTGATGACGCGACCCACCCTCCGCAATGTCTGATAGCGTAACCAGTGCGAACTACAGTGGACTCCCGACGTTCCCAGTCACAAAATCATCAAAAGAGCTCTTCCGGATGTGTGGTCAGGTGTTTCATATCGGCAATAGCGATGTTAGAAAGATGACGTCGATTTTCCGCGTGTCGAGCTGCTCAAGTATGCCAGACACGACATCCTTCCCAAACATAATTCTGCGTGGATGGCCGCAGTCTTGATCCAAGCATCGGTCTCTCGAACGGCGGAGAGCAAAGCACCAACTTCGCAGCTTCGTACTTACCGGCATAGGTAATGGCCATTTGGGTACACCACTTTGCGAGCAAATCAATTGCAATGCCAGCCCCAATGCTGCGTGGGGCCCCCTGTGACAATAGATCTCTTTCCGAAAGTTGGAGCTGGAATTGTAGGTTGTCATCCGTCACGATCAAGTCAACAGTTGAAGGCATCTTCTAGAAAATGATTCCCCCCGGCTGTTCTCTGTTCTGTCGCCACTACTGATGATCGGTCTAGTTCTTCCTGGCAGGCTTTTCAACAATTCCCGATCTTGTCCAGCCGCCCGACCGAAATGATATGTTACTGTAAGTAATTCGAGATTTCACGCTTAGCCTCTCACGGAAATCCTTCGGACTTGGGCTATTCCCGTCGTAATAACGGATCAACCACAATTACTACCGGTGTACCATCGCCTTTGCCCGTCGTTTGCTGACACGAGAACCGTTCGGTTGCACTTGTAACATCTTGTAATTGACGGAGAATTATTGACGGAACAATGCAAAATAGGTCCACATCTCCATTTTGGCGAAGACTTCAGAATCAGCTGCTTGAGCCTTTGCTGATTTCCAGATTCTGTTGAAGAGATGAGACGACGGGAAGAACCACAGAATGATTCATTTCTCTCCCCGGTTGCGTGGACTGCATACTTATTTCGCAGCAATGACCGGATTTCCCACAACACATATGTGATCGTCCTTATCTCCTTTTTGAAACGTTTATGCAGACGGACCTTCAGCAAGGCTCATAACATGTCCACTAATCCTCTACATCACCTGCAGTCCGCGCGTGAAATAGATGGCCGTTGGCTCAATGTGGACCTCCAGACAGACTATCTCTCGCAGGCTTTTTTTTCTGAGTTTCCCGGCAATACACATCTCACGACAAAACCTAAAGCGCAAAGCCCACCGCTCTTCTACCCTCCTGGCCATTCAAAATTGCACTTTCTCCCGGAAATCCTTTCAATGTCTTTTCATAACACCCTCCCCGGAAATCTTCTGGAGAGACACCGTCCAAAAAGTCCTTAAGCTGTCCCTTCATGTATTGGACATTGATGTCGGTGGTTGGTGTGGCAGCGACATAAACGACGCTCGAAATTCCCTTGCCTTTGTGCTCGGCCTCGACCGCATGACACATCTATACGGTATTTAGTCTCTGCTGGATTTAATTTCATGTGGATGGCGACTTACGTCACAATGCCACCAAACGGTATCACCGGGATACATGGGAGGAATATTCACCAAGCAATCCTTCAATTTCAAGTGAGGAAAAGGCTCTGGGCTCATCTCCTGTGGCGTATGTCTCCAAACCCCCGGGAACCAGGGATCATCCAAGTCGAGGGACCACTTCTCCGCGTCGAGAATGTCGTCCCTGCTCTGAGGCGGTTGGAAGAACGGACGGAGCAGCACATACGCAATGAGCGACTTCACATCAGGATAAAGGAGCAGGCTGCCCTCTTGAGCGCCTGCAGGAGTAAGTGCCGTCCATCCCTGAAAGGCACGGAGGACGTGAGACTGCGCATCGCCCGGATAGAAAGCGGGATCTGCACGTTTTCGGTGTGTGAGGTCATACGGATCATATTCCTCGGGTTTGCCTGCCCAGATCTTATCGTACACCTTGCGGTATTCAAGATCACCCCAGCGACATAGGCTACCCGCGTCAATGTGAGGACCCAACCCGGTGAATGGGATGCCAGGGGGGCGGATTCTCAATGCATCCGCGTAGGCCAAGGGGTCCGCGAACTCTTTATCCGGGTCCTCGTCGTCATGCCAGTATAGGTTCAGCGCACGATGCAGAGCCATGGATCGGGGATGAGTCCGAGCTTCTAACTGCGCTCGAGTCCAGTAAAGTTGCAGGATGTACGGGGTTTCGGCTGGCCAGCCTGTTGCTCTTAGAATGATGAATAGGACAAAGGGAAAATGTCACTTGCCCGTAATAGCATCCTTGTTTTCCTCGACATAATTCTGTAGATCTTGAAACCAGGCATTTGCAGTCTCTTCAGGGATGGTGCCACGAACGACAAAACATCCCACTTCTTTCAATTGTTCTTTCTCTTGGTCACTCAATTTGAAGAACTCGTCGTAAGTAACTTCTCGAATCATGCTCGTCCGTTTCTCTGTGATCTCCTGGGTCACAGCATTGAGCTTGTTACAGACAGCGATCCAGCTTCGACGCAGGGCATCTTGCCCGTATTCGGCTGCGATTTCCTTTTTGATCTTGACGTTGTCTGGGTGCAATTCTCCATTTTCGTGTGTCATCTCTGGCCAGGCAGGCCAATCTTCGACGGGATTATGCATGATGCGTCGGTGAAGTGGTCCTACACAACGTGGGCATGAATAAAGAGATGGCCGCAGAGAGAGTGGAAAGTCTCTGCCATGCAAGAGTCCCGAGCTGAGTCTCCTTCCGACAACTCAACAGCCTTTATATCCGGCGGTATATTGCGAGACGCGTTTCATCCTGTGGGGTGAAGCTGGACACCTCAACAACGAATACTTAGTCAAGGTTTGTCGTATATCTAGGGAATCGTGCCAAAAGGGGTTAACCGCCACAGGGCCTAGACTTTTGTGAATCAGGCTCTTAGCTTCGTTTCGGTGATTCGGCCAACCCTCTCGGGTTCTTGATAAGCAATTTTACCTTTCTAGACAAACGGACAATTCCCGTTTCTTGGAGAACGATAACTCCCAAGATGGTTAACCGCCATGGCCAAAGATAAAAAAGTGGAGACAGGTCCTTCGTGCTACATCTCATCTCACACGAGGAAACTGTTTACCGTGTTCGAAATGGAGTTCAAACTTAGATACTCGGCCAGTCGCGCGCCAATCCCGCGGCCGGCTTTTGCCAGCAGGTGATATCGAAGGTTGGCTAGAACAGTCCCAGTCTTCAGCCGGCCCCAGGTTCAAACGATGATGCGTGATGTTCGTCCTGTCCTTATCAGTGAGTCGCTCTCGGAGTATAGCGGTGGAGATTCCATTCCCAAGAATATAATCTTTCAGGGGTGCTGTATATCATTCCTTCCAGCAGGAAGAAAGATACATAAGCCGACGTAAGACTTCACATGGAAGAATGTCCTCTTTTGAGTCGGACACTAAGCATCTAGCAAAACCCTTCCATCTCAGGCATCTTCGAACCATTCTCAATTTTACCGTTATCCTTCCACCATGCTGACGCAAATTACCACAGGGAGGATGCCTCGGGACTCTAAGGTCACCTTGATTCTCTTGCTGTGGTGCTCTAGCATTCTCTCAACAGTATGTAAATCCCAAGTCGAAAGCCAAAGAAGGTATGCTAACGGCAGATATTATTCTAGACGCTCGGATACGATGCGTCAGTGATGTGAGTGTCATTTTCCATGCTTCCATCCACGATGAATTCCGTCTCGAAGTGCTGACTCCAAAGCTAGGAACGGGCTCAACATCCTACCCTCGTACACTGACTACTTCCGTCTGAACACATCCACTCTTGCGCTTCAATCGGCCATTTCATGGGCCGGCTGCGCAGTTGCCGGTCTGTTCTATGGAAAACTAACAGACTGGTTGGGCAGGAAATGGGCTATGTGGATCAGCGCAGCCATCACACTCGTCGGTGTGATACTACAGGCTGCAGCGCAGAATATTGCCATGTTCGTGGTCGCGCGCTTTGTGGTCGGGTTGGGCAATGGCGCAACGTACCTGTGTGGCCCCATCTATCTGGCAGAGACTCTTCCGCTGAAGTGGAGAGCTATTGGCTTAGGCATCTTCATGGACTTCTTCTATGTCGGTAAGGGAAACAGTCCTAGTGTCCACTCCATCCGAAAATCTCATGTGTATTCTAGGAGGCCTTCTGGCTGCTGGGATCACATACGGAACGGCCAAGATGGAATCCACATGGGCATGGCGGCTGCCCTCTGCACTACAGAGCTTTTTTACAATTCTGTCTGTCATCGCGTTGCCATTCATTCCGGAGACCCCTCGATGGCTGGTCTATCGTGGTCGCCATGCCGAGGCCCTGGACGCCATTGCAGTAACCCACGCTCACGGCAACCGAGAGGACCCTATGGTTTTGGTGATATATAAGGAGATCATCGATACCCTGGCACAAGAGGCTGAGAGTGGAAGGCGGACCAGCTATCGGGAACTCGTTAAGTCCAAGTCGAGTCTGAGAAGATTGATGCTCTGTGCATCGGTTGCCGTCATTACAATGGTCTCCGGTTCGTTAATCCCCCACGTCCTGTGGCTGTCGCCCCTGACAGTGGATGATAGGCAACAACATCATCTCTTTCTACCTTGGAACAATGTTAAGCAATGCTGGAATTACCGACAGCACTACACAACTGGAGATTGTGAGTTTTGGGCCTTTCCCAAAAATATTCCGAAAAGTAGGTTTCTGACATTGAGGAGAACATCATCTTGAACGCTTGGTGTTTGGTGGTGGCATTGATCGGGACCTCCCTTTTGGATGGTGTTGGACGCAAGCCGGTGGCCATCTACTCGACAGTGGCGATGACCGTGTTCATCTTCATGGTCGGAGGTCTGACCAAAGGTAAGTTCGAAAGTGCAGAGAATCCCGGCATGCCGCTGACCGCCTCGTCTTTTGTAGCATATGGAAGCAGCGACAATCACTCGGGTATCTATGGCACTGTAGCCGCAATCTTTTTGTTCCAAGGAGCCTACAGTTTTGCCTGGACACCGCTTGCCATGCTTTATCCGCCTGAAATTCTGAACTTTTGTTGTAGATCTGTGGGTATGGGGATCTATACCTTCCTTACGAATGGATTTGGGTGCGTATTCTCTCCGGCCTGCCGGGAAATTTGCCGTCGCTGACTGTATTAGATTGATGGTGACAATGGCTTTCCCTTACGCCCTGGAGGCAATTACTTGGAAGACGTACATGATCAACGGGGCCTGGGACGTCCTTCAGGTGATTTTTGTGGTGTTGTTTTGGGTCGAAACCAAAGGAAAGACTTTGGAAGAAATGGATGAGATTTTTGAGGGTGCAAGCAGGTCCACCACTTTACACGTCCAAGATGTCTTGGACGGCATGGAGCCTGGTCTTGCTCTGGACGGAGTGGAGGTTATAACAGTGGGAGTCTCGGATGCAAAGACATCGACCACCAAGCAGGATTCATCCGTGGCCTGATTCTGTGAACAGCAACCTCCACGACTTGACGTGTTCCGTAGTCGACCACGATTCTCCATGCGATAATTGTCCGAAATATCCCACTTGCATATTTTATAAAGATTGGTCAAGGTCTCAGAAGAGGACCTCGCGCAAAAGGTCATCCCTGAAAAGTACATCCAGACCTAAACTTTCACCATCTGCGGCGAACGGAGGGCCCCATACCTTGTCTAACAGGTTTAAGACAGCCCGAACACATCCGATGCCACAGATAGAATGAAGATAGCGTAAAGGTCGTCGGCACGATTCTCTTTCCTGAGGTGTAGTCGCGGCTATACCCAGAACGAAAATAGGCCAAATCAACGTCGTGGTGTCCTTCAGCTTCAGGTTAGGGATACCATTGAGCATGTCGACCCCTTGCCGCGTGTATCTACGGATAAGAGCTTCCTCCGACTTCAGAGTGGTATCCAGGATCTTGTGCACAAAGATCAAGCAAGCAACACGGTATAGATCGGCCATAAGAATCATCTCGGAAGGGGGACAAAGTCTTCTGGAACGATTTCCGTCAGAGATTGATGGCATTGACTGCCATGACTGCAGCCGTGCCAGTATTGTTTCTGCCTCGATCAATTGCCATCCGCTCAAAGGTGTGTTCAGACGCAGATAGGAAAGTCGGAAAATATAGTCGAACATAACATGTGCTACGCCCAATGGAGACGATTCTTTCCAAATCATCGGTATATTGTCGCCACAGTCTGTCCCACCCATTAAGCGAAGAAGATTATGGACTTCCAGATATGGTTGTTCTCCTTGAAAACAGGATGGGTCGAATGTGCTGGAGATTGCGAGCTGGAAGATGAATTCTTGAACAGCCAAGCGGAGAAAGAGTGTTTCGGGTATACGTTGGTGAGTGACTCTGTGATACAAGTGGCGTGCTCCTGCGAGATGTACGGTATTGGGACAATTTTGGTCTTTTCGGAGGGTCTGTGGGCATCTTGATCAGTCTTTCCACATTCTCAAAAATTTTTAGCAGGCATAAATCACTTACCTCGAATATATGTAAAGCATTGATTGAAGCCAGAACCCACTCGTCGTTTGCAGCGGCTCGATCGTCCATTTTCTCAATAGCACCAGATACTAGGCGAGTGGCATTTACGTAGTGGCTCAGACTCACTCGCACATAAGATGGGTCGCTCCCAGATAATATCGCTGCTCCGCAAGCGGCATAAGCGTGCATCAGCGCTGGATTTTGGATGGCATGTGTGATTCCCAAAGATAAAGGCGAGATGCGTGGGTCGACGTACGACATCGAGTGAACATGGTTGAAGGTGGACAAAAGGAGTTCAAGCTGCCGAGATTGCGCATCGGATCTTTGTGATTGTAATGCATTGGACCCATGTAGGTAGTCGCGTAAACTGACTTGTGGTGATGGAGGGATCGGAGCTGTGATTGCAACGTTCTTTTTATCGAGCGATCGTCGAGAGAATCTCGCGTCCCAGAGACATTCAATAGAAGGATGTCTCCGGCATCTCCCACAAATGGGTTTTGCTTCGTCACACTTCTTCTTGCTCTGGCGACCTGGACTCGGTTAGAGAATGAATGAAAAGCTTTTCCAACAAAATGGAAGCAGCTATACATGCATAGCAGCCTGTGCTGGAGCGGTGATGTCGAATAGTGGCTTTCGTCGAACTCAACCCATTCTCCGTGACTCTGAAGTTGGCAAACATATCTCCAGACGTTTGTCGATGGATCGGCTTTTGTACTTAATAAAACTTGTCGACTTGATAAAGTGCGCTTCGGGATAGCGGCACATGTTCTTTTCTTCTCAGCTCTCGGGGAAGAGAAACTGTACGACAAGTATGATGTTCCGCTGATAAGAAAAAGAACTTCCGGAGAAGCGCGACGCCGCCCGGTTGTGAGAACTCTCGGGATAGGGGGACGATCCACCAATGAACTCTAGATAGGTGATATTGAAGGACATTTCGGGGAGTCAGAAGGGCAATAGTGAAAATAGTGCGATAATGTCATGCTTGAATGCACGTCTAGATATTTACTCTACTGAATAAATTACAGCCTTGCGCCTTGTCTCCTCAGCCTCTCCCTTGTGGCGTCCCTCAACTGTCTCCTGAGGATTTTGCCGGACGGATTCTTTGGGATTGAGTCCACAAACTCCACACCGCCAGCTAACCGCTTGTAGCGCACGACCTTGCCCTCGATGAACTTCTTAACTTCTTCTTCTGTGAGTTTCTCACCTTCCGGGTTGGCCTGCCGAATCACGAACGCACGAGGCTTCTCGTCTCCGTCTTGGGTAGGCATGCCAATAACAGCGGCGTCTGAAATTCCAAAGTGCTCAAGCAACAGGGCCTCCAGTTCGGCGGGTGCTACTTGGTTTCCCTTGACCTTGATGAGTTCTTTCTTCCGATCCACGATGAAAAACATGCCGTCGGAGTCGACGTAGGCAATATCGCCGGTCTTCAACCAACCATCTGGCGTGAGGGTTTCGGCAGTGGCCTTGGGGTTGCGCCAATAGCCTTTCATGACGTTTGGACCACGGCACCAAAGTTCACCGACAGAACTTGACCCACGGGTAGTGATTTCAGAAGCACCGTCTTCAGTCATAATCTTAGCTTCGCAGTTAGGGTTGGGTTCGCCGACAGAATGGGATGTGGAAATGCGGTTGACATCCCAGCCGAGGAGGGAACAGGTACATCTAGAATCAGGATCAGTTTTGGACAAGGCCAAAAGTGGATATAAAAAGAAACGAAAGAATTTCTTACTCAGTCATCCCCCATCCCTGTTTGAAATTCAAACTATGTCCTAATCGCCGTTCCACCCGGGCCGAGACATCTCTACCCAAGGGCGCCGCACCGGAGCCAATATTTACCACCGAGCTGAGATCGTATTTCTCCACCGCCGGATGTTTGGCGAGCATTACTGCAATCGGTGGTACCAATGTGAGATCTGTTATCCGAAATTTTTGGATGTATTCGAGGAGTTGGACGAAGTCAAACTTGGGCATGACATAAACGGGGATTTGTCTGTTGAATGCACCGGCCACATAGAAGGTTTGACCGTAGGCGTGATACAGTGGTAAAAAGCAAAGCCACGACGCGTGAGCATTTCGGGCCTCGTATTCTGGGTGGAGCTCTGACATTTTGGCCACTTGGATAGTATTAGAGATGTAATTGCGGTGCGTGATTTCAACCCCCTTCGGAACACCCGTCGTGCCGCTGCTGTAGTTTAGGGCCAAGGTGGTGTGGCATTCTCCTGGACCCGAGAGGTCGTCCCATTGAAAATCCTTTGCATCTGCCGCCGGGGCAATCAATTCACTCCAGTATTTACAACCCTTCAAACCCTGAGTTTCTCCGTCATATATTTTGGCGTTGTACACGAAGACTCTCTCGAGAGGATCAAGTCCGGCCAATCGGGCGGCTTCGACACCTGTATCGATTGAGCCATCCGCGCATAGAAGATACGTAGCTCCACTGTCTTTTAGTTGGTGGGCCAATTCCCTTGCGACGAAGGTCGGATTCGCGCCGCTGAAGATTCCACCGGCGCAGAGGATGCCCATGAAGACGACGGGGACAAAGAGGTCATTGCCACTAAACAACAAGATGCGGTCTCCTTTTTTGAAATGCCGGGACCGTCGAAGGCCAAGGGCGAATCGCTGTGCCCATAATCGAAATTGCTCGCGCGTTAGGTAGTGAGTGTCTGGCCGAGCCGCTTCTGAGAAAGCACGCTTGGTGCCGAGGGGGTAGGAGGGCGACTTGAAGAGGAACGTCGATAATGAACATTCCGGGATGGGAACAGTCCAGCGAGATATATATGGCATGGTGGATTGGAGGAGAGGGTGGGAAGGAAAGAATATTTACCGTGGTCTCCTCAAGTCGTGGGATCACAAATCAAACTTACCTTGCCCACGGACTAGGTCGCGGAGTGATTTTAATATCCCGGAAAACATGGCAACACATGTGTGTGGCAATGGATAAGTAACAAGCGGCGGCGAACCTAACTCATGGAGTGACCGAGGTCAACCAGAAGCCGGGGCCTCAGGATCCAAGGACGCAAGAACTTGGCAGCGAGAGACTAAACGGGAGGGTAGCAAATAGGCGAAGTGCCGAAAGGGAGTCCGCGTAAGGGATAAACGAGGAGATCGAGTCAGCGACGGAGCAAGGAAATGAGGAGATAGTGGGGATTGGGAAAAGAAGGGGGCTGGCTAGATGCCGAGGTTTGATATGAACCTCAAAGGGGAAGGTTGGGCGGGAGTCCACTTGACCAAAAGTACAAGGATTCGTCAAGTGCCACCGTGATTTGAGTATTGGTACATTTCCATCGGTAGCCAAGCCAAATGCAAATACACCCCTGAATGGAAGAAAAGCCCTCGTCCAGACCCGTCCGCAGTATTCCATTTTACTCTCCTTCACCCGCTAATACTCATTAGGAGCCGACTCATACTTCTCATACAACTGACCAGGCTCACGGCCTAATCTGCCCGCACTGCTCCTCAACTTCCCTCCACGGGCATCCACAAGAGGAGAAATCCATTGGTCATCAACGGTCCCACCGACCATCTTATCACCCTTTCTGAGGTAAGTGGTCGCGCCCATCAGCGTGGGTTGGAAATTGAGATAGATACCCTCCCAGTGTTTGCGATCGACCTCGAACATTTCATGGTGGATGCCGAGATGATCACTTTGCTTGCTGTTCTTGTTCCACCAGTCCCAGGCTTCTCGGTGGAGGGGTCCGTACGCGAATCTGTGGATGTCGTCGATCGACCGCCAATAGCTGATGAAGAGAAATTCCGTGGCGCCTTTTTTGTCCTGGCTGGTCCACGAGGAACCACCGTAGAAGCCACTGTCAGGAGCATCTTTCTCGCACTGCTTGATCATATTGCCGAGATAACCACTTATCTCTTTGAGGTTGGGGGCGAAGAAGCCTAGGGGATGGTTCCCTTTGGCACCCAAAAAGAACACCACCACCTTCTCATCGGAGGCCTCTTGATGGAAGTTGCCATCCTCATCCGGGATTTGAGGGGACACCCGGTGCAAGAAAGCTTCGTCAAGATAGTGGTTCTTCTTCCATCCCCAAGTGATGGCCATGGTGTCTAGCAGACGGGCGCTTAGGATGAGGATCGATGGCAGCATTGCGTAGAAGCGAGGGATGATGAAAACGACAATGGATTGCAGTAGAGCGCCGAGGAGGAGCCACGTGGATATTGAAAAGTTCATTCGAAGAAGCTATTCCACGTCAGTATTGTTCCTTGGACCCCTTTGAGGCCGTTTGTTGAGAGGGGGGACTGACGTAGAGTTGCCGCTTGGTTGGGTCTGGCCATCGAGATTGCGACATGGGTCGCTCGCTGGATGGAGGAAGCATGCTTTTGAATGCCATTGCAATGATGAGATTAAAAGCGTGATGGGATGGTATATTCTTTCCAAATCGTAGAAGAAGATCGGTCTGGCTGATTGCTCCAACGCAATGAGAATGTGTTGATTAAAATGATGTCGAGGGACAGAAGTCTGATCAAGTTATATGTGCCTTACTCAGCGAATAAGGCAAGCCGCGCATGGGTAGGGCTTGGGGTTCAGGAATGCCGCCAACGTGCGATAGAATGGAGCTTCAGTCTGAGGCAATGCGGCCGTAATCAGCATTGAACAATGGGAGAAATGACTCGAGAGTCTAGACCAACGGCATAGTGAGAGGATTTGCCAGAAACTTCGGCAGTCAACAGCTCACCAATGATTGAATGTTTGAGACGACATCATTTCACGGAGCAATGGACTTAGATATGGCCTGGGAACAGGCCGTCTTGGATTGAGGAATCCAGCAGTGCTCTTTCTTTTCATCGGCGGAAACATGGGTGCTGAAATAGAGATGGATCTCGAGGGTGTTAAGGCCGTATTGTCAGGAGGGACGCCGCCAGCCAATCACCGCCCAAACATTGTCCGCTTATGTAATTAAAACCGCCGCCACCTTGCTCCGGGGGGTTATTTAGCCGAACTTTACCAACGCCACCTAGGCCCCATGGTGCCCACCCACACGGACGAAATTACCCTTGATATCACAGTCGGCATCAGGATTTCTCCCTATCGTCCTCTAGTTAATTATAGTTGTTTCGATTTCGTCTCAATTCAGAACAGAGGAAGCATTCTTTGGCTACCCAGTCCCAGTTTGACTCGTATTACATTTCTATTTCGTCTACAAGCGGTCCGGTTCTCCATCACATGTGGCCGGAACACACATCCGAACGGGCGTCTGGTCCGCGGCTCAAAATGACGACAACGCCTTTGGGGTCCTGCATTAGTTCAATCTTTCCGCGGGTCAGAACATAAAAGGTCCATCTCTATCCGCAACGAGGGTTGGGTATCTTGTCTATGTGTTCTTCTAACCATGTCAAAAATTTTTGAGGTGAACAGAACATCACTCCAGTGCCCGGTCTCAGCTAAACAACACATTCCATTGTACTGTGTTCGTTGTTGATGTTCATCCAAGAATATTAAGACGCAGCCGGTCTCGGGGATTTGGTTGGTGGCATGCCCAGTCCATTTCGGTTGCGGAAGAACAGAACTCCCGCATCTTCCCCCGTAGTGCCCGCCATCGGTTCAACCCATTGGCACATCCTCATCGACTTCCACAGGCTCTTCAGGAATCCGATTGGGCCATCTTTGGTATCGCTGCGATAGTGACGGCCCATGACCTTCTTGATGGCTTCGCTCGCTTCGTCGGCGTGGTAAAAGGGAATCGTGCTGACATAGTGGTGAAGGACGTGGGTTTCGATAATGCCATGGAACAGCTGACGGCCAATGAATCCGAATTCACGATCGATCGTTGCGGCCGCTCCTCGAGTATAAGTCCACGTGGTGGGGGTGTAATGTGGCAGTGAAGGGTCGGTGTGTTGCAAAAATGTAATGGCCACTGATTTGCCACCTGTCAGTCCAATCCGAGAGTATCTCATCAGACTTTCGCAGCAAACTTACCCAGCCAGTGATTCACCCACAGATACGGGGCAAAATACCAGACAAACAGATTCGTCCAGCCATACTTCTTTCCGACCCAGTAAAGAATGCTTCCTGTGATGATGAGGCCGAGATCACTCAACAAAATCAATTTGGCATCCTTGGCTTCATACAGAGGGCTGGCCGGATCGAAATGGTTCACTCCGCCACCGAATCCGTTGTGCTTGCCAACTCCACGGCCCTCCCGCTGACCCTCGTGTTTGTCGTGGCCGGTGACATTGGTGATGAGGTACATCGGCCATCCTCCCAGCTGCTGAGTGATCAAGTGGTAGGCAGTTGCAATTGGGGTCTCCTCGGTGAGCTCGTCCAGCTGATGGAGCAAGTGGCCTCTCCTGCTGGCATATTCTTCCTTTGTGGCCGGGACAAATACCATGTCGCGGTCCATGTGACCAGTCGCCTTGTGATGCTTACCGTGGGAGATTTTCCAGGAAAAATAAGGGACCAAGAGAGCAGAATGGCACACCCAGCCCACGGTGTCGTTCAGGACCTTGCTGGTCGAGAAAGACTGATGTCCGCACTCATGTGACAACACCCACAAGCCGGTGCCGAACAGGCCTTGCACAAAGGCATACACAAACCAGAGACCAGCTCTGAGCAGGGTATAGGGAACATTCTCCGGCGTCAGAAAGCGGTTGAAGAGGTAGAAGGTTGTGGCTAGAGATACAATGTCTCGAGCAACATAGTACAGCCCGGTAGCAGCCGATCGTTCGAAGCAGTGCTTGGGGATTGCTTTGTGGATGTCACTGATGGTATAGTCTGGGATCTCAAAGGCATTCCCATAGGTATCAAGCAGCTGGGTCTTTGTCGAGACCTCTTTCTGGACCGCACCCACTTCGGAGCCGAGAGAGGAGAGCGAGGTAGAGGAAGGAGACGATCTCGGACTATCGACAGGCGAGATGTTGGCGGAGGAGGTAGGAGTGGAATCAGCCGTGGCCATTCGACGAAGGGCAACCTCAGAAGGCAGCGCAGTGGAAGTGGAAGCCATGAATGGATGGTTGCGGTGGATGGAAGAGCAAAAATGTTGCGACTGAGCTGTGTGAAGGTCAGGTCAAAACAAACGAAGCAAAGACCAGAAACAAGAGGGATTGTCGAGAGAGCTTGCTGCAGACGTTCGGTGTCCGATAGATCGAATCTACCAGCTGCTCTCTTGGCCGTGAGCAATGTAACCAGACAAGACGACCGAGAGAATGACTGTGGGAGGGGATCTCCTGACAGATATAAATAAAGTTGAGGGCTGAGCAGAGAGCTACTGAGTCGACTAGAAGAAATGAGGCCTTTAGGTATAAGGAGGGAACGTAGCGGCCGTCTAGGTGAGCGAGCAGTCAGTAACAAGAAAGTACGGTCTGGTAAGTGGGCACACAAAAAAAAAAAAAAAAAAAGAAAATGGCAGGCCACCTGGGAGTGGTGCCAGTGAATGAATCGCAAGCTTCTCAACAAAGTTATTGAACTCTGACCATTTTGAGAATTGACCGGGGACCCTGGGAAGCTCATTGCTAACGAGGCCGCAGTACTAAAGTCAGGGCCCCAACCATTGAGCTTGCGCGGAACCCCTGGGCGGTGAGCAAGAGATCTCACTACCCATCTGCAGGTTCAAATGACAATGGGGTTTTTTGGACATACCAGATGGACAGACAGACACTACATTTCATTTACCCGTTTCCTAATATCTGGTATTTGTTTTATGATCGTGGGGTCTCGTCTGCACTGCAGGATCCATTTTCCCACCTACTACGCAGGTACGTTCCTGGTAGCGCCGCTGGTGACTTCTTCTCTTCTTGACCGACAGTATTCCATCCGCCAATTTCCCTTCCCTTTCCCCGAATTCCCTGTTCTGGTCTCGGCCTAACCTGGCCCCATTTTCACACCATCGAGCGTTCTGCCGGTATTTTTTCAGCAGAGTCGAAGGGCCGGGGGCTTACCTGTCAATCGAGATACCCGCCGAGCCATTTGGGGGTCGTGTGTCCACTAAGACATCCTCAATTGACCGCTCAAAGGTATGATCTCGAGCACATGCTATCATCCTCGACCGCGGATTGCTGGCAGGATCAGAGGCCTTGATCACCAATCGATTCAGGTCGGAGTGACATGTGCAGCTGTGCCTTCAGGCTGGAAGCTGGCTCGCAAGCTGTTCGAAAACGGTGGTTCGGAGGGAGTTTCAGGTGAAGCACAGCCTAAAATGGGCACCGGTTGGACCTCGGTCGAAATTTTTTGGGGGGAGAAGGGGGTGGGGTGGGAAACAAGTCTTCAGTTCTGGGTACGACGCGAGCTGGATGCTTGATTGAGCTCTGGCTGTTGCAGGAGAGATTCGGAGCTCCACGAAAAGTAAACCTTTTTTTTGTTGGGGAATTGAGACGGTCAAAGCCCTGCTAGCATCCCGCCGAGAGTGGGCTCCTGTGAAGCCCCCTGCCGCAAGCTGAAGCAAGATGTCGTCATCCCACCAGTAAGCGCCAAGCTTTACGTCGCCATGCCATAATTAGACTAAGCTGTCGGCTCGTGCCGTGGACCCTGAAAGGGAAGCTACGGAATGGGCCTTTCTGGAAAAGAACCAGTCTGCTGTGCCTGCAGATCCAGATCTAGGTTCCTGGCTCCAGACCCAGGGCCGCATTGGAGCTCGGTGAGCCGTGGAAAATTGGTCACAGGTCCATCTTTCTGGACGGTATTTTGAATCCCGTGGTCTTCCCGACAAGGATTAAATACCATGGAAACACCTCAGTCTCTTCCGTCACGCATTTCGCTGCTCACAAGCCTCCCCATACCTTCATCTGGAATCGCCCCAAATACTTCCACTGTCGTGCTGCGTAGATTGGGTGTGACAGGAATACTTCGACCGAGTTTCGCATTGTATACATCGCCTGGCACTTCTGTCCATCCATCAGCTCCTCCGCTGCTGCTCTTGGTCTGTTTGCGGCACTTGACCGTGATTGTGGGAAGTAGAACGGGTCCCAGGCGTTGAGGAAACAGGACAAGCGGAATCTGAACCGGCTCCCTGCTCAATTGAACACTGCCTTTGCGTCTCCCTCCGATCAACCATGAGTCTGACGGAGCCACAACTTCGAACCATCCCTCCACCTCGGTCTCCCTCGAATTGGCCAGTCTTAAAATGAGTTCGGCCATCATTGGCTGGCCAATGCGTGCGGTGCATCGTGCTGGGCGGCTCAAGCCCTCCACCTCTAATGAGGCGGACACGAGAACCGGAGGCGGGTTAACATCGACATGGAGTCTGAGCTGCCGTCGCGTAGTTTTCGCAAATGTAAATTTGATCGGTTCCACTCGACGATGCCATGACTGAAGCCAACCCTCAATTCCCGCTCTGGTCTTTCTGTCGAACGCCCACAGCACAGAGTCCCAGTCCGCATCTTCCATTTTCCATATTTCAATCTCTTGGGACAGTCCGGCAACTTCCAGATCTTGCTCGGTCCACGTGGTTCGAACGCGGTTCAGTAAATGCGAGACCAACAACCTCGCCGCATAGGCATATGGGGTCTTTAGTACCTCCGACGTAAAATCTTCTTCGAGCACGGTCAAGATGATGTCATCCAGCGAGAGAAAATCAACCGTCAGAGTCAGCCGTTGAGTCGAGCTGACCATGCTATCATGCTTTGGAACAAGGCGAACAGTCCAACTGGCTGGGTGTTTGGGAAACACCACTGCTCCTTGATCAAGGCCTCCACCCAGAACCACATCATACGCTTCATTGTCCTCGAGCTTGCAGCTGATTAGGTGGAGAGGGACCAAGGTAGATGGACTGATTGTAAACCGAGAGTACATGCACGAACTTCTAAACACATCTTGAACATTCACAGTAACTGGCAAGATGATATTTACAACCGCCGTGTCGTACAAAGTAAAGGTTCCCCGGTCGGTCTCGTAGTTGGCATCTATTCGTATCGTGACAGAGGGTTCAGACTGGATCTCCATTGTATAGGGAATTTCAATCTCCTTCGTGCATTCAGATTCCATGTTTTCCAGAAGAATCATCAGGACGTCTCCCTCCCGCACTGTACGCAGTGAAGTTGAGGACGGTTGATTGTCACCCAACAGCTTCGAGTCATGAATGTTGAGTCTCAATCCTGCGGTCGCGGTCTTCAACCGCAGTTTGCATTGTTTGATAGTATTAAGACCGGGCCTTATCTGGACCCAAAACCGACGCATCTCCGCGAGATGAAAGACAGGTGAAGGGATAATTCTGACTTCCAGGCACCGATAGCACGGGTAGACCAGGAGCGGAACAATTTGAGATCCAATACCGAAGAATTCATCCGAGGGTGCTGACTCGTCGCTGTGACTTGAAGCGAAATGATGTACCAGTCTCATATTGCCGATGTGGACCTCAACTTCGTCGGGAGTATACCAACCATGAGTAGTCGTGGCAGTTTCCAACAGAACCTTTGTGCCATCTGCCTCAATCGGGACTTTCTTGAAAAGTTTTAAGTGGATGTGCTGTGGTTCATTGCCATCTCTGGAGGCGAGTCGCAACCTGATATCGTCAAGAGGTGGGGTCGATATACCCGACAAAGGGCGAAGATCAACGGACAACATGAAACCGTCTTTGCCCTGGTGATGGGAGATCGTTCTTGAAACACTGCTAATGTGGAACAAGTTTGTCAAAGGCAATGTGATCGCCGAAACATTTGCTACAACCTCGAAAAGCTGGTCCGCATAATGCTGTTTTGTGCTTGAAGAAATTCCAAACGAAGAGCCAAATGGTCCTCGCGAAATCCACTGCAGACAAGAGATGAGACATCGAGCACGATCGTTTGGTTTGTCCAGATGCCTCAAGCAATCGGCATACATTCGTAGGAGATGCCCGTCTGCGGGACGATACGACGGTCGCGGCAACTGACCGAGGATGCTCTGAAGATACCGAGCGGCAACGGTGTGATGACCTTGCGCATACTCCATTTGCACGAGATCTATCAAGATTTGTTGCCTCGTGGTTGTGCTCTTTGTGTGAGTAATAATTCTGAATGCAAAAGTTGACAGCAAAGCGTACAGAGTCAAGAAAGTGGACTTGGATGCTGCTGCCGCCATCAGGGTACTTGACTCCAGGCCCGCTATCAATTCCTTGTGACTAGAGGTGGGATTATCGTCCCCTTTATCCGAATTTGAGTGCACCTCCAGGTCACCGTTTGCTGCCTTCATGTAGTTCTCCTTGGCTGAGTTCAAGGTGATTCGCTTCATCTCCGTCACCCACGGTCGAACGATCTCCAGGGTTTCCATGGTATTTCTCGCCATGATTACAAGCTTCGAGACCCACAACGCAAGTCTCTCAAAGCCAGGGCGACGGGAAATTACTTGTTGCGAATGTGCTCCGTTGGGCATGACTGAGTTTCTATTATTGCGTTCTTGAGATCGTTCGCGAGAGGACAAACGCGGATCAGGGGTGAGTGACCACCTCTGCACATTGGAATGGGTCTCAGCGGCTTGATCTGTTGCCTTTGCGTCGACTAGCTCAAGCGCATCGATAGTGAGCGTTCCAGTGCCGTACTCCAAATTCATGCCAAGTAGCGGGACGACCCATCCCAGTATTTGCATCACGGCACGCCATTCCCAGGTGGAGACAATATTGCCAGTCACTGTGCGTTGCGTGAGAAGCTCCTCGGAAGTGAGGCCTTCTTGCCCTCCCCATGCACTGTAAAGTTCAAGACGGAGGCTACGGGCGGCCAGATTGATGAACTGGACCGCTCGTTCGGTGAGATCTGCAATCACATTCAGGTTGGCGCCTGTTTTTGTCAATTCACTTGCATTCAGGTCTGCTCGCCCTTGTCTGGTGAGAATCTCCATTTCTCGGGTGAAGAGATATATTCGGAGATCTAGAGCCGAAACATCGTTTGAAAGGATGAGATTCCGATAATTTTTCCGCTCAGCATCAAAGGGGAAGGAATGGCGATCAGCTGTAAGGATATGTTCCAGTTCACAATTCGAGTCGAGGTTCTGGGGAGAAACAGGCCGAGTTTCGGGATCAAGGGCCGCTCGCAGAAGCGACTTTGATTCTTTCGAGAAGCTGAGAAGCGCCCCACTGTCATCATTGTCATGCTTCTGAGCCTGGTCCTTGACCAAGCCATCGAGACCTAGAGAGAGCTCGTCATAGACAGCCAGAGCATCTTCAAGCAGGCCCACACTCTCAAACCCTTTCGCTAGGCCCTCTTTCAGAACAAAAAAGGTACAAAAATTCCAACCGGGCAAGTTCCTTTGGCTATCCCTTTCTCGAATATCGGCTTCGTACTGAGATACGCGGGCATCAAACGAACGGAGGATACATGCCTTCAAACACTCGACCAGATCTTGCCATTGTTCCTCCAGTTCGGCTGGCGTAAGTGGGGTAGATTTGTCGTTGGGTTCCAAAAGCCGAACTTGGGCCACACGATTGATGGGTGACTTGGAGCTGCTGTTGAAATCGGCTTTTAATTTGTCCAAAATCGTAGATGAACTTTTGCCTGACCATTTCGATTTGCTGTTAACGCTGTCGGTGCTATCTGCGGTTTCCAGCGATATGCTCTTGAATGACCTTGGTTGACTGGCCGCGGGGGTATTCGGTAGCACCACATGGACAATCAACCATTCGAAAGCGTCATGATCCTCTTGGGTCTTGCTCGTAGACTTCCCGTCATTACCAGGTGTCTGTGCCTTGACCCATTGGCGGACATCTTTCCTGGCCTTCTCTTTGTATGTCTCCTTGTCATCGCACCGCAGCAGGTATAGTTTGACATAAGGCGTCTCGCGCAGACCGGGAATCTGGTGCCTGCGGACATTGGATTGCGGTCCCACTGATTTGTCTTCTCGGGTGAGGGAGATGTTTAAATTGGAGATGGATCGAAGAGGGCGTTTCGGGGATTTCCAATGGAGGTTCTTCAGAGGGCTTCTAGCCGATAGACGGGGCTCGAGGTTGTCGAATAGATGGTGAGGATCGGCACATTGAACAATTACTTTGGAATTGGAGGGTGAATCTGCGCCGTCCATGATACAGGGAGAGGTCGCGCAGAATGGAACAGCCTGGGAGAGCTCATTGTGCCAGACCGTGTGTCGGAGTTCTTCTCTGGGTCGACAACCGCATAGTCAGCGGAGAAATCTGGCATCTGAGAGGGAAAGATAATCTGGTGTGTATTGCAACTTATTACCGTCAAGGCCGATACAAGAAAATACGGCGAAGTATTGCGTGCGGCAGATGACGGAAGCTGCAGCACTATGAGAAATGCTCCGCTATAGCCAAGCTCGGTTCCGGCGAGCTTAATTCGACGCCGGAAGTCGGTCAACCGGGTTCGGTTTCAGCTCCAAGTTCCAGGCGACACCTCAGCAGCTCCTTTTCCACTCGTCGGCAAATCTAATCAGACTGATCAGGATTCATAATGCCTTCTTGACATGTGGGAACAGAATTCCGATCAGCATCAGAGTGAGTCGCAATGAGTCACTATTTACTCATTGTTGCCTAGCCTCATGGCATAAAGGACCCCAGTCTTAGTTTGCTTCGTGGCCTCTACCCCCCCCCTTTTCCTCCAAGCCGCTCTCTTCATTGTGGGTGAAGGTTCAGTCTGTTTTTGTTTCATATCCTCCCGCTATCATAACCGTCACAGTGAGCAGGTCCCGTCACTCTCTACATTCATTTTCGTTTCGTCATCGATATTCAGGTACCATTCTTCACTAGTTTATCATCCTGTGACCATCAAATACGACATGGCGTTGTCCGCTGCCCTTCCCGAGACACTTCGTTCTGTCACCTCAACCAAGATCCAGGAGCTCAGAAAACAAAGAGACCAGTTTGAAGCCTTCAAAAACCAGGCTCTCAACGACGCTGAGCCAGCAACTGACGATCTCGAAAAGACAGCCCTCCTCCTCAATGCGGGCTACCGTCATGCTGGAGTCCAAGTGATGGATGACGATTTTTCTGGCGTCGAGAGCTCTTTGTCCTCGAAATCAACAGCTGTTTCTCCGCCAGGCCCGAAAAGATCCAGCATTTACTCCCGATTTAGTTCGAAGGATGCAAACCGACTTGCTCAAAGACCTCGAGCTTGAAAGCGTCCAACGCGAACGTGCTCAATTCTTCTCTGAGCTAGTTACTGAGTGGCTCTCCAGCTCCGAAAGTTCACGTGCAGACCAACCGGCACAGGACGTAATGGAGGATTCTTCGTTTGAGAGTGTTGGTCGAAAGGAGATGCATGAACAACGAGCTCAGTGGGAGTCTTTGGTCTTTTCCAAAGCCCCATATAAATGAGTCAAAGATCAGAGACTATCTCAATCAATTATTCAAGAATGACGAAGCAGTCTCAAATGCATTCAAGGAGATCGAGACTAGTACCAAAACGTACGGAGATTTGCTCCAACGTACCAGCGACTTCTTTAGCCCTTCTCTTATCGAATCCACCGTTCAAGGAGTTCTTCAGACCGATTTGCTGTCTGGAGAAAGAACTGCCACTTTGAAATCCTTCCAAAACAACAAGGTGGTCCTTCAAGAAGTCGCCGATGTCCTCAACATGAGATTCTCCTCCCTTGAAACGTGGAAATGGACCACGATCCACGGTGCCATCCCCGTCGAACAACGTCGACAGTTGAATGGCAAATATCGAGTCTTTATGGATGAAGATGTTCTCGACGCGCTGTTGCTACACTCAATTGGTATGAAATGGACTATCCATTTCAAGTCTTGTTTGACCAACTTCTTTCAGTCTTTGGCCTGGAAGACCGCAACCAGAAACATCCCGAAGATTGACCAGGACCGGCGTTTGTATTTCCTAAACGAGACTGATGTAGCATTCAATACCGTGGATCAAAGACGCTGGTCTCAGTACAAAGAAGACTATTTTCTCACGCAGCTCCCAATGGTAGAGTCTGAAGGCACTCGGGGTTATGGAGATGAGGATGACGAGCTTCCAAAGCAATCAAGGAAAAGCCCTCTCGAAATCAAACAAAGCCTGCTTCATCTTCTCATCACTGAGGCTCTCATTGCCAAGCATCTGCGTCCCGGTATCTCTCACCACGGTCATTCGGTCCGATTTCCAGTGGTTTGGTCCCTCTCTTCCTCATGACACCATTTTCGTGGTTCTTGAATTCTTTGGAATGGGCAGACCTTGGATCGACTTCTTTCGGAAGTTTCTCCAAGCCCCAATGCGTTTCGTCCAGGACGGTCCGGGAGGCCAATTTCAAGTTCGTCAACGAGGTGTCCCAATGTCTCATGCACTCAGTGACGTATTTGGAGAGATCATTCTCTTCGTCATGGACTTCGCGGTCAACCAAACTACACAGAGCTACCTTTACCGCCTTCACGATGATTTTGGTTCTGGGGTGGCTGGGAGACAATGACCAACTTCGCTTCAGTCATGGGTGTGGAGTTTAATCCAGAAAAGACAGGCTCAGTCATATTTGACCAAGGTCCCATCTCTCGACAGACTGCTGAGTCGAGCGACGACACGGACATGGAGCCGGAGGATGAGAGAACTGTCTCTAGAAGGACTCGCCTGCCTAAAGGCGATGTTCGATGGGGATTTCTGCGCCTAGACGCCGCCGCACCACGGTTCGTAATCAATCAGGAAATGGTTAATGAGCACATCAAAGTTGCAGTTATCACATTGTACCTCGATCTTCGCATACATTCAAGCGTACAATGCATATTTGGCTCGATTCTTCAGCAATAACTTCGGCAGGCCTTCATATGCATTCGGGAGAGAACACATCGACAACGTGATTGACACATTCGTACGGATCCTGAACGCAGTTTTCCCTAACGGGTCGGTCACTGACTATCTGGCAAAACTGGCCGGTGAGAGATTCGGAGTTAAAAATATACCAGATGGAGTATGGTACTGGCCGATTCGGATGGGTGGCTTAGAATTGCGCAATCCACTGGTGCCGCTATATTGCATGCGAGAAACGATTTGCAAGTCCTCAGAGCAGATTTTAGCCACGCACCTCCAAGCTGACGAAAGGGCGTACATTGCCGCAAAAGCAGAATTCGAACGCCATGGCAGTCCGTACAAACGAAGATCAACTATGGCTCCAAGTTCATGTCGAAAGAGGAGTATCTGAGATTCAGAGAATTTCGATCCCGCCACCTTGGGGATGCTTATGAGCAGCTGCTCAGCGTTCCCAAGGAATTCAATGTGAAGGAAACGAGAAGTTGGCCGGCCCCGCTCGAAGTGTGAAAGATTCTTGCGGAATAGTCAGTCCGTTCCGTTCAATGAAGCCATACTGGAAATGGATCCTTGCAGTGTATGGGGGTCAAATTATGGACAAGTATGGGAGTGTGCAGATTGTGGACGCGGTCCAGGTGCCTCTCGGCGTGGTCGGTATAATGAAGATAGGCCAAATCAGATAGACATCAGTGATGCCCAAGACCAGATACCAGAAGCTTTGGACGTTTCCACAGCACTAGATAATCGAAGACACTTCGCATCTGTGTAAACAGCTCTATGCCTTGGGCTCTTAACTTGATCGTGCTCAACATACTGAATTGCTCATATTTAACTTGGCATCCAGCATGCGGCGTGGGGGTGAGAACTGTAAGATATTCAATAATATTTCCAGACACCCGAATCACTTAGCCACACCCGGACAGACAAACTCACACAATTCCTAGATCTGCCAGTGTGGCCCCGACAACCTCATGTATATGCGTGGTGAAAGAAGACTCCAGTCGGTATTTGAACTTGAAAACTAGCTCTTCCATCCGCTATGGACAACTCGTCAACCAGATTAACGCCTGCATCCTCCTGTACGATGCTGACCTCTATCTTCAACGGCCTTTCGACTCTTACGCCTCTTTCACATTCTTCGTCTTCACATAAGACTCAAGCTGAGCCTCCGAGACTTTCTCTTACATCCGAGCCTGTTCACAGCCTCCTCTACAACCTTTCTCCGGCCGACGCCGAACACGCTCGCTCTCTATTCCTTACTCTACATGTTTTGTTCCCACATGAACTACTCCCGGCGTTGGACCTGCTGGATAGACGCCTAGTAACACGCCTTACTACCCAAAATCTACCGCCGAGGTCTCCGGGTCGGAGAGGAGCCGCGAGGGACGAGGACGCCGACGTGGACACTGCCGAAAAATGCGAGATGCTGAACAAGGAACTTAAGGTTGAGTCCCGTTCAGACATGTGCGAGGTGTACTACATCCACAGTCATCCCAGCAAAGTGACAACGTTGGCGAGGTACCATGCCCGTAATGCAAATCCTGGCGCGACGTTCTACGAAGTTCATCTCGATAGCTGGAATTGCAGCTGCCCCGCTTTCAGCGTCTCTGCTTTCCAGGCGCTGAATATGCATTATAATGACGAAGGTGAGATCGCAAGCAAGGCCTCCCAGGTTGATCATATGCACGAGCCTACGACTTTAGAGAAAGAATCATGGTCATTCGGGGGCGTAGCGACTAATGTACACTCCTCGACGCCGTCTTGCAAACACATCCTTGCCGCAGTATTGGTAAAAGCGGCACCCAAGCTCTTCAACCACGGTGTTAGAGAAACTGTGGTCAGTAGAGACGAGCTAGCAGGTTGGGGGGGTGGTTGGGGAGCGCTTGGAACTGGATAACCTTCTGGGTGTCGGATTCATTTGGGGGAAGTTATCGACGGAGGAGGCCCCGTCTTGTTCTTTCAAGACCCAAAAGGGAGGAGAAAAAAGAATCCAGCTTGGCCAACAACCAAAAAGCCTGATCTAGTGAACGAGATTTCAAGATATGTAAAAAGGACGGCAAGCGGTCGGATTCACTGTGCACCGCAGAGATAAGTCTTTGGTTCGGCCGCGGCGTGCGATTCGAAACAAGATGAAAACCAGACTCGGCTGACTTGTATGAGTCGGTGTCCATCTTCCATGCTGGGTCTTATGGCATGATATGCTTTGCCGTGCTGTACATGGGCGCAAACCTTTTGAACGCCTTGCTCAACTCCGAGGTTTCAACACTATCATGTCACCTAGCTTTTCTTCTTCCCCTTTCCTTTTCCATTTCCTGCCTCCTCGGCTTCCTTCTTGTCACCGTTCACTGTTCCGTTCGCGCCAGCCTTCCTTTCGTCCTTATCTTTCTCCTTTTCGCCTTCTTTCTTCTCCGCCTCATCCTTTTTGGCATCCTTTTCCTCCTGTTGTTGTCGATTTTGATTCTTGTTATCAATGAGATCATGGAATGCGGTGATTGCTCTGACAAGGGAACTGAGGTATATCGTCATAAGTTGATCATTGGTCTTTATGCTCATGGCGCGCGCTAACTCGCTGTTTTCGATTTGGTTCTTGCCGTTGGGTCGGGAGGCTGGAGGGGTAGTTAGGTTCGGTAGCAAGTTGAAGATGTCTTGCAGATTTCCGAGGATGGCATGATTGATGGGTAATTCGCCGTCGAGGACCTTTTGCAAGTATGCGCCGATATCTCGCAATCGCAAGTGAAGGCCTTGTAGCGACTGTAATTGTTGTGTGATCCTGGACGAAAGTGTGCCGACCGCAACATCACGAATATCTCGGAGAAGATGCTCCACCCCGATTTCTTCTGCTTCTTCGGCTTCAATAATCGAAGGAGTATGCACAAAGGTCTTCGTTGTAGTGGTGCCGTCATCCTTGATCTCCTCGATTGCAAAGTATGCATCGGTCGGAACTCCCACCTCTTTTGGTTGGACATCGATGATGACGAGGAGAGGGTTCGGGGTGTATTTTTTGAACAGTTCGTTGATCTCCAAATCTGATGCTCGTAGCTTGGGGCCCGAATGGTACCAGCCGATGAGTTTCTCACGGGCATTGACCTTCTTGAACATTTCTCGCATGGATTCGACGTAGTTGTGATCGAGAAACCACACGGATGGATCTTTTTCATCTTCCTCAAACGGTACTATTATACGTTAGGGGTGATCTATCAACATCGATCGGGCGCGACAAACCCGCGAAGCTGTTCGATACTCGAACGTTTTTACCATCATTTTGACCCAAAAGAACGCCAACTACTCGCTTCCGAGTGCCCTTGGCCGATCGACCGTAATGATCGGCAGCTGAGAGAAGAACCAAAGGGGCGACTGACACTTGCCTGCTCACGAGAGAGAGTGTCTCCGCTGTTGTGGCAGGCATGATGGCGCAAACTGGGGGAGGGAGTACGAGTTGGTCGAGATGAGCGAGACTGGAGGAAACAGGCCAACGAGCAGAGAACAATTCGAAGGTATATTTGGAGTGAAAATTTCAGCCCACCGATGCGCCGATCGGTGAAAGTATCAAGTGTCAAACGAAAGATTTGGTAAGGTATGGTGGTACAAATTCTGTCGATTATTTTGAGCATAGGACGCGCCTCTTCGCAGCCTAGGAAACAATTGTCCGATAATCGCATGTTTGAGCACATGCTTATCCGTACAACACGGAGCCATCGATGCTCACATGGTTCCCTACCCACTCTCGAGAAGTTCCATTCAGTTTCCATTGTTACCGCCAGTTATTCGTACGGATGGGCAATCTATCCAACAAGCCATCTTTCCCTTTGAGGCTCTGTCCCTTGTTGACCAAATCATATGTCGCCTTCTCCAGCTCATCGTTGAGCCCAGACACTACCGCATCGCCTGGTTGCAGGACTTGACTTCTAGGTCGAGCCGTTGCGGGACACAGCAGAATCAGTTGAAACCCTGTTGCGTATAGAAAATGGGGCGACCAGGTCAGAAAAATTTGAGGTCACTCACATACCGAGGGGACACTCGTCACTCCATGTCAAACTACCTCCCAACCGCTTTCCAGGGAGATTTTCCAGATCGACTGTATCCCCAAGGGCATAGTTTGAAGGCATATTCTTGGGGTGTTCGAGACTGACTAAAGTCCTCACAGAATATGCGCTGACCATCGCTTTCAACGTCTTGGGACTTTGGGTCAATCTTCCACGGCTGGTTGGCTGACTGGATTGGTCGGAAAACAGCATAAGGCGCTTCATCCCTGTTCTCTTTGATCGGAGCAGGATGGACTGCGCTGTACTTGACCGAAGCGTCACCACCACATTGCCGTGGACTGATGTCCGAGATGACGGTCATGGGATTTGGACTTGAATATGTTGCGTAAATACCTCAGAAAAGTATTCAGATCCAGCTAACACAATACAGCGATGCATGGGTCTTAGTTGTCACTTCCTATGCAGAGAATCTTACGACGCAGTGGCGCCTGCCTCTGATATTGGCTGCTGTAAACCCCTTTATAGCTGCTTGTCCTCCTACCATTCGTTTCAGGTTGGCGCATATACCTTTGAGGCTGAAATCTCCGTAAACTAAATTGTAAAACCGGGTCACCTAGATATCTTTGTTGGGCGGGCAGACACGAAGCAGCACTTCAGCTCAAGCGGAATTCATTCAAATTCGAGTTCAGGTGGAGCACGACAAGGAGTAAAAAGTAGGGTATATTTGAATGTTCATCGTACCTAGTTGACGTCGTCCATCCTTTCTTGCTCTCTTTAAAATGTAAGCTCCCCAGCTTGTATAATTGGTGGAACTGGCACAGCTGACTGAGGCAAGTTTGCGTCCCAAGCAACTGGTGTATAGTTTTCAGAACATCTCTATCGGTATTGAACTAAATTTCTGGCTAGGTCAATGGGATTGCCGACTATCTGGCTCGAATCTTGGGGACACTGGGTCTCAAAGGTGTCGTGCCTTTGTTGATATACAGTGAGTACTGCGCCTGAATTGTCGATCGCAACCACCGGGTGAAAGCGGGCTGACTTGACGGCTGATAGGCATCCATACGATTGTCGGTACTGCGGCCGCTTCGTTGCTTGTTTTACTATGGACAAATTTGGAAGATGAAGGTTATCCTCTAAGCTTCCTGGCCCCGGACGTTCTGCAACAGGTTGCTGACTAGTGTTTGAAGTTTTCAAATGATTGACTTCCCGTCCCTTGCCATCAATCTTCTTGTCGAAGCATTTCTCCAACGACAGTATTTGAGAATGAACAACCAGGCAGGCAATGGCGCAGCGGTGGGCTGCATCTTCCTCGTCATTGTGCGGTTTCGGTTTATTGACGCACCATCAATTGTATGGTGTTCGGTGGCCTTGCCAACCACACGTCGCGCTTAAAGGAATTGGCTTTGCCTGGTCCACTGGCTTTTAGAAACATGTCAATCTGTTTCTGCCTTCTTGCAGACATGATTGGCCCAAACTAACCGAGAAGTTACGCAGAACATGGAGAATGTACCTCATCTTCATGAATTTCTGTGGCATGTGCGAGATCACTGTGTACTTCTATAAGAGGAATGGGAGCATTGTTTGGCGAAGAAATCATATTCCATGTGACCTCCGACGGCCGCAGTCTTGTCGAAAAAACCAATGCAGCGCTCGCGAGGAGGTCCCAATGGTAGAGTTCTAAAGGACATACATGATCAAGCATAGACCGGGATGAATGGAAGCTAGCAGGTCCCGAGTAGGCAATAAACCCGCGATCCTGACGCAAGACTCGTTAGGCGGCGGAGTCGTCTACTTGTGTAAAAGAAAAGAGAAAGGAAGAAAGGTAAGGAACGTGAATTTGAGAATTCCAGTAAAAGCGACTGAGGAAACAAGTGTCGCAATGCTAGATTATGTTCTTGTCGTATTCCGACCCATCTTGTCCCACCAAATAAAATTCACACCATCAAGGTGTAGGGATTCGGTTTTATCCAAATCGAGTCTGTGTTGGTTGCATTTGCTGTGGCAATGGTACCTAGTAAGGCAGGATATACGGCGATTGAATCTCGGGCACAACAGGGAGACCTCTCACCCAATTTTTGCCGACAGCGCAGAAAAGTCCAGAGCAGAAGGGGCAGGCGCAGGCGTGTTCGATCAGGGCCGAGGGTGTTCCCGGGCCTGGTGGGAGTAGTCAGCCACGGGGCGTGGATGATGGAAACGCGGGCTTGGGCTCGAACTCAAAAAAGCTGAGAAAAACGTGTCTTCTTGGCGGTTCCGAATTGACGCCGGTAAGTTCGGTGGAGCGGAGGAATCTGAGAGCAGCTGCAGAGCTGTTCCCAGGTAGTTTCCACCGCGTCGGGCCCTATTTCTTCCTCGCCTCTCTCTTCGTTTCCTCACTTCTCTCCTACTCCCTATACCAGACTTCTCCGGAGGTGTTGTTCTTTCGTCGACCTTGGTCAGGTCCCCTTCCCTTACGCCATCTTCCAACATGGCTCCAATCACCGACGAAAAGGTCGCCGACCTGAAGGATCAATTTCATAAACTCGAAGCCCGGATTCATGAGCTGGAGCGGCGGATCGAAGGCAGAGGGAGCAAACCTTCGGTCGCAGAGTCTATGCGCATGATCCTCATCGGCCCTCCTGGCGCAGGTGCGTTTACAACCAACTCCGATTCTACGCGTTTACTGATGATCTTCCGCAGGCAAAGGCACACAAGCTCCTCGGATTAAAGACAAGTACTGTATCTGCCATTTGGTATGCGGTAACCTGGCTTTCCCCTCTGTCACCTGCGATTAATTCCGTGATAGGCCACCGGTGACATGCTTCGAGCTCAGGTCGCTAAGAAGACACCTCTTGGAAGAGAAGCTAAAAAGATCATGGATCAAGGCGGCCTGGTCAGTGATGATATCATGATCAACATGATCAAGAATGAGTTGGATACCAACCGGGAATGCGCCAATGGGTTTGGCTTACCACCTTTCCGCCCCGTCGTCGCTGCTGACACATTCTAGCTTCATTCTCGATGGTTTCCCACGAACCGTCGCACAGGCTGAGGGTCTTGATTCCATGCTTGCCGCCGAATCCAAGCCTCTCAAACATGCTATTGAACTTCAAATCGACGACGGTCTCCTCGTTTCTCGTATCACTGGTCGATTGATCCATCCTGCCTCGGGACGAACTTATCACAAGGTTTTCAATCCACCCAAGGAGCCCATGAAGGATGACGTGACCGGTGAGCCTTTGATTCAAAGAACCGACGACAATGCCGAAACTCTGAAGAAGAGACTCGGTACCTATCATCAGCAGACGAGCCCAGTGGTAGCATACTACAAAACCAAGGGAATTTGGTCCGGAATTGATGCCAGTCAAGAGCCTGATCTGGTGTGGAAGAGCATTCTCGGCGTTTTCGGGGATACCAAAGCTACCTCTTCTTCGGGCAGTATCTTGAGCAAGATTGGATTGCGATAGCCGGAACACGATGCGATGATTCAAGAGTGGTAGAAAAGTGGTTATTGGTTGCATACCCCTCATAATGCTCTTGAATGGCGGCCGGAATGAGACTATCACATGCTTTCAACTCTTGATGTTTGCCAACGTGTACAAGATACGGATTTGGTTGCCAAAAGCTGGGTCTTGGTGAGTGAAATGCGCAAAATGTCTCTAACTTGAGTACAAAGCTTGCGCCTATCGCGAGACGAATTTCAGAGCCTAATTCAAAATATCGAAAACGTCTCTCCATCCGCTTCTGGCCGTCAACAGTTACCTACATTTCTTCTCCAAACATTTTGATCAATTTTCAGCATGCGACTTCTCCTCGACTTTGGCCGACGTGACATCAAGGGCATGAGAAATGGGTTGAGATCTTCGCTGAATGGGCTAAATTGATATCAGGCTGAAAGGAAGGCGAATCGGAATGATGGCCGCGTTCGCTCGACATTACGCGTTCGGCCCACAGCAAAAAAAAGTGGGAAAGGTAACTGATAGATTTCCCCGCGACAGTCCCTCCAATGTGATATTATTTATTCACATACGCCCCCTCGTGGCGTGGATTACCTGCCGGATCGTATTCTCGAGTGCATTCTATTCCTCGATCCGATCACCATGTCCTCGGCAAAGGTCATCCACTGGGGCATACTAGGTAGGTCCGAAACACACAACACCCTCCATTGGGAAGAATTCATCAGCTAACGCTTCTACAGCCACCGGTGGCATAGCACGAACCTTTACCAAAGACCTCCTCATTGATCCCACTACTCGCAAAGTCACGGACATCAAACATGTTGTGGTGGCTACCGCATCCTCGTCCTCTCTCTCCTCCGCCGAGAGATTCATCTCCGACGTCGTCGCGCCCTCCCAATCTGCCAAATGCACACCCTACGGTTCATACGAAGACCTTGTCAAGGATTCCAACGTGGACATTGTTTATATCGCCACCCCTCATTCCCACCACTACCAAAACGCAATGCTATGCCTCAGCAATAATAAACCGGTGCTTTGCGAAAAAGCCCTGACGGTGAATGCGGCACAAGCTAAAATAATATATGAGAAAGCGAAAGAGAAGAATCTGTTCTTCATGGAGGCGGTCTGGACAAGATACTTCCCTCTGAGTAGTGTTGTCAGGAAACACATTATGGATAATGATATTGGCGAGGTCACAAGGGTATTCTCGGACTTGAGCATTGGTGTGACGCCAGAGACAGCCTTTGACCTGGGAAACCGCATGGTGAATCTAGATCTTGCCGGTGGATGTCTTCTTGACCTGGGCATCTACAGTCTCACGTGGATTTTTCAAAGTCTTTACCATACTCTCCCTGCGGCATTGAGAGAAGAAGGACGGCCCAAGGTGCTCGGCACCGGCATGACGCCCGAACCACGAACTGGCGCAGATGAATCCACATTGATACTCCTGGAGTTCCCCAAGTCGACCCCTGGTGGAAAGACCAAAGCCCACGCCATCGCCACCACCGCCATGCGCGTGAGTGACGACCCGGGAAGGGGCCAAGGTGACGTGGAAGTGCCAGCGGTGAGGATTCAGGGCGACCAAGGGGAGATCCAGGTATACGGACCGATCTATAGGCCGATGAGGTACCGGCTCGTTCCAAAGGATAGGAACCGAGAAGTTATTGACCGAAGATTTGAGTTTGAAGGCGGTGCGCATGGGATGATGGTAGGTGATATTTCTCTCAGCCCACCTTTGGAACGGTCAAAGAAACTGAGCCCGGGGTGGTGTCACAGTATGAAGCCGACGCCGCAGCTCGTGCATTACTCTCAAACGCATTAGAGTCCGAAAACATGCCATGGGCTGAAAGTACGCTTATTATGGAGATTATGGATGAGGTGCGACGGCAAGGTGGTTTGGTATATCCTGAAGCAATTGAAAGTACAGAGTATCCCGTGAAACTGGGTGCCAGGACATGATATCAACTGCAAAGAGTTGGGATCGCAAGGTATTGTATCTTGGGTGCAACAGGGAGTTATTCAGATCCGACGAAATCACTTGGGGTCTTTCATGGACTCAGAGTGTCTCTTCGTCTATGTCCCGGATGTACGGCCATTTTCATACGACATCTCTCTGCAGAACCGTAAGTCGGGCAGCTGCTGTCTTCCCTCGGCACCAAAGTCGTCAAACCCCGTCGAAGAAACCGCACCGACCGCGATCAACAATCTACGTTATCCACAAAAGCCTCCCTCGCGTAAAGAATTCCCATTGACCGCCCCATTGCTTGTTCCATCATAATTTCCCAAAGGACTCACTCCTGGCTTTCATCTTTCTTCTAGCCACCACTTCCACTGCCTCTTCTGTCCTCCATATTCAGACCCTGCTCCCTAATAACCTTTCTGTCTTGGGCGCCACGCTCTCGGTGCTCCTTTGCACGATTCACCCTCAACGTCCCGTCCCAACGGCCTTCCTTCCCATCTAGCTTCTCAATCACGATGTCCACGTCCTCGGCCCGCTCCAGGTCAACGAAGCAGTAGTGGTGGTTGCCCGGCTCGCCAGCCTTGCTGGGGCGTGGGGAAATGAGCTTGGACACGGCCATTGGAGCGATGCCAAACTCGGACAGATATGTCGAGAAAAGCGATTGGATTTCTTCGTCGACGGCGGATTGCGGCTCCATTCGCGGCAGATTGCCAATGTACAGACGCCGACCTTCGCTCTGGGGAGTTAGCCAATGCGAGGGCGCATCAGTGCGGCTCCAGCGGTCGAATGTGGGCTTGTATTCCGAGTCTGACAAGGGATGTCAACATGGCTTTGATGGGAGGCCCAGCGATAAGGGTCTGAAGGAATCATGCGAACTCACTTCTTTCTTGCCTCGTTTCTCGTCCCCAGCCCCGCTCAACGTTCCTAACTCTGGCTTCTCTCCCACCGCTCCCATTCTGTCCCGGTCCTTGACCCTGGCCCTGCTCACGCTTTGCAACGCCTGGGCTCACCCTCACCGCTCTCCCCAGTACTTCCACACCGTTCAGCTCGGTCATAGCCCTCTCTGCCTCCTCCGCCGTCTCCACATTGACAAAGCAGTAACTCGGATTCCTTCCCGTGAAAGGGTCGGTGGAGATACTCACGCCCACCACTTTGAATCCATGCCCCGTGAATAGCGATTCAATGTCCGCTTTCTGTGCAGTGTACGGGAGATTCCCGACGTAGAGTCTGGTGCCTGGAGCATCATCTGACGCTGAATGTGGAATTGACTGAGAATTCGAGTGCTGATGGCCGTTGGATCTGCTATACCGAGACCGAGACTGGGGTTGCTCGAGACGCGGCGAGTCGTCTTTGATACGCCAGTTGGTCGAGATCTGAGAGCGGAAATTCTGATATTGTCTTGGAGCAGGTGGTGACGAGGTGTCTCCCATGCTTCAATTGCTGCTGCCTTGGCTTGCTGTGCTAGGAACCGTTGACTGAAGAGATCGCAGCAAAGAGTCTGGCTTGACCAGGGTGAGACTTCCACACTTGTCTGGCAAAGTGAAGAGTCAAATGAAGCCAGGATCGGGCTTGTTTGTTGTCACGAGGTCCGGGTTTTTTAATTTCATTAGGCAGGGCTGTAGATTTTGGGTAGATTTGCCAAATTTTCGTTGATGCCAAGACAGTGATTAGATGATTTTTGTAACAATTTCGTTTTTCCTGTTTGGGAGATCAATCTTCCCGTCTTGGGTATGTATGCCCCGTCGACAAATATTTGCCGTTCGTGCGTTCTACGATGAGAGAGAATACTGAACACGGCACTAATGCAAGAGCTAGAATACAGAATCAATGATCTAGATTGTGCCAGTATAGCTTTCACTAGAACGAGCGCACGGATCCAGGAAAGCTGGTACAGTTTCGGCGTTCTCATTAAATGTCCAATTTGTGCAGCCTCTGTGCCACACCATGGCGGTGAGCTTCTGCTGGATCACGTTATTATTGTAATCTTCTGCGCTTCTCCTAACAGTAACCGTCTGTCAGAATTGGTTCGAAGAAAGCTTGCGCAATGGATGATGCCCGCGCCTCCAACGTATAGATGATCGAATTGTGTGCCGGGCTTGCAAACATGATGGCACAGTTTGGAAATCCGGACACCGTAGGTCCTAAGTATGCCTGACGGCCGTGTGTATCTTTCTAATGCTTTGTAAGACTCTTCATTGGCGTGAGATGCATCTGTGTGTTAAATCCAGTTGCGTCGGCTATCGCGTCCACTTCAACGTGCTTCCAATCGACCAACTGAACCCCGGTTTCGTCGATGAAGACGATGTTGTCGGAGCAAAATGGCAACGTTGTTGCGGTGTTAGGCATCTAAGTACCCTGGCACGCAATATCTCCGATCTGGAATTCTTGATATACTCCAAGTAGAACTCGCCGACATGATAGTGTATCCCAACCCGGGTCCATCACATCCAACCAGGGATCACTCGAAGAATCTACTTGGCAAATGGTGAAAAGAGTGGATTTGTCTAGACAGGTCAATTAGCAGTCGACAAATGAGACAAAGGTTCAAACTTACCCTCCCAAAAAGCCGTTGTTCGCTTCGAGCGAAGTGCATGAGCTGTTTGACTTTAGGTGCAATCGTTGAGATAATTTGACAACCACTGCAATCGTTTTCAGTGACGGTGACACGTTTGCCATTGATGTCGTTGTTCCACTCCCAATTTCACGTTTTCCATGATCGACCTTGGAAACTGATCTCTTCCTTCGATGCGAGGATGTTTAGGCGTTGTAAAAATTCCACATGTCGAGATCAAGACGGTAAATCTCCTCTTGTACTGATGGACATTGTGAACCTGCTTAAACTCGACTTCCCATGTGTCCGTGGGTTGGTTCCAAGCTGCACCAGCGACTTTTGTCGATAGAGTGAGGAGTCCACGTGAATCAAATCGATCCACGACTCCATTCAAGTCTTCAAGTCCGAGGTCAGTCGGCAGACTCGTAAAGTGGAGTCAGCAAGAACTTACATTCAAGAATTTTGTTCGGGTCACGTAATGGCCAGGACCAGTTCGGATTCAACGCAAAATGAATACGAGTAGAAATGCAACGGGACATCACAGCCTTGTGTGTTTGTCAGAACCGTCTTTCTGGCGAATGTGCCTACTCACCGCATCTAGGATACGTGTTACTGAACCATGTCTCGCCGGTGCCGGAGTTCCGGTCAATGATCACAAAACCCGTGGCTATCCCTCCGGGCCCGGCTCCGATGTGTTGGACAGTTGAACAAGTAGTCAATGCCGCCTTTTTGGGATATCGGGGTAGGAATAGGAGAAGAAAATGGGTCAACCAAGCATGTATAAATACCGGCAACCGGCAGGACCGGTCGCTAGATAGATAGAGCATTCGATTCATATTCTCTATACATACTCAGTTTGACACGATGACACAGGATGTCGGAGCATATACAAGTAAAGCGGCCACCCCTAGCAGATAGTTTTAGTTAGCTCATACATTCTCTTCCCGCCGCTACAACAAGGCGAAGTCTATGCACGGTTTTGTCCGAGTTGCCGCATTTTCCGGTCTTTTGGAAAACCAAGTATCATGCAGTGAGTAACCCCGGGAAAGAGGGGTGATAGCTTTGGGCCCTGCGATCAAACACGTGGTTTTCATCCATACGTCGGTCAGAACTCGAAAATGCAGTGCGGATAAAAAGTGATGAAGGGATAGAATCTGCTAACAGGCCAGATACAGAACCTGAATCTGTTCTCCGGGGTCTTTCAATCTGTAATCAGATCAAAAGCGTTAAATTGCGCCCAAAATCCTAGTCTACCAAACATGGGGAACACTGGCTTTAGCGAAATGTTGCTCGAAAATACAGAAGGCGGCATTCCTCTCGAAAGTCCCGGCTTCCCCCAGACCGTAAAAGCTGTACGTTACCACGGAAATAAAGACATCAGAGTAGACGATATACCAATCCAAGGTCCTCTGAAGAATGGCGAAGTTCGAATTTCACCAGCTTGGTGTGGTATTTGCGGCACAGATGTCCATGAGTATCTCCATGGACCGATTTTCCCACCCACCAAAGAACATCCCCATCCTCTCACCGGAGATCATCTCCCTATCACTCTCGGCCACGAATTCTCGGGGACAGTGACAGAAGTGCACCCTTCTGTCAATGGACTGCAAATAGGAGACTCTGTGGCAGTCGAAGGGTTGCTTACCGACGAGAGCTGTTACGCATGCTCCATCAAAAGACGGAATACCTGTGAAAATTCAGCCTTCATCGGCTTATCAACTAATCCGGGCGGCCTCTGCGAGAGCATAGTGATTCCGGCATCTACTTGCCACAGGCTTCCTCATGGCATGTCGTTGGAATTCGGAGCCTTGATCGAGCCACTTTCCGTCGCGTGGCATGCAGTCTCGAATTCTGGCATCAACTCACAGCACAGCGTCATTGTCTTCGGTGCCGGGCCTATTGGTCTCGCAACAGTTCTGTGCTTGAAAGCCAAGGGCGTCACCAAGATTCTTGCCTCGGAGCCGTCTAAATTGCGACATGCACAAGCTAAGAAGCTGGGGGCGCAATGCGCTTTCGACCCTATGGAAGACGATGTTGTTGCCAAATCCAAGGAAATGTGCGATGGGTAAGTGTTCTTTCCAGGGACACAAATGATCTAGCCGCTGACATGTCTCCGCCCGTCGCAGAATTGGTCCAGATTTTGCATTCGATGCTTCGGGCGTGCAAGCTACCTTGACGACCGGCCTCAAATCTATACGGAAGTATGGCACATATTACAACATTGCACTTTGGGGCAAACAGGTAAATTGACCATTACATTGGAGCGAACCAGATGATAACAACCAATAAGCCAACAATTGACATGAACGAGTTGCTCTTCAACGGAAAGAGCATCAAATCAGACCTGTCATACTCGCATGGCGATTACAATTCGGTCATCAGCGCCATTGCCGAGGAAAAGATATCTCCAGAAGAGCTCAAAATTTTCGTGACATCCCGCATCGACATGGAAGATTTGGAGGAGAAAGGGATTAAGGAGCTCATCAACTTCAAAGACAAACATATCAAGATCCTGGTGTGTGTGGATAAGAGGCAGTCACAGCACGGTGAGACATGATATAAATGAAAAGGGGGCAACTAGCTTTCGGCGTGAAGTTATCTCTAACTGCTCTAGTCATCCAGAAATTTATCTCGTCTTTTTGCTGCAATCAATGGCATTGTCAACAAGCCGACCCCCAGACCATATTATTAGACCACTCTCTCCTCTTATCTATTCTCTCGGCTCTGTCGTCTTTCCCGAGGAATAAACTCCTTCTCTGCATTGACCGCTGGACGTCAAACGGTGATAGTGGGCACTACATCTAGTCAATGACTCTGTGCAGCCTGCCGCTTTTCTCATCCTTCCCCAGCGCAAGGTTGACAACAGCTTGGAAACCCACTGTGATACTTTTGCTTGATACCACTCAGATTCCAAAGCCAATCAGCCTTGTATTATCCGGAAGGCTAGGCTAGCTCCAGTCCCACTGTGCTGGTTGTCCCCGCGCTAATATCGTTCTCCAGCCCGCCAGGATTCAGCGATCGAACTGCTTTGCCCTGTCCGTGTCATGGCAGTCAATGTCACTTTAAGCTCCACGTTTGCCGAGACTGGTCATGCATACTCTAGGCTCCGGGTGGTCAAACTGGGGAGGACTCGGAGAGCCCTTAGGATTTAGGCAGGGTGACACTTGCTCAGGATGTCTTGGAGGGAGAGTGTGCAGGCCCGAAACTGTCAAATTCTGCGCGCTTGCCATCAAACAGCAGACATGTCTGCGTCTACAACCCCGTATACTCACAAAGTAAAAATCGACATTGCGGAAGGTCCGGCGGCACCAGCCAAGCGTAGCTGCAACGCAAAGCGGTCGGGTCTTGCATGGACTGGAAACAAGCGGGCAAAACGCAATGCGACATTACTCGACCGCTTTTGATTCTGATCGTCGCACAAATTGCAGAGATAAAGGAGAATCCTGTGAAGTTCGGTATGGAGAAGACGAAAGACGCAAACGTGGCCTTCAAGCCAATTCGGAGATTGAAAGCAGACTTTTGCTAGTGGAGGAGCTGCTGATGCAAAAGTGATCCAACCAAAATTGAAGAAGCAAATCTCCGGGCTTGATTCAAATTTCTGATCATGTGGCAGCCAACGGCGAACAAGATCGTTCTCAAAATATCTCCTGGGAAGACGAACTCAAACATGTCATCAATGCTACCGCCTGACCTAGACATTGCCGTCTGGCAACGTGCTGCGCTTCTAATTGCGTCTTTCGGAGCCCCAGTTATGGCAAATTAATCAATTTGTGTCACGAACAAGCATGGAAAGTGACCAGTCTCCCGGAGATGCTTTTTATCTTTCCGAATCTGGCAACTCAGCCTGACGACTTGAATGCTATTATGGATAAAGCCATCTCTCGCGAAGGTGGTCTAGAAAGACAGAACGCAGACCGTATCAAATAATTCGGCCCAACAAGCATGCACCACCTCTCAACTTCTTCTCAGGGAAAAAGCATGATCACATCAGCCGGATTGGGAAGTTCACGGCCATTCTTCTCTTCAATGATGCGGAAACAAGCAGATAATACCGCATTCCCTGGGTCAGATAGCTGGTCAGCCTCTTAGTCGATTGTTGCGGGAGTGAGGACTCACACCTTGCAGAGTCTTCGGTGATAACCACCTGAGAAGGATCGATGTTGCGGTCCAATACTTACTTGTATATTGTATACATGGTATCTATACAAGCAGGGTACAGCTTACAGTGGATAGTGCTAGTCAAACGAGGTCAGCCACAGGTCGGGGCATAGATAATGGTGGAAAAAGATACAGTAACAAAGACGGATAGGTCTCGTCACTTACGTTATTCGATCGCCAGGATCCCAAGATCCATATCAAAATTGTCGAATGCCTTTAGCACCCAACGCATATACGTGTGATGATACTGTCGTGTCTCTCCGGCGTAGAATCCTCTGCCATGAGAGTGGACCAGGTAACATTGATACCATTCGATGTCGCCGTCCAAACGTTGGGGAAGCATGGTGAGTGTAGGGAAAACGATGAAATCTATTTTTTTCGTCTTTTCTCCCTGGCACTTTTTGTATCATTTCTCGAACTATTCTGAAGTTCATCATCATTCTCTGAGGGAGATAAAAGCCTGGTTCGAGCATCTATACTCCAGCGCGGCCTGGCTAGCAGGAGATGCTAGTTATGTGCCGGCGAAGGTGCAAAGACTGCAGTTGCCATAGCGAGCCATATCGAGGCCGGTCTATTCTCTGACTTGGCTATGTTTGGCGCTTCGAGGACTGAACAGCATTATTATCCGAGCCCAAGTTGCAAGCAATACTCGATGTGGGAAGGGCTATGCGGTTTCAATAACAGCAGATAGTGTCCCAAGGGGTTCTGGAGGGATCACGTTTGGGTGTAGATGAGACATGGCTGGAATAATTCTCTATGCGTAAAGCCTGATAGCAGCGCCCAGTCTTTGGTTTTTCGACTCCTGCCTTGTGTTGACATATTCTCACTACTACAGGACGAGCTTTTTACTCTCACTTACTCAACAATGATATGGGCCATAACAGCAACCCACCAGGACCCACCAAGATCCACCTATTACGTGAGCGACCAGGCTATGATTCCTATGAGTTGAAGGCCAATCTTCTGCGGCCGTAAAGTCAAGAGATTGGTCGAAAACTCCCGCTCGGAAGCCTTTCGTGAGAGAGCGCCGAACTGTGCATGTGTCCTCGCAGACCACTGTATACCCGAATGTAAACCTCTTACGATAGAAGATTTCCCCATTTTCGCTACCGAAAATCCTATACCCGAACAGAACAGTGTCTTCCCTCACTAGACTAGTCGCTGTCGGAACGAATGCCTTGCTGGGGATAGTCTGTGCAGGAAGCCCGAAGGCTTGGGGAATGAAGTGGAAAGGCTGATGGCATACGGAATACCCGGCTTGGAAAGCCTGAAGACTTGAGGAATGAAGGGGGAGGGCTGATGGCAGATAGGATAGGCGTAAATGTAGTGATGTACGCAGAAAATATAATGTGAAGCTTGGGTCGTCATGCTGGCGCAGTCTACGCCAGACAGGAACCATTCACGACCTGAGAGTAGAGTCGCTAGTATGGCTTCCATTCTGGACGAGTTATCATCTGTGCTTGATAATGTGCCGCCTAGGTACTCAGATGTCGCAGCCGAGTATAGAATTCCCCTTTCCAAGCACAGCACCGAGCTGCAGACACACGTGAAACGCGACGACATCGAGTTCACGACGGCCGACGGTGTCGCTAAAGCCGTGCAGATCTTCCCCATCCTCTTTGGCGACTCGGTTATTTTGCCCGACGACTTGACCGAGTCGACGATTTCATACCAGGACATGCAGCGGAGGAGCTGGGCGGTCAACTGCTGGCTACCCGCCGCGTGTTTCGTCACGTTGAAGAACGCTGTGGAGGTGGCGCTGGCGTTGCTGGTGATCCAGTTTTTCAGCGCGACGTTCGCCATTCGCGGCATCGGACATAACGCTAACCCCGGGTTCTCGAGTATTGATGGTGGCATTTTGCGGGACATCAGAGCTTTGAATTCCATTGACTTGGCGGCGGATAAGGCAACCGTTTCTGTGGGACCGGGTGCGACGTGGAGCGCGGTGTATGAAGAATTGAAGACACGCAATCTCACTGTGCCCGAGAAATAACGACTTTCTCCTTTGACGGCCAGGACGATCTTTGGTCGGAGGAACAGACACAATATGGCGGTAAGAAGGGACAGGGTTCGAATAGGAATAAGGGAGCTGGAGGACGTGATCAGGATGACAATGAGCTTGTTCTCCTGGATCAACTTGCATGTCCCCAGAAGAATGATAGTCGAAAACCTGCCGTGAAGGCCTTAAGCTCAAATGGGTACCTGTCCGATCAGGCATCCATATGTCGGCGGCTGCTCAAGCTGTGCTCCTGGAGCGCCAGCATTCATGATAGTTGAAAAATGTCATCTGCGCCGTAGTTCATAAAGTGTGGTTTCTGCTCCACTCCGACCCCGGCCTGTTGCATCGGCCATCGCAACCAGGTGACAAAGTCTTCCCCAAGAAAGTCTCTTATCCGGACGAGAAGGTGATCACACCAGCCCCGCATGTACCAACGCTTGCCCATGGTTCTGAATAACAGGGCGTAGTGTGCTAGTAATAGCAGTGCCAGAGGTTCTTTGCGGCGTAAGCAGGCCACAAAACTATCCTCCATCCGATACAGCCAACCGAGAATGAACTGATTTTCGGGTGGACCGCCGTGGGAGCCATCGGCCTTGCCATAGGTGGCTTTATAAATTAACGATAACGTATCAAAGGCGCGGAGGTAGACATCGACATCCGGTCCACCATATGAAGCTATATAGCTGCGCAACTCATAGAGCGGCTTTTCCCACTCAATCCTTGAGAAGCACTCGCGAGCAAACGTGGGGCCTGGATCTGGACTGGGCCCATTGGATTCGTCAAGAGGCGCCATCAGTCCGGAGAAGAGTATAGCAGGATCGGCCGTCGTGCGAATCAATCGCACTCCATGAATCAGCGGCAACCAGCGCACAGGATTTTCGTCGCGGATGTTGCAGAGGAGTAGATCGTCCGGACTCGTCGAGCCAGCGGCGAAAGCGCAATAGCACACGAGAACGGCAGATACGTAGAGCGCCCCACAATTGTTATCATCTAGGTTCGGCAGCACCTTGGTCATCTCGGCCAGCCCTGCTGCCATATGGCGCTCGGCTAGGGCCTCATAGTCCTGCTGTCTGCCTTCTCCCGCTCGGAGGTACGCCAGGTGGTATCCGGCCACCGCCAAGGTAAGATCCAGGACGAAATGATGGGACAACCCAAGCCGGGGGACATTGTGTGCCCAGAATTTGACAATAGGGTGGTCGTCCTTGTCAGAGCCGGCAAGCGACTGGGCCGTGCATGAAGTGAAATGGAGTAAGAGTTCAACATCTGCCACATTCACGGCACACTGTGCTTGATCTGAGTCGGAAGCAACGGGCGTCAGCGCCGTCGAGGACGGAGTGTCCAGTCCCTCCGTGGTCGTCCTCTTCCACGGCGTGGAAGGAAGCGTGGTTCAACTCCGTCGACGCTGTTGTGGGCTCCGGGAGTAGTCGAGGAGTCAGAGGCCCCCAAGGGAAGTTGCGACGGTGCAAAATCGCAAGGCACACAGAAGTCGATGCAGTTAGCACAGACGGGTTTCCCTTCATCGCACTGAACATGTTAGCAAACAATCCCGGTCCAAATCCTTGAAAGTCTCCAGCTTAGCTAGATGGCAGTCGGGAGGGAACACCGACCTTGACTTTTCGCCTCTTGCAGTTGAGGCAGCCATTCCTCGATTTATGATGTGGTTTTTTAGATAACTTCCCGGACCTTCTCTCCTCTGGCATATCTTGTTTGAATCAATCTGGAGACATTGACCTCCTCACGACGGTCTGGTAAAGATATGAGGTCTGCCACAATTACAGTCGTACCATTCTACATTGTGAATCAGGTCATAGTAAAATTTTTACGGGGGTGGGCTGAACCGGGCCCACGGGCGGCTTGGCAGCTGCCACACAACCCAACCAACTTCGAAGCAAGTCGTGGAAAGGAAATCCACAATTGATCGGATTTCATCAGAGGGGAGAAAAGAATGGGACTCGATATTGAGGCGGTGTTGGGCAGCATTGATCAGGTCAGGGCCTAGTATAGTGACGCGTCCAAACAAACACGGTCCTCCAATGCACGATGTGTTATAGAGATAATTATCTACCTCGACGGACTAGCTCGTCGTGCTTAGAGGACTCAGGTAATGCCACCCAAAATGATGATAGCCTTGCAAGATGATGAGACAGATGGTGAAGTGGAATGAAGCGCCCGCAGCGGGTTCCTGCCTTATATCGTGAGAGGCTTTGTGTTTGTTGAGGAGCAGAACGGAGTGACGACCGGATTGGGTCAATTTTCGCATTCATGAATGCGAAAAATATCCACCACCCTCCCTGCCTATTATTACCGGCCCACGACAACTCCGTATACTTAAGGATATTAGACCCTTACAATGACAGTAACTTCGTCTCTCCCACGGTTCCTGTTCTGAGATCCAGAAGCTCTCGGTTTCTTTTCATTTTCTTCTTTCCCTCCCCCATTTCTTTGGCAATCCCCTCTAGCGTGTGTGGTCCCAATCACTTTAGCCCCCATGAGCGACGATGGTCCTTTTGGACCTGTTGTCAACGGCACCCGGATCGTCTTCTACGAGTATCGACCAAACAAAGCCGCAGGCTTCTCTTTTATTGTTCTGTTCGGGCTTGCTACTCTAGGATACCTGGCGTACTTCTTCCCGCTTCGGGCGTGGTTCTTTATCCCGTTCATCCTGGACGCCATTGGTAGGCTCTCCTGCCTTGGATATCTCTCATTTTCTTCAATCTAGTCTAACTACGGTCAAAGGGGAGGCATTCGGCTACTATGGTCGTGCCTGGGCATCTGACAATCCAGATTCCGCTAGTCCCTTCATCATGCAGAACCTCCTTATCCTCTCTTCGCCGCCATTCCTCGCCGCGACCATCTACATGACTCTCGGACGCATCATCACTGCCCTCGAGGCACAACGACATGCCCTGATTAGCACGCGTTGGTTGACGAAGATCTACGTCCTTATCGACATCGGCTGCATCGTGACCTAAGTCATGGGATCTACGCTGCCTGCCTCCGGCAACGAGAGTAGCATCGAGCTGAGTAAAAAGATTCTGCTAGGTGGCTTAATCACTCAGGTCATCGCGCTTGGCTTTTTCATTCTGACTTGTTGGTATGCGCACCGTCGGATCAAGCGTGAACCTGCCGAGGTGCTCAGGAAAGATTCAACCATCAACTGGCGGAACCACTTCAGAGCGGTCGAACTCGTGACGCTGGTCCTAATTGTGCGGAGTGTGGTTCGCACAATCGAGTACCTACAGGGTGTAGACGGGTTTATTGCATCACATGAGGTGTTCCTCTATGCCACCGACGCCTTCCTAATGTTCTTCGTCATGATCGTCTTCTTGATCATCCATCCTGGAAGGCTCATTCGAGATGCATGCCATCTGAAGCAAGACAACTGGAACCCAGAAAGCCAACTCATGTTAAAAACACGCTGATCAGCTCGGTTCAGCCTGTCCATCCTTGGTCGGGGTTTTGAGCTACTCCAGCGGTATCCAGAGCTCGTTGACTTGGTCATGACTAGAGGGGCTTTTATGATTTAAGCGGTTGGAACTCGGAATGTCATTTGTTAGAATGGATACGGCCAACACAAAAAGGGGGGGCTTAGTCTCGAGTGCCTTTTGCTTCTATCTCATTTGTGATAATTTATTTGAATGGCTAAGGACAACCCTCCCCAGATTGAGACCCAAAAGTCCTCGTTAGTTTCACACACTCTCCGCTCCAGCTTCTTTTCTTTTCTTTTCTTTTCTGTTGTATTTTGTCTCGGAGAGTTTCGAAAGAAGACATTACCAGCATACTTTCATGAATCTCTTTGCGCCTATATTGTTGAGGCTTCCCCCAGGCGTAGTCAACTTCGTTATTTATGGTAAGCCTACCAGATTGGGTAATAGCATCGTTCACGCGCATCGGCTAGCTCTGTACGACATCCCAATCCACACTTGCATCCGATCCCGCTCGTCAAGAAAACCATCTTCACTCGGACCATGTGGGAACGATTCATCACAACTGCCGGGACGAGATATTTGTAACTATTGAGCAACATTGTACCAGATCTTTTCCCACACTAAAGCCCTTTGTTTCTTAGTGTCAACGTCCTATATTGTCTACGTGGGCAAGAAGATTCGAGCCGCTCGATGAGCACTTCTAACCGACTCTTCGAAGGAGCGTCAAACGTGTCGGGAGTTTTGGGGAGCGCCATGGCGTTCAACTAGCGAAAACTAATGCAATACCCCACAAGCCCAAACTCACAAATCGTGTCAAGGCCGTCAGTGGGGCTTTCGGTGTAGAATACTGCGATGGGCTTCGCTAGCTAGGCACTCGGGGTCTACTTACCCGAGATAATACGTATCTGGGAGCACGGTGGGTCTTTCACGTATAGGTGTAAACAGCACCACTTTGTCAATTGGGCTGGCAACAGCACGCCGCGACGCTCAAAGACGTCGCCAATGTTCGTCTCTGGGATGCCGAAGCGGGCCTGTATCGTGATAACGAGACCACCACCCTGCACCGACAGGACAATGCGTGGGCGATCAAGTCCAACATCACCACCAATAGCACACAAGTCGCATCGATATCGACGAACATGGTGTGGCGCTGGACGCCATTTGGTGCGCCTGCTCCCGAAACGGCCAATACGATGTCGCCCTTATTTTCGAGCTTTGAGCTGCAGGCGCATTATATCGCGGGCCAGCCGGCGCGTGCGATGGAACTCATGCGCCGCATGAGTGCCAATTTCATGCTCGACGACCCGTGCATAGCCAATAGCACGTTCATCGAAGGTTACGCGAGCGACAGGATGCTGCACTACGCACCATACGATGACGATGCGCGCATCAGCCATGCACACGGCTGGGCCACGGGCCCGACCAGCGCGCTGACCTTCCACGTGGCAGGGTTGAGCATAGTGAGCACTCAGGGAAAGACATGGGTGTTAAAACCGAGCCCCGGAGATCTGGAATGGGTAGGGGCTGGATTCACGACTGGCCCGGGAACTTTCGCTGCGAAGTACGAACTGAACGGTGATGGCTGGCCGTACTGGTTCCAGACACCAGAGGGGACAAGCGGATCGTTGAGCGTGGAGACCCCGAACGCATGGGGGTGCTAAGAATAATGGGAGGACGATCATAGTACCGAAAGACTGATTTTGCATTTGCACCCCTTTTCTTCTCCTATTCCTACCCCTAAATCCTGCATAGTGGTGATAACCCCTTTTCCTAATAAAGGGGCATTTGTTACTCTCCAACCGTCCAGTGGGACCTTGTTCGACGAGTGCCGGTCATGTCGAATTGCCAGTATATATACACGTTTGGTTGACCCCTTTTTCTATTCCTATTCCTACACTTATATCTTGAATAGGAATGGATAATTAACACTTTTTCCAATAGCGGGGTATTGGATACTGTTCAATATCTCCTGTGCATGTGGTGGAACGCATGGCTAGGGATGTGCCGCTGTTAGCTTCCTTAGCGTGCCCAGTTAGGGTGAATCAGAGGATGACCGAGGGAGAGCTGGGGAAGGCTAAGGGGAGGGTAAGTTAGAGTGGCGACGCTTACCCACTAGAACGGGAAAGGGAATTCTCAATTCCAAGAATCTGAGCAAACGCCAGATCAATCCTGTCTTGCCGGATCCAACAAGGGCTTGTTTCCAATCACGGAATCGACTTCCGCCATTATCTCTGAGGTCAGCTTTGGGATCACCTTCAGGCTTTCAACGTTTTCAAGGATTTGCTGAGGACTGGATGCCCCCATGATCACGGAAGAGACGTGCTTAAATGTCAGGCACCAAGCAAGGGCGAGCTGGGATTGCTTTACTCCCAGCTTGTCGGCAATCGGCTGGTTGGAACCGCAACTTAGCTCATCAATTCGCCTTCTCCAGGTAGACCATACCTTCAGCCTGGCGATCTTGCTCATTGTCACCTTCCAGTCATCATTGCCATACCCATCGCGCACCATGTTTGCAAATTTGTCATTGCTTTCAGAGAATCTTGATCCCAGCGGAGGTCGTTCCACCGCGTTGTTGTACTTTCCGCTCAGCAGGCCCATCTTCATAGGGGAGAACGTGGTCAAGCCAATTCCACATCGGTCGTACAACCGCTGGAACTCGCACTCGACTTTCCTCCTATCGAGAATATTGTACAATGGCTGCTCCGCAATAGGAGCGATCATTCCTAGACGCGCTGCAATTCCACAAGCCTCGGTGATCTCGACGGCAGACCATTCCGAGGTTCCCCAATACAGAGCCCAGCCGCGATCAATAACATAGTTGAAAGCTCTGACCGTTTCTTCCATCGGAGTGAGCCGATCCGGGCGATGAGCGTATATGATGTCGACGTACTCAAGGTCGAGACGCTTCAACGAGGCCTGGAGGCCTTCGATGATATGCTTGCGTGAAAGGCCGTGGTTATTAATAAGGTTTTCACCGTTCGCAGCTCCCCAATTCAGCTGTCCAGCGGATTTAGAGTGACACGTCTCGGCGATCTCAGACGGATAGTCGTACCTTCGTGCTCACTACAATATCGGCTCGCTTCCAGCCCCATTTTTTAATCGCTTTTCCCATCACGATCTCCGACTCGCCTTCTGCATAACTGTGTTCAGTGTCAACACGTCGCACCCCTGTAGTCATGGAGGTTCGCAAAGAGACAAGAATCCAAACCGACCTTTCTGCAGTGTCGAAAAAGTTGATCCCACACTCATAGGCCTGTTTCATACATGCGAAAGTGGCGTCTAAAAGTTGCAGTTAGCCCGTCAACTCACAACTTTACCATAACATGATCAACAAAGCAGACCGGAGCCAGAGGAGAGCACTCACGTGAGCCAGCCGCCTAAACCGATCACCGACACGTGCAACCCGGAGTTTCCAACTCTACGATAGAGCATATCCGGGTATATCGTAGGCCACGCCATGGTCTCTTTCTGTGATATGCTGCCTCTTTGAGATCTCGTTCTTCATTAATCTTTTATTCCTCGTATAGAAATTCGCGACACGCCAAGTCCGAAGACGATAAGTCTACACAAAAGAACCAATCGGCCAATCCAATCGGAGGTTATTTCGGAGGCTTGTTCGGAGGCGGTCGCCACCACCAAACCCACATCGATCCCTGACACAAAAATGATAGCGTCGGTTCCACCCAGAAAGAGCGATACAGAAAAGACGCATGATCCTCTTGACACTGCTTTCTCGGAAAGTCAGTATGGCTCCCTCATTCATAGAGCAGCCCATTGGGGGATGGAGCGCCGCTCCCGTCGCACGTCGTGCGTGGTGGAAAGAGGCTTCCGTTTACCAGATCTATCCTTCGTCGTTCAAAGATTCGAATCATGATGGTATTGGCGACATACCGGGGATCTTGTCCAAGTTGGACTACATCAAGGAGCTGGGGGTTGATGCCATCTGGCTGTGTCCGGTATATAAGTCGCCAAAAGTCGACATGGGCTACGACATAGCCGACTATCATGAAATTGACTCCGACTATGGCAATTTGGCGGACCTGGATCGGCTTATCGCCGCTGCCCATGAAAGAGGCTTAAATGTCGTCATGGATCTTGTGGTCAACCATACAAGCGACCAACATGAGTGGTTCCAGAAGTCGCGTAGCTCTAAAGACAACGAGTATCGACAATGGTACATTTGGCGGAAACCGCGATATGACTCTCAAGGAAACCGATACCCACCCAATAACTGGTGGTCATATTTTCATGGTATCGTGCACTTGTGACCTTTGGGAGAATGCTCTAATTATCTGACGGGTTCTCAGGAAGTGCGTGGGAGTATGACGAGGTGACGGATGAATACTACCTGCATATCTTCTGCGCGGAACAACCCGACTTGAACTGGGAACATCCTCCGCTCCGTCGGGCCATTCATGACATTATGCGGTTCTGGCTCGAGAGAGGGGGTCGATGGTTTCCGAATGGACGTGATCAATTATATCTCCAAAGCTGCAGGCTTGCCAGATGCTCCGGTTACCGATCGGACGACGACCTGGCAGCAAGCTACCATTCATTACGCTGCCGGTCCTCGGTTGCACGAATACTTGAAAGAGATCGGCGCTATTCTGGAGGAATACGGTGCATTTAGCGTAGATGGTACTTTTATATTTACCTTGTGTTTTCAGGATTCCTCTCGTGAAGAAGGCTGGATCTTTTGAGGCCGTTCTCGCCTTTGAAATTTTTATAGGATCTTCCTTGAGCTTCTCAAATTCTGCTCTCATGATCCTTCTGAAATGTATAATTCTATGAAAATACACAAGAGTCGCTTCCGAGGGTGTTTCTAGACCGGAAACCGGAGAGAAATATGATGTCGAACAAGAGTGGTTGAATAGTAGCGAGTGCCCCTTTATTGCGAAAGGAGATGTCACCCCTATGTAGGATTTAGGGGTAGAAATAGGAGAAGAAAAGGGGTCCACTCAATGTGTATATATATCTGCAACCTAGCTGGACTAGTTGTGAGTTAGACAGAGCACTCAATACATCTCAAGTTGCTCCCCACTTTGACACATGATAGTTTGATATATCTAGAAAGGGGGCAGGAAGGAGGCTTGGAGTTTGGGCTAAGAAGAGCCTCCAATCGTTCCGTTTGGTAGGAGGTTCGATATTACCAGACTTGAGGATATGCAGGGAGCAAATCAAAAAGAACTAGGCATCTTCTAGTTGGGCTAGCAAGTGCAAGCAATCAGAATTGAGTAGTGACTACTGTGACTTGTACCCCTTTCATGTGCTCCCGATTTCTGCGACACCTGATGGATGAGAACTGAATTTGTGATATGTGGCGACGTCAAGGCTTGTAAAGACCTGTAAAATAACGAGTGGAATTGTATTCGTCGCTAACTAAGTGAGGGCGTGCCGAAGGCCGCTTTTATTCTCCAGTTACTAGCGCCTTGGCATATTTCACACCCCTTCGGAAGCGTTGTGCGCTTCGTACACGCTTCGACCCTTTCGAAATAGGACAACTCACAATTCATCAATTTTGAGCACGTGATATTACGCCACGTGACATATCGTACTAGTTACTGCACGCGTAACTTACTATTTGTCCTTGGAATTGCCAAGCCTTGGAATTTTATGGCCCAAAAAGGCCCATCAATTTTCGCCCCCACCTAACTTTGTTCACACTCACTCAGCGTACCATCAACCCTCTTACGAACAGACAATTCTCAATGCAATGGAATCCACAATCAAGTTTTCCCCCATGATCCCATGGGTCGAACCCTTCGATGTCCAAAAGCGCCTCGAACAACTCCGTGGCTTCCTGGACCCCAACAACCCTCACTATCAACCCGATGTAACAACAGTACTAATAGAGGGTATGGGGAGAGGGATCATAAATCGTTGCGAGCGTACAAGGTAGGGTGTGGAATGGCAATGTACTGAAACCTGTCTGTCTATCTAAGGGTTCGAAGGTCCTTCTGTTGAACAAGTGGTGACCTATCATTCATAGCAGACGCACCCATTCGATCAAGCTGGGGAGGCTGCGCCGTACACACGGTCGAAAGAACGAGACCACTACCCCCGGTCCCACTGGGCCACATGGTCCACGGATTGGATCCGATGGCGTTGGTATATCATCGGATCCGATTCAAGGACCATCTAGATATCGAGGCCGCTCTATACACTGTCCATAGCCCTACTCGGCCACGGACTGGATCCGATAGCGGCTGTCAAAATGCTCACGTGACAATGCCAAGCTATTGACTCGCATGATTGGCCAACACGATGGTCTTGGCGTCACCGCACAACGCCAAGCCACTACAGGTATTCCAAAATCAGAAAAATAAAGGTTTATATTTTATTCCGCAAGAAACTGCTTCAAAATTGACACCAAATCGTGGTTGACCTATCAAGGACGAAATTTAGTGGTAGCACTAGGTTTTAGTCGAACCGATAGAATTGAGGGGCCTCACTAGTGTTCGATCACAGGTGAGGTAAGAGGGTTGTCCGGCCTAGCTCCATTGAGTCTAGGTGCCCTAGATGGGTAACGTAATGCTCCAGCCAGTGATTGTTGATGATGTCGTCTTGTTGATACATTGGGAGGTCACTGATTCGAACTCTCCTTCAGTTGAACTTGTGTGGCTCCAACTTTCACTGGCTGCGGCGCCTCATCTATGAGTTCGTCAGAGATGGACCATAGGAGGGGGCTTTTTTTTTTATATATTCCACGACAAAATTTTGCCAGTTCTCCTTAAAGAGGGAGGTGAAACAAGACGTTTTAATTAGCCTATGACAATCACCTAAGTGCTTTTAGCTACCAAAATTTTCCATAGGTCATTTAGTTAATTATATTGCGGTGATACTGGCTGCACACAAATCGGTCCCGGTTTTGACATTGACCCTTTTGCAAAGGTCGCTCCATAGGGGCGTTTTGGACCTTAGCGCATCAACAGAGGGCCAGGGTGTCAAGACAATTAAGTAGTTACTTCAGTATTGATACGTGATGTTTTAAGCACTGTTCGGCCTCTACCTGTTGAACAAAGGGCTATTGTGTATAGGCTCCACAGCTGAAACACTGGTGAGAGGTTTCCATAGACGACGACGTTACTGATGGTTGCTCTACGTAACGAAGTAGTATTCGCATATCTATAAAAGAAGCCTCAGTACCTCGACAAGTAGAGAAGAAACAGAGCATTCAATACATCTCGAGTTGCATCCAGTTTGACAGAATAGTAGGCGACTTTGGGCTACCAAAAGTGCCAGGTGCAGACGGCTGTGCAGGCCTTTGGCAAAGACGTCGGCTGACTGACCGGCGAATAACAGGGAGGGCAACCCTGGTTCCGGCTCACTCACTTGACCATTCTGTTGACGTGACACGTGTCGTGAGCCTACGTGACATATCCGAAATGACGCAGAGTGCGAACACGTCGTCTGTGAGTGTTGTACCCAACTGCATTGTTTTGTGATGCTCTAGAAGAGAACCAGGCTAATTAGGGATGTAGCTTGCACCCGACACACGGTGCAGGAGCTTGCACGCTCTGGTAGATGTCGGGTCTTGACTTCCCCGACACATTCAAGTAACCGACGCCGCCCTTGTCCAGACGGAAAATGGCAAGGTCGACCAAGGCCATGGTACCGGGCATAAGCACGTGCATGTCGACAATGGTTGCTCCACCCGGGGGGAACACTCAAAGTCGAGACAAATTGCCCTGGCGGGCTCACAACATCGCCGTCACGATACGCCCGCCTGAAGTGGGGGGTATTATTCTGTACACCAACTTTTGTTATTCTGTACACCGGAAAACCTGCTTATTCTGTACACCATGCCTCAACTCTCCTTATTCTGTACACCACCACCTCTCTCTCGCCTTATTCTGTACACTTAACGCTCTCATCCTGTTATTCTGTACACCGCGCTAACAGAGCTTGTTGCCGTTGGCCCGGCGATGGCGAGAAAACACTAGTAAGTGGCGTAGCTGTGGAGGGGTGACGCGTTAAACTCTCCCCGTTATAGGTGGTTGCGAAGCAATAAACACATTTGATTCCCTTTTCCTTGGTAGATAAGTACCGTGCATTTTGAGCTTCTCTGTATACTTTGTAAATTATTGTGGCCTACACAGCCGGATTTGTGTAGAGATCCCCTGCACGGTCGATACCTCGTGCTGACTAAGGTAACAAACCAGCGCCCATAGGCTTGGGAGGACCGCTCATAAGCCGGAGGGGGAAACCGCCCATGAACCGGGGGGAAACCGCCCATAAGCCGGGGGGCAACTGCCCCGCTTATGGGCGGTTCCCACCCAAGCCTATGGGCGCTGGTTTGTTACCTTAGTCAGCACGAGGTATCGACCGTGCAGGGGATCTCTACACAAATCCGGCTGTGTAGGCCACAATAATTTACAAAGTATACAGAGAAGCTCAAAATGCACGGTACTTATCTACCAAGGAAAAGGGAATCAAATGTGTTTATTGCTTCGCAACCACCTATAACGGGGAGAGTTTAACGCGTCACCCCTCCACAGCTACGCCACTTACTAGTGTTTTCTCGCCATCGCCGGGCCAACGGCAACAAGCTCTGTTAGCGCGGTGTACAGAATAACAGGATGAGAGCGTTAAGTGTACAGAATAAGGCGAGAGAGAGGTGGTGGTGTACAGAATAAGGAGAGTTGAGGCATGGTGTACAGAATAAGCAGGTTTTCCGGTGTACAGAATAACAAAAGTTGGTGTACAGAATAATACCCCCCAAGATGCGCACCGTATCGTTGACGTTCGCTTTTAGTGGCTTCTCTCGGGTCATGGCCGACTCACTCCCGTTGAAGACGACGATGTCAGGCTCTTCGCACAGGGAGTTGGGATAGGAAAATTCAACCTGAGACGACTTTTTGCCGTGATCGTCCACCTCGGGCGGCTCGTGGTACCACTCACTCTGCATCACATAGTACTCTTTATCCACGGGTGGAAGATCTCGATCTGCTGGCTGAACATACATCAGTCCGTACATTCCATTGGCGATGTGGACAGGCACCGGCGCCGCCGCGCAATGGTACACGAAGAGTCACTGCCGACCCGGCCCCAGGCCCCAGAAAAGCGTGGCAGTCGATGTTATGTGCATGCCGCTTTCGTCCTTGTTGGTCAATGTCACTTCCACAACGTCGCCTACGCGTGCACGGATAAAAGGTCCCGGAACCTGATCGTTGAACGTCCATTGTTCATACTTGTACGCTCCTGTCAATTGGGCTTTCCGGGTGGTCGTTGTCAAATCCACCTTCAGAATCACGGGATAATCGCGGGTGATTGAGGGAGGGACTTTAGGTGCACTGGTGAGCACAGCTTCTTCCACCGGAAGTTGGGCAAGATCCAAAGATTTCTGTTCCAGCTTCTCATAGACGTCCGTCACGTGAGCCTTATTCTCGTGTGCGACAGGCCTAGTGGGTGTTGATGGAGCCGCATGTGGGACGAGTCGCTTATCATGGCCGTGAACGTGGGTGTGATCGCGTCCATGGGTTTTGGTATGTGCATGGTGAGGAGCTTCTGCTAGGGCAATATTGTGAGAGGTGAACCACCAGATGACGGCGGCTCCGGAGACGGCCACCACCGACCCAAGTGAGTATCGCTTGAAGCCCGCTGAGTGGGCGTGAGTTGTTCGTTTCGCTCCAGCCACGTTCGACTTGGGAATACTACTCCAGCACCTCCTGACCGATCGTCCTAGATTAGCCATCGTGGAAACCGCGCCTGAACAGAGTGTATTGAACGATGTGGAGGATGAGAAGGGCGTACCTATAAAGGTTCATAATCAATGGCAGGTCGAGTCCCTCGTTCAATACCTGGCGTGGTATGATGGTTGCATAATGGTTGAAGGACAGTGGAATTAGCGTGTACTCTATATTATATCCCCGAGGACGCTCCCTAAAAATACTCAGTGGGCGAATACGGTATAAGCATTTTCATATGCCATTGATCACGTATAACTCTGATTAGTACACACCATATTTCTTGAGTCTTGGCGCTTTTCTTTGGTCAGGCAGTGTGCGGACTCTTTCTTGATGAACACCTTGGAGTTGCTGGAATTCTCTTCAGCGGCGAGCGAACTAGGTTGGCGTTGTAGTTTAAGAGAAGGGGGTTAACCTTCTCTGGGAAGAGGCTGTGGTCGTGGGCGGAGATTTACGTAACGACATGTCACCGGTAATGGTCACATAAGGCCTTTCTTTTGGGCTTGGGCCACGGATTGGCCTCCTTTTTGTACTTTGGGGAAGGACATCAATGCGAATTCCTAAAAGGGAGGAGCCAAAAGCCGATCAAGCACCTAGCATGATCCCCATGGGTTACTACCGATTATAAGTCCCGGCTTCTGACGAAAGGACGAGTAGAAGAGTTGCAGAATAAATGGGGCTGTCGCGGGTCCTAATTCTGACCGGGAGGAGACTTGCTGTCCCCCCTCATCTATCCATCCAATATAACTAGGCCTTGATAGCTCTGCACAAGGCGGGCCTGATCGCTCCAACAGCCAGCTTTCAGATGGCGGACCGGAAAAACGAATACGCGCTTGATTTCTGCCGGGTCTCTTGAGGTGAGCCACGTTGTCATGATACTTAGTTCTGACGTGTCTGTGGCTTCTGAGAACATCTGCTGAAGTGGTGGGGGAGCAGGTTCTCTCTCGATTCTCGGAAGGTTCGTGACTCATCTGATATTTGTTAACGACATCGAGAGCCATTCTAGCTGATCTTGTGCCCAGCTCCCCCTGACGATCTACCGACAAGTGTCGTTATATTGTGATCTATGTCTAGCAAAGGCGACATTAGACCCGCCTGCTGTCGATGTCAACGGTGCGAGGGATTACTCGTATCATCAACTCAGCACGTCGCGGCCTCATGTTGATGTCCCGCAGCGGCGTCACGACCACGACCAAGAGATCTTTAGTTCTGACTCCCGACAGGGTAATCCAGTTCATGCTTCGCAGCTGCCACAGCCCTATTCCGAGGCTCAATCTACTCAAGAAGCAGAGTCTTCATTGAATGACAATCCTCCGTTCACTGGCCTGAACGTTGAAGATCTGTAGAATTGGATGTTAGTTACGGACACATCTGAAGCCAACGGCGACATTGACTGGACACAATTTGCAAATCATACTCACCAATTGTGACTCGGGTATAGACAGCATCCGACGAAGATACTTTTCATCGATGCGCACGCTACATTGAGTGCAAAACTGCGTGAAAACTCTCGTTGCAGCCTGTGGAGCATGAACTTGCTCTATATCAGGGTGAGACCACATTAAAGCCTAGTCTATCCTGGCTACAAGACTTATTTTGAAAATATTCTAATCCCTCATTCTTGTCGATCGTTTGCCTTCACCTGCCTTGTGGCTAAGCGTGCACCAAGGGCTATTGAACCTGTCTTCGCTTGCATACGTTTACTAATACCAGTCCTTTTGCTCGCCAGCCCTATGGATTCTATTGGGGACTGTCTTGTTTCAAGGCTTCTCTGACCTATTGAGCAATAGAGTCGTCGGACTGTCAGCTTTCCAGGTCGGTACCTGGTGCTGAGAAACAACAGGGCAAGCGCTGCCCAGTACTCTTCAAAGTCGTCGAAAGTGTTGTAGAGCGCCGCAATGGCACGTCCAGTTGCTGTGAACGGTTCGTGCCGTAGACATCGGCTTCCTATGAAGATTGAAATGCATTAGTCGAAAACTAGGGCCAAGGAAGGTGTTTCATTTTAACTCAGCAATTGAGGAGGTGTCAAACCGGGGGTGCAATTTGAGATGCATTGAATGCTCTGTCCCTTTGGCAACTGGTCCTGCCAGATTACCAGTGTATATACATGCTTGGGTTGACCCCTTTTCTACTCCTATTCTTCCCCTATATCCTACATAGTGGGATAGTGTTGAACAATTGATGGCCTATCGTTCACGACTAACCGGGTTATTATGCAACATTCGCTCACCAAACTGTATCACCATTGACAAGCAGCAATGATGACGTGCACTCGTTAGATAGATATATAGGCAGGCTTAATGCCACTCTCTAATGGAGGAAGGGCAGAGCATTCTTCCAATGAAGAGAAGTTTGACAGATAACCATTCTCCAAGTAAATGGTACCGCTCATTGTTCGACAGATATACTACCCTTTTCACCATGCCCGTTGCAGACTAGCAGAAATCATTTGCATAAATGGGTTAGTGAAAGGAAAGGATCCTGACCGAAACGAGGGACGCAGCCAGAGGTCAGGGAAGACTGGTTCGCATTGCTCTGACTGAAGTGGTGGACAACAAACGCGGTAGACTACCCAGGTATAACACTCATCCAGACGAGCTCGGGACACGCGACGCAGTATTTCCCATTCTCGGAAAAGTAAAAGTACTGACCTTCTCGAAATCGGGAGACTTCTCGTCAGTCCAGACGCCAGCAGAGCGATGACCGACGGGAAAAATTCCAAATCCTCGAGAGTCAATGGTAACTTCCCTATCTTCCCAACCCAACACATCCCTCCACTTCTCCCCGGCGTGTCTATGTCCCACAAACATCTTCTTATACTTGCGATCCCAGCTGTTTGTCAAGATGACAGCAAGGCCGGCCCCGCTCGATTTAGATTTGCGGCCCAGCCTCGTCCAGCCGATGCAGTCTTCCTCGTCAAGGTAATCTCTCTGCGGACCATACGCGAAATGCTTCCTTGCCGCAATCAGACGTGCGAGTTTTCCTCCACAAGCTGGGAGTCGTGGTCGGGGCCCGTGATTGCCAAAAATGTCACCCCAAAAGACGCAAGGGGTTCCACCATTGTCTCGGAGAAGAATTAGACAGTATGCTAGCGGGATGAACCACTCGTCAACTGGAGCGGCCAGAGACTGAGTTTCTTGCGTATCATGATTTGCCACAAAAGTCTGAAAGGGGCCAATTGTGTGAGTTGTGGAAAACAAGGACTGCGGAAAAGAACACTGACCACAGCATGAGCAGGATTCTTCTGAACCAGAGAGCCATCAAATACTGTCCTCAAGTCCCACTTTCGATCCTTTGAGAAATCACAGAAGGTATACACCAACTGGACATCGAACAGATTCAACCTTCCATGAAATTGCTTGATGATCCTCTCCAGCGTTTCCGAGTCGGTATCCCAATATTCACCGACAAAGAACATCTCTTTGCCTTTCGGCGCATTCGCATCAAGATGGGAGAGAAAGTCGGCCAAAAAGGAGAGCGAGTAGTGTTTTATCGCATCCAGGCGCATGCCGCTTAGATTCAGCGTAGATGATATCCAAGATCCCCAGCGCAATATATCCGATCTGACGGACGGATGCGAATGATCAAGATCTGCGAACATTCTGTTCAGAGGGAAGCTCAGCCATACAGCCCCTACGCACGTTGAAACAAAACGCCACAGGATCGTCAATGCCGTCAAAACGAGGGGGTCACTCACAAATAATCATAATTCCCAAGTTCCTTGCTAACATCGCTAGCCCACTCGCTCCGCTTCCCATGGCCCACGAACTTGAACACGCCATGCTCTTTCTTGCGAGAGTCATAGTCTACACCTGAGAAATGAGTCCAGTCATACTTCATTTCAGAGTGTTTTGTTCCGCGACCGGGGAAAGTGAATTTCGTCCATGTCTCGAGTTCGTAGGGTTTGGAGATGTGTTTAGTTCGGTCTGGTAAATAAGTAGTCGGCGTTAGGAGACAACTGATAACAACACAAGCGAGATCCGACACACCATTGGAATCGACCTTGACCCCCCAGCTTGCTTCTTTCCCATCGGCGGCGGCCTTGTGATTCAGTACCGCATCCCACAAAACGCCAATGCCATACTCCCTGGCTTTCGCGCAGAACTCCTCCAGCTCTTCTCTACTTCCCCATTTTGTGCGGACTCCCTTGCCGTTTTTCTTCGCGTCAAATTCCCCTAGATCCCACAGGTCGTAGATTCCATACCCATTGTCATGGACTGAGGTAGCTTTGCAACCGGGTGGTAACCAGATATGTGAGATGCCAAGGGCAGAGAGGTGCGGGAGCAGTATGGTGAGAAGAGAATAATGACTTGAGCTCGGGTGGGAGTGGGTGGTGGATGGAGCGGGGAGATACCACTCAAATGACTGGAAGAGAGTTTTGTTTTCGAGGGGAGGATTTGCATCTGATCCATACGGTCAATACTCTTTGACCATCATCTCATCGCATAAAGATTAATGAAGGACCAATGGACAAATATTCAACCGAGTGATTAATTGAGACTGCATGTGTCTCCCAAACTTATCGCGTGGACTCTTAGCAACACTGAACGCCTTACCTACAGCCTCGCTCCTCCCGCTCCCGCTCAATGCTCTTGCAAAAGAATTGAGTCTTTGCATAGGAGAATAAATTCAAACAGATTTTGGAATTTGCGGAATAGTATTGACTGACAACCTTCAAAGATTAGGTCATGAAAGGGGGGGAAAAAAAAAGGCGATTCCGCGACCGTTGGGCGGATCAGCCTTCATAACCAATGATGAATGATGTCTAGGCAGAAAGGATTTCAGAGAGCACAATGATATGGTCAATCGAAAGTGAGCACCAACCCGTAAGATCGAGATGGTTTACGGAAGATGCTGCCCGGAAAGAATCAGATTTGGATAAAATATGGTTATTGAGTCGCAACGGCACAAGGTTGATTAAAAATTTGAGTGGAGCCTGATTTCGTTTCCAGGCGGGCCGAACCGGACCAATAAGATGAGACATGGAATGCAAGGCTAAATACCCGTGAGATATCCGGGAAATTTCTCCGACTTTCAGGGCCGCTGGTCTTGATGAGTCTGTATCCTTATCTTCGAATAGACTTGATTGGAGAGTATTCTTCGTGAATGGGTATGTGTGGATCTTTCATTGCAGTTCCCAAAATATGAGCACAGACGGTGCGTCCCACATGGCGTTATCTTCATTCACGACAAGAAGCATCAAGCGTGTATTATTCAATGCTCTGCTATCCTAGTAATATCAGATCATTCTAGAACTGATACCGGAAAGATGGTGCACGATCTGTGAATTCCTCGGGCGGGACCACAATTCCTTCTGCTCGGGCTCTTTCTTTCCAGGCCTCCCTTCTCTTGTAGATGATTCTCAGAATGTTGAATACAATGAAGGCAAACGACAAGCTTCCCAGCGACCAGGAATGGCCCAGCGTGAATTCTGGAGCAGAGTTTGAAGCATAAATCTGTCCGGAAATGATCCCTCCAATGTTGGTAAGAGTCAATTGGGTCCCTGGTCGAGGTTAATCAAGGGTTCAGACAAGACAGGCATATCCTAAAGAGGGCAGGATCAGAGACGGAGTCGAAACTTACCCAAACTTGCAGCTCTTTTCCCGTCAGGGGCAACATTCCCAGACAACCAGGCAATGTTGCCTCCAGTGCAGAGGAAACAAGCCGTAGCGATGAGATATGTCGCAAAATATTGGACACCGACAGGTACAGTCGTGAGGAGGATGGCATAGCCGGCAATACCAATCGGGGCACAAACAACCATCACCATGAAGCGCTTGTGATATTTGTCGGAGATCACAGCTCCAACAGCGTACACAATGGCACCCCAGAGGTTGACTGGGATGACCAGATACTGAGCTTGTTTGGTGGAATAATTGAAGCCGTTCTTCAAAATGATGGGCAAAAATGTACCGAAACCGTAGAGAATTGTGACGACGGCAATCTGACTGAAGCCGTGGAGCCAAGTTTTGATATCTTTCCAGGCAAGTTTGACATCTTTCATCTTGTAGTGACCGTCACCACCAGAGTAGGACTCGGACATCTCGGCGCGAACCGCCATGATCTTCTTGTCTTTATCGTCTAGAAAGTAGGCCGTTTGGTAGTTTTTGGGGACGAGAAAGACACACATCGCAGCCCAGACAAGCGTGATTAGTCCTTCCAAAATGTAAAGCCATCTCCACCTGGAAGCCATGTTAGCTTACATTCTCCTTGCAGAGATACCCGAGAGAGAGAGAGAGAGAGAGAGAGAGAAAAATAATTGACAAACATTTTCTACTCACCCAGGGTAGTCAGCCACTCCATCCATGTAGAGTATACCGAACGCAATGAGACCGCCAAAGGCACCGGAGAGAGCAGATGCAACTGCGTCGTATTAGTTGAGCACTCAAAGAGACAGCTGTAATCCATACTGAAGAGATAAGATATCCTTTGAGCCAACTCTTCACGCTTGTACCAATTGGCCAGCAGAAGAGTCATAGAAGGAAAAAGACAACTAGAAGGCCAGACGTTAGCGGTTACAATAGATGAGAACCTAGGTTTGCTGACATACCCTTCAAAGAATCCGAGCAAAAGTCGACAGACACAAAGTCCAGCAAAATTTTGTATGAATCCCATACATAGGCAAACAAGACCCCAGCAAAAGGTAATGACGGGAATTACCCTGTTGAACTGGAGACGTTTGACAAAGATCGAGGTAGGGAATTCCGCCAAGACGTAGAAGATGTAGAAGATGGAAACAGCAGTCTGAGGTTAAGAGATCAGGGCCAGTTCTGGAAGAATAGGAAGCTCCTTACATTGAGCTGGTTTCCTTTCAGACCAATGTCGTCTGACATCCCTTGTGTGGCAGCAAATCCGATATTGCCTCTGTCAAGATAGCTGATGAGCATGAGTAGCATCATCACTGGAGCAATGTAAAGATCAAGTTTCCGCCTCAATTGGGCTTCTTTTTTCTTGAATTCAACATCATTCCTTGATTGGCCATCTTCAATATACTCCTCGATTTCAGCCTTGGGTTTGATTTCATCGACGTGATTCTCCATCGTGGGTTGCTGACTTTGCTCCATCGTCACAACAAGCGTTACCCTGGGTTGTTTTGAGAAGTGAATGGATATAGGTGAAACACCGCCTAGAACTCTAGTTTACGGGAATATATTGCTGGGAATTCGGAAAACCAAGAGTTGGGGTATCAGTACTAAGATTCAGACCACGCGGGGAAGTCTCGAGCCAGTGTTGCCTTTTGAACGAGTTATCTGAGGGCCAATCGCACCACGAACGGAATAATCAAGGCCATTATCCAGGCCGCCAGCCAGGAGATATCCCGAGCGACTCTCGAGACTCGGAGAGGAGTGTGCTCTGTCATAGCCTTTTCTCCTCAGCAGCCAAGACGTCTATGTCGGTGGCCTATAGCATCGGACGTTGATCATTGGTCCTTGAGCCGGAGAAAGAAATGCAGGCAGCTTCGGATATTCCTGAAGACCAAGTAAACCACACCTGGCCCGCTTATTCGGTAGTGATGCAGATCGTTGGGTGAGCCCGGTACCGAGGTGTGCCCCAGGGCAGCCCCCCTGAAAGGAAAAAGTAACCCGTCCTTGGAGGCTGGTGCGGAGAATTGGGGACTCCTCCAATCGGCAAAGTTTGCTCCATTAATATTTTGGAGAAGCGACGAGCTCGTCGCATACTCTATTACGGAGTGTGAACAGAATTGAGAACGGAAGAATTTGGTCTTTGGGGACACCAGCCGTCATAAGAGCTGTGACACAAGACTGATGCGCCATTGATGACGACGAGTTCATGAGGACCTTCTCTTACGCCTTCCCCAAATGCCGCGCCAGAATGGGTGCGGCGACATTGGACGTATGTAGACTCAACTGTGTGGCAATCTCCAGAACTTCCATGATTTCTTCTGGCGTACCACCATGTTTCAGAACGTTTTTCATATGCAATTTGAGGCCTGGAACGTAGAGATGGGTGGCGGCAGCATCGAAGGCACAATAAATCAATTCTTTGACCTGGAAACACGTCAGCAGAACGCCGGGCACAGCATGCACAAAGCTAAATGCTGACCTTGGGTTCCAATGCTCCGCCACCTTTGCCAGTGCCATCGACGTCTTTGAGCCAAGGAACGGATGAAAAGTTGAGATAGGTCTCGAAGAATTCGGGATCCAGAGCGAGAAAGTCTTCCCAGAATGTATGCCAGTAGCCCCTATTCTTGGTGAAATCGGCCTTCAGCTTTTCTCGTCGCTCATCAAAGGGTTTGCCTGCCGTGGGATGTGTGTCATAAAGGTCCTCCTCTTTCATCACTTCGACCAATAGAGGAACTCCAATGTTGCAAGCGTGGATGCCCAGTGTGCCGGTCAGCTCGATCACTTCTATTATCTCCGCTGCAGTGGCTCCCTCTTTCAATGCTGCATCAATGTGTTTTCGAATACCTGGCACGTAGAGATGGGTAGAGGCGGCATCGACAGCGATGGACATGAGCTGCTGGATTTTGGGAGAGAGATATTTTTTCTTCCTGGGAACGGTGATGAGATTGACGCTGGCTTCGAACAGTTCGGGACTGAGTTTGGCGATGCTCTCCCAGGTCTCGTCCCATTGTGCCTCTCCCAGCTGACAGACAAAAGCCTGTTTCATTTCAGCAGGAGTCTTGGACATGTTGTTCTGCGACTATTGTCAGTTCGTGAAGGTTTCGTCGTCGGATTGTAGTCTCGCAACGAGCCTTATCGCTAAAATGGGAATGCCGTTTTGTCCGGTTTTCGGCAAACAAGGCATTTGGAGAAAACAGCAGAGGAGTGTGGGGGGAGAATATTTTCCTCAGAATACGGCGGGCAACTGGTAGGTTGTCTGGTACTAATCACGAAGTGGGGGGAGAAACTGATTTTTCCCATTTGGGGCATCAGGGCTGCCCCTCGGGGGTTATGTAGATGGGGCTTTCTTTGATATGGTTTGAATGGGATCGAATTGAGCTGTCTTGATACAATGTGGGACTCGATGTTGTCCCATGGGAGAACACATTAACGTATCACCATACTGTCTGAAAATCTGACGGCTTTGCAGCCCAATTCCGAAGCCAGTCAGGCAGACATCAAACCATGGTATCAGATATTCTTAAAGGACCAGTTCCAATTCTAGGACTGCCCAAAAAATCTTGAATGATTCCGGGGATCCTCTTCCCACTCAAAGTCGTGAGCGAAAATGACCTCGATACCATTCGACTCCAGTTCTTGAATCCGCTCAATTGTCTGTTCGGCCAGCTTTTTGTCGGCATGAATGCAGCAAATGTGCCCCTCTTCATCAAGCCATTCTCCTATCCGCTTCTCATTGCGCATGATCCGTCGGTCGTGACAGGCATCCCCAGCCAAGTAGACACTGCTCAAGGGACCCGTCTTTGCGAGGAGGTTGATATGGCCAGGCAGATGACCAGGAGAGTCAACAATATATAAACTCCCATCGTTGAATATATCGAGCACCCGAGGCAGACTGCCATGGGGCTTCCATTCCTGGAAGAAATCCGGGCCACGGGGCTTTATGACGTGTTTCTTGGTTTCCCCGTCGGTTTCCTCGTAAGGATTAGATAGTTGGATGGTTCTTTCGGGGGGTAGCAGCTCAGCCTCGAAGAATGAATGACTACCTCTTAATGAACCGGCCCCCTGAAGTAGATCCTTCGCGCCATTCCCGACCACAAAGGTACTTTTGGGAAAATCACGAGGCTCTCCAACATGGTCCCAGTGAACCTGATGCCATCAGTCACGTCGGTATGAAAAGGGATAAAGAGGCCACGCCGCCCACTTACATGTGAATAAATCACATAGTCAATATCTTCTGGAGTCAAGCCACCGGCGGCCAGGCTTTTGGTCACATCTGGAAGCGTCGCCATAGGCTGTCTCGTCTCGACATGTTTCTGGATTGGCTCGGGATAGCGACGTATGTCCCGACGAAGGCCCAAATCGAAGACTATTTGAGTTTTGCGATTTGTCTCGGGATCCTGGTGGATTATCAAAAAGGAGAGAGAAGGGACGGTCCTGCGGGCAGTCTCCGAGGCTGGATGCACAAAGTATCGTTCAGGTAGCGAAAAATGACCGGCTTGGAGGGCAAATACTTCGACGGTGGCTTCGGGAGCACTCTCTGGGGGTGAAGGGGGGGCTTGCCTCAAGTAGACGGTAGACATCCCGTCGTTGAAGCCTGACAGAGGATGTCGAGGACAGTCAGTGCCGTCAACATGGCTTCAGGGTATCTTGGGTCATTGATATTGATAGATCTGGGTAGATCGATCCCAAGGCCTGGTCCCACCTTAAACTGGAACGGGGAGGTTGGGAGGTCGTTGGGGTAAAGTTAGGGTGCCTTCTCCAAGGCATTTTGGAAATCTTTTGAAAGAAGGGTGTGCCCGTGTTCCACATGGTCAGATCAGGCTCTTGCACGGACTTCGGCTGATCGTTGGGTTTTCTTCTGAAGCTCATTTGTCTTTGCATAGTCCTTCGAGATAGAGGATGAAGTGGTTATCGTAAGGGGCCAGGGAAGAGTAGATCATCCAGCCAGTAGTGATGTATCAGTACCGTATCTACTCAAATACGATCAGCTAGATTCGTAAACAGCTACTCTATGTGGATGACGAAGAACCAGTCTGATGCGTGTCTGTTTCTATCGTCAATGAAGGGATTGGACAATGGGCCCGGCTACAGAACGATCGCCAGGCAGAGGATGTTGGTGGCAATTTCATTTCTCGACAAGTTTTGGAACGTCCGCAGCCTGGGCACCACATTTAGTCCAGGCCTGGCCCCCTCGTCAAGGCTGTCATATCTCTTGTGACTCTGATTAGCTGTATGTCCTTCGACACAGTGAGCAAACATCACAGCCTTGCATTCATCACATTAGCAGCCCCTCGGCCAGCCCCGCATTCATCCAGCTGTTTGCTTGGCTGGTTGGCCGGTTGGTCGGCAAAGCCTCCTGGTCTTGCTAGCCCTTCAGCCCCATCATTTCCCAGGCCACGAGCCCAACCCCAGAAAAATTCCCCAGAGTTTCGAACCTGTTTCTGCAAAGGTCCAAATTCCTGTCTAGTCCTCATCGCGGGTTTATCTCTCAGCACTCCAGGTCGCGTCTCACTTGCCTTATCGCATGCTCTTGTTCAAAGGCCAGTACTGTCCCTAAACTCCATGCTTGAGGACGCTATCAGCGTGGAGCTCGACGGACAGGGTCGGGAGCAGGGTCGGGAGCAAGATCAGGAGCCGCCTCCTAAGAAACCCAAAAGATTCCAATGTCAACACTGCCAACGCTTCTTTGCTCGCCTGGAGCACCTCCAGCGCCATGAAAGGACACGTACGACAGCCTATGGTTCTCTACACATGGCTTGCTAAACCTCTCACCAGATACCCGCGAGAAACCTTTCGCTTGCTCGCAATGCGACAGCAAGTTTACCAGAAGGTATGTCGATTAAATAAATACACACCGTCTACCACAGCCAACCGCACAGAAACAGACACTGACGCCGTCCAAGTGATCTCCTTGTTCGACACGAACGACTCAGCCATGACACTGAACGAACGTGGAGCAGCAGAGCAGGACGAGGAGAGAACCGCCTCAACGGTGCTGCCTCCGGGAATGTCACCCACTCAACAGCAACTCGCAAACGGCCAGAAACCACGACCAGGAATTCACTGGATATCCCAGACTCCGCCAACTTGACGTCGCCTAATTTTAACGCCTCCCAAAATCTCGTCAACAATTTCTTGCCGGCCAGCTCGAATCAAACCACCGGAAACACCCCAAACAGTCATGATCTCTCATTTGCAACATTGCTCATGGCAGCGGAGCACGCCCGACCTCAAGACGCTCAGCCTCATACTTCCATTCCGCAAAATAATCATCTTTCGAATTCCATGTTCGCCGTTCAAGATCAATTCATGGCCGAGCCGACACCTCCGCCTTCGATGCCTGCACCCGCCGGTCAGATGAGTGGCATTTCCGGGTTTGATTTTGACGACTCACTTCAGGATCTCGCCAACTTCATGGACAATGGCGCTCTGTCATCCTATCATTTTTCATCCTTGATCAGTGCCGAACAACCAATCCCATTCTTCTCCCCGGAGTCGGTCACCAATCCCACGGACGCTCTTCCCACCACCGACGAGTCCCGCCCTCTCTCCCGGGCGGTACAGCCTACAGACCAACAGGAAGACTCTAGCTCATTTTCACGATTCGGCTCCCGCCTACCATCCCTTCAGCCGGAGGAGAGCCCCTCCGCGCCACAGAGTGATCCAAACAGTGGCCATCGGGCTTTGGCTGACATCAACATCGAAGATAGGCAAAATATTGCTCTCAAACTGGCCGAATTCGCCCATGCAGTCCCTCATACTTTTCAACTTCCCTCTCGACTTGCGCTCTCCCGGTACCTTGCCGGCTACGTTAACGGTTTCCACGAGCATCTACCTTTCCTACATATCCCCACGCTCTCCGTCAATAACTGCTGCATCGAACTCACCCTCGCCATAGCGGCCGTTGGAGCCCAGTATTGCTTCGAAGGCCAGAAAGGAGTGGAACTCTTTCACGTCAGCCAATCCATTGCAATGCAACGTATCCGGCAGAGAGATGCGAGACTCGCTGTTTCACACCGATCGACCGAAGTATCGTCGCAATATTCGGGCCGTACCAAGAGCAGTGAGATTCTAACCACGGGAGAAACTCCACGTAGTGGATCTTTATCCGGCTGCCTGGGCCTTCCATCTCAGCCAGATTTCGAGCCTGGAACGCAGAGAGAAGACCTGATGCAGACGGCTCAGGCGCTACTCTTGCTCATGGCGATGGCGACGTGGGCCAAACATCGGGAAATCCTGCGAGAAGCGCTGGCCATCCAAAGCGTGCTCGCCACCCTGGTACGAGACGATGGGTTCAAAAGCCCACCGATGCCGGAAGACATTAGCTGGACCGAATGGATCCGACGAGAAACCACCAAAAGAACCAAGTTCATCGTATTTTGTTTCTTCAATCTTCACACCATCGTGTACAATATCCCATCTCTGATTCTCGCGTCGGAACTTGATCTCACTCTGCCTTGCAACGCAGCCGAGTTCAAGGCGCCCACAGCGGCAAGGTGGAAGGAACTGCGCGCGAGAGCAATATCCGAAGTGGATTTTCAGGTGGCCCTACACCGCTTGTTCTCTCGGACGGGGAATGATGTGAGCACGTACAACTCATCACTAGGAAACTACGTCCTGGTGCACGCGCTGCTGCAGCATATCTTCTTCGTCCGGCAGATCTCACGGTACAGACTAGATCATGATGGCGAGCTCCGATCCGACGACGTTGCTGCGATCGAGCAAGCTCTTCGAAACTGGCAGCTTGCGTGGAAACGCAATCCGGAATCATCGCTCGATCCCATGAATCCCAACGGCCCTGTGACTTTCAACTCTACTGCTCTCCTCCGCCTGGCTTACATTCGGTTAAACGTGGATCTCGGCCCTGGACGGGCGCTTGACACTCGCGACCCCGTACAAATTGCCAATGCTTTCCGCGACAGTCCTTCTGTGAAACGAACGCCGAAACTAGTCCGAGCAGTCCTTCATTCGGCACATGCGCTGAGTATCCCCGTCAAGATAGGCATCCACTTGGTGGCGCAGACTCAGACGTTTATGTGGTCCATCCAGCACTCGCTCTGTACGCTGGAATGTGCGTTTCTGTTGAGTAAATGGCTGGAGGCTTTGAGTCTCCCTGACTCAGGACCTACAGTGACAAACGACGAACAGAAGATCGCGACACTGGTCAAGACAATGCTGGACGAAACCGAATTTGCTATGCCAGTGGACGTCCCCATTGATTCGCCGGCTGCCATGAAATATCTAAGTGCGGGCGTCTTGAGGGTTTGGGCACAAGTGTTTCGAGGTGCTCAGACTTGGGCGATTGTCGATGTGATCGGGACAAGTCTGAATATTTACGCAGATATGCTTGAGGCAGGATGAAGAAGACGACTGATCCAGATACCCTTACGTTGGACTCCACCGCCTTTTCTTCTCAACATTTTGCAGATACATTCAAAGCCAAGAAAGAGGGAAAGCTTACCGCAGTGTACCCATCATGCGGGCTGTTGCTGTAATAAATCTTGAGTCACGTAGACAGACAAAGGACGGCACAATGGTTTCAAGATGAAACACTTTCTCTCACTCCCTCTCCCTCTCTTCCCAGGCTCGGAATAAATTCTTTTGCGTTTTCTTATCATTTATTTACTATTGGATTCGCCGTCGGTATTTTCCGGATGTCCTACCGTTGACTCTCGTTCAGCCATTTGTAAACGACCCTAGCATCTTTCCCTTTATATCTCTCATCGTTCATTGCTTCATCAAACGCGCTGAGGGTGGGTTTATCCAAGATCGTTCTTGCACCGACCATTTCTGCCAGAGAACTCCCCATCTCCAGCACGTGTTTACATAGCTCAATACGGAATCCACCTTCATACCCTCGACTGGCCGGCGCGTTGGCGTGGATTCCTGGCACCGGATTCGATTGACTTGTTACCCAACATTGCCCGCCAGAAACGTTGATAACATCAGTGAGAAGTTTAAGGTCAAGGCCCATTTTAGCACCAATGTTGAGCGCTTCGCTCGCAGCAAGACTGGTAACGGCAGACAAGTAGTTATTGATGACCTTAAATGCAGTTCCGGCCCCGACATTGCCGCAGTGGAAAATGCTACCTTTCTTTCCCATGTGCTGAAGGTAATTCTTTGCATGTTCAAAAGGGTCCGACGCCGTCGCACCGACCATGAAGGTAAGCGTCCCAGCCTCTGCACCCATGGGCCCACCGGATACAGGAGCGTCAACAAAGTCCAGGGTTGCACCCGAGGCGAGTTTTGAGGATGCGTCAGCCGCCGCCTTGGCCACCTTGAGGATCGTGGCTGTTTCGATGGTTCCACATTCCATGATCAGCTTTTTCTGAGGGCTCGATTTGGAAGCCTCGATCGCGCCAGGGATGACCCCCGTCGAGGGATCTAAGTAGACCGTCTCTACAGACGAGGCCGTGGGAAGCATAGTTATCAGTGTGTTTGCTCGTTGTATTGCTTCAAACCCACTTGTCACCACCTCGACAGGCCCTTTCCCGGACATTTGAGATTGGAACTTGGATATGGCGCTGGAAGAAACGTCGCAGATGAGGAGGGTATACGTTGACGGCAACTTTGAACGCAAGTTGACAGCCATGGGATAACCCATCACTCCGAGCCCTGCGATCGAGGGTTAATGATTACTTTGCTGAGTGTCACCCTCAAAAGCCTACCGATGAAAGCAATTGTACTGTCCGGCGTCGCCATCTTGTCACAGGTTCTCTCTGAACGTGATATCCTAAGTACCGTCTTGATATAACTGATTTCTCTCTAATCTCCTTCTCGTCGGCCCTGACTAGCCACAGGGTAGAATTTCGGCTTCGTGGACTAAATAAAAGACCAAAAATAGTGAAATAAATGCACAACATGGCTGCGGCGATTGAGATGACGATGTGTGGAACGACAAATTGGATCCGCGGACTCCTCCACTTCGGAAACCGGCAAAACTCCAATCCCTTACCGGCACCAGCATTTAATGGGTTGGGAAGGAAAAATAAGAATCCTATTACCATTGATTAGGAGAAATGTCCCCCGAGGAGTTCCGTTGTGGAATTGGGGAAGCGGCCATGGGAATTGGGGAAATTGGGACGGATGCGGGGTTAGGAATGGAGTGGGAGAATAGAAAAATAGATATGGAGAATTCCAAGGGCTCCAACATTGATTGTCGTTGCAGCTGACACGAGGGATGTCAAGAACAATCCATCTTTCACAAGATATGTAATTCGAGTGCACAGGATCATTATGAGCGACCACATGACTTTCAGCCTTGCGGTCAGGTTTCATATGACTTGCTTCAGGCTAAGTTCTCTGCCTACCGCCAATTCATACACCGTAGAACTCGCGTATCCCACAACATGGAAGGTCTACGAGATCGTGATACATACCTAAGTCTAATGCTAAGATAATTCCGCTTCGTAGACATTTAATGAGCGAAGAATATAAAATTGGATTTCCCGACGAGTATCAAGGTTCATGTTTGAATGCATGGTACAATACTTATGAGAAGGTGGAAAAACTATGAGCTATCTTGCCCTGTCTTAGATTTCTTTGTCATATTCCTTTGGGTGACTCCCTGTCGTAGAGTCAACTAACTAGGCTTGCATCAGCCTGGGGCAGAAGGATTCTCAATCACGATACATTATCGACTTTTGAACCATTCGAAACACATTGCAAAACTTGACTGCATCATCGAGGTCTTCCAGGATCTTCCATCTTCATCTCGACAGACAGGCTCCAGCTTCTTTACCGCACAAAGGGTTAACACAAACTCCAATGATGTTGCAAAATTCCAAGATGGAACATATCCTGGCTGCTACAAATAACGTCTTGTTTAGTTGCATCAACCAAGAATCACGGGTCCATACTTGCAGAGACCGAGAAGAATCCCGAAGAGTCAAAATGCGCTCCCATGCTCGTTAACAAACCGTGAATCACAGTGGCAGAACGATGAACACAAGATCAGTATTCAAGAAGACTGATGAGATAGACTTCCTCAATTACATTCCCTGCCTTCCAGAATATGCACTCACAAATTCCTATACTATCTACAACCCCGTGCCATCTGACCCGGCACATACCAACATTGGGGATGAGTCTGGTGCTGGATAAACCATCACTGATTCCGGTGGTCCCTGGATTGTGACTTTGACCTGGACATACAAGGCTTTGCGGGCTCAGGCATCACCCTCCGCCAGCCGTTATGAATTGGACTGCAGGGAAGACATCGAAGACCGTTATATGGAGAGCGTCAAGAATTTGGCGAGAGAAATGATCCGGGAAAGCTTGAACTTCCAGCGACTGATCTCCTGTAGCTGCGTCGAGCTGATATCGTGGACGCGATGGGCCCTCCAGGCCTTTCTGGCAATATCAATTCCAAGATCCACCATACACGATTATATTTCAACATAGCAGGGTGCTAGGAAAGATGCGGATGACATTCATGCGAAGAAACAGGGTTGCTGATCGAACATTAACGCGTGCGGCTGATCAAATATCAACTCCATCCCTATTTCCAGACTGAACGACGTGGTGCAATACCCAGTATTGGCTCTGCGACGCCCGAAGCTCATCACTCATGGACCTAGTTAGAGTTGAGAAGCATTGACAAGGACATCGTCCAACATAGCTACTATGCCACATACAGTCTGAGATACTGCTTTTACTACCTAAGCCGCATCAGAGGGAGGAGTTATGTGTGGTTAAGATCTTGGATTCTGCGGACGTTAGTGCTCCACGTAAGTTTGACCTAGCTATTTCAGTTCGCCAAACTAAAGTGACTGGCTCTTGTGGAAGGATTTCTTCACGTAGTGTTTTGAGCCGGAGCAGCCTGATCCTGATGCTCCACCATTGGAGAGCATTGAAGTGAGACAGCCCGGGTGTTATCCGAACTACGACGGTAGATCCGTGTAGAAGACATTTATTAACCGACCTGGGTAAGGGGATATATATACAATCCAATAATCAATCAAGTTAGTCTAGTAGCCGCAGGACATAATACTCTCATTGTGCAAGGCAAATTTTTTTTTAAAAAAAAATTTCCTTCTCTGTCCATGCTATAGACGCCCGGGGAAGAAGCGATGGTGATTCGTTTCCCGCCAAATTTTATCATGGGCAACAATGACCTCAACCTCTGTCTGGTCGTCAAAAGCTGGACTCGGTTTCTTCAGCAATGGCCCAATCCTCTTGAGTGTCTCCTTGGCTTGTTCCGTGTCCACGTGGACTGACCTTAGGCCACCATGTCCGTCATCATAGAGCGCTACGTCCTTCTCGCCGGTCAAAATTCTCGGATCATGACAACAATCACCGCCTAGATAGACCCAACTGTGTGGAGCAACACGTGCGAGCAGGTTGACATGTCCGAAAAGGTGGCCTGGGCTGTCAACGACATAGACACTGCCGTCGCCAAAGAAGTCGATGGTCGCAGGAAATCCAGCAAACGGCTTCCACGTATGGTCGGTCTGTTTTGCCGCCGTAGTAGTACTGTTCTTTGATACAGGGGGCAATTCAATGGTCCGATCTCGCGGGAGTAATTCTGGATTGAAAATTTCTTTTGGATAATGAGGAGGGGCGCCGTTTTCAAGAAGATGCAGTGTGCCTGATCCAACCACAAACTGGGAGTTGGGAAAGTCTTCTGGCGTTCCTTCGTGATCCCAGTGAACGTGGCTTAACATGACGATGTCGATATCCTTAGCAGGATCCAAACCACCAGCTCTCAGACTGTCTGCGCAATCTGGATGCAAGACAACAGGCTGTCGATTGGCGATGTGGGCTTGTTGTGCTGGCGGATACTTGGTCATGTCACGCTTTAAACCAAGGTCGAAGACGAGTTTGGTAAGTTTTCCGGTGCGAGACGGATGTTGGATCAGAAAGGACAACGAAGGAACTGTGGCTCTTTTCATCGGATCAGCGTCCGTGATGAACAGACGTTCTGGAAGAGTCAATTGTCCTGCCTCGAGCGCCGAGACGGTCACAAAAACCTGGTCTGTTTCGAGAGATCCCATTATTGGAGTTGTCAAATCAATCTGGATGGAAGGGAAAGAAAGTACCCTTCACCTCGTAGATATTCTAGAGCAGCTTAGATGAGACTTTCTGAAGCGTGATCGATATCGGATGTAGCCCATTCTTCCCCGCAGCAGGGAGTTCTTCATCGCAGCCCCAGAATTGAGGTCAGAAGTTGAAGTTGGAGAAGTAAATTTGTTTTAAATTGCGCGCCTCCAATTCCCCTGAAGCCTGAGGGGGATTTCCGTTCCACTCATGGTGTTAGCGTCAAGAGCGAGAGGTAGTTGACCCGGTGATACATGAGTTCGCCATCGTGGAAACGGTAGTAAACATGCGGAATGAATTGCGCTATCCCATCAGCAAATGCCATGGCAAGAGAATACCATCTCCGATGAAGCCTAACAAGTTGGCTGATGTCGTAGGCAGGTAGAATGCCACGTCCCGCATTGTCCAGCCTTCCTGCCAACTACGATGTTTATACGGTCCCCTTGTTTCTTTGCCTCGTCAGCGGCGATCCCAAGGCACTTCTGTCTTGAAGTTGGAGGTTGTATGCCCTGAAAAACCTGAAACATAAATAATCGGAGTCCTGAAATAGGATTCAATGAGATCCAAAGAGATCCAGACTGATCAACCGCATTGGCGCTTCGCTATTTTCGTCGGTGATGCGCTCCTCATCAGCTCCTAGTGGGAAATTGGTAAAAAAAATAAAAAAGGCCAGAAAAAAATTGTCACCAGACTTTCAATTTCTTTCTTTCTTTCTTGCAGAGCGTTTTCCATGTACTCTCCCTTCCTCCTATAGGGACAACTTCTGTTCCTATATGATCATCCTAGTTTTGGCATCGCAAATCGGGACATCACGACATTGCCCTGTCAAGTGATCGCAATTCTAATTGATCGAATGTGTGAATGACACTTGGTATTGATGCACGATTTGATACAAAATAGCATCAGCATCCAGAGTATGCGGATGAAATAGATATGGTGCAAGTGATGCGTTCGTCACGGAGCGATTTTGCCGCAGAGACCAGAGAAGTCGAATCGATAACAGCCTCCGTCGCAACCCCCTTTTCATCGCCTTTCCAAATCAAGTGCTTGGATGAGCAAGAACACATCTCGGTGAACCTGATCGAGATGGTGGCATTCGCGGTCGTTCATGGACCCCGTCGGCTATGAATGAACAAGCCCCGTTAAAACCCTTGTCTGCTTCGCGACAACACGTTCGACCGAGACCTAATGACGAAGAATAACAGCGAAGGAGACGTCTGCAAGTTCATTTCTTGACGCATAACCAGTTCTCTCTGCCAGGGATAAATCATATGGAATATCCAATTCGCCAAAATGTGGATCTACCAGGCCAACGCGGGATCCATCAAGATGAATGGGCCGAGAGATATAGGATAGCTCAAGACTTTTGGGAGAGGAAAGAAGAGTCCTGGCCCATCGACGAATTCTTCGGCTCCCATTCAGTCATTATGCAGCGCGACCAAAAAAGACAGCATCAACCCTCCGCCTCTGGCGTCCCAGGAAACCCCTAGGTTCGCCTGCACTTCCGAATCCTCGACTCCGCCCCGAGGCCGCAGAACTGGCACTCGCGAGACGCAGGTTCTGTTCGTGCCATGCCGAGGCCATGAGTTTCAGTTCGCGCCGGAAAATCATGTTTTGATTTCTGAGACGCTCGAGTCCAGATTCCTCGTCCGTCGATGGAGTCTGAGAATGGGGCAAGGAGGCGGGCGTGTCCTTCGGTGGCGGCACAGGCGGGGCATCTTCCTTCCTCTTCTGTGCTTCGCGTTCTTGATCTATCTTCATCCTAATTTCCTTGATCATCTCGTCCTGCTTCTGTACATGCTCGAGTAATGCTCTGTTTTTGTTTCTTTGCCTTTCTATGGCTGCAATCAGTTTCTTTTGGGCACGTAGAGAAGATTCCCGTTCCGAGGCGGAACCGGCTTGAGCCTGAGCCCTCATCGCTGACATGATTGCTTTGAGTTCATCTTCTGAGATAGTCTCGCCGTCAGAAGGAAGATTGAGGTTGAGACTAGAACCGGGTGATGATGTGTCGGTGGTGGGAGGTGTGAGATCCGTATTATTGTGCGTTGCGGAGGTAGAGTCGCCGTTGAGTAATGCGGCCGTGAGACGTGCTTCCGACTCAAGGAGCTCGGCTTCCTCCTTCTCCAGATCTTTGTTGACCGGACTAGGCGGTCTCTCTTCTCTCGGTGCGGGAGTGATACCGTCTTCATAGTCTCGCAGTCTTCCCTGTAAGTCCTCAACGGCTTGGTGCTGTCGGGACAGCTGTTCCGTGGTATCGTGATACCGAGCTTCCAGAGTGTGGTAGTCGAATTCCAAGCGTTTCTTCATCTCGTTCAATTCGTATCTCTCTTGCTCAATGCTTGGCAGAAGACGCCTATATTCATCGATCTCTCTCTGCAAATCACTCGAACTGGCGCGGGCAAAGTCGGACTGTTTGAGTTGGTTCTGTAGTTCAGCCACTTTGGCGCGGAGACTGTTGTTGTCCTTCTCCAGATCCTGGCTCGCTTCCAGTTTTTGTTTATATTTTTCTGCAGCGTTGGCCTTACGGGCTAATCTATCCCGCTCGATCTTCATCTCATCGTAATCGTCCTGGAGCTTTTGGGCCTTTTCAGCTTTGATCTTGAGAACTTCGTTGGTCTTCCGGAGATCATCGACCTCGGATTCCGCCTCAATGACTCGAGTCTCAAGGGTGGCGATCAGGGTGTCATGTTTCGAGTCGATTGGCCGGGTCGAAATGTCGGATCGTCCTGCTAGGACCGCTGTTAACCGATCATTGGTCTCTTTCAGTTCGTCCTGGGCCTGGTCGAAATGTTCTTGCAATTTCTCATACCGTGAGTGGTACTCGTCCAGTTGTTTCTGCAACTCCCTCTTCTCATGCGCGATTCGTTGATTATCAGCGATAACCTTGCCCAGTCGCTCCTCGGACTCGAGTACCGATTCCATTTCTCCAGAACGTCGGGGGGAGACGGGCGTCACGTCAATGCCCTGACCGTCTCGATCCGAGATATCCGCTTCGTCGTCTCCTTCATCCTCACCCGCCTCTTGAACAGTCTGCATCAACACCTCCTGGGTAGACTCTGTGAGCTCTTGCATCTGTTTCAAATATTCAATTCGATCGGCGCAATTGATAGCTGCGACCACTAGCAATTTGAGCAACGAGACGGTGTCGTTGAGAGAGGATGATTGAGCAATAGCTTTGAGATCGGGGCGCCCTCCCGGGAGAGGTAGTCGTTGACCACATTCTTCGACCAGAAAGATAGAGAGGGCATCGTAGATATGTTTTAGGTTGGTCCATTTGTGTATCCACTGATCGGTATCGGGATGCTCTGGGAGGTTACCCGGAAAGCTAAAGCGGTCGAGTTGCTCTATGGGAAGTCAGAAAATGAGGGCGACGTCTGCTGGAGAAAGACTGGGCGTACGAAGGACCTTCCATATGATATCGCCATTGGTGAAGTCGTCTACTGTGTAGACCGGATCTGCAACAGCCAGGCTATTGATCCAGTCGATGAGACCAGCGGCAATGGCTTCTTCGGTCGCCATCGCAGTGTGAGTGGGATTTATCTTGCACACATTTCATTATTGCATCTGCGAGTATCATTGCATCCTGTCGAGACAAAAGTGTGTCAAAGTGAATTGAGTGGCCCCATGGTTTCAGATTTGAAAAAGAGCGGGAGGAACTTAAACTCCAAGGAACGCGTATCGGCGGTCCGAGATCCCCTGGGGCGCGCGTTGCCGGTGCCACTTTCGGTGTTGAACTTAGCACTGGGCAAGAATGACGTCGTGTCAACCATTCCCTCACTGTAACTTGCACTTTGATTGAAGAGACGTTAACATGTATCAATATTAAAAACACTGACAATGACGGAGGACTCTCAAGCGGGACTGGAAAGGGTCAATCGCCTCAGGGGGTTCGGACGATGCTTCGAATATAGCGACTGCGTTACCACCAACAACACAGATGTTTCTATGTTGGCAGAGACCCCTCTGTTCTATGGTATGCATGCCTCAACAACCGTAATACTACATGCAAAAGTGTTCATCCATCCGAGTCCAGTTTCGAAGCATGATTCCGTCGGCCCAAATACATCGTAGGTCTCATTTTGTGTCATCATCCATTCTCCCAACGCCATTCGCGACAATGGAAAATCTCATCTCAACGAACTCCACTGCCGGAGGACCCATCAACATGAACGACATAATCATCCTCAATATATGGCATAAAGGTTTCGGCCATGGTGCAGATTTTGTCGAGGGTCATTTCTGACACGGTAGCAGAGAATCCTTTAATGAGTGCTAGAGAACAGTCAGTAGGCGGTTGTAGAGCTCCGCGGCCGTGCAGCCCCTTACAATATTCGTGGGTGATGATGCCTCCATCCTTTTTGATTTCCTCGATGGCCTTGTCAATGATAGAAGAAGGAGTATCCTCAGGATACTGCACCACGACTGGCTTCTGTGGTGGAGGAAGTGCGAGCACCAAGGCGAGTAAGGTGAAGAGGAGTGTGATTGAGAGACGCATGATAAAGCTGAACGATGGCGTTGGTGATTGTGACCGTATAGTTGGATGATCAATCGAGAAACAGATTTGGGAGAAGCGGTTTGAGGGATATATGTATGTTGGGTGACATGAATTCGGAGAGAAATTGTTCGGTCCGCCGTCCCCCTCAAAAAGCTGATGCCATTGTGGCTCCAAGATTAATGGGTTGAAGGGATTCCACCACTTCCGGCCTTGGCGTCCACTGGGGATCAGAGCAGGTTGGCTGCGCCTGTCACTTCTCTCTTCTCTTCTCGACCTTCAACTACTTCGCTTCATCACCTTGTTCAACTGACTGCTTCATCCTCAGCCTGGCCGTATGGCTGGTGTTCATTAGAGTAATCCTCTGCCGTCCATTCGCTTTGTCGCCCGCCGCTTCACCTGCAAATCCTTGATGACATTCGACACAGTGTTGTCCTCCCTCTAGCAGAGAATATCCAAAGAGTGGAAGTACCTCGAAACAGGGACGGCTCACAATCTGTTTTTGGCTCTCATTCATGACTTAAAAAAGGCTAGAAGAGATGGTTGGATGGAACACATCGGCGCCGTGGGCTGAGTTGATTTGACCAACAAAAAGGAAAAGAACCAAGCTGGCTTCATTGTCTCAAGGTGTAGATAGCCAAAAGATACCACGACATTCTTCTTTCGTTGTTTATCTCGGGCATCTCTAGTGCCTGAACAGCAAGCTTTGAATAGCTTTTGCGGCCCTATCAGTCAAATCACGCACTCTCCCCCCTGTCGCCGTCACTGTTTGACATCGAGAGCTATCAAGTCTACGCAACAGCTGTCCGTTTGACTATTGGAGTCGTGATCCTTGATCCGACTCTGATTCTGACTCTCACGCAAATACCTTTTCAATCTTTCTTGTTCTTCATATGCGGTCTTATCTTCTTTCTTCTCATCATGTCTAGTCTGCCGTCTGATGAGGTCGCTGAAGACTACAAAGTTTCTTTGGAAGATCTTATGACCAACGACAGATATCAAATCTCAAACCTGACTTTGATCGCAAAAGAAAATGTCGAGCATGCCGAAGCAATCTCACGAGTCTTGCAGAACCACATCAATCGAGTATGTCACATATTTTTTTTTTAATTTCATTTTAAGTATCTCAATGCTGATTTGTCGTCCAATACGAACGCCAACGACGTTACTTGTTTTAAGGGGAAAAAAAAAAAAAAAACATCACTGACCTCTCTTCTAGGCTCCTCCATCACGCAAATTGCCCGCTTTGTACGTCTTGGATTCGATCGCCAAAAATGTTGGATCCCCCTACACGGTATATTTTGGTCGCAACCTCCATCAGATTTTCATGCATGCCTATTCCCAAGTTGATGGCCCTATCCGTCGAAAGCTGGAGGAGATGTTGAAAACGTGGCGTGAACCTGTCCCAGGTTCTACATCACCGACCACCGTATTTCCCAACGCAAGCACACAATCTATCGTCGATAGTCTCAACAAGTTCCGCTCGCCTGTGCCACCAACGAATCGCTATCAATCCGCTCCAGGGCCTGGTCATCCTGCAAGAGTGGTTTCCGCTCACCCTTATCGTCAGACACCGACTCCTCCTCAGTCTTTACCGCCATTCCCTCCAAACCCCCCCTCCCACATCAGAAGCCCTCAGCCCCGAGCGGCAATGCCACAACAACCCTACCTTCAAGGCCCACCAGTCTCGTACGGTCAGCCGTATCCGACTCAATCAGTTCCACAGTATCAGCAGTCCCAACCTCTTCAGCCTACCCATACGCTTCAATATCCATCTGCTCCTCCACAGCCTCTGCTGATGTCCTTGGGAGCAGTGGATATACAAAAATTGCATTTGGATATTGACGATCTCACAACAGATGCTAAGATCGAATGTGCTACTCACCCCATGGATGCAGGCGCTCAAAGAAAATTAGCGAGTCTTCAAACCTTGAAAGAAATCCTTGACAGCGGTAGTGCCTCGGAGAACGATCTAGTAGATATTCGGAACACCATTATGCAAAAAATGGCAGAGAAGATGACGGCCATTCATCAACCTCCGGCGCAGGCGTCCGTGCCTTCCACGCCACTACATAATACGTACATACCTCCTCAACCTCCAATTCAACATCCGCCTGCTCCCACCACAGCTCCTCACACCATGTTCAACAGTACAAATCTAGCGGAGCTGCTGCGAGCAACTGCGAACCAACAGCAAGGCACACACCCACCGAATTACTATACACAGCTCTCATCTGGAGTCAATACCCCGATGATTGCCCCGACGGCGCCGGCGTCGGAGAATCCACTCTTGGCGCAGCTTCGAGCATCAGGGTTTCTATCTGCCACCTCCACCCCACCTCAGGGGGTCACGCCTCCGCTTCCACCATTTGCAACGTTTACGACGGACGCAAACATGGAGGTCAGTTTCACATCCGCAGCCATCAAAATCCCTCGGCCTCACTTGATTTCAACTTTCTTGAACGCACGGCCCAATCAGTGCAGCACATGCGGTAGAAGATTCACGTCGGATGACGTCGGGCGAGAAAAGAAGGCGCGCCACCTGGATTGGCACTTCAAAACCAAAGCGAGAATGCTGGAGGCCGAGAAGCGAGGGCAGAACAGAAGCTGGTATGTGGATGAACGAGAATGGATTGCAAGTAAAGAGTACGAAGACGATTTCGGACCGGCAGATGCAAATGGAGCATCATCAAACGCAAAAAAGAAAGCGGAAGATTTCGTGCGTGTGCCGGCAGACTCTGTGCTCCGGTCTCTACCATGTCCAATTGACCAAGAACCATTCAAAAGTGAATGGAGTGAGGAGGTGCAAGATTTCATCTGGAAGGATGCGGTGTACGTGGGAGGGCGCTATTACCACGCTAGCTGCTATGCGGAGGTGACCAAGGGGCGGGAAAAGGACGGAATTACAACACCTATTAGTGCCATTGGACGAACGGCCACACCAGATTCGGTGCTTGGGAAACGAAAGGCAGAGGTACGATGACTGGGTGTACCCTCGCCACTGGTTGAGGATTTTGGCTAATTCAAAGGCAGGAAGATACCAATGGAGCCAAATCCAGGATTAAACTCGAGTCCGCGCAGCTAGCATAAATGTTTTCACATGTTGTTTCACAGCGAAGGCGTTGGTTGTTGGGGGGAGGGAAATTGCGCAGCATTGATTGCACTTGGATGTGGGCTGGGAAATGGTTACCAGCGAACAGGAGGAAAAAATTTGGGAGCGATGAGGACACTGCCTCTACTATATATCCACGCCGGCGACAAGAACACAAGCGACACTGGGTATCTGTATGAGTTTAGGTAATATTGACAAACCGATGCCTCAGCCTTGCCGGCGGTAGCGCAGGCGAGTCCCCATATCCTAACCAACGAGTTGTCGCTCGGGTTAGCGGTAGTATCTACATTCCATAGCACAAGGCTGAATGTCGGACATAAGATTCCCATAGGCGAGTCGTAAATCCGTTGAGCACGTGCAGCTACTCTATTAGCAGCAGCCCCAGCAACTTCTGCTGCTCCCAATGCAAGCCTTCCAAAACATATTTTTTTTTTTTTTTTCCCTTCTTCGTCACCTGGCCAGCGCAATTACTCCCTGTGAGCCGATCGAATTTTCTCTTTTCCATGCCCACCAAGTTGATATTTATTCTCTAGCTTGGCTTTTCCAGACCATCAATCTACTTTTTCCCTCCGCGTTCAAGAATCAAATAGACGAAAGACCAATCCAGCCCTCGGTCGCAAGCTTCTCAGATCTTTCCTCTCCTCTCCCCCCACTCCGCTTGAATCTCGACCTCGACTGCCGGCCTCGAAATATCTTACAACCTTTTTTCACCTACATATCATACAAGAACTATGTCACCTCCTGCGATGGCGCCAGCTTTGGGCTCCTCCACAAAAGAATACAAGGGGGAATCGGGAACTGCAAGATTATTAGGTTCAGGTATTTATACACTCTATGGCCAGACCCATGAAGAGTCATACTGAGTTGTCTACACTACAGGATCAGCAGGCGTCGCGGAACTACTCGTTTTCCACCCTGTCGACACAATCGCCAAACGACTGATGAGTAACTCGAGCAAGGTCAGCCTCGTACTCCATTTTTCCATCCCATTTTAACACATGTTAGGTCACCTCTGTCTCGACCTTCAATAATGTCATTTTCAAAGAATATGCCTCCGCCCCCGTCATTACCAAATTCACTTCCTTATTCCCTGGCCTGGGTTACGCCGCTGGCTACAAGGTCCTACAGCGAATATACAAGTACGGCGGCCAACCCTTCGTCCGAGACTACTTAACACAACACCACGCCCAAGATTTCGACATGGCTTTCGGGAAAGGAACCGGCAAAGCAATGCTGAACGCTACTGCGGGTTCATTGATTGGTATCGGCGAAATCATCCTCCTTCCTCTGGATGTGCTGAAGATCAAACGACAAACCAATCCAGAAGCGTTCCGATCACGGGGCTTTTTCCGCATTGTTGCGGACGAAGGTATGGGTTTGTACCGAGGCGCGGGATGGACCGCAGCAAGAAATGCCCCGGGGTCATTCGCACTCTTTGGCGGCTCTGCATGGGCTAAAGAGAAACTCTTTAAACTCGAGGACTACAATAAAGCGACCTGGGGTCAAAACTTTGTGGCCTCGGTGGCCGGTGCATCGGCAAGTCTCATCGTCTCAGCTCCACTCGATGTGATCAAGACGCGAATCCAAAATCGAAATTTTGAGAATCCCGAGTCTGGGTTCAGAATCGTGGCTAGCATGATGAAAAATGAAGGCATCACAAGCTTTTTCAAAGGTCTTACGCCCAAGATGCTCATGACTGGGCCGAAGCTTGTGTTTAGCTTCTGGTTAGCACAGACGCTGATCCCGGCTTTCGGCAAGGTTGTGTAACCGGGGGGTGGATGAAATATTTTGAATTGAGAGGACCGAAGAAGACGGGGGGCCAGTGTGATGCTCGAAGCATCTTTCATGCTGAGACTCTTTTGGGCGGCCATCTTGGTGGATACCCCGATGTTAATGTTCTTGTTTTGTCTAATTGTACACCTCTCAGCTCTCTTGTTCACAATGTCTCATTGATTCAGACAATCAGGGTGAAAAATACACAAAAAGGAGGATTTCTTGACGCCGGTTGCCGTGTCGAAAATCAGACGTTGAATATGATTACGTCATTCGAGGCGGGAAGCAAAAGAGCCTTGGAAAGAAATGCGACAAAATGGAATTTACTGTTGGCGGCCATATGAGCAAAACCTTTCTACTTTTGGTTTGCCTTGGTTCTGTCGCGGTACGATGAGACGATTTTGTTTTGACTGGCGCCCAACGATGGGATTGAAACAAAAAGTTGCTGAAAGACGCTCCTGTGGCATAACAGGTACTGGGCGAAGCATGTTGAAAATGGCATACTTTGCTACCGCGTGTCGCTGGTCTGTCTCGGACTAGAGTCGATTCGACTGAGTTTCGCCGTGCCAGTAGTAGGATATGATGAGTTGGGTTTTGATTAGGTTTGGGAATCTTGTGAGCCATGGTGTTTGATACTTGTTGCTGCAGTGGTGGTCGGGCGTTGATTGCTCCATGTCCAGGAGATCAGGCCGGCGACAGTTAGAGGATCGAGCTGTGACAGTAAAAATGAATCTTCACTTCATCAGTAACAACAGCTTTGAGGAGCAACCACTCTTGAAAATGCTCATCTTAGAATGCACCAGGTGCTCACAAGAACTGCAGAACTGCGTCCCAGATTCTTTCCTTCATTCGTCCCTCAGTCAAAATGGCCGACCCCTGGACCCCTTGGCCAAATCTGCTTGAACTCAACAAGTTGCATATAGCTGAGGGCAATACCTCCTTGCTGAACTCCCACGAGGTCCAGATGCTGTCACCCTTTCTCCGGCAGTTTAAGTCGACTGTTCAACAAGTGGTTGATACTGAACTGTCTCTCTTTGCGCTGTCTGTTCTCTACAGGTTTCTCTGAACTAATTACATCGGCTTTCCTTGATACCCTGGCCGCTGTGCCCATGGCATTTGTGTCTGTGCACTTTTCGGTTGCGGTGAAGTGCAGTAATCGCCCGCCAAAGAGAATTCTGGGATGCCGTGAGGCGTCCGGGCCCAGAGACTGGCTCTAAACCGAGACAATGAGGGTTGATATTCCCCATTTGGTTTAGCCTAGTCACGTGCACGTAAGCCTTCGTGGCCTTTTTGTCGCTTGCGCCTCGCTCAGATAGATTCAAATCAATCAATCCTCTCTCAGCCCAACAGGTTGAAACGACAAGCTTATATCCACAGCTACTCATACACCGCATGAACTCCGGGAAAGCATCCGGGGTGCTTTGTTGTATTCGTCGCGGAATCGTCGCTAAGCTTGAAGTCTGCAGGTTGGGAGGTTACAGCACGGCGGCTATAACAGAGCACGGGAAGACAGAACGTGGCGTTCTTTGTTGGCGGATACTTTCAACAGCTCTGGTGTTGAACAATAGGCAGTACCCCTTTACTTGAAAAGGGTTATCACCCCTATGCAGGATATAGGGGAAGAGTAGGAGAAGAAAAGGGGTCAACCGAACATATATATGCCAGCAACCTGGCAGGATCAGTTGCCAGATGGACAGAGCATTCAATACACATTCTCTTGGCATACTCAGTTTGACATGCTTGGAGCCCAGTGATGGTGGTTCAATTAGCAGTGCTAGAATAGGCGTGATCATTCTGTGATGGTCTCTTTTATTCGTCACCGGCATCAGTCCAGTATCGACGCGAACAGAAGCAAACTTAGATTCGGATCTTTTTAATTGGTCAGTCCGGAAAGGCAAGGGTGTTGTCGCAATGCTAGCTTAGGCTTTACTGTAGCATCGGTTTATGCAAGATTTATGCACATGGCAGATGCTGCAACGCGGAGCCATTCTATAGCCAATCCGCTCCAAGATAAGCCTCGTGGAGCATGTCAACCAGCCTGAATCCTGGTGGTCATAAATGGTTGATCCTTCGGAAGCTGACTCTCCTAGCCGGAAACCCAGGGGAATTCCCGGGGCCCCCGCATCCGATGCTGGGTTTCGCACTGGCCAGGGGCATTCATTTTCAAAATAATGTGCACAACGCATATTTCCGATCTTCGGGCTCGGCATCCCCGGGTTTTCGGTAAGCCTGCAAACCTGGGGTCCTCCCACATTTTGATCCGACATCATGTCTCCGGCTCCTCCTTACTTGTCAGCTTCGCCGTGCAGTCATGATTATGCCGTCGCTGACATCACTGAAGGGAACAAGAGGCTGTATACGTCTGATGTGAATTTCTGCTTTTCAAATCACCGTTCGAGCGCAGCTTCATTCTCTGGCTATGGCTTGGACCTTGGCATCGAGAAAAGCGCAAATCCTGTCTGAAGCATTCACCAAAGGCCGACCATGGCCCGAAACAGTATGGCAACAAATAGCTCAGTGAGATCTCATCTTGACCATTCCAGGCACAGGCTCGCAGGACCAGAAAGACCGTTCCTACATCTGTCGGTACTGCAGCAAAGCTTTCATCCGCGCAGAGCACTTGCACCGTCACCTCTCATCTCGTAAGTCTACATATGAGGAAGCATTCAGCCACTTATTGAGACCTCATTTTGACTCCTCATAGATGAGAATAAGAAACCACATGGCTGCTCTGCATGCGGTTCCAGTTTCGGCAGGGCCGACGTTTTGCAACGACATAAGAAGAAGTGCTCAGCCCATCAACGCCTCGTGACTAGTTCTCAAGAAGCTGTGGCGGAACGGGAGAACCAACAACCCCAAGATCGTGCGGGAAACGACGCCTTTTCTGGCACTGGTTCAGAGTCTGGTCACTCATTGTGGGTATGAGATTCTTGGAATTCGAATTACGCTCATTCTCAATCGGTGTTTTCGACAATAACAGAAGTATGCTTTCAAACAGAATGATTCAAGTCATGCATGACCAGTAAGTCTAGGGCCCATCAAAAGATGCACAAATATTGAGCTAGTCTATCTCAGTGATCAGTCATTGCTGCTCCGGAACGAATCGAGCAATCCGCCCGCTCAAAGACAACAAACCGTACCTCTTTTCTCCCTGTGGCGTCTTTGGCTTCACTGACCGTCCTATCAGGGAGCACCCGCGGCTTCTGACAGCATTATGATCTCTCCTACCTCGCTGACTTCGTTAGCCGAAGCTACTAACAACAGAAGCACACCCGCGCTGAACATGTCCTCGTCGACACTTTCGGGGCCTATAGTTTCCAATCAGACCAACGGCAACACTGTTCTTCCAACTCCACCAGTTTCCTCTTCTTTCACGCAGCGTTCGGACGAATTGGGCCATTCACTCTCCAACGACCTTTCTCAGGCCGCGTCTTGGAGGAGCACGACAAGAGACATGTACAACCTAGATTTTGCAGACTGGAATACAGGCGATTTGACTTTTTTGGAGGATTCGCTATTGCCCAACTTCCAATATGACGCAACAGAGCTTGTGCCCCCATTTCAACCATCACTTGACATGATATCTGACAATCAGTCATCACCTCAGCCCCGAGGGATTTTGCTCGGTCTTACTCGGCGAGTGACACCGTCGCCGGAGGATGGCGGCGCCCAGAGCAGCCGTCAAGGTGAGAATGCCACAACAAGAGGGCTAAGATTGTGTCAAGAAGACATCAATTCTTTCAAGAAGAATATGTCGAACATCCATCAGCGGTTCCTCCTTTCAGATTTCAAAGTTCCGTCGCGCCTACGGATGATACGACTGCTATGCGCATATTTCGAATACTTTGACCCCCATACGCCCATTGTTCATCGAGCAACCTTCGAAATCCAAAGCAGTCATCGTGGGTCACTCTTCCCCAGCCAGACTTATGTTTCGATTCATTGACATTATACTAGCTGCTTTGATACTTGCCATGTTGGCCATTGGAGGTCTCCATGTCTCTGAGCATGACTTTGTTATTAAGGCATACGACGCTTGCTGCATACTCCTGTACAATGTGAGTTTTTGATGCTCGCAAAATGGGTGGCCTGGTGGTGACTGACGAATGCCAGATCGAAGGTCATGAAGTTGGATCCGTCCGGACCCCAGATATAGGTATCGTACAGGCCTTGCTCCTGTGTGCACAATTTGGTGGCTTCAGTGACAATGCATCCTATTTCCGGCGTGCAGAGAAGCACTTAACGTCTGCATATTCGGTACGTCTGTCTTTTTTTTTTTAAAAAAAAAAAAAAAAAAAAAACTTCTATTGTCGCTTATCCGAGTCGGTTGAAGCTAATGGTTGGACTCAGCTCTTGCGAGAATATATTGACATAGCAAAGCCTCAACAACGCCGATCAACCGCAGATTGGGCTTCCTGGATTGCCTCGGAAACATGTAGTCGGTAAGTCCCCTATGGTCTATCAGTTAGGTCGTGGAACCTTTCTGACATCTTCCGTCTTTATTCGGGCTTAGACTTTCTGGCTGGCTGTCCATTCTCAGCGGAGTCATTCTCTCCTTTTAGCCATCAGCCGCTATCACCATCTACCCTCTGGAATCCGATATCCATATACCATGCGACGAAGAACGATGGAGGGCGAAGTCACATGTTGAATGGGCTGCTTCGTCAAGCGCGGCCTCGGATGATCAACATACGAGTATGCACTCCATTACCAGATTAATCTCCGCCGGTCTACCGTTCCCAACAAAAATCAGCGCGTTCGGCTTACTTGTCATTGCGGGATCCATTCTGGCTCACATATGTAGCCATGAACGACTCTTACTTAGACTTCAAGACGAGTTAGACACAGATCTCATTGCTAAGATTGAGAAATGCCTTGGGTCTTGGGAGCTGTCCTGGCGCCGGCATCCACAAGCCCCAGGGGTTCCATGCAAAAGCGGCGATCCTCTGCTGGTTGACTGCCTAGCCCTACTGGGCTCGGCATATTACCACCTCTATTTGGGCGCAGAGCTGCGCGCTTTGAAGACTTTCGCTCAGAGTAACGGTCAACTTTCATCGCTTCCACGTTACCGATCGCGTGACTTGACGTTGAAGGCGGTCCAGTACGCGGCTCATTCATGGTTTGTGCGCGCCAACCTTGGCATCGCCCATCTTCAGAAAACTGCTGCTTTGGAATTCGGTGCACATTCGCTTGTGACCGCATATGAAGGAGGTAATGTTGTACCCCAATAGCAAAAGAACCATTCCTGACGTTTTGCCCCATCCAACCTTCCTAGATGGTCAACACGGTACTAACTACCAGCTTCTCTTTTAGCACTAATCCTCTCCTGGTGGCTAAAGACGTGCGGCGAGTCCCGGCCTGGCCCCGAAGCTTCATTGGCTGGTTTCGATGATCAAAAGGTACTGAACGATCTGATGAATAATATCACGGAGGAACTTTGTGATCATAATATCGGCTGCAATGCTGAAACTGAGCCATGTTTGGTTCCGCTCATGTGCTACCGCCTTCTCATGCGTCCATGGCTCTGGGGTTGTAAGTTATTGTTCCTCTCGCACTTATTATTAAGCTCTGCAAATCAATTATGAAGATGTCCCTGTGCTAATTTATCTGATCTAGTTGCAAATACCCTGAGATCGCGTCTCGACAATGTTTATAATCAGTTCAATCGACCGCGATCTGTGTGAACCTTAGTACTCTGCGTTGTCATGCTGCTGTTTCGGAGAAACTTTCTCCATCAACCCTCTTCGCAGAAGTGATCCCCTACAATGTGATGAGATGTATCACAGCATAAAAAGAGGACTTCGAAACTCTTGCTCCGGCGTTCTTGGAGCTGACAGCAAAACCAAACACTAACAATCCCTTTCGAGAAAGCAAGTCGGCCTGCAATACCTTGGAGAGGATGCCAGGGCACCAAAGATGGTGAAGAAACCATAGGAAAAAGCCCCTCTACTGGAAGTTAGGACCTTCTCGGAGGCCGTTTCATCCGAGCAATCTGCTGGGCTGGGATGCATTGGTTATCTTAGCGATTGTTGCAGTGACAGGTCGCAATAGAGGCCAAGTTATGAGCTTCCCAGAACATCTCGAACGTGCTCCGATGGGTGCCTGCAACACTTGACTAATGGTGCTCCTTCAATCTCTATATAGGATACATGGCGCCTCAGCATGCATGCGGACAAAAGATTCATCAAACGGAAAAAATGGCCGACGTCAGATCAAACGGGCACCCTGAACTCACCAGCGTGTTTTTATCAAGTACCCCGGATTTGATCAATCCTTGTCAGATCTGTCGGTGAACGTGGCAGAAAGTTTAGACCCTCGGACCAAGGCGAACGGGCAGACGCAGATTACAATCTCGATCCATCTCGTTCGCAAGAACCGTTCTTTGCCGGCACAGAAATACTGTCCACCTTTTCAACAGATGGCTAGCTTTGATTGCCTTCTCATGCGGCGCGGCAATATTCTTCGGGTCTTGCAAGTCGCAAGTTCGATCGCCCACAGCTTTGTTGAAATTTTGGGGTTTACCGCCTCTCCCCAGATTCGAGCCTTCTCAAGCGCCAGGGCCAAAACCCCTACTTTACTAGGCGACAGAATGCTATTTGAGTCGAGGTAATCTTGTCGACCAAATATTCGTGAGTAAATCGTCCTTCTCTGCAAGTGGACGCACGACATCTTCCTCTTACCTTGAGGCCCTCGACGAACCGACGATAGGCATGGTTGTTAAATATATATCTCTGCAACAAGATCTGTGCCGACTTCAACATCCTGAGCGCCGGGGGGAGTGACAAGAGACATATCCTTGTGTTTAAAGTGTGGCCTGCGCTGGCTGACACTAAGTTTCTTGACCGTTCGAGCTTCAGGCAATGGCCTTGATCCGCCTCATCAGAGAGAAACATGTGTATCATGACGAAGGTCCTTTCTGAGAGAAAGCCGTCGGCGTAGGTGTCGAAGCCTTCCGTCTGGGCTATTACTTTAACAGTGAGATATCAATCTACCACTTCCCGGCCTTTTGTTGAGAGGCATGGGGAGAAGTTACAATGACCTCTAATTCTAGCAGAATTGTCAGCAGACCTTGCAATTTTAAACTCCCAGCGTCCATAAATCTGGAATGCCTTGCCGAAATTTGTTGTATTTAACAGAAAAATTAACGGTGAATGGCCATCCAAAAAGCTCACCCATTATGTGGTCCGTTATCTCGAACTCGGGCATATATACTTTCACAACTACGAGCTAGCTCCTCCTTGATCGCAATTTTGCAAAGCTTTATGATTTTGTAGAGGAAGACCAGTGCGATTGTGGAGCAATTGAAACTGTAGCGCGTATTGTGGTAGATTGTCTAACACTGGGGATGGCAAAGCAGTTATTACGGAAGAAGATGGATGTAGCGACTAAGCTGAAGAAAGGGACAATGAGTGAACCGTGGTATCCTGAATGCGGTATTAGATTTCGCGAAAACGTCGCAAAGATCAACGCTCGGGCCGAAGACGAAGAGTGTAGCACAAGCTCAACGAGGAACAAGCTTCGCGCATGAAATAGTGTCATTTCTCTTTATTCCCATATTCTATGACAGCTCCGGCTTTTGCTTAGATCGGCACGACGTATTTGACAGCACTGGCCTTGCCGGCTTTCAAATCCTTTAGAGCTTGCTCCACTGCAGGCAACCCTCCTCTGCTCGTAGGCATTGTGGGCAGCAGAGACATTGGTGAGGGTCTTTGTCGCAGGTGAAACGTCAAACTCATTGGGGAATAAAAAGTTGACATTGCCACCCTCCGGCACAACTTCACGCAATACTTGGGCGCTCTGCTCAACGATGGCGGCATCGATGGCGTGTTTAACAACGCGCTTATTGGTACCTCCGAGGTAGGACTTGATGTTCTTGACTGTTTCCGCAACACCACCGCGATAGTCAAAAACTACGTCTCCTTTGCTCTTATTTATCAGTGTCTCGACAAAAGGGACGCCGTTGCCAGCAATGCCGATGATTGGGTGAATGTTGCAGAGTTGGGCCAATTTGATTGCAAAAGAGCCTACAGCAGTGCTTGCACCGTAAACGATCAAGGGGACTGACTCCGTTGCAGGGATCCACGGCAAAGGTAGCTTGAGTTGATCAAACAAGGCAACAACAGCTGTCAGCCCTGCTAGGGGAATTGTTGCTCCTTCTACACACAGCATGAGTCATTTATTCAGTGTGTAACCCGAATACTGATATGCTTACCTTCAAAAGAGGTTGTCGGTGGCAAGTGGAATATTGTATAGCTCCACGCAATGGCGTACTCGGCATATGAGCCTCCTGGAGTGGCGATTTCATGAAAAGCTGCGACTCGATCACCTGGCTGGTCGGCGTCAGGATTTGCTGTGACAGCCGATCATGAAGGTAGGTTACACACCTTGAACTCAAGCACGCCCGTGCCAACATTCTCCACAATGCCTGCAATATCGTCGCCCTGATTCAGTCCACGTTTGGATCTTCCCATCATCGAATCATCCTCGAATGGATACCCTGGGGCAAAATCAGGAAGTTTCCAGTCCTTGGGGTTGGTGCCCGCGACCACCGCCTTGATCAAGACCTGGCCCTCTGCCGGCTCCGGGATCGGCCTCTCGATGATCTTGATCGTAGGGCCTGCAAGGTTGACTAATTCCTTCATGGCAGTGGGACCCTCGCATGTGCAGACACAGGAAAAGGCTCAGGAGTACAGAGATTAGGGACACGTCAGCATACGAACTTTGAAAGGATATTGATTGTTCCGAAATAGTTAAATAAATACACTAGACCTTCGAACTAACTTGACCGAATATTCGAAGCAATCAATATACAAGGAGTACCTAGGTAGCTGACAAATGCATCCGTGGGGTAGTTCTGAGTGGAGGGCAAGGCTGTAAGTCACAAATGGAACGCTCTGGGCCAATATCCTTCTGCAGCCTGCTTCAGCAGAGAAACTTGTGCAAGAATCAGTCTGTTTTATACAGACCTAGTTACTCACGATTAAGTGTATGTGCGAGACTGAACCGTCTGAGTCTGCTCAGTATCCCCCACTTGCCGTTGCTGCATTCAGAGCTGGAGAGGGGCAAGTTTTGTTGAGGCCTTTTCGTGTGCATTAGTAGAGAGGCACCCGAATTCGGACATGTCTTCGCTGTAAATGAGTTGACAGAAGGAGGTTCCACCCATGTTTCTGCGCCCCTTGGGTGAAAGGAGGGCGATCCGACAGAAATCTGGCCATACAGTTTCTGGCACAAGTGCACAATCATGGAATGGAAGAGGCGAGCAAGGACAGTGTCACTGGAGCTTGCAGGAGCAATTCAGTCTGCTTTTTCGCAACCTAGTGCTAATGTTCAAAGTAATATAACGTCAAAAGTAGGGACTTGGAAAAATTGTTGCGGCGGATAATTCCACAGATCAGGCTTCACTCGTTTGCCGCTCTCAGGGTCAATTGGCGCTTTAATATCAAATGCCCACAGTAAGCGGGCCGTCAGGATAAAGAGGGAATTCTCGGCTAGTGTATATCCCGGACAGACGCGTCGACCCGCGCCAAAAGACCAATGATCACGATCGCGCACATCTTGTGCATTGATACACTCTCCGGCGTTGAGGTCAAGAGTTCGCGTTCCCAAAAAGCGGTCGGGGTTGTAGCGCTCAGGCTCTGGGTAGATATTCGGATCATAATGCAGCGCCCTACTTTAGCTTTAGCAGCCAGACTGTGTGACCTAGGGTCATCAACGAACCAAGTATTTCCCACAAGGACGGTGCCGGCAGGAATAAAATAGTCCTTGTAAATAACGTCACTCTTACTTTCAAATTAGCAAAGTCGTGCGGCATATGCTATGGTACTATGGCTTACGGTAGTCAAATGTGCAAAATGGTCGTTCGACACACTACGCCATCGGAGGACTTCTTTCATCATGGCTCGGATGTATGGTAGGTTTGGAGAGTCATCAATTTGAGGCAGTCGGTCGCCGGCGACGCGGTCAAGTTCTTCATGGGCCTTCTCCACGACTTCGGGAAAGGCAGTGAGACCGAGGATCATGCTGTTGAGAGAATTTTGCGTGCTGTCTGTGGCGCGGCTTAATACCATTATCGAGCGAAAAGGCTAGAGGGGATGATACTCACCACTTCCAGCCTCAATCATGGTCCCTGCGATATAGGCAGCTTCAATCTCCGAGATCCCCATCTGAGGGTAATCTGTCTCCATGAATTTTTCGACGAAACATCCGGTTCGGATTCCAGCTTCAAGCTGTTTCTTGAGGCCGTTCCACAGGCTCATCCATAGCTAAACTTCTTTTTGATGGACAGACTCGTATTTAGCCCGCCACCACTGCAATTTCCGCGGTAACTTCTCCAGAATAGGGTACTTATCGACCATAAACCGTGTTCCAAAGGCTTCTACGAAAATCGAAGTCTCTGTGTATATCGCTTGGAGAATGGGGTCTTGGAGGCTAGTAACGCGGCGGCCATACGTAGAGTATATTATCACACTTGATGTATAGCGCTTCACGTGGTCCAAGAAGTTGTCGGGATCGGTCAAGATGTCGTACAGGTATCGATGAGATTCCAGGTTTTGTTGGGCTTTCATCTTGTCGGCGTTTTTGGTCGTCAGGCATTGATGTACCACGCTTCGAACAGCACGCCAGTGCTTACCATATGGCTACATACTCCCATGCATGAGCGACGGTAGAAAGGTAGAGATAGAAACGCGTTCAGAACATACCATGAAAAGCATCCGATAGCCACCGGAGAGAACATCCATGGTCACCCGAAGGGTAGCTTTATCAAAGACTTCCTTGTCGTGGGTCAGTATTTCGGGAAATTCTCCCAAGTAGTTTAGGGCGGCCCACTTTAACGGCTTCTGGGGAGCTCAGGACCACCCATCTCTCAGTGCCCTGCCAAATCTGGTAGATTTCCCCATGTTCCCGCGCCCATTTAACAGTATCAACGTCGCTTCCGCGAGCATGCCGCTTGGATGGAGAGTGATTTATACTCAAAGTCCGAGCATTTCGATCTGTCCGCACTCGGTGCACTGAGCACCACCCAATTATTAAGATGTTGTGGGGGAGACGCCTTGACATTGTGGGGTGTCGCGTCGATTACTTTTATCTACAATATCTACCCCGCATAATGACTCTTCCGGAGTTGACGGGCTGCTTGTCCCTTGCGGCGGAAAGGAGGATGCCTTGTGGAAGATAAGAAGCCTAGCTATAACAAAGTAACTCTCTGAGCCAAGGTAGGTTTGTAAAGTTGTGTTTCTTTTACTCTGCATCCGCCTACGCTGAGGAGTTTGCTGATTCGATGAGACTTGCCCATGCTGGGCTACCCTGAGTCATGCAAGATCGCTACTTTCTCGCCCCCTTAGATACTTCCGACCGAAATTTGACTGCATGCATTTCTTCTAACCCTTCGGCTGATTGTACAGGGTCTAGGAGGAAAGTCATAGCGACAAGGCGACGAGAAGAGTAGTTAGAATATAATGTCAAATACATTTGTTAGCATCGCTGCACGTATTTAGTCGTTATGCTGTAAAGGTGATGAACGGTTTAGCACTTGAGTGCCTGTCATGCAGGGAGGATGTCGTCGCCAAAGCTGTTGAGCAACCACACACCAAGCTCTAATTACAAGAAAAGTTCAATGCTCTCGCCATCTTTCTACCCACCCATGTTTGCTTGCCCCTTACATAATCCATGCATGTAGCGCCCCGCTACAATGCGAGCTGGAACTTGCGCTTGTACGACTTTCATTGCTAAATTCGAATGACATCTCTCACCAGCCCAATAAACAGATCGAGCATTTTTTCACTGGTAAACCGACCTGTCAGTTCGAAATTCTTGGGGGACGTTGGAGCTGCTGTCGATACCGCAGTGGACCGAGTGCCGTCGGGGCATGTATATTCAGCAACCTGATTCTGCTACGAACGCAGCACTTGTCACACCTTATTAATGGTCACCGATAGAACCATGGCAGTACACGATCTGTCTCTCCAGCTACCATATGGAATTCAAATTAGACAAGGGTTCATGTTGGAAATCTTATGTGTCAGCGGGTTCAGTTCAGTAATTGACTGCTCGTACTCTTCGGCAATATATGAACTTTGTTGAGAAGTCCAGTTCGACAATAATAGAATCAGGATCAAGATACCACTGTAATGAAACTTTGTCTCAATCAGTTATTCATGTCTTAAAATGAAAGAAAGGTCCCGGTTCGACTGAAAGCCGAGTGTTTTACCACTCGGTTAACGTCCTTGATAGGTCAACCACGATTCGGTGTCATTTTGGGAGGTTAATTTGGGATTACCTGGTTGTGGCTTGGCGTTGGGCGGCACGTGAGGACAAAGGCCACCGCCATCGGATCCAATCCGTGGACCACATGGTCCCTCGGGGGGACCCTCCTCGATAGGAAGTCGATATTCTCGATATCGAGATGGTTCATCGATCGGATCCATTCTGTGGATCACATGGGCCCTCCCCCCCGGGGGGGGGGGGGGGGGGGGGGGGGCGCCACCCTACTCGATAGAAAGGCGATATCGAAAATAGTCCACGGATCGGATCCAGTACGTGGCTGTGAGGGTTCAGGGTGTTGGGCCGAGAGAAGATTGATTGATTGAATCTATCTGAGCGAGGCGCAAGCTAGAAAAAGGCCACGAAGGCTGCGGTGCACGTGACTAGGCTAGTCCCAATGTGGACTGCCAACATTAGACAAAGGCCCATGCCATAGATGAACTGACTGAACAGGAGACTTCTGTGTCTCTGAAACTTTTTGGAACTTACGCACTCTAGGTTGATACGCTGACACCTACGACATGGGAAGTTGGCGTCGCGTGAGTGGTCGCATCGAATCTAGACACTGATGTTGTTCATCCTGCGTCAAGTAAGCCCCTGGATAATCGAACTGACCTTTTGTTGTCGACATTAGCTGCCCGTCATTGCGACAAGTATTCGTCCAGTCTGTATCCGGTTGAGTTTCTAGTGCTCTTCGAGAGGGACGTCAATCAGAAACTGAGGGCATGAATGCACAGCGACCATCGCCTCTGTCCTGGACGAGAATGGGGTTGCAGAGCGGCCGCACCAACAAAGGGCTGGAAGGAGGCCACAAGCTCGCAGCCTAATGTGGAGTGACTAGCGCACAGACCCGTAAACCTATTTGCAGATCTTTTCCAAAACCAGTTTCCTCCAAAACTCATAGTTGGGGAGTGGAGCATCAGCAGATTCGCTGCTCGCCAGGTAGACTTTGAGCTTTGGCTGCAAATCTACCAATCATCCCCTATCATCTTGACAGACTAGACGCTATATTTCTGTGATATGTGGCGACGCCAAGGTTTGTAAAGACCTTCGGAAGCGTTGTACGCTTCGTACACGCTTCGAAAGCATATAGTCTGACGGTCCCTTGGACCCCTTCGAAATAGGACAAGTCCTCCGTAAAATCACATTTCCGCGAGCTGTGACCATGTGATTTACGGAGGACTTGTCCTATTTCGAAGAGGCCCAAGGGGATCGTCTAACTATATTAAGCGTACAACGCCTCTGAGGGTCTCCACAAGCACTGCCTCCGTCTCCTTTAGCAAGCCTCTCAATCTATCATATCACCGCATCATGGCCCAATACGTCAGAGGTGTTTTCTTGCTGAGACTCGCGTGTGTATTCTTGGTGACAGTCATCAATAGTGATTGTGAAAGCAGGAAAGCTTGTACATACGAGTCGTTCCCGCTAGCAAACAACGATTTTCTCTATTTCCGCTTCCTCAAAATTAAGACCTTGTTCCTTAGATTTCGGACTATCGAAGACACCAACGCGATGATACTTTCTGGATGTGGGTGGGGAATGAACTGCTAGTCCGTAGAATCGTATATTCTTGTTGCCATCGACTCTATAGCTTCCAATTAAGACCAGCATTAATTCATCAATCCCTTGCCACATGTCTTCACAAGACCAATTAGGAAAGATAGATATGCTAGTCAGGGTCCTTTGTGTCCTAGTACCGTTGGAGCTCCGTCCAGTAACAAAACGACAATGGTCGGGCAAGGCCTGTAATACTTTTGCTGTTATCGCCAACTGCCCACTGAGAAGCTTGCCGTAGACATTGCGCCCTGCCTTGGTAATTGACACATTGACTTTCGCTTCCATCTTCAGCCATTGCGTCTCTCTCTTGTTGAAATAGAGATGTACGCTAGTCTTGCCCAGGAAATGGGCCCAGCTCCAAGAGGGCGCTATGAAAGTCGATGAATCAGTGGCCATTGTCCCCAACAGGTCGGTGAGCGAGCCCGTCATTGGGCGGTCACAGAACCAAATGAGCTCAGTGAAGAGTCCAGGCTTCCACATACCCCGCGACGTAGTCGTATCCCGTAGCATCGCCGATATATTTTGCCACTCCCGCGACAGCTGGTAGTTTATCTTTGGCTTCTGTAAACTGTCGTTGCGAATATTGAGGAAGAAGTTCGTGTCTCCAGAAATCCATCAGAATTTGGGCCTGGCTTGGTAGGAGAGCATCTCGCCCGAGATCTATGATTAATTTCTCATAAACGACACCCGAAGTTGGACGATCCTCCGTACAGATCCAGTTGCTACAGCAGAAGTGGACTTTCGAGTGGCCAAAGTAGGCCAGTCTCGTCGAGAGCTTCTCTTCCTGAAATGTCCATCCCCAGGTTGACCAGGAAGACGAGAACCAATCGTCCACCTCACTGGATAAATTGGCCGAGGAGAAGTGAGGACTTCGCTGGATGAATCCGCTCCGGCAGGTCGAGGAGGCAAGACTGGAGATTGTAATATAGGCACTGGAGAATATCAAGCCCATGAGCGAAAATTCATTTTCCCAGTCCACCTTGTCATCTTGAATGATACATAAAGCATCCACCCAGAGATACGGAATAGAAAGCCTTGGAGCCACCATGATGGCGTCTTGAATAACAGGGGAAAGCTCTTGGATCGGGATGGCTTGGAGCCTGGCATTCAAGGACATGCGTTCGGTTTTGCTCTGGTTTTTCGCGTCTGCAGGAGGACCCCAGCAATAACTGAGAGCAGCATACCGCACCGACTGGCGGGGAGAAGCCCAGCTCGACTCTAAAATGACATCTCCTCGTGTAACAAGGCGCACACTCCCGTTATTAGCTGGCCCTCTAACATAAAGTAGTCTAGATGGAACAAATCCAGGCCACAGCACCTCATGATTACAAGGTTTGACGCATTTTGATATTTCTCTTTCCAACATGCGGAAAGCTTCAGCAGAGGGAACAACGACGGTGCTTGACATGGTTGCATCCGCTTGTTCAAGTGTAGCGGCTTGGAGGTCTGAGAAACTGGCGGTCAGAGGTCTTCAGGTGGCGAGGACTTGTCCTATTTCGAAGGGCCCTAGGGATCTTCAGACCATATATACTGGCAGGTAAACTGTACGACATCGCTGCATTCGTTCTCTAGGTCAAATCATCGACGAATTTCTAAAGCACTCCCTAAAAGGTTCTGTTAACGGTCGCCTGGCTGTTGACTAATGACTAAATTCGTGGGCATTTGGATATTGATCAGAATCCCGAGTACCGATCAATCTGGGGTGTCCTACATTTCATGCTGAGAACTAGCCTTCTATTTTCGCGATAAACTGTCACAAAAAAAAAAAAAAAAAAAAAAGATACACTTGGGGCTTGAGAGTTTGGCGGCCCACCACCGACTCCTGCTCTTGAAGACCCAAACGTTGCTGTCGGCCATAGATAGCACGCACGAATATCGCCGATCATACTTCCAACAAAATACAGCACTTGTTCAATATATTGTTCAGAAATTCCTTCATGCCAACTGATGAGTTCGCTCGTTGTCGGGGCCAGAGGCATTAGATATCCGAAGGTCGGCATTTGATTGCGCGAGTCCAGTCGAGCAAATGCTCGGCTCTCGTTCGCGGCGAGGTGTAGATAGCATTCTCATATGAATAGAAGACAGGGCCGGATTGTTTCCATTTTTGAACTGTGCAACATGTTAGGGAAGTGAGGGATAAACTGGGATGTAAGAGCCATTCTCACCACTTTCAACGCATATTTAACGTCCTTGATGTCGGCTAGAACTACGACACCGTGCATTCCGCTGCTGAGCCCGCGAGGATTTTGGATACTCTCTTGATCATGGATAAATCGCCGTAATTGTCCCTCGTCGTCTTACCCTTGTTTGAGGCTCGTAGAACTTCTTCCGAAAGAAAAACGCCAATGATATCCTCATTCATCACATCCACCCCTCTGCCCATTCCTGCTGCTTGCTTATCCATAACTTATCTCGGTATTCTCATTGCAAATGTTGAATAGCGGCCATCATGCGAACGAAGTTTTGGTCATCGAAAAAAGAGGAGATGGTCAAGAAATATTGCGAAGATGGATTAGCCGAAGAGGTCGAATTGATCAAGTACAACGACATTCGAGGTGCCAAGCAGTATTATCCAGTGTCAACAGCCACCGATAATCCCAAACCTCAGAGATTTTAGAATTACAATAGGTGTGGGCCAGAGTACTTTAGGCTCACAAGGATACAGGATAGCTAATCCAAGCGTGACGGATTCAGAAAGAGTTGATAGAGAAGACGCCTCAACACGTCAAGAGGGATACTGGTAGCTCAGCACGGAAAATCGGACCTCTGGGGCAGAGGATAGTCCCCACCTACGCGCTCGGACTCGCGGGTTTAGCGCTCCGAGCGGTAGTGACACTACAGGCGAAGGAGTGGGAACAGATCAAATCGTATCGACCTGCCATTGACTGGGTTCGGATTATTACCGAAGCCGCAATGACCAACACGATCCCATGCACGAAATTCAAATATCCCGACGCCAAATGACGATTGCCCAACGCCACGTAATAAAGTCCATGTTTACGGACAGCTTTTGAGGGCTTCTCTCCTAATGGCCAGTCCGCAAGCCATGACTTGCGGTCCGTGCTCTTCCACTAGACGCCACCTATGTTATGAGGATGACAGAGATCTTCAACATGGGGAGGGACATCTCGTGATCTCAAGCTGGTCCAAGGAGGGGTCATCCTTGGTGTCTGCTTTCTGTCATGGCCACGTCCTTCCACATGAGATTCCAGCAGCAGTCTATCAGCAGACTCCATTCGCCATAATAGCAAGAACTTTTCCAATGACCACTTGGGACCCGTTGCAATATTGTAGTCCTGAAGAGCTGTCCCGTCTCGAAGAGAGGTTTGATTACGCATTACGAGATGTAACTTGCCTGGTGTTTTGGACTGGGGTCCCCCTCGAGCTCGCCCAGCGCTGGGCGGAGCAACATGGGCTACCGACACTAACCATCGCTATGGGTCCGTTGTACAGCGGCCGCGATGCAGGTAGCGCGAGATGCGGAAAGTCCTCAAATGCCTGGTCTAAGTATATGAAAGGGGCTTCTGGTCTATTTGCAGAATATGCCTGTCGCGGTAACCGACAAGCAGTTGTTCTGGCTAAGCCGCCACCGATCATCTACAGCACAAGAAAGAGATCTAACTATCGAGACCTGGAAGAGCCGATTTTGAAAGGGGTCTTCGGGGGACCCGGTACTGTCCGGATCGAGTACGTACATCCTACAGTCACGGGCGCGGCAACCTTTCAATATCAGGTTTGGCCTCTCGACAGATCAAGCGCGTGGTACACATTCTTCGGAAACCCTTTGCCAGAAGTGCCCGTAAATCGTGATATGAACGACATTGTCTGCAAAACTCGAAATGGTTACCCAGACGGACCAAAAGACCGCAGTTATGATGCAGGGGAAGCAGGATAAACCAGCTCAAAAGAAACGGCCAAAAGCTCAGGAGAGACAAAAGAAGGCAGACTTAGAACGACAGAAGGTTCAGGAAAAAAAAGAGACCAATCGAAAGCGAGCGGAGCTAGAGCAGCGGATGGCTCAGGAACAGAAAGCGGCCAAACGAAGGAAAGCCGAATTGGAGCAGCGAATGGCTCAGGAGAGGAAAGCGGCCAAACGAAAGAGAGCCGAATTGGAGCAACGAATGGCTCAGGAAAAGAAAGAAGCGAAACGGAAGAAGGCTGAGTTGGAGCAGCGAATGGCTCAGGAAAAGAAAGAAGCGAAACGAAAGAAGGCTGAGCTGGAGCGGCAGCAAGCCTGGGCAAAGAAAGAGGCTAGACAAAAGCGAGCTGAGCTCGAGCGGCAGAAAGCTCAGGAGAAGAAACAAGCCAAACGGAGGAAGGTAGAAGAGGCCATCAGGAAGATGGTGTCGGCGTAGAAGGACTTGCAGGTAGCTGTGATGAACATTTAGCTATCAATGGTTCCTCCAACATCAAGGCGGTCGCTAAGTACAAAGGCAGGGATTTCACTCACTATGTGTGCGTTGGGCACTGTACAATGACAAACATGGACTACTTTCGGACGATACACTGGTGTTCCACAAATACAAAATGTAGTCCAACACACGTCTTGAGTGATGCACGCCGCTTGTCAGTGGGAAATTTGCAATTGGGAAGGTCCTTGTAAGCCGAACCCATTAATTCTTCTCTTCTAGATGCAAATTTTACAGGATCCGTCGCATGACTCATTACGACACTGGAAGCTAAATTGTTTTCAAGGCAGAAAAGGATAGGTGGTAGCTATTATAAAGAATAGAACGTACTCGTAGCAAAGGCCAGCGTATTGTTACAGCGAGAAATTGTAAGTCTGTGTGTTAAAGATTGGCCGAATCTATGAACAATCGTGGCCGTTTGATAGGCGCCGTCCTTGGCGTCTTGGCCAGAATCACAAGTCTAACGAATAACTCTCGTTAGAGTGGGCCCGAAAAGCAGCTCACGTGATATATCAACAAGCATTGTGTGATTTTACGGAGGACTTGTTCTATTTCGAAGGGGTCCAAGGGACCGTCAGACTATATACTTTCGAAGCGTGTACGAAGCGTACAACACTTCCGAAGGTCTTTACAAGCCTTGGCGTCGCCACATATCACAAGCAAAGGCCAGCAATGTCACGTGATCAATCCCTGGCTCACCACGAGTCCTCAACTCTCCTGCATCCTTCTCTACAATCGCCATCACAAAGACTTGGTCATTTTTCCTGTACAAGCTGAGAGCAATACCTTGCCGATATGGTTTCATCTTCATGAGGATAACGTTGGTCGCATCGTGCGTCCCAGTTAGAAGCGCTACAATTTCTACCCCAATCCAGACATTTAAATACCCCAATTTGGCCGCATGGGACATCTTCTACTGGGATGACAAATCAGGTCCTGACGATTCAAGGAAAAATTGTATAAAGCAGTCATCGTACGTCGTTGTTCGCCTGCCCTTCTTCAATAGGGGTCAGCAATTAGTATCTAGACTTTTTGTTCCATTCCCGCTCCTTCACTCATTCCTAGGCGAGTTCGTTCAACTTCCATCTCTATCATCTTTTGGCTTGATCAAATCTTCACACCACCGTCGTTCCCACAATGCCCTCTCAAACTGTGTTCCGATTGACATCAAGAAACGGCTTCGACGGGCTTCAGGCTTTCACCGAGCCGATCCCAAGCGCGGGAAAACACGAAGTCCTTGTCAAAGTGCGAAGCGTGGCATTGAATTATCGGGACATCGCCATCGCGACCTCGAAATATCCGCTCCCCGTGAAAGATGATGTGATCCCTTGCTCGGATATGGCAGGTCAGGTTACCCAAGCGGGCGATCTCGTGGACGAGATCTCTGTAGGCGATGCTGTGGTTGTGCCCGGCAGTCTGGCGTTGCTGTATGGGCCCCTGAAGGATGCACTCAACACGCTCGGCGGTCCGAAAGACGGCGTACTCAGAGAGTACATCGTCGTACCGGCACATGCGGTCGTCAAGCTGCCCAATTCGTCTCATAGCTTCAATCAATGGGCTGCATTGGTGACAACTGGCTCGACAGCGTGGAATGCATTTTATGGTTACACGCCGTTGAAGCCGGGGCAAACTGTGCTCGTTCTTGGTATGGCCGCACCCCGAAAAGTGAAAAGAAGATTGACTTACCGTTGACAGGGACTGGAGGAGTTTCGTTGACGGCTCTTATCCTGGCCAAAGCTGCTGGTGCAACTACCATCATAACGTCGTCCAGTGACGAAAAACTCGAATATGTCAGAGCCACATACGGTGCCGACCACACAATCAACTACAAGACGCACTGCAACTGGGCTGCCGAGGTACAGCGCATCACCAACGGCGAGGGTGTTGACCACGTGATAGAGGTCAGTGGTGTAGGAACGATTCAGCAGAGCCTTGAGTCGGTTTCATGGGGAGGGACTGTCTCAGTGATTGGATTTTTGACGGATGTCTCCCAAGATCAAATGCCCAATGTTACTTTCCTCGCGCTGGCCAAAGGCGCTGTCCTTCGTGGCATCTTGGGCGGGTCGAAGCAGCAACTCGAAGAAGTGGTCAGATTTATGGGGGGTCGTGAACTGTCGATGCCCGTGTCCAAAACATTTGGCTTCAATCGAAATGACATTGTTGCAGCATTCCAATGTGTAGCATCCGGCGAGCATATTGGCAAAGTGTGCATCAGTCTAGACTAAGAAGCATCGGTTAGGAGTTGGAGACCAGCCGAAATGACGTTGTCGATCTCCAGAACATGAGCGCCTTGAAACATTCTAGCCCACAACTGGACCACCGTCGTAGCCATCCATCGAATACGAAATACATCATCTTCCAGGATGTCCGGCGTCTCGGCCAAGGAGGTCTCTTCAATAATCCCCCTGATGATTTCCAGAAGCCTCTTCTCGGCTGGACGTAGTCCTTCGACGCCACAAGAGCTTACAACCGTCGAAATCAACTCAAGCCAGTCTTTGAGCAGAAGAGCACATTCGAGACTGCATAGCGAATGCTCGATGCTCCGGAAAGGTAATTTGATGCGAGCAATCAATTCGAGTCCCAGACGCACTGGCATACTCAAGACATGTGCAGCATGGAGAACAGCTCGATCAATGTAGGGCGACCTGTTTAGAGACGGTCTCGCACCAGTGATGCATCGCAAATCGTGCGAGAAAAGTCCTTGACTCAGGCCCAAGTTCGAATTCAGACGGATATAAGCAAGTCGCAGCAAGGCAGTTGCATTGAGCCCCAGTGGTCCCTTGGCCGACAGCGGATCGAGGGTGGCTTCATGAGTGAGCTCCCAGGATAACTGCCAGGCACGGAGCGCAGTCTCAAAGGACTTGATGGTCTCTGGCTGGAGCGATCCTGAACAACCCCGGCGCTTGATAAGGATCTGCTGAAGCAGCCCATGGATGAGTAAATAACTGGAAAACGGAGACAGACCTGCATCTTCCGGGTTTCCTTTGCCGTCTAGGACCGCGCAAAGAGCTTCCTGAAAGCTCCGCTCGACCTGACGGGGGCTCTGGCGCCATTCGCTTGCACTCGTCGACTTCCATTGCTCTGCGTTACTGGGCAGAAAAGAGCCAATTTCATGATTCAGAATCAAAGGAGGTGTGTTAAAAGCGATACTGTGCATGTTTAACAGCACGTAGGCTGCAAATAATGTCCTTCGCCTTTCCTCGATAGCGATCCACGACGGCCAGTCAGCATCCTGTGGCATTTCATCCGACCCTGATATTTCATTCTGCCTGACCAGCGTCGCCAGCCGATTGCTCATGGAAAGCGCATCTGGTAGAATATCCTTGTCTGTCCAAGATGCAAAGGTAATGAGCAAGACGAACGTTTGTAATTTTCCTACACTGTTTCTCTTGTCGCGTATCGAATCACTCTGTCCAGACAGGAGGCTTGATGACAACTGGAAGTCCTCACGACGTATCTTCTCCAACAAAATTGCCTTCGCGATAGAATACAGCTCGAAAGATCCTGAGTATTCAAATCTGTACAGAGCGCCGAGCACAGTCACAGCCAGGACTAGCTCGACGTCCTTCCGCTCAATTGAAAATGTCGCAGGGTGGACAAATGGAAGATGTTCTTGAACACACCTGAAATATCCTTCCAAATTCCGGGCCAGGGCGTTCCTGGAGGGCAGGGCACAACCAATGGGAAGTACTTCCGAATAAGCCCGGACTCTGAGGCAGAATTTGTCATATTCAACGCCCGAGACAGACCACGGTACGGCAGGCTGACAGGTAACGCCATCGGCCGGTTCGTTGGCTTCGAAGTCATCCTCAATATCATTCGTGCGGGGGAGGTGTGAACTGAAAAGTGGAAAGCCGTTCGAAGGCGCGGGTTGAATCCTTGGTGGCACGTCGATCAGCGGAAAGCTGCTGTCAAAGAGCGTGGCTGGCAACATATCTTGCATGAAAAAGTCGGGATCCCAGAAGAGATCTGAATCACCTGTAATTCCCTCGGTGATTTCGTCGGTGGTCGGTTCTGGCGCCACTTCTGCACACGGTGATGAGACGTTCTGTAGCGAAAGATGCGATAACTTGTAATGGCGCGACAAAAGATCTCTATCATGTATGTTACGCACGTATTGCCAGCGTCATTGGATGACAGGGGCTCACCGTCTGGTAAAGCTCTGTCCACAATCGCAGACGAAAGGCCTTTCACGCGTATCTGCCAACTGTCAGTGAATTCGGCTTTGCATATAACGGCCCAACTTACGCGTGCGCTCATGCCGGAGCAAGTGCTCCTGCCGCTTGAACTGCTTCCCACAGTACCGACATGGGGTGATGGTCTTTTTGGGTCTGCCTCGAGGCATCAGGGTGTTCCGGGAGGGTGTTTTTCCTGGCTCCTGTGGATTTAGTCGTGGTATACCTATATGTAAGGATTAGCGGCTATGTGAATTGTGCTCAGCAATTTGCTTGCGGCCTTGTATTGCGACGAAAGAGCTAACATGATGGAGGGATGTGAAAAAGTGTTGTGATGACTTAGCAAAATCCGCTTTTGGGAGTAGCCAGACACGTGATGACTTCACGTGACACAACTTGACGGCCAACTCTGCGGATAAATGGGCGTTCTTCTAGCCAGTAACCCCTTGGCCCTCCCAGGCTCCTACATTTTATAAATACACTTTAGCCTGGGCAATTTGACCAGAAAGCTTAGAATCTTCGACTCCATCACGGCGCCAGCTGGAGCAGCATCTGACATCGAGCCTCTCCTTCTCAGCTTCGACCTTTTATTGCGGGATCCGAGAGGTCTGCCTTTGGGTCGCTTCTTTGTTCGACCTTCATCAGGGGTCATTGCCAAAGGCAAACTCGAAGCATCGGGCATTAGAGGAGAATGGATCTCCTCCACAGTCCACCAAGGGTGGGATCTCAATGGTTTATATTGGCTTGACTCACCGCACGACGTGCTGGTTGTCGAGCTTCGCTCGCCGGTAGGTCAGTGCTTTCTGCCTTCCCTCTCGTGGAGTCAAAGATCGACTCCGAGATACATCGTTTCTTGCCATTCATCCTCGTTGGCGATCAGCACAATCCTCAAAATATGTGTGTCGTCGTACGCGGTTGCTCCGTCGAAGTTCCCGTCCGGGTGAGCTGGATGGCAGAATACACACCATAGACTTTTGAGCCGGTTCCGAAGACCCTATAATACCAGCGTTATCAACAGCAGGGTCTCCGGGGCAGATCGTCGGGGACGGAGGCGGAATGTCCCCCACCGTGACCTCATCGCATGTCACCATAGGTGGATCTACACCACTCTGTTGCCTGTGGGTTGTGGGACTCGGAACTTCCTCTTCTCTGCACAGAGTCTGTTGCGTCCATCCTTAACTTGTCGTTTCAATCTTGCCGGAGTGTAAGCTACCGAAAGTATCCCCTGTCCGCTTGACTGCCCCCGATCTATTCAAAACATGACAATGTCGCGCCTTCGGCCACCGTTCTCTTAACTTTAGGAATCGCGCTGCTCGCTCTGTTTCTGCGGCACTGAACGATATCTGATGGATATCTGCGAGATGATGAAAGCGTTGATCCAAATCGCCGAGTTCTTCAAACTTCCGGCAGCGTAGATGGCGGCAGCGCCCCGGACCCAGTTCGCCCCAAATCAAGATGGCAGGGGACATGCGTATTCTACTCGCTCACATTCGTGCGCTGGTGAAACCTGTCTTCTGGCTCGATTTGAAGCAGCCATGTCGAGTGCGTCGTCGTCTCGACGCAAGGGGCGCTGTTCTAGAAGATGGGCGAGTGTGAGGGTGAGCTGGACGGAGCTGGATGAGCCGTGAATGAATCGTGGGTGTGAGAAGGGCATGATTGGGGTGAGCAAACGGGAGCGCGACACCGACGAGAAGGAAAATCAAAAGTAAAGAATCAGGGCCATACGACCAAATAAAGGACGGATATCATGGGCGCCGCGCGCCAGCGAATCCTTCGAGCTTGATTTTGTTTTCTAAGGGCCGAGCAAAAATTCCGCAACGACAGCCATGTATTTATCCGGAATCTCGACGTTGGTGCAGTGGCTGGCGCCGGGAAATGTGTACCATTTCACTTTGGGAATGCCGGAGAAGTATGGGTAGACACAACTTTAGAAGTAGGTGAGTGATTGGAAGGGGTATTCAGATGGTGAAAAACACATACCTGTCTCTCGCCTCGTCAAACTCGGCATTTAATACTAGTGTTGGTACGCTAATCTTGTGTACTTGATCAACGACACTCCAATCCTTCAGGTTTCCAATAACGGTGAATTCGCTTGGTCCGTTCATTGTCATATACACGGTGTCGTCCTTCTCTACCCAGGCAAACGTGTCCATGATGTCTTTGGGAAACGGGAAGATACGGCATACGTGCAGTTTGTAGAAGTATTCCACGGCAGAAGTGTATTCTGGGTCCTTGTATGTTTTATCAGCTTCATGCCTTTGTAGGGCACGTTCGATTTCTGGAGGCAGTTGTTGGCGCCATTTGTTGCAGGATTCTACCCACAACGGCATGCTGGCCGGAGAGTTGGAAATGATGAGCCTTTTGAGACCTCTGTGGCCACGAATTGCGAACATTGCACCCAACATGCCACCCCACGATTGTCCGAGCAAATCAAAATCGTTAGCGATGCCGAGATGTTCGAGAAGATTGTCCAACTCGGCAATGAACAACTCGGGTTGCCAGAAACTCTCGTCCATTCTCTTCTCGCGGATATGCGTGGAGAGACCCGTCCCAATCTGGTCATAGAAGACGACAGGGATCTGATATTTGGGGTCGCGGGCCAGGGCAGATATGGAAAGAAGGTAGTTGTGTGCCATACCTGGTCCTCCATGGAGGGTTACGAGAGGACGTCCGCTGCGAGAGGATTTCAAGTCTCCATAGACTTTGTACCATGTCTCGCAGGGTTTGGGAAGAGAGGCATGTTTAAAAGCGACAGTTCCCTCTACGACTTTGGTGGTGGTCATCGTGTTGGAAGTGAAGAAAGTTTTGTGGTGGAGTTGTGGAGGTTGATCCCTCTTACAGCTCGAGGCGAAGTCTGTGGCGAGATTTCAGGTCGGATAGTAGAAAATTAGAAAAGAGAGGGTGAGAGCGGAAGAGTGAGGGAAAAAAAGGAAGAAGAAAAAAGAAATGTAGGGGTGAGCCTGCCTTTGCCCTATTCCTATTATCTCATACCAGGCCCGCCTTTTGCAATTCGAAGCCCAGAGCATGCAGCGAGCGAATGGATGAGCTTGATCCAATCTCGTAGACCAGTCTTGACGCGGAACAACTAATTGTCCAATCCTCATCATGAAATCCGACAGACGGGCGATTGTCTAGGAATAGAACCCTGTGTTGCGTACTCACCTTCCTGATCTGGAAGTTGATTTCATGAAAGTTTTCTGGCTGGAGAGAGGGGGAATTTCACGGACATTGGGTTCGGCTAGTCTGACGTGAGGTTTGGTTGGAGGACACGAGGCGAGAAGTGATGCATTTCCGAGTGAGGAGGAAGATCCGCCGACGACGAGGGATGGAAGAACATGAGATCGAGGAACGAGATGGAGGCGGCGAGAAGCTGTTAAATAAACGAGGATGAGGACGCGGGGTGTATATGAACAATTACACAGGTCAAAGGCGTAAACCCAAAAAGAATTCTCCGGAGGGGTAAAATACTTCTATTGTAGCTTGTACATAGATAACTATCCGGACAGTCCTAGTAGGTATGTGGTGAAGGAGGCGCATTCTATATGACCTTACGCATGCCTTGCATACACGTAGGGGCGGGGTCAAAGTTTGTCCGTTCATGAAGCTGCTTTTAGCAAACTGTCAACCAAGAGACTCGGGAGCACTATACAATCAAGGGTTGCCGGGAAGTCTCGACAGGAGTACTCAGTCGTGTTTAACGACCTCTATCCATGCGGGGCATGTATCTGTCGCTTTGCCTGTGATACCCGGTTAAGGGACGCGGACACTCATACATGTGCTGTACCAGGAAGCTGAGTCGCCAGGATCCATATCTTTGCCCAGCTGGGAGAAACTTCGAGGGGCCGGATATCGTATCATCTACCCAAAATGCGTAACATGATACGAGAGTGTTTGGACTTGAATTCTTCGTACTTGTCTCTCTCACCGCTTCACTCTTTGAATCCTTATCCGGGCCCCATGTTGTAGCTTTTCGTGCCTTTGCACACCCCGGACCAAAATGGTCATTCGTCCTGTCAGTTCTCTCCTATTCCCCTTCCCCCAATCGTCAGCTCAGCATCTTCCCGTCCGCCTCTTGACAGATAGTGCTTGGGACATGTGTTTCCTCTTGCATGCTATCAGTTCGATGCATACTAGAGTCGACGAGTCTCGAAGGGGTCTGGTTTTGGTTCGGTTGCAACAGGGGTATGTCTTCTCGATTTATTTCGTGTTCTGGGGACCCGGGTTCGAAAGATGGACGAGAGTATTTGAGATCGACGTCTTCCTCGATATTCGCCTTCTGTGTCGCCCGTCTTTCTTCTTCCTGACCCTCTCACTCTCATTGCTATTTTCAAATCCTCATCTTCAAACTTAACCCTGACGTGAACAAGTGGACATCATGGCCACCACCGGAGGCTGCTTGTGCGGTGAGATCAAGTACGAGTACACCGGTTTGTAACGTTCAAATCTGACACGTCCATCCCGAAGCCTAATCTTTTAACAGGCGATGTTGCCTTGAAGGGGTTCTGCAATTGCAAAGATTGCCAGCGTTGGGGTGGTGCCACTGGTCTTCCAAATGTAGTGGTTTCGCGGACCGCCTTCAAGGTGACTGCTGGTAGAGTTCATCAGTTATCGTGTTGGTTTGAGGGAGCTGACCTTGGCTTCCCAGGCGAACCAAAGACCTTTGACGTTGTCGGAGGCAGTGGAAAGATCAACAAACATTTCTTTTGCGGGACATGTGGCTCAAGTTTGTACTGTGAACTGGAGGTGATGGAGAGTATGACTTGCATCAAGTATGACAACTCGTCCATTTCCTATGCGGATTCTAACCAAAGTTTCCTTCAGGGCGGGTAGCTTGGACGAACCAGATGTCAAGGAAATGCAGGTTGAATTCTATGTTAAGGACCGCGTTAGTTACCAAAAACCACAAGAAGGTGCGAAGCAGGTCCCCGCCTTCGGTTGAACCGAAGCCTGTCCTACGATTCCAAATCTTCAAAGATCGACAGGTTCGAAGAAGGTATGACCTGGAAGAGTGCCACAGAAGTATGAGAACCACAGTATGAAGCATAGTCCTAAATCATAACCCATTCCCTGGAATCAAATACCTCCCACTTGGAAAATCATTTTCGTGGTTGTATGGGATCGGAGAATGAAGTCTCCTTCATTTCTTACTCGCCCTGCGCTCAAGGAATTCATTTCACCTTCTTTGGCTCATATCCAAAGTAACTCTTGCCCATCCTCACACCTTTTTGCCACAGCCCCGTAAAACTTGAATCTTGATCGGGATACTTCTCAATCTGATCCCGGCGGATGCGAAGGGTAGCAGCAGAGAGACCGACGCAAACGGAGAAGACAGGGTCGACGAATCTGCGCGCCAGGACGAGTCAGTACAATCTTGAGCTTTAGGTCAGGAGAAGAGAGCAGCCGATGCAGATGGAGATGTGATATCAACATACTTTGAAATCAACCACGGCTGAGCGACGGACGCCATCGTGATATGAAATATAGAGATGGCAAGATGATTGGAGGCGCGTGGTAACAGCTCTAGGAGTAGAGCTGCACCCGACGTTTGGTTTTACAGATCTAGTTGGAGATTGGCGGCAAGCCCTACTCACTTCGACCCATACCCAGACGTCGCCGCTTTTAAACCTCTCGGTCCCTGTGGGACCGCGATTCTCACTACTAGCACCTCACTGATTGCCTCCAACCTGCATCCTCTAACCTATGAGGGTATACTGTGTGTGCCCTACACTGTAGCTTTTCCTCCACTGATTGAGCTCGTCATTGCATTCAAGACGTTTACGACGACCTCAGAGCCCTCGGGATCCTGGTAGCGCCGGGCCCTCCGATTTCCTCATCGATTTATTCGACACCCGAGCACTCCAGTCGCGATGTCTCCCTCCTTGAGACCCAAATCCAAATGGACTCAGACGAGCATCCAAGACTTACCTACCATCCCCACAATCGAGGAGATGACGTCTTGGGATAAGGAGAAGGTGGTTCGGTGGATCCTGCAAAGAGACAAGGGCCTTCTGGAAGGGCATGATTTGAAATATTTTAAGCAGGCAAACATCCGCGGAAGAGCCTTCTTAAGGTCCAGTTACGACTTCTTCCGTAACGAGTGTAGCTTGTCCCCTGGAGCCAGTCTAGAACTCGAGGAACTTGTGGATGAAGTTAAGAAGGACAATCTATCCAAGAAGAGGAAGAGGGATGAAGCAGACATAGCTGAGCCGTCCATCTCGCCGAAAAGACATCGTCATGAAGATTCATTGCCGCCACTCGCCGCCAAAGCTCGTGAGCGACGGAAACATATCAGAGAGATGATCACTGCCGTGAGCGGCTTTTCCGACCAGCACTCTAGTTCCGTCGATCCCTCTTATCCCCTTCCTGAAGCCGTCGACAAACTCTCCGACCCTGCCTTTAGAGCCACATTTCTGTTCCCATTTGTCGGTGTCGCAACGCCAATTCGATTCAAGTTGGTCAACGGAAAATGGCAATACGTGGGAAGAATGAAGTTTAAGGACCTTCTTCAAAAGATGGAGGGTGTGCGAGTCAGTGAGAATTACACCACCACTTGGCTCTATGGTACTCGGGGATATGGGAAGTCTCATCTGCTAGCCGCCCTGGTGTGCTATTTGGCTGCTCAAGATGTCAAGGTCGTCTATATCCCGGACTGCCGTGAGTTGGTTAAGGACTTCATTGAATACGTCCGGGCCGCAATGCTGTTTGCTTGGGCAGACGATATCGCCGCTCTGGAGGAGATCATGACCCTGGAAACTGAGGTAGGCATCAGAAACTTCCTTAGGAGGCAGGATAACGTCACGTTTGTCATCGATCAGATGAACGCCTTGAAGGTCTCTACCGATAATACAAAGCACGTGGATGAGTGGTTAAATCGTTTCGCTTATGGCCACAATAGGGTCTTCAGCTCCTCCGCAAACTATACGGACTACCTTGAACAGTCGATCAGACAGAATTCGAACAATGTGCTACAGGTGTATGGCGGGTTGGATAAGGTCAGTCAGGGTAAAATTGTCTCCCTATAAGCCTTCTAACTCGATTAGATGGAGATGGAGCAGTGGTGGAAGCAACATGACAAGATCGACATGGGAGGCTACGACCGGAATAGAGTCGAAGACATCACAGGGAGCATCCCATTACTCTTGGACAAGTGCGTGGTAGATGGAAAGATTGATTTGACCGTGGAAGAGTTGCAGGACGTCTATGACAAAGCCGTGGCTTTCGTGCAGAAAACGAGCGAAGTCACACAGGGAAGTTCTTCGAGATGGCAGTGGTAAGTCCGACTTATTGGACTCCCTTGACATTACTGACTTTTAAGGTATTGTGACTTCGTAACGGCGTGCCTCTGCCACAAGCAGGTGCCGTATGGATTGAATAGGCATCTCGACCTGGTGGACCATCGATATTTCTATCGGTATCGCTATCAAAACAACTGGTATGGTGGCTACACGTGCGGGTTGGCCCGTAACGCTGTGGCAGACCAGCTCCTTAGGAAGGGCATTGATTTCGCCAATACTGACTTTCTACTTGCGTAAGACCGCTTCGCCAGAAACCCATCCGTCGTCGGGTTAATACTGGAACACGCAGGACTTTCATCTATCCGGTCGAGGGGTTTAGCTATCGGCAAGAGAATCGTAAGGGAGATGAAGTTAAAGATACTTGAGGAACCCCCCGTGTTCGAAATGGCCGTCACAAAAAGTCCGGTGCAGTACCGACCTGAAAAGTTTCAATTACCCCGCTGTCAACGGAGTAATTTTCTAGATCAAGCCCGAGAAAGACGAGAATTCGAATCAAGAGAAGAATAGCGAGACGAAGGAAGGGAAGAATAACGAGATGAACCAGGAAGAAATTAACAAGGTGATCCAGGAGGGGAATGATGAGACGAATCAGGTCAAGACTGACAAAACAAATGAGGAAAAGAATGGCATGACGAAGGCGAACGAAAAAAAGAAGCCGACATTATTGATGTTCCCCCTTCAAGTCACACCGGCACCAGAGAGCCACTCGGATTCCCGTGAGAAATTCTTCAGATATACGGCAAGGCCATCTCTGATCTCTCCAATTTGATCTGGAGCTACAGTTCCTCTGGATCAACCCTAGGTTGCGTCGCGATCTAGAACATCGAAGATCCACCACGACCGAAACATCGAGAGCGTTACATTACGTTCAAGGGCATCAACAATGACATCTGGGAGGGAGTATCAGAAGTACGCAGCGGCTAAGAAAAGGCTGGAAAAAAATGAACCTAAAGTTGCAAAACCCAGAACTCCCAACGCCAAAGTCGCTACAACTGAGGGTGCCACGACCAAAGTTTCTCCAACTAAAGCTGCGAAAACCAGAGCTCTAAACGATGGGCTGCTCAAGCAGGCACAAACGGACGCGTGAAGCGATATGAGGTGGGCTAGACGGACACTGGATGGTGTTGGTCAGCTTCATCAGTTGATGGAGGGTCAGAAATTGCCAAAGGCAGCGGGTCTTTTGAATGGAGACAGAACCTTGGACGACGAGGATAATACATGATTTCGTGGAGATCAAAGACTAGAAACTCTCCATGTCTATACTTGGGACGTTTCATGTGCACCCAACATCATGTTATAAATGTAGCAGTTATCACGTGGTCTATCATGGTAACCGCTACTACCCAGGAACTAGCCAGAAGCCATGCTGGCCCATGTGAGTAATTCTGCAAACACTTGACCCACAGAGGTTCGCCCGGCAGGTAGTCCTGTGGCGGAAATTAGTTTTAGCACCTCTTCTTAGATCGATGTCAATGTTCAAGCCTTGAGGAGAGAAGGGGGTGCAACTTTTAAAGATAAGGTTGCAGCGCTCGTAGTTGCCAACATCGATGTAGACACCGATCTCCTCCCCCGCCGTACCCCGAGGTCAGCGTTAGCAACATCGATATCGTGAGAACCCTGAAGGGTCGAAGGCGGTGAAACGCAGCGAGGCGGGACGTCCATTATATTTGTGCCCTTGGAGCCGCGGCATATGCGCAACAAAGAATTCTAGCCACAGACGTCGAAACCTTTGACGCTGCTTTTGAAGACATTCTCGGGGTTATGTTTCTCCGTTCTGCTTCACCTACCGCCCTCGCTCACTCTCATGCAGCTTTTTTTCCATCTCGAAAACATTACCTCCCCCAGCGCTCTCGAATCGCGAGAGTAAACAATGGCTTCTTTAAGATTTCACACACCCAGAAATCCACCGAGCACTAGCACCAATGTCCGACCTCCTCCAAGTCCTCCCAGATTTCAATATCAAACCATACACACATCTCTTTTATTCTCTCGAGAAGAATGACATGACTATCGCTGACCTTGTCACCCTAGACCCCAAAGAAATCGCCCGCAGGTGCCCCCTACCTTCAGTCGATGTTCAGAAACTTGTAGCGGACGTGATCCACGGTTTACAACAAGATGTAAAGGGTGGGGTCAGGAAGAAACACAAGCTCGCGGCTCCCGCCAACACCGCAAGCGAGACAGAAAAGAGCGAGGAGAAAGAACAGAAAATCACGAGACACGACAACAAGGTGAAAACATTAGACGGTGTTCTTGACCAAGCTTTCAATGGCGGCTTCCAACCAGGACATATTACTGAAATCGTGGGAGAGAGTGCCGTTGGCAAGACTCAATTCGTTCTGGGACTCCTTCTCTCTGTTCAACTGCCTCCACCCCGCGGACTCGGTAAGGGAGCAATCTACGTGTCGACTGAAGCGCCACTCAACACCCATCGGCTCAGGGAAATGCTCCTTTCCCATCCCGAGTACGAAAACTTAGCCCCAGAAGATCAACCGTCCCTGGATCGTATACATACAATCGTGATCACTGACCTGGAAGTGCAAGAACACGTTCTTCGCTTCCAGTTACCCATTGCGGTTGAACGATACAAAATTGGCTTGATTGTGTTGGATTCTGTCGCCGCCAATTTTCGGGCCGAACACGAAACTCGAACACCTGCCGGCTTAGCCGAGCGAGCAGCGGAACTGAGTAAGCTGGGCAACATGCTCAGACACGTTGCAATCCAATATAACGCCGTGGTCGTGGTGACAAATCAAGTGTCGGACCGTTTTGATGATCCTAGGTGCCTCCTACGATCGTCATCCCCTGTAACAACATCCTCGCCGGCGTCTGCTGGTCCAAATGTTTCGGTAACACTGACTGGACGTCGAAGTGAAACGCAGAGCCTGGACCACCAACAACGGTTTTTTACAGGATGGGGGGAAGAGAAACAAGAAAAGAGGAGCCAACTGAAGAATCCAGCGTTGGGTCTGGCTTGGGCAAATCAGATTTCTGCTCGCATTGTCCTGAAGATGGAGTGTGAACGCCAAGAGTACACCGGAGGGAATATCTGGAGGGACCAAAAGAAACGACGAACGATAGCGGTGGTATTTGCACCTTGGGCGGCTCCGACCTATCCTCCCATTCGATATGAGATCGGCCAGCAAGGAATTGTGTCCATCACGGGCCCGGACAAATCCGAAGAACCGTCCAATCTCATGGACCAAGTGCATGCAGATTTGCTGGACGAGGCGCTCTGGGCGACAGAAGATGATGACGAATTTCCATGACCAAGAAACTTCCGCGGCATGTGCAACGACTCCTGTTTAGATGGGAAGGGGCTCTTTGTATTATGTATGACCCGGGTGGAAAGACGGAGGTTAATTTACAGTAGAGTCGCCATCGGCATATAGTTGATGGCAGAAGAAGGGATGTCGATAGAAAGAGAGCGCTCCTCTCGTGCTATTGGTCTCGGGTATTAGTAGACTTTCTGGGTGGTCCAGATGAGGCATGTCCATGCGATCGCCAGACAGGACAGCTCAAGGCCGCTTCCGATTTGGTAGATTTTGGGACATCTCACGGCCTATACATTCACAAGCTTGGGTCTGTTCCGCAATTTCTCGCCTGTTCTTTCCTCCATTACTCTTCCTTGGAATGGACATCGTCAAGGTAAACGGCGCAAACTGTCCTCATTAGCCACCGCTGAACTTCAGTGTGCTATCGTCGGGCTGGGATCCTCCTTCTACGGCAAATCTTGCACTTCTTGTCCACTTGGTTGATCCCAAAGCGTAGGGAGAAGTCCGACAACCTTCCCACACTATGCGTGCTAGCCAGGGAATACTTCATCTACAACATCCATCCATTCCCAACTCTCTATCATTCGTTCTTTCGTCCAGTCTCTGACATTTATTTTTTTTTTTTTTTTTTTTTTTCCTCTTTTTTGGGAGGGAAAGACCCCAGCTCGACATCCATTCACCTCCTTGTCTTCCTGCGAGGCCAAGATGGCTGCCTCGAATGGGAACGAACATATTGTTCTGAAAATGGTACACAAGCACCCTCTGGATCAACTGAGCAGTGAGGAGGTCAATATCGCGCGACAAGCTGTCCTAGACGCTCGCAAGGCTACAATCCTTTTCCGTAATATCTACACCGCCGAGCCACCTAAAGCCAAACTCATCAAGTTCCTCGACGCTGAACATGCCGGGACCCTCACCTCGGGAACTCCGCGGCCCCCTCGCCAGGCTCGTGTCCAGTATGATGTTGTTTTCGAGGATCGAAGCCATGAGTACATGGAATCCGTGATCGACATTGCCTCGGGAACGGAGGTGGATCATCGACAGGTGGACAAGAACTTGCAGCAATCGTTGACGGTAGATGAGTTCAGGGAATTTAATGAAGTTTGCGTCAAGTCGGAAATATTCAAGAATGCTATTAAGGAACTGAGCCTCGATGAAAAGTTTGAAATCGCCATTGATCCGTGGCCCTATGGGGGACCGGATCCTGGCGAGGTCACTCCTCGGTATGTCTAAACGTCATCTCCCGACTGTTTTTGACCGAGTCTAATGAATATTCCAGGTACACCCAAGGTCTGTGTTTCGCTAAGCTACGAAATGGCAACCCCGACAGTAATCACTATGGGTTCCCTCTGCCTATTATTCCGGTGATGGACACATATAAGAAAGAGATCATTCGTATTGACCGTCTCGCCACGGGTGGCACCGAAGACGGGTTGGAATACAGTACTCGAGCCAAAAAAGTTCTTGAGCATTGCCGACCGGCTGAATACGTTCCGGAGCTGCTGGACACTCCTCTCCGCACGGATTTGAAACCGTTGAATGTACTGCAACCAGCCGGGCCATCATTCGCCGTCAGTGACGAATCGCTTGTTGAATGGCAGAAATGGAGATTCAGAGTTGGGTGTGTGTTCACCGTCTTGTCCTCGTCGCGAATTGCTGACTCTCTATTCCCATAGATTCACCCCTCGCGAGTGTGCAGTCCTTTATGATGTCCACTATGATGGCCGAAGTGTGCTCTACCGATTGAGCTTGTCGGAAATGACAGTGCCATACGGTGATCCTCGCCCACCCTTCCAGCGAAAGCAGGCTTTCGATTTCGGCGATGCGGGAGCCGGTCGATCTGCAAATAACCTCGCACTTGGCTGCGACTGTCTGGGCGTAATCAAATATATCGACGCTATGCTTGTGGACTCAGAAGGTAGACCATCAGTGTCGAAGAACGTTGTCTGCATCCACGAACAAGACAACGGTATCGGATGGAAACACACCAACTTCAGAACGAATCGAGCCGTGGTAACAAGGTCTCGAGAGCTTGTGGTTCAATTTATTATAACTCTTGCAAACTATGAGTATATCTTTGCCTACAAATTTGATCAAGCAGGAGGGTAAGTTTAACATTGTGCCTGGCTATTCTGATGGATATACTAACACTTTACCACAGTATAACTGTTGAGACTCGAGCTACCGGCATCGTGTCAGTAGTCAACATTGACCCTGGCAAGGTCAGTCCATACGGAAATGTTGTATCTCCAGGGGCTCTCGCACAGAACCACCAGCATATCTTTGCAGTTCGAATCGACCCGGCCATCGATGGATATGCCAATACGATATTCACGGAAGAGTCGTTGCCCATACCTATGAATCCCAAGACCAATCCTTTCGGTAACGGATACAAGGTTGTCCGGAAGCCAATAACGAAATCAGCCTCCATTCACGCTTCGCCCTTTACCAACTTGACCATTAAAATGGCCAATAGCAACAAGATTAACCCTGTTTCTCAAAGACCTGTGGCATACAAGTTCATTCCATCGCCTTCTCAATTAATCTTGGCCGATCCGGAATCCATTGTGGCCAAGCGAGCGGCATTTGCTCATCACCACGTCTGGGTGACCAAATACAAGGATGGAGAATTGTTTGCCGCGGGAGAGTTTACCAATCAATCGCAAAAGGAGGTCGGCGGTGTTGCGGATGCGGCTGCTCGTAATGAAGACGTGGAGAACGAGGACGTAGTGGTATGGAATGTCTTTGGTCTCACGCACAATCCTCGTGTGGAAGACTGGCCTGTCATGCCAGTGGAAATCCATCAACTTCATTTGAGGCCGGCAGACTTCTTCGACAAGAACCCTGCATTGGATGTTCCAAGCAACAAGAATCTCGGCAGTGTGGAAGTCGGACGAGAGACGAATGGAACTTGCTGCCACGCTAATTGAACGGTGAATGGGAATGGCTCTGGATCTGGCTCCGCATATGCAAGTGAGAATCTGAGGCCTTGGCGCGCTATTTCGTCATGACCATTTTTCAAAAATATTTCAACTCGTCCCAAAAAAGCTTCTCTTGGACAAGCTCCTCCGATAGCTTCCACAGCTTTTCTGCCTCGTTGCTCGACTTTGCTCGAATATGGGCATCGTGGGAGATCTGACAATTCTTCAGGTACGCTCCTCATCCTTCTATCCCGTCTTTAATACCTAGCTTGGAGTTTGTCGCAGCAACCAAGCTCGTCGAGGCTCCTGCACCTTGCGTTTTGAAGCTGAACTCCCCCTTCTGAACTCTCGCCATAATTGCCTCCAATTCTTCTATCGTTGCATACCTCCCCAGCTCTGTCTTGACTTCTCCCGGATGAACGCCAACAATCAATATGCCGTGGCTGTTGTATAGTCTTTTGGAGAGCCCAATGCCGAATAGTACATTCGCCGCCTTGCTTTGTGCGTATGCCATAAATGGTATGTACGCCGTATTGGGCCCATCGTGGATTCCCCAGACTTCGAGGACCTCGTGGTTTGGGCGTTCCTCTCCTTGGACTTCTTTTCAAAGCCGATATCGCTCCATCTAATACCGGCCACTTCAGCTGTGCCAGAGCTGACGTTGACCACACTTGTTGCTCCTTTGGGGCTAATCTTCGGTGCCTGGAATAGTTTGGGCATGATGAGATTCGTGAGCAAGAAATGCCCGATATGGTTTGTTGCGAGATGCAGCTCAATCCCATCTCCATTGATTGTGCGTTTGGGAGTGCTCATTATGCCAGCATGGTTCACCAGTATGTACACCTAGTCAGGTCTCCCTTACAACCTCTCTTTCCCCATCCCCCGCGCCGGGAGAAGAGGGTGAGCTTAGTGCATGCATGATAGTTACGTAGTCTTAGTTGAGGGATGTTCTCTGCACTCAAGCCTAGTCCATTCACCCTTCTTCAGTTGGATTTGAAGCACGATTGGTTTGAAGCAAGTTGGTGAACATGGTCCAAGGGCGCAATTCGCTCTAAGATTTCTACAGTAGACAATCATCCGCAATTGGCCAAATCATCAAATATCCAAACACTCAGCAGCACATCTCTGCTATTGTCTGCTTGATCCCATCTCTTCCGGCCTAATTCCCTTATGCATTGTTGCCGACGATGCTGCAGCGCTACATGAAAGTGACTCTGCACTATAACTGAGCAACTTATCCAATTACCAGACCCCTACCGGCGCATTTGTTGGGGGGAAAGAGAGCTGGCCCCGGTTAAGGTCATGCTCAATCATATCCACCCCAGCCTGCGCACTCAACGTGGTCAAAACAGCTATATATTGGGAGAAATGGAAGGCTACAATGTGATGATTATAGTCCTGCACAATATTAGGACGAATGCAGCGATCCACCATTCCGATTTAGCTCATGAACGACTTCCTCTCGATTCGGTTCGGGTTGCTAGTAGGAATCGGCGACGGGAGCGCCCACGAAGAAGGGAACTGTCACGATATTCGATTTGGAGATATGGTGATCAACAAGCCAACAGCCAGCTTCGGTGGAGTTGTGCAGGGCAAGCATTCGACAGGTGGTGGCTTCGAACGCACCAATGTCGGCGAAGCCTCCTCCATTCCTCCAGACGAGCATGGAAAATCTAGCAGCCGACCATCGAATGAAGACATTGCGAGTTCCGCAATATTTATCCTCTATACTGCTGCAGTATCCGGCGATGGAGGAGGAATACTCGTGGCCAGGCGCCTAGCACGATCGCTTGTTTCGGGGCTGACTCCGCTCAGATACACTGATACAAATGACGTACGTTGCCCCCCAGGGGCAAGGGGGTGTAGACTGACGACGAAGCCCCACCCTTTTTGGTGGGTCCATGGATCGGATCCGATTTTCCGCACAAGCTCCCATCGGATCCAGCCTGTGGACCATGTGCCCCCGGGGCCCCTTCCTACTCGACACCGAGTGGACCACCCCTAACGGATCAAATATTTTCCGGGATCACCCGTCATCGGATCCAATCCGTGGACCATGTGCCATGGCCCTGGTGTTGGGGGGGAAGAAAAGGGCTGTTCTCCTCGACGTGGTTCATGGATTGGATCCAATGAAATCCAATCGCAATCTGTCTGGCGAACAATTGTCGAATCCGAGACGATATTACCTTCCTCGTCATACTCCACGCGAGTAGACAGCTTGCGATAGTTACAAGTTTGGTCTCCGTGGTGGATACAACGAAAGATGGCTGCAGGATAGCGACGATTGCCGCCGCCTGAGCCGGCGACGTCGAAGCCTTCCATCAAGGCCCAGATACGCAGACGATGTTCCGCCTCTACCTTCGACTGGAAGACCTCGCCGGTGGCAAGCCGCAGTCTCCAGGCCGGAGGGGCATTATTGACGACCCTTTCAAGCGGAGCCCGATACTGCGGACGACAGCCAGGGCGGGCTGTCCAGGCTGCGGCGGCATAAATAAGAGCAGAAGAGGCCATATTGCTGGCGGAAAACACCACAGTTGCCTATATAAGCGTTGACGATAGGGTCAAATGCTGGCAGGGTTGGTAAGTATGAAAAGCAATTCGATCAGATGGTAAGTTATTCAACGCCTTGCAGTTTCCCATTCAAATTACTATGCGTGTGTCAAGACTGGGCATACGTCATTTGTGACAGTGTATCTGTGGGTGCGACTATCCTCATCTTGGCTGTCCGCGTTGCCGCCATGGCGATAAGCAACAGATCGTGGAAAGAGTCGATTTTTCGTAACTAGAACCCTGAATTCCACTACGGCAATGGTTGGATCAGCTCATACGGTGGCCGACGGTGCTGGGTTCCGAGACCCACGACTGCGCCAGGAGAGCAGTTTTGGGATCCTGAACTTGCTGGTTCGGCCGACATCGGTCTCGAGGAGGTCACACCTGGCTGACACTGAGAGGCAACAGTACAAGCAGATGAAGACACGGTGCTATCAGTTGCCACCAGTACCGACACTTAATCCCATTTCTGACCGATAACACTATTGACAGCTTAACCCGAAACTATATCGCGGTCAACGCTCTAGAGAGGACATCAACGTCGGAATCAGAGCTGACTTCACTGGAATCTTGCAACTCCATCATAGCATAAAAGGGCCTCAGAGACTCATCCGAGATCGTCTGCTCTGGTCTGAACATGTTGTGGCTTTGGGAAGTATGGACCTTCTGGAGTATTTGTTGCGGTGGAAGCATCTCATCTGAGACCTGAAAATATAGGTCTTTAGCCTTGACAGCTTCCTGAAGAGTCCATATTCTTCATAGCGATGCAGACGTGGCAAGCCTTGCCCCAAGTTCGAACTCGAGAGGCGCGAGATGATACCGAAAATTGACTTGTTTCGAGGCCGAGAGCTATTGTCAGCATCGCGGTAAACTCGCCCTGTCACGAACCAGGTTCTGACAAGTTTATAAGCTAAGAGGTCCAAGTTTCTGTCAGGAAATGACAGGATTCTTAGTCTTTTTGGGCGATCCCCAAGGGACTGTGGACCTCTTCCTGGCAGATCGATAGATTGTTTTGGCAAAGTGGCCAGATAGTAAGAAATAGCTACTCGCCAAGTCAAATATTCCATCAAAGTCCTATCGAACTTGATAGAGGGTAAGGCTGAGTATTCCCATCCACTCTGCACAAACACTTCTATAGAGTGTGATACCACCAAGAACTTGAGGTGATTGGATGATGAGCACAGACTGTAGGGCCAACATCTCTGAGGAGAAACTTTGCAGCTCCCTTGGTCGAGCGGCGGTGACATAACTGTGTCATGTGAAAATAAATCGATCGCAGGTAGACTTACAACAATATCTGAATCCTCACGGTCCGCTAAACAGCATGCGAAAAGCAGATCCAAAGGGTGCTTCGACTTTTCAAGGCTGTCTGATTTAGGAGTTCGTGTAATGCTTGACGCCGAAGAACTCTTCTCCCTTCCCCCTAGTTTGTCTCGATTATCTCGATTGTCGAACTAGCAAACAGATCTGTCTCCTTTTATCACTCATATGTACGACACGCCAAGTCCCGAAAGTGAGAACCTTAAAGCAAGCACTCGCGCTCTCCGCCACCCAGCCGCTTACAGTCTAGGCACTTGACTTGGTACTCCGCCCCGCCCATGGACAACCAGTGATCAGTTCTTTGATAACGATTCTATTTGTTGAAAATATCCTCCAAGTCTCATACGGAGCTCCTACGACATGCGCCGAGCTATTGATATCTCCACTGTACAGTCTCCGAGATGAACTCGCCAATTGACCTCGAAGTTACCCCAGGCAAGGTTTAAAGCTCTGCCGCATCGCATCCGCTGCAAGGTCTTCTGCTTTTGAGCTACTCTCCGCACAGAATCACGGTCAACATGATGATGCGGCTTATGACTTTAGGACTCTGGGCCTTGACGATTCTGCCACGTATTGTTGTGGCACATATCAATATCAATTACCCACTGGTATGTTCCTATGGCTATGCTTCACTGCCTTTTTGCTGAAGAGATCTCCAGGGTCAATGGAACTTTACTGAAGAGGAGCAAGAAGAAGGTGCTTTCTGCGGTGGAGGGACGTCCGGCAGTGCGAGTGCATGGCTCGCTCAAGATCCATTCATTTCGCTCTCTGGAGATGCGGGAGAGACCGTGACCGTGCGCTTCATATACTCCAATTACAATCCAAACGGCACCGAAGTCTTCGAAGGCTCGATTGACAATCCTGTCGACTTCAATACCACGCTGGTCGAGAATGTTACCATCCCTGACTCCGGAAATCTCTGCGTTGACACAACCTTACCCGAGTTGGCGATTGGTGCGGTGGGCGTCCTTTATATTGCTGCTGTGGATCCACAGACCGGCTCAAACGTCTCATCTTGTGCTACGATCGAGTATATCCCGGAGACTTTAGAAGGACAGCTAGTCCCGGAGACAAATCTTACCTACCGAGAGTTCTACTGCTCCAACTCTACTGATTTACCGGTTGCGGAGACGTCGTGTGATTGCCACTGCCACGATGCAGAGCCACACTGTACTGGTGTATGCTCAGACGAGGAAATTGAGGCTGCTAGGGATCAATGCACTGCTGAGTATGAATCGGGTGGCGGAGGTGATGAAGAATGCGACTGCCATTGTCATGGTGAGGAAGGTATGTAGCGCGATTTCCTGTTGATGGACAATAGCGGAGACTGACTCAACCGTTTATAGAACATTGTATCGGCAACTGCACTGAGCAACAAGAAACGGAAGCAAGGAATGAATGTGCAGCATCCGCTACGGTTTCCAGTGCTACCACTGCACCAACCGCAACTGGAGAGTCTGGCACCGTTACAGCAACCGCTTCCGGGGCAGCAGCCACTGCAACTGATGTTGGTTCTGCTGCCTCGAATCTGGTTTCTATGCCGGACCAAGTCATTGGCTTCGCTGCACTAGTGCTAGCTTTCATCTTCTGTTGAGGTGGATGTGTCACAATCGATAAACGGTATCAAACCAAAGGCCAGTTGCCATGAGTTCTATCATGTCAATAGATTGTCTGCCGCGTTCCATCTCGGTAAAAGATAAAGGCTGGGTGAATGTTGTTGCAGGAATTTGTACCACTTTAACATAGTCCCTTGAAGCAAGCGTTTGCTCGTCGATCTGAGATACGTTTGAAAGCAACGTGCTATGAAATGGCGAGCAGGATCCTGCCGGGAGTTTGCCGAGGGTAGACAAGACAGCTGCCAAGAAGCCCGCTCTTTCCTTCGATTAAGGTCCTCACTTTTCATGCATGCAGGGTACCCAAGATATAACAAACCTTGTTAGCTGGCGAACGTAGAAAGGCGATGACCTGACGCCGACTGTGCACAGATTACGTGCTGAGCTAGACGACCATGAAATGGTCATTTCTCTGGTTCAGCCTCAGCCTCGTTGCTTTTCATTGGGCCACTTTTGGAGCCTGCGCACAGCATCCGCCGGATGAGGCACAAATATGTGATTCTGCTCTACACCTACCTGTACGTTATGTTCATTGTTTGTCGTGGCGACGCGGATGACTATCTGCGCGAGAATGCCTAGCTAACAACATTCTTCTAGCTTACCGTATACGAAACACACATCAACTTCCTCACAATATCTCACAGAGTCTCAAATCCATCGTCGCATTTAGAACGGCATGAAAAAGAGAGGTCAGCTCTACTATCTCGGCTTCGGAGCGGTAAGAATGACGTCCGAAGCAAGAAGAGACCACGATATTTCATGTTGAAAGCACTGTACGGACTTCAAAGGTACGAAGAAACAAATCAGGGAGAATTAAAGAGGCTGCAAAGCCTGTATGAAAGCATTTCCAAAGTACAGAGAAAAGTAAGTCTGCGATCCACAAACTTCTTTGCCCTTCGAGACCAAGCATCGCGGTAATAGCGCCCAATATCATCAACCCAGCCTAACTCTCACCCTACCCTGCTGATAAGGAAGCCGAAGTTCATCGAGTCAAAATTGAACTATACAACCAAGTTTGACAAATGCAAAAGTCTGTTCTCCTCCAATAATCAGCTGGTGAGAAGCATTGTAGAGAATGCTTTTCGGTACTACGAAATCAGCAATGACGAGCTCGATTCTTTTGCTTCCTCAGTCGAAAAGACTGAAAAGCCCGACAGGATCAGTATTTCTCAGGCTCTCAAACATGTTGTGCGCGACTGGTCGCAGGATGGGTACCATGAGTGGATCGAGTCGTACCGGTGCATCATCGAGACACTCAAAATCTTCTTCCCTGACCATGCCCCTACCGGGACTGCGAGGCTTGCCAAAAGCCCTCTAAAGATCCTCCTCCCCGGTTCCGGGCTCAATCGCCTTGCTCATGAAATTTCTAAAATTGGTCGAAACAGCTTTGAAGTCACAGCCAACGAGTTCTCACCGTATATGAATATCGTATACCGGTACCTGACAACCATTACCACTCCGTCATCTCTATATTTGTATCCATATCTCGACAATTGGTCGCACCAGCCTTCACTCTCCGAGCAGCAACGAGGTGTACACTTTCCTGATACGCTCCCATCTATGTCCGACGTCCTACTTGTCGAAGGCGATTTTACGCACGTCTTTTCGGGGTCTGAATGGGCAGCGAGCCAGGACGTGCTGATCACACATTTCTTTCTCGACACCGCACGCAATGTACTATCGTATGTCAACACGATACGCCGAGTCTTGAAGCCCGGAGGTGTCTGGATTAATTTCGGCCCATTGCTCTGGAGTTATAATACTCAATTAAAGCTGTCCCTTGAAGAAATCGTGACCATAAGCGAGGCTGTCGGCTTTGATTTCCTCGAGACGAACGACAGTTTCGGTCCCAAAACACTAGGACATTTGCCTGTAAGAAGCATTCATGCGCCGTACGGTTTCAATCAAAGGGCTTTGACGGAGAATGCTTACAAAGCTCAATTTTGGGTGGCGCAAAAGAAGACCTGGTCCTGACAGCATACTAACAGAAGAGGTGACAGAGTCTGATGGCCACGAAAAGGTATGCTAGATCCTGTCCCTTATACCAGTTGGCTAGTGTGTATGCCAACTGCTATGTCGCTCGCGAAGCGGGAGGCGATTGCTATCAGTCGTCGAGGCCCAACCATTCTGCGAAGCAATATCGACGATGGGGCAGAAGGGCGTCAATGGTTAGCCAATTATTAGCTGATAGAGAGCTCATGCAGACATGTGAAGTACTTGGTACGGTGTGCATGATCCAGCGGAACTCTCGGGCTGTCATCCAGATGGATCAACAAGGCTTTTTTTTCAACGGTTACGATAGGAGTCAATATCAATTCGTTGCTGACCAAACACCCTAGGTAGCAAGAATGCACGGTGTACGTTATACTGAACGTGCTGGTAAAGGAGCTGCGTGAGAAGAGAGATTGAGTCGAGTCTAGTCTGTACGGAATCTTGCCGTTCTGTGGCTTCTCGGAAAACGATTGTGTAGGAATCAGCCTGCATGTCCGATAATTCGTTGATATTGAATGAGAGACAACCGGTCTCGATCTCCGTTCGCAGTCAACGGGCTCTAATCGGCTTATAGAATCGGAGCGCCCTTCTAATTTACTATTACAGTTACGAACAACCTAAAGCAGCGGGATCGGACGGATGGAAAAATACCGATACGAGCGACAATGGCTTTGCATCATCCCCAATAAGAAAGAGATCTGGGCAAGAAATGGTGAAGTCTAAAAGTGAAATCTATTGAAAAATAGTTGGCCTTGCTGCGTGTGATATATTGGCGTTTGAGATTGGTAGCTCTCGTTTCTACGAAAAGTGAAATCCGTTTCCTATATTCTTGTTCGCTTGTACATTGGGAGCAGTTTCAGACTTCGTTGCCTTGTCCTACCAACAATTGGATCATCATCCCTGCAGGAATGATTGGCTATGGTTCAATCTATGACAATTCATACTCCGTGCATAGTACCTAACAACCCGGTGATGACTTCAGCCGGACTTAATCCATTTCGAGAAATGACGGAGACGAGGTATATTGTGGCCATGACGGTTGTAGACACAATGCGGCGACCTTCAACAACTGGAATAAGCGTCACACAGCAGGGCACCAAAGTGAAAAGCTTTCAAGATGCAACTTGTTCCTGGCTGCGACCGTCGTCGGCGGACTGAGTTCACCACCAGAAGCGTCGAGTGTGTCTGGAGGTGTTTGGAGGTGAAGCAGCAACTGAGATCCTACAAGACTGGCCAGATTGATGTCGGCAACGACATGCCGATGGGTCAGGGGGCTATGTGGACCCGTAATCTTGGAAAAACTCACGCCCGATCTTTTCCGGCCCTCCGGTTGCGACCGAGTGGGTATAATGGTGTAAAGACGGCTCTATCCTAATTATGCTCAGTTCGATTGGTGTCCTTTGGGAGGCTTCTGATAGGTAATAGGAGCCTTGCAACGAATCCGACAGTCATACTATAATGCGCGGAGTATATGATTACCGGCAGATCCTGCCTGTCGGCTGGCGGCCCTTTATCTCCCTGTTACGGCAATTTGTGAGACCGTCAAACCGTCAGAACAAAAGTGTTCCCTTGGCGCTCTTCTGTATGAAGCTTCCACCGAAACCCGTGTCAGATCGTGTCTCCAAAAATTGGTACACAAGCTGGAACGCTGAAGACTAAATCCAGAATCAGAACGCTGTTGTCTGTCTACGCAAAGAACATTTCGAAGTATACACTCTCGACTCGAGCAAAATTAGTTGCGTGCTACAACACGAAAGTGTTGGTCAGAACTTTGAATGAAGGGGGTGGCGTTGAGGACCTGCATCTGGCCTAAGCTGGACGGAGCATACTTGAGCCGGCATGGGTGCCAAGAGCGGGGTTTGCCTCCAGTCCTTCCGCTAGTGGACTATGAATCGACCATTACTTAGGCAGCTCGAGTCTGTCATCTTCCATCTTGAGTAGAGGAACCCCTCCTTTTTGTCAAGAAGGACATTCTCATCCATCATCTTCAGACCACATTACGATCCCCGCTCCAAGATTCTCACCATGAACTGCCCATCGAGAACAGACGACGCCGAATCGAAACATCCAACCTGGAACCAGAACCCTCCTTTCCTGGCCGCCGACCTCACGACGTGCCAGGACCTCGACGGGATTGCAAACTCGAGAGAACATAAAGGAGGCAGTAATGAGGCTGGCTGCTTGCTTCCCGTTGTCAATACAAATTATTTGGAAAAACCCCCGGACGTTGCCGTTCCTGCACTGACTAGGGCGAGGTTCTCCTTTGGTGAGCCCGAATCCGTCCAACCAGGCCCTGCGTGATTGTATCCTTCAACGGCTGCGCAATGCGACTTGGATTTTGATGCTGATTATGACTGTTCGTGTAGGACTTGCCTCGCTCCGCAAGACGGTTGCCGGTGGTGATGGCCGTAACCGTCTTCCAACTCCCTTCGTGACCTATGCTCCCATAATCTCCTCTTTCTGGAGCTGGGCTACCTGGGGATTTTCTGTCACCGTCACCTCTCTCCTTCTCTCAGTTCTTGGTAGATACCGAGAAGTGAATCTGCAACATATCGGTAGGTCCTCGGGGACTGATCGCTCTAGTCGACTCTCCTGGCTGAAGGTTAGCTAATCCGTCGAAATCCACAGAAACCAAGGAATTAAATCTGGACGCTTCTGCACCGCTTCGCAAAAGGTCCACCTGCCCGAGGAATGATATAAGCGAAGACCTCTACAACACGCCGCTCCATGTTGGTGCTCTGTTCATTATCCTGTTCGTCTCGACAATGGCATGCTCTTTTCCTATGTTAGCGACCCGGTTTCCTGGTCTGCGGCTCCCGGGACGCTTCTTCTTCGTCGTTCGGCATTTTGGCACCGGGGTTCTCATCGCGACCGCGTTTGTCCATCTTCTTCCCACTGCATTCGTCTTGCTCGGAAATCCATGCCTCTCTGGCTTCTGGACCGATGATTATCCTGCAATGCCTGGCGCCATTGCCCTAGCTGGCATCTTCCTAGTAACCGTGGTAGAGATGGTGTTTCACCCGTCCCGACACATTCGTCCTATGTCTGAGGTTAGGACCAGCGGTGAACGTCCTCTGACTACCGATGAAATTGATACCCCTCACACTCGCAACTCTCGAGCGGATCCCACGGTTCCGCTGCGAAACATGGGGCCTTTGGGCGGGAGAACTTCAAGCATGGGTCGTAGCCTCTCTCGGGTCAATGATCGGAGCGATTCGGACCAGATATCACGCGCAGACGATCCGACAGTTAAAGCCCAGCCAGAATCAACTGTGGAAGAACGTGGCGCCGACTTGTCCGTAAGTGCCCTGACTCCAGAGCAGAGGCACCGAAAAGCTATATTACAATGTGTTCTTCTAGAGATCGGCATCCTCTTCCACAGCGTTTTTATCGGCATGGCCCTTAGCGTCTCGATCGGCAACGAGTTCGTGATTCTTCTAATTGCCATTACCTTCCACCGTGAGTTAGATCGAGTCTTGATCGTCAAAGCGCCGTGACTAACGACGGTTCTCCCGTTTTGTAGAGACATTCGAAGGCCTAGCTCTCGGATCCCGCATCGCCTGCATCACCTGGCCCAAGAAAACTTTACAGCCGTGGTTGATGGCACTAGCATACGGATGCACGTACGTATTCTCACCTTTTCGCCACACCTTCTCTCCGCTCCCCGTTTTCTTCGAGCACCTCTTGCGATCCGAATGCTGACACTCTTCACGCAGTACCCCTATCGGCCAAGCCATTGGGCTTGCAACCCATTCGCTCTATAGTCCAGACTCGGAGACCGGCCTTCTCCTCGTCGGCACCATGAATGCAATCTCAGCTGGGTTGCTGACATTTGCATCACTGGTCGAGCTTCTGTCCGAGGATTTTCTAAGCGATGACAGCTGGAAAGTGTTGCTGGGCACCAACCGTGTGTGCGCCTGTCTCCTGGTTTTCTTTGGCGCCTTTTCCATGAGCCTGGTTGGGGCGTGGGCGTAAGCTGGACTCCTAGGGACAAGCATGCTTGACATCTACCAAGTATATCAGCTAGGGACATGGTCGTTCCCTGCCACTCATTATTGTTGTTGACTCGGTTTCATTTTCACGTGGGGGATAAGGGGACTGCTGAGATCACATTCATTATCGCAATCAAAAAGGCGTCCCCTTTGCCGGAGTGGTAGTTTTCAGGGGGAGCACTTAAGGAAATAGTTCTCGTTCTCGCTACCCTTGGTTGTTGTGGAAGAGACCGTTGGTATCTACGCTAGATTCGTCAATCTCTTGTCTTTCAAATTTCTCCCTTATTTCGCATCCAAAAGTCCTGGCCCTGAACTCGGTTGGACACCGAGGACATTGGCCATCATGGACTATCACGAGAACCAGATATCATAACACCCCTTGGCATCTTTTGCCGTTGGTTCTTAATGGCGAGGTTAGATGGCACTGACGAACTTTGCAGCTAGTTATAAGTAGGCGTGTGTACATGCTTTGGAGCCTCAGAACCTCAAGTTAAACTTTCGTCTGAGCAACGTCGACTCCGTTGACACGGTCGCATAGCATACAGTAACGGGGCTGTTGCCATGAAGACTGTAGAAACACCCTGAGAGCAACATGCGGTATCGACTAGCGAGTCTCTGGATACGTCGAAATTCCGATTTAACTATTAGTCACCATTTTTGCCGGCGATCTGGGCACATGGTCTTTATGCGGCTGGCGCATACCTACTGAGTTCCGCTAGAAAACTTGAGTGAGAACTATGCTAGGATAGCCTTCATGGGCTGATGCTAGATAATACTAGATATAATGACGCCAATGCTCATATTGCGTGCTGCGATAAATCACCCGTTCTTCTCCCTAACGGAGAAATCGGCTGAAACGATACAAAGCTGTTGGGCCCTGGGCAGGATATCGTCTAGGTATTTGTGCGGTAATACGGCCCGTCAGGACTTAGCGATGGTGAAAGGAGTGCCACTCTTTCGCTTACATTTACAACAAGTCTGCTGGTGGAGCTGTGAGGATCAAGGCAGTCATTTTTCGCCGATGTCCAATAGAGTTCGATTCTGAGGGAAATAGCAAGTGAATTCGTGCGCCCTCATCTGCAAGGCAAAATGGTATGCTTCCTTTCTCCGGGAGCGATACTCAACACGACAGTGGCATTATTGACATTCAAGGAGGGAGCGCATTGCGTAGACGGGCAAATGACAAGTGGGCGCCGAGTAGCTTGGTCCATTCCGGCCTTGGTCTCCTATGGCCTTCGCTTAAGGAATTTGATCCTATGATTTATGTATTCGAGGAGCATATTCCAAGGAATTGAGATGTCTCCGTCGTATCGTGGTACCAATGCAAGTACTCTGGGAAAGACTTTTTCCGGGAAACAATGGTCGAGGACATTGTGTTCCACCAGGAACATTTTAAGCCTAGATGTCAAACTGAAGATACAAATTGAAATGTATCGAATGTTCTGCCTGTTTGGCAACTGGTCCTGCCAGATTACCAATATATATAGCCGTTTGGTTGGCCCCTTTCTACTCCTATTCCTACCCCAATATCCTGAATAGGAATGATATACCCCTTTCCCAATAACGGGCCACTGGCAACTTTCCAATAACTCCTGATATCGACCCATGTTTATAATCTACCCTAGTGGCGACGGTAGTGTCAGTAATCTACCTGAACTTGTTGGGCACCCTTGTAGGCCAAATTAAAGATATTGGTCCAGAAACGGGGTTCCAAGCAAAGATCAAATAGCAACCGGACCTTATGTTCCTGGATCACCAGACGGCCCTTGTATTGTATCGCAGCAAGGCCAAGGTTCTGACCCCAACTGGGCTATAAACCGTTATGTCGAGTTGGGAAAATGTACTCTTCTTTCTATCCAGGACATCCACGTTCTCTGATAGTACGGTCGCTTGAAGGCCACGACTATAACAGGCAAAAGTACGTCAAGTTGGATTGAGGACTGCGACGGCTAACTTCGTGAGAATGGCTTGTATTTGTATGGTATTGGGAGATCCTGGAGTCCTGCTCCTGAGCCGCATTTCAGTAGATCTTCTTGAATGCCGATGACATGTTAATCCCCATCGCAATCGCATCGATCATCAGACAGCAAGCTGAGATCGAGGATCGCCCCCGATAGCGCGTCAGATTTCGGCGCTACGGTACTCCAAGAAGGTTTGCGGTGAGCTGTGTCAAGACCATTAGATAGCTTTTGCTGCCTCATTCTTCGGTGGAGCGGGCGTGCCCCTCTGGTTGGCCCACTAGAGCGATGGCGTGTTACTCCGTCCATTCCGAATGAGCGGCATACGAAAACTAGTGCTGTGATAAGTGGGAGGCCTATAGAACAAATCAAACCGGGAGCAGGTTACATTACCTGGCAGAGCCTCAACCAGCAACAATATGCCGACCGAGCCGAATTACTGCAACCCTCGCTTATTGGTATCAGATATTACTGAGTCACTCCACTTCCGACGCCACAACTCAATTTTGGGGCCGCTGGGTGAGGGGTTGGGTCAGAATAATATTGTGTACTGAAACTTTTCTGGGAATAAGGCGATAGCATCATCCAGGGTTTTCTCATGACCATTGATCATCGGTCTGGACTTGAATACAAAGCAATCTCGCTGAAGTGATCGTCAGCATCAATTTCTTGCTCGTGACTGCCAACCTTCACGCCGGCTTTGTGCCATTTGCGCCGGCCTTCATGGTCAAGAAATTTGTAGACAGAAGCGTGTATGCATCAATCAGGAAGATTTGCTCGAGCGCAGTCGCCAAGTGTGGCTCATATGATACATACTCTATAACACCAGTCGGGTGCTGATATGACTGGAAATGGAGGGCTACGAGAGTAGAATAAGATTCCAAGTTGCCTCTAGCCATGCAGAGGCTTGCTGATCATACTCTCCAGCAGGAAACTCTTTAGAAGTTCTGTCATTCTAAGATGAGAACGTACAATGTCACTTTTGGGATGCTTCGCCCGTGTTCTCAACTTGCCAAACTCGCCGCATTTTCCAACCTTGTCGAAAGGGCATGGTTTTCCCGAATCTGGGCCGTGCCGGAGCTTGCAACATTATCAGATGTACGCCTCCTGTGCGGGTCGTCGTCAACAAGCTAGGAGAACTTTATGGCTGTGTTACGTTTCAAGATTGCTTAAACTTACACATGTTGGACCATGGCAAGAATGCAAACGCGAAGAGCGGCAGTCAGGGCTGAGACCGGGGGGTCTCTTATCTCTCCTGCATTGGTACCACATGTTCCACGTTATGGGCTCAAGGGGTAAGATATTTGACGTTAGTGCACTAAGGGGAGATACAATTCCAACCGGTCTTACATTGATAGCTGACTACAACTTGAATATAACAACACTGTACCGGAGAAATCGCTATTGAAATTATGCAAGGGTCTTTCCGGTTTGACCGTCTTCTCCTTTCCCGCGTCGATTTGTCGGTGGTAATCCCGATAGCATATCTTCTTGGGTTTCCCGATTTGGTCATGGACTCGAATTTCGCCCTGTCTGGGGTTGACAAACTTTACGAGCATCAATGATGTTAGGTTGATGGCCGACAGCACATTAAACGCTCGAGCCCCAATTCAGAGACGATTCCAAGGTTGTGGGCCTACAGGAGACACTCGTTGATTGCATCAGGTCAGTAGGGGAAGACCTTGATGCCTGACAAACTATCTAGGACGATCTTTGGAAATATCCGGATTTCCAGGTGTGCATGCGTCTTGGGATAACTGGCACAATGTCGCTCGACTCGAGAGTCAGATTCTGTCCATGTCTGAAGAATCGATGCTAGATACTTTTCCACAAATACTCGTCATGGAGTCTACAAAACCAAGACCATAATAGCCTGCGCGCGCAGCATGACATATTGCTCAAGTACGCATGCTTGTTACGCAAAAACTGACCTTGACCTTCTGTCTACGGCATATGTCACATCTGGGACTCGTTCTTAGTCGACATGGCCTTTTCGGTTTGTGTACTATCATGGCCAAAATTTGGGTTGGAGACAGGATCCCACTCATTTCTCCATCTCGTTGCCGTCCGCGCACAGATTACTTCTTATGAGGTGCCATTCACTAGCTCGAGCCCCTAGATCGAGTTGCAACCCAGTCGAAAGAATTTTTGGCAACCCGCACATAATACACCGGCCCTGTTTATGAACCCCAGGGTATTGACTAGCGATACAATCCGAAGTCAAAAATCCACCAAGCGCGAAAGGCTTACCCACCCAACAATAAAGAAAAGAAAAGAAAAGCATCATGTACACGTGATTCTCTCAACTGCGGAAGCTTTGACGCGTGTTCACACGATCAATATCGTAGGGGTTGCCCTGATATTCGCTCCTTATTCGGTGAAGGGTTCCTGTCGTCCGTGTGGAGGCCATTGAGTTGGACCGAAGGGGAGGACGAAGATCTCCAACGGTCAGTTCGCTGTTGTTGCTAGAACCCGAGTCGGTTGTCTGAAGCTGAGGCACCTCTTCGGCTTCCTTTTCTTCGGCTTCGTCTCTGGCCTCGTCCGGTTCCGGTGCTATCTCGGTCTGTTGTTGTAGCTTCCTCATAAACGCATCTGACTCCGCGGCGAATTTGCAGCGAGCTCGAATCGTAGCGCCGTATTTATAGAAGAGGAAAGGGAATGGAACGCATGCCAGAGCCAAAAAAGAAGGAATCGTCGACGCCCAGTGAATACCCAAGTCATCGTACATGTAAGTAGTGAACAGTGGAAATGCGGCGCCGAAGCAGGAACGGAGGACGGAACTTGCTGCGAGGACGGAAGCGGCGAAGATGGTGTACGAATCAATCAGGTAGTTCATGATGCTCAGGAAAACAAGGACCATGCCGAAGCCGAAAGGGACACCAGCGGCGATACTGACCATCCAGTGGATGGAGGGATAATTGGTCCAAGCAAACCAAAATAACCCAACCGGTAACGCGACTGAACCGATTAGGCACGGTGGCAGACGGGCTTCGGGAGACGCAAATCCGTCGTGGCGGGATAAGATCTTGACGTAGCGCTTATTGTCTGGAATTGTATAGGCTACTGCGAATAGCATTCCAACCATGATTCCCAGAAAGGCAAGGCCACCAATGCCGGAGTTCCAGCCACGACCTTGCTGGTACACGATGGGGAAAGCGGCAAAGAGCATATACAGAATTCCGTATATAAGGGCCATGTAAACGGAAAGCAGCAGCACGATTGGTTCGCGGAACAGAAGGATCCACGGCCTAGATAGAGCAGTCCCCAGTGCCTCTTTCAAGGTGACCTGACCACGGTCGATGTCGAGCTTGCTCAGGTAGACCTTCCCGGTCGCCTTGGAGAGGTACTCCGCGCGGCGGCGGAGGATCACAGGAGCGTATGTCTCTGGAACCAGAAGGGAGCCAATGATCCATAATGCGCCAGAGAATATGGCCAAGAAGCCTTCGACCCATCTCCAGCCTGCATTCATGCCTAGAAATCCACCGATAATCGGACCGAGAACGGGACCCAAGAAAGGTGCGGCGGCAAACAGGCTCATGGCAAGGCCGCGCTCATCGGCGGGGAACATATCAGCGATGACACCGCCGGCATTTGTCAAGGGAGACGACCCGAAAGCGCCAGCAAAAAATCGAAGGATCAGAAGAGTCCAGGAATTCTGAGCACCTGCAGCGCCCGCGTTGAAGGCCGTCAGAGCAGCATACGTTCCAATGAACAGCAATTGGCGCCCAAACAGCTCGCTCATAGGAGCCCACAAGAGAGGTCCGACGGCAAACCCCAGAACAAAAAGTGAGACACCGAGCGTTGCCACTTCACTGCCAATGTGAAACTGCGCCATGATCTCCTCGATGCCGCCGGTATAGGCGGACGAAATGAGCGCTACGGCCAGTGTGGCGATCGCGACTTCCATCGTGATTCCCCATTTCGCTATTTTGCTAAACAGCATAGGATCGCGAGGGTCGTTGGGGATCCATTGGACGACATAGGGATTCGAGTCCGTGCCGGATCCTGCGTATGGGTAGGTAGCTACTTCCGGTGTCACACCACCCTGATCCCAAACCATGCGCCAGAAAGGAAGGCGGCCGGCGTTGACGGGCTCGATCTCGTTATTGGCCTCGTTGCCCGCGTTGCCCGCATTGCTGCTCTTTGGTCGGCCCATTATGATGACTTGCTGGCCTCGAACAGCCACATAAAGATTTGACGGATAATATCCGAGTCAGCGAGCGTCTGTGTGACAATCCTTAAGGAATGTACAGGTATAGGAGACCAGTCCACGAAATAGGCGAGACAGATTCTCCTGGATGTCTGCAGTGGACAGGGATAATACGGAAATCGAACGGGAGAAGGTGGTTGAAAAAGTGACAACGATTTAATAAATCGGTTTGAGAGCTTGGGGACGTGTATTTATCTGTTGATATCCCAATGCGTGACATCATGCTTCCCGAAAATTGCCTGGGACACACTGCAAAGGCTAAAGACGGCAAAGCAACCGAGATTTAGCAGCCCTTATGCTCTACTTAATGCATGTCATAATCAGGTACGGCCGCGCACAAAACATGTGCGGAGTTCGGCTTCATTGTCATGCGGGATTTACTAATTAGTACACCGTCTTACTAGTCCGTACACTGATGGAAAATCCTTATTCCGTACGCCAACCTGCTGTTGCCTCTCTGTTCCTTACTTGCCCGTGCACTCTCTTAGGCTTTGTCTCGGACCCCGTGGTATGGCATGCTTCCTTACATAATCTGTGCTCGTAGCACTCCGCTACAGGAGAAGTCGAGGTATTTTTGAACCTAAAAGGGTATGAGTACAACATCATTACTAACTATTGTGGCGGGGCGGCGCTACGTGCATGGATTATGTAAGGGGTAAGCAAACATGGGAGGGTAGAAAGTTGGCGAGTGCATTGAACTTTTCTTGGCAAGTTTTTTTTTTTAGAGGATACATACACACAGAAAAAAAAAAGAGAGACAGCGCATAGGAAAAGGAAGTAATTAGAGCTTTGCGCGTGGTCGCTCAACGATTTCGACGACAACCTCCTCCCTGCATGACAGGCACTCAAGTGATAAACCGTTCATCACCTTTACACTATTTTTTTTTTTTTTCGAAGTACAACGTCTCCAGGTTTTTGAACATAAATACCATCAATGAAAAAGACTGTGATTCCCAAGTCTGCGGGGCTTTCTCCAACATTTTTTTTTTATCTGTGGCCCTTATGCTGTATGAAGTAGCCAAGCCCAGCCCCATCTTTTCATGTGGGGAACTCTGTCATGCCCATCTTTGGGGAGCGGGGTGAGTTTAGCTCTCCACGTTTGAGACACGAGTTTTATGTCTTCGGCATATCTTTTTTCCACTTTGCTCCAATCATGGGGTTAAACTCTGATGAGCTGGGGGTTCTGGTGATATTGGACGACCCCCCAAAGATCAGCCCGTGGAGCGGTGCTGTGGAAAATATGATACTGGGTGAGGGAGGCCCTTGGAACTTCATCTCGACCTTGTTTCGTCTTCGCCTCGATTGTTCGCCATTCAAACTTCGATCAATATCCTTCACGCAATGACGAATAGGACCATCATGTCGACGCTTCGTGCCGAAAATCTCCCAATCATCCGCATTCTCCTCGGCAGTGTCCTCGTCTTACCACTGTTCTTCATCATCGGTTTCTATCTCTGGGTGACACCTAGTACTTTGAAGGATTCTCGTCGGAAGCATCTCCCTCCGGGCCCTCGAGGGTTGCCATTCCTCGGAAACTTTTTCCAATTATCTGATGCCGAAACATTTCGCTTTCAAGCACAAAAATGGGCGAAGCAATATGGAGAGGTCTTTTACACCAAAATGGGAGGAGCAGATTACATATATCTTTCTTCACCAACGGCAGTCAAGGAATTGATGGATAAGAAATCTGCCATCTACTCATCAAGACCACCAGCACCTCTCGCAAGCGATGTCGCATCTGCTGGTCGACGTCAACTCTTCATGCCTTACGGGCCAAAGTATCGGGTCGTGCGAAAGATTGCTCATTCGTTGCTGAACATTACTGTCTCGACAAGCTATCAGCCGATTCAAGACCTGGAATCCAAGCAACTGATGTACGACCTCCTGCACGATCCCGAACATTTTTATGATCACAACCGACGATATTCAGCTAGTGTCATTCTTACCGTAGCATACGGTCATCGCATGGCAGATTGGGACAATCCACTTGTGAAGAAGATTTACAGCGTGGTCAACAATCTCCAACAGTTCTCGGCGCCCGGTGCATTTCTCGTTGATACATTTCCATCACTTCGACACTTCCCGCAATGGATGTTTGGCAATTGGAAATCCTTTGGCCAGAAATGCTTTGCCCATGACTCAGTGGTCTACCTCAAGCTCTGGGGAGATCTTAAAAAAGAAGTCAATGAAGGAAAAGCGAACCCATGTTTCGCCAAGGATTTCTACCTTAGTGATCCTGAAAAGGTCGGATTGGATTCTCTGCAGGCAGCATATCAAACAGGGGGTCTGGTCGAAGCAGGCTCTGAAACAACATCAGCATTTCTCAATTCATTCATCTTGACCATGACATGCAACGCGCGAGTCATGCAAAAGGCTCAAGAGGAAATTGATCGTGTTGTGGGTGAGGAAAGGTTACCAACTTGGGCGGATGAGCCGAATTTGCCCTACTTGAGAGCGATTATCAAAGAACTGCTCAGAACCAGGCCACCCAACAAATTTGGTATGCAACACTACACAACGGAGGATGATTGGTATAATGGCATGTTTATTCCGAAGGACACGGTGGTTGTTTTAAACTGGTGGTAAGTCCAAGAGTTTGCCTTGATTTGAAATTTCCCCTTTCCCCCTTGCTCATTTTTGTCTTTCAGGGCAATCAACTACGATCCATCCCATTGGGACCGACCAGATGAATTCATGCCCGAACGTTATATTGGATACGATCTTCCTGCTGCATCTTATATCAATATCGCCGACCCAAATCAACGAGATCACTTCTCGTATGGGGCTGGAAGGAGAGTGTGTCCAGGTGTTCACGTGGCTGAGAAGTCATTGTATTTGAACATTGCACGTGTATTATGGGCTTTCAATATCAAGAAGAAAATTGGTAAGGATGGAAATGTGATTGAACCAAACAAAGCAATGGTTCCTGGCTGGATGACAATCCCACAGCCTTTCGAATGTGACATTACCGTGAGATCGGAGAAGAAGAGGCAATTAGTTGATCAAATTTGGGCCGATGCGAAGAAAGGACTGGAACAGAAAGGCTGAGTCGCTAACATTTCTTTTATTTTCTTTTTGTACGGCGACTGTCTCCCCGTACTAGCTATGTACACTGTCATAGTCCCAAAAGCCAGCCTTGCCCACTAAATCGGGTTTTAAATTTCTCCTCGAAAAAGACGGCTAGGAAAACCTGTGCTCAGTTCACTTATCACCAACTGCTCCACGGATGTGCCACGAGGGAAGGGTTTCTTTAGACAAAGCGAGAACAAGATCAATGATATACCGGGGAGAGCGCTAGTACAGAGCGCGTCGATAGAGGGGGAAAATATTATTAGCTGGATGGGCTTGTAGTACGAACCGAGTTGACGACGTTATGGATTCATGAGCAGATTCATATCTATATAGACACATACCGACTTTTGATGTGTTAGTCCTATGCATTGATGCATTGGCAAGCGAGGCGGAAATGTGATTGGTGCATCAGAGGGCCAGTCCTACTCGAGGGATATAGTTCTCCGAGATATGTGCGAAGCGTACAACGCCCCTCCGAGGGACTTTCTGTACATGGAGAAAAGAGCTTTGTTTGTCCGCCATCAAAAGATACATGAACGTGTCATCACGGTCAATATGGTTGGACGGATCGTCCTGACCTTGCATCACCTCCTACACTGCTCACGGTTGTTCCCGAAACAATCCACTTCTGCGCTTATGTCTATGAATGAAGCAATCTCTACGTCCCCGTCGTCAACGACATCGGCGTGAGTGAGACGGGACAAAGAACCTGGACTACATATCTGAAATTGTCAGCACGGGAACACCGATCTCTATTCCAGCTCAGAGACGCTCTCCTTTCGCCCTTGACCGCAACTCAGATCCTCAGCACGGAGCCACGCCGAAAAATGATAAATCGCCTCCCTTTGATCAAGAACGGCGTGGGAGGTCAAGATATATGTCATTTCTGGTGCACACATCGGACTCTCATTAAGGCGAAATCGGTGCCTTCACATTCCCCTTCGCCGCCCCCCCCCCAGGGAGGGGACAGCGCCGGCAAGACGATGGTCACAAGGAGAAAAGTGGACTTAAGGGGACTCGGGCAGCATGATGGCATATATATTTCCGGTATTAAACTCTCAGGATGTGGAATGTAGCAATTGATTCAAGGCACGGAAACGCAATTTCAACCACCATGTGGATGTGTCCATGTAACGTATGACAGAACAGGTAAGTACAAAGTCTCCTGGTCAAGCTAGTCACGTTCAACGATCGTCGGCTCCGGTGGTTATTTGAACACCTTCATTACACAGGATGATCAGCAGAAAATGCTAGGAATCATGGTAGTTGGCAGCAGAACCAATGACAAGCACGATGTGGTTTAGGTGCTGAAACCCGATGTTGAACTCTGCATAGAGTGCCAAGTCGTACGCAGATCCGGTAGACTTACATGTATTGCTGACAGGAATTAGGAAGGTGAGCTAAGTTCGGTCTTGGGTATATATCGCTAACTCTCTATTTACCCTTCTCCACGTTTTAGTCCTTCTTTGCTTCTGAGGTTTTCTCGTCCCCACCATGTATGGAAATTCGAATTGAACCCTCCAAATTCCTCCACAAGACAGGAATTGTGACCACACATTGATTTAGGATTGATAGGACGCGATCTAAATCATCAAGTAATTAGCCGAGGAACTGACCCAAAAAACCAATCCGTTAGTGGACGTTGGTACGGGCCGCCTTAGCGCAAAGTGGAGTCTCCCAACCAAAAGAGACGCATGTCAGCATGGGAGAGCAGCATTTGTCTTCCGGTTTCCCACAGGCCATTGGAGGAGAGTAAGAGCGCAGCCGGATAAAGCACGATACTCGGGTACGACCTCAAGTTCGATCAATTCGTTGGCGATCGTGACCCGTAAGGCTCCCCTGCATGGGAAGGCTGCAATCAAGGTATCTACGGGCCGGAGACACCCAATCACAGGCTCGATATGCTGCACAGGATCTGTGACGAAAAGTTTGTCTCTTCTGCGGGAGATTTTTGCGTTTCACAAGAACGCGGTATACTGTTTTCGAGCACGTTGTCATCTCCCCTTACACAAGTGGTAAATTCTCACAACATATCCTACTGAACAGCAACTCACGGCTATTGTTGGGCAGGTCAGCCCTCTTGCATGCCGCCATTAACGAGAGTAGGTTCTTGAGGGCCTTCTCTACTTAGTTTAGAAGGACTGAATCACGACTCCTTGACCTGCACGAACATACTCCTGAAGCGTGATGGAAAGATCAAACTTGGTCAGCGAAAGGTAGGTTATTAGCTTTTGGTTCGTGGACAGAAGGGTGGTAAATCAAGGGTGCTGCGGCGTTGCAGAAAGATCCAACCCTTGTGACATCAGAGCTGTCGGCTACATTATAATGAAGCGGATGCAAAAATATGCGAAAGAGGACAGAGCTAGCAGCTGATTCTCTCAGCACCCCGTTACTCAACCATTCATGGGGCAAGGAGACTAGGAGTTGCTGGAGGAACTGGCGTCGGTCTCTATGCACTGGGCGGACAGGTTTCACACATGAGAGAAGAGCTTCGCACCGAGCAGTTGTTTGTGAATCGCACTTTAACTTACTGAAGTATTGCACACCGTGATGTTAGGTTAAGGAGTTCCTTGCTCGAAAGGCTGGCAGATCAAGCGTCTCCTCGAAACCCCGTTTCAGTCGCAGCCTTAGAAGGACGATCAATTGACAACAAGTTTTCTTCATCATCTTTGCTCCTTTGCTGCATCCTGGGATGTCGTAGGGTGGATACCGTCAGGTTGCCTCGAAATGATATGCTCGAGAAGTGAAAATGGGGCGCAAATGTCGCAGAGACTTTGAAGTCGTTGTTTCCAGCCTTTAGAGTTGCGAATACTGCCCTATCCCTTGCCAACGCCTTTATTTATCACGAACGTTCAACCGCGGCTTCCTTTGGTGTAGGCCCTTCCTCAAGGGCACATCCATAACTACCATGATGATCTAGACTAGTGTCCTGCCTTTCTACTCCAAAGTGGAAGAGAGTGGGTCGCGGCTCCGTTTGCCTCCTTCAGCCTGTCCTCGTCCCAGTATCCATTCTTTCGTCTTCAACTTCTGTTCTCTGTTCCTCAGAAATTCATCTATGATTCCCCTGTAATCTGCCGCGCCGTAGGGTTCGAGGTATTCCCACCACCAGCCTTTCATCCACTGCAACCAGCCGATCTTCTCCATCGGCACCACTCCACCGTCCCGTTGGCGCATTCGCGTCCGCTTACGCTGCCAGTCAATCCCCAGATCTTGGCAGAGGAGGTCGAGGTAGTTTTGTGCCTCGGTGAGCAAAGACGGGGAACTTGCCCCACGAAGGCCATATCGGCGCTCTTGGTAGGCTTGACCCATGCAAATCTCCGCATCGGCGAGCAATTTGAGATCTTCGGGCGATAAAGAACTACAGGTCTTTGTGTTCTTTGAATTTGGTCCCAACGGTGACGGTATGGTCAATCTATCCGCGTCTGCGTGGTCAAGGAGAGGCATTGGTGGCTGCACGAACAGATCCTCGAGCCATGCGATGCCCCAGAGTGCAGACAACTCGGATGTCAGAGCTGTTTGAGCAGAGGAAATGAGCCCGGCAAACATGAGCGTACGGTCACCTGTTGCGAAATGTTGCGAGGGAATTGTTAAGCGGTAAAGACCCCATCGGGTGTGCGCGAGGGCGGTGGCAGGATCTTGCGGTTGAGCAGGAGTCTGATTCAGCGTTGCCGGGAAAAGTGCTCGAATCTGACGGTCGTAGAAGTCTCGAGATGGTAGAGACGAGGTCACCGGAGTTACAGTGGCTCGGGTCCGGAGTTCTCCATTTGCCATTGTTGATGTCTCCCGACATTTGTTGATAGAAGTGCTACTGGGATGGGTAGGCACAGGGAGACCTAAGCGCGATGCTTCTTCCGGTTCAAAGTAATCAAGCCCTGGCTCCCAGCCTATAGACCAGATGACAGCATCAGCCGGAAGACGTCTTTGTCCCTCTCCCTCTTCATCGATAACGACTTCCCTTCCTTCTAAACGCAACGGCTTTGCACGGTAGACAGTCACCTTCTCAGGATTGTCCTCCTGCAACGCCTCCAGAAACGGATGGCCCTTGTTGATCGTACTCAAGTAGGGTATATAGAAGTAGATTGACTTCCGCTTCGGTTCGAGCTTCCTCGTATTTTGACTCTTATCGTAATGCGCATCCTTCCAGACCACATTCGTCATTAGATTTGAAACGGTGTTGACCAGCCATGTGCCTAGGCTCCACGACCCGGAGTGTAAAAAGCGATACCAAAATCCATTGGTGTTCCAGGGCGAAGAGGAGAAGGCTGAGAGGAGCCTCGTCAGCGATATTTCGAGAGGATTGGGCCTTGCTTCAAGGTCTAAGATGAGCATTGGTGCGCCTTGCTCTGATGGACGGACGAGCCAGTGGACACGCTTTTCGCTAGCGAGGAAGGCAGCGCATGCTTCCACGGCGGACTTGCATCCGCCAACGACCACGACGTCTTTCACCGTCGGATCTTCGGAGATGTTTTCGTGCATCTTGCCTAAATCGCGTGAGTGGATTGACGTGCCTTTGTAATGGTCTGCTGGGAGAGGAATGGCTCTGGGCGTCGAATACAATCCGGTCGCAACGATAAGTTTGTGACACTCTAATATCTCACCAGCAGAAGTGAGCACAGTCCACCCCGGCGGAGAAGGCGGCACCCGTCGGCGAGCCTTGACGACCGTCGTTGAAAACCGAATCTTGTCGTAGACATCGAACTTACGGGCATAGGCTTCGAGATATGCTTGAACTCTGGGCCCTGCAACGAGCGAATACCGGGGGTGTTCATCGTCGACCATTGAGAAGTCTGACATCTCGTAGAAGCCATTGGGACCCTGGAGCATCAATCCCGGGTAAAGGCGATCATTCGCCCATATGCCGCCTGGTCCGCTTGCATTGTCAAGGATGACTAGATCAATTGGCCGACCGAGTTGCTTGGAGACTTGGAGGTAAGTTTTGGCGGCGACGAGGCCGGCAAGGCCAGCGCCGATGACTATGACGTGAGTTGGCGACGACATGAACTCTGCGTGTGATTCTCTGACGATGTCTTGATCGTGAATCTTGACCTGTCAGCCCTTGAAGTATATAGAAGATTCCAATTCGAGTGTCATGGAAGCCGTCCAAGGTGGCTAGGCTGCACCTTGATAGGGGGCCTAATATTTCATACCCTGGGCAGTCGAACTATCAGGTATTGAAGGGTCAAGGACGAAGACCAAAAGTCTCCGTGGTTGTGCGCCTCGAGAGACGCACGCGGTAGACTATGTAGGCCTTTCTCCGTAAAACCAAGGGATATATTGGACAATATCAAGGAGAACGCAGAGGAGTAGAAGGGCAAGCGTGATTCAATGAGAAATTAATGGAATTGACAGTCCTGTATGATATCGAGCGATGATGTGACATAAGCCGGCTTCTCAACCGGGGCTTAGTGCCTTGGCATGGGGCGGCCTGATAGAGTAGAGTATTATCTCAGGGCAGAATTTGTAATCATACAAAGGCGTAGGAGCCGGGCAATGATCTAAATGACAACGGGGTATTCCATATAACATCGACTAATCGCGCTTTGAGGAGGCATCAATGCAACATGCTCCTCGCAGGCGATTCAAAGAGTGTCAGCTTGCTAGCTTGGCATATTTGTCCCAATGTGAGTCGGGGGTCGTCCCGTGACAAAACCTGTCTTCGCTTGTGATTTTACGGAGGACTTGTCCTATTTCGAAGGGGTCCAAGGGACCGTCAGGCTATATACTTTCGAAGCGTGTACGAAGCGTACAACGCTTCCGAAGGTCTCTACATGCCTTGGCGTCGCCACATATCACATCCTAATCAGACTTTTGCACACAACAACCGACGGTTGCGTGCCATCCACACCGAAGTCAAAGGTTACGAAGAAAAGATGTTATAAGGTGTCCCGTTTCCTGTTTCGAGCTTCTGCCACTAATGTATTCTTTGCTCCCACGAGGGCTTCTTTTCGAAACTATCCACGGATCAACCCATCCAGCGAGGTTCATGTTTCGCAAAACTGGCAACCGTTATTTGTTACCCCTGAGAAGTATGCCGAGAATGCCAGTACACGGCATCGGGGCGAAAATTTGGCATCAACTAATGCTATCTCCAATGTGGCTGACAGAGACTCTTGCGGCAAGGCTTCACTCACTGAACCGAACTCCACGAGCACATCCGGTCGGTAGTACTCGATGCGTTGCAAACATGGAAGAAGCAGCAAATAGGAAACGGGTTTATCCCACCTGATTGGAAGGAAGAGACCCTTGCAAAATCGCCTTTTACCCGGGTTCGGAAGAATGCTGGCGTCAAAACTTGGATTCGAAATTTAGGCATAGAACCAATAGTTGTCCCCTATCACCGTGAAGAAGCAATTAAGTTGGCAAGAGGAACCCAGGGTCCCACCGTCTTGGAATGGGCTAGTTAGAAGAGTCGCAGTTCAGAACGCCATAGCGACCAATCACAGCGCCACAATGTTCAAATGGAGCCATTTGGGTGAGACAATACTCGTCATATGTGGATGACAGTACCACGCATGAGATTTATTTGTGATCCTTTGCCGATGTGGTCGATGTGGGGAACAGCTTGCATAATGTGTGCTCTTATAACCTGTTGAGCAATTCTGAGGTTTGCCAAAACGGCAAGTCTTTTAAACAACTGGCTCAAGACGGGACATGTCCTCGATGGAAGGGTTGTTTCTGACTGGTTCGCACAACATGGTGGCTTTTACTTCCATATTGGCAGGTATGGATATGACCATGCACTACTCCCGGCCGTTTTGGGGCAGTCACAGTGAGTTTCTGGTTGAGGCCGTCCGGAACGGCTTACTCGCAGAATCTAGGCTTACCGAAATGGCTACACGACTTGTGGCTGCTTGGTACCCGGACGGACAAGCTCCTGGTTATCCTCCTCTTGCCGTAGGATTGCCAATCAGTTTTACAGCAGCACATGAGCCGGTGCAAACCGGTACTACCGAAAAGCACCATCGAATGCCATGCGCTAATCATCAAGAATTTTAACAACACTCTGTCACTAAAGAAACCCAAGCTTCTCTCCTTCTTCGGCTATGATGCGCTAGCGCCGCCTATTATGAATGTTTTTGCTCTATAACACAAGCGACCAGGCCGCTTTCATCTAGGTTGATGGCATCGCAAGCGCAAATATGAGCGATTATCTTTGAATCTATGGAAGTGTCGGCTATTGTATCCCGGGAAACTCTTTTAACTACTGGCTAATACTTTCCAGACCTAAGGAATGCATCTACTACATAGGCACTATTAGCTAGTTTATTCAGAATTCGCACAGCTACCTGAAAGTGTATCAACGTGTCTGAGGGCAATTTTGACGAGCTACGTGAGCCAGAATTGGGTAAGCATTATGAGCAATTTCTAGATGCTTGCTGAAACGACTGATAGCTCGCAGGTAATCGGACAAGTCATAGTATCCAGCGTGCTCCGTGGTGTTCTTGATATGGAAGCTCCCTGGGCATATCGTATCCCCTTTGCCGTTCAGTAGGTTCTTCGCAAAACCAACAAAGCCATCCTCCCGCTGACATTTTGACAGATGGTTCTGGCCGATGGCCGTGGTCATCGCGGTCTTCTTTGCCCCGGAGTCCCCTTGGTGGCTCGTACGCCAACATCGCCTTGAGGAGGCAAAGGCGTCACTGCGTCGGTTGACGTCTGGACAAGATGACGATTTCGACGTCGACAAAACCGTGACCTTAATGGCACTGACTACAGAACACGAACGCGAGCTGAACTCCAGGACAAGTTTTGTCGCCTGCTTTCAAGGAACGGATCTCCGTCGAACCATCATCGTGATCGGCTGTTACTGCATGCAGGTCATCAGCGGGACGACTCCGCGATCATACGCGACCTATTTCTTCCAGCAAGCCGGTTTGCCCACGGACCAATCATTCAATATGTCGATTGTGACCTACGCACTCAGCTTTATAGGAACCTTGGTTGCGGTACGTTCTCACCTTTATTACCCTGATACATAGCAATGTTTGTATTGATCAAAGGTCCCACAGTGGTTCTTGATGCCTCACGTTGGGCGACGAACGCTTTTTCTCTGGGGTCTTAACATGCTTGCTGTCATCTACGTTGTCCTTGGTGTTCCCCCAAGCACAAGCAGCTTATCGTGGGCGATTGCTTCTCTCCTCCTCGCTTCTGCATTTATTGCCTATATCTGCATGATACCTGTGATTTTTGCGGTTGTTTCGGAAATTCCCTCTTCACTCCTCCGAAGCAAGTCGGTCGCTATCGCACGCTTCTCTTACGCGGTGATCAATGTAGTTGCCAACGTTCTCACACCGTATCAGCTGAATCCCTCGGCCTGGGGATGGGGTGCGAAGTCCGGATTTTTCTGGGGTGGTTCTTGTATCTTGGGACTGTTGTTCACTTACTTCGTCGTACCAGAGCCAAAGGACAAGACTGTTGCAGAACTTGATCTTTTGTTTAAGAAGAAGGTGTCGGCGAGGAAATTTACGAAGACACAGGTCCATGTTTCGGAGGTTGCGACAAGAGCACATTGAGATCACAGGGCACGAAAGACGTATCTCCTTGTAGCCTCACGTGCAGAGGAACATCTCCACTTCACCCCTATTGAATTCACCTGGAGTTGATACTTATCTGCATAAATCGATTCGCTTACAATAGATGTTGCTGAAAGGCGTCATTTGCGTTTAAAAACCTCACAGTCCCCCCCAGTGAGATTCAAGCCTATATAAGGAGCCATTCTCTGTAGTACGAGTCTTGGTTGTGAGAGATTTCAGTAGCTAGAAGTCGACCCAACACAAGTGGCAAGCACCCTGCCTTGGTAGGCGTGGCAAAGCTACTGCAACAAACACCCGGAGATAACATTTCCAGAAGCACGCATATCACGAGACTTTGTTGGATACACCACCGTCGGGTGATAGGAATCATACTCGAAATATCAGGCTCCCGCCAACACGGGGACAGCCGTGTCAGTTGAGATTTGAGTATTCGAACGTTTGAGCCGTAACACAAAGAACGGAAAAAGGTTCCTTGGCTGGCTACCTTTCTTAGTTCGTGGGTTTCAGTAGAAGAGGTCTTTCCAGTTCGTGGAACTGCAAAAGGGGTCTCATTTTCACGGAGCTCATCAACCATGGACATTAATCCATTGGGAAGGGAGTATTTCGGCCAGATCATGTCGGGCTCTCAAATCATGAAGGTAATGTCCCAACTGTAGCGGAAATCCGTGTGCTGCTGAAGATGAATTTTTGACAAGAACCAGAGAGATCCAGCACATGCCACGGGGACATGGGACTGAGAGACCGGTTAAAATACTAGCTGGGTTCCGAAGTCGCAGTTTGATTTGCCCCATTTGACGTGGAATTGCATTTCCACGTATTCTTGGCTGTTCCTCAACTTAGTTAACTGCCTGATCTTGAAGCCTCGTGCTCGACCTGGCGACGAATTCCAACGGATCGGGCACGGTGAAATTCCTTTCCACAACGAGCCAGGATGCGACCAGAACAGAATCCGTCTTTCACCCCGAAAGCAAACGTACTATCGCACAAGCTAAACGAGCATTGCGATACTCATGTGCAAGCCAAAGAAAGTTGCGGCTCTGTCACTGAATCCAATCATTCATGATCATATTGGCCTAATCGGTTGAAGATTCAAGCAATACGCTCCGTATTAGTGTTGGCGTCGATTGAATAAATTAATCGCGGAGATGTCTGGAATATTGTCGAATTCCTGCAGTTCTTGACACTTGCTCGCGTTCCACAACTTGACCATCTGATCGCGTGAGGCCGACGCTGGTAGCAGAACCCCCGTCGTACGAGAACGCCACTGCGTTCATTGAGGGTGAAAGTTGAAAGAGTTTCATTCTTGTGGATAAAGCCGGCCACATCTTTTCAATTTGATGCACCACAGGGATCGGCCTTCTCATATTGTCGCCAGAATAGCTTTGACTCCGCTATGCGTCCTCCTCCTCCTGGATTTGACAATGCAAGAAGGGTTATTTGGAATTGCATTATGTCTCGAAAATTAAATGTTGATAGATGTTTAATGGATCGTGGCGATAGGCTGGCTTACTCAGAAGCCTTCCCAACTGACCCGTTCGCCTAACGCAGTCCAGTCCAGTTGGTTCATATGAACGTCTAACGGAGCTTGTCCTGGTAAGCCAGAGTATATCTCCGGCCTCATCACTGCGTAACTATTCTGTATTCCCATACTATACGGCAGGTTCTGGTTAGCAAAGCCTATCGGCGTTGGTATCGGAAACTGATCAGTTCCCCCCGTGCCCATAATGCTGTTCGGCTGTTCTGTGTCAGTATTCCTTGCATGTTGCGCTATTTGTGCCAGGGTGTGTTTGATGGATGACACCATTCGTGGTGGTGCCAAAGTCTCTCCCAATTGCTTGGAGGCTGTTTCACATGCCTCCCATGCCTGGAGGACAATTTTGGTGAAAATTTGGAAGAAAGGACCATCGGCTCTAAATTGAGAATGGAACCAAGTCTCGTAGTTGTCACTCATAATGTTCCAAGCCTGTCGAGCTTGCTCGCTAATCGGCCGCCTTCTCAAGTCTTGTGTGATTTGAATGTATGCTGGAAATGGGAAATAGCAGTGATTCAGCCAGAGAAATCCTTTGGTCAGGGGTGAGGTCATGATCTTCGTATCGCACTCGAGCATCCTAAGCGCATGAGAAGTGGCAGCGTCATGCTGTGCCTCCGTCCGACGCACGGACGAGCTAGAATATCTTGAATGGTGTTCCAGGAGGCGACATTTGGCAAGGTATGCTCGCGTTGTCCAGGTCGTCATGAAGTGGATTGGGTTCTCTTGGTCACAGAACTTGAGATATTGGTCCTCAATCATCTCCTCGAGCTTGACCAGCTCTCCTCCTTCTCGAGCAAGACCGTTCTGAAAATGCTTGGCAATGGGCTTTAAAGCCGGACTGGTCAAATCGAGGTGGAATACGGTGTGGCGGATAAATTCACCCATCTCGCCACGTACAACAGCAAAAAATGCCTCGCTGGATTTTCCTTGAATCGCTGGTGGCCCCTTCATCTCTGGTCGGAGCTCAGAATCATTCACATTGAGAGGAATCTTGCAGTCCCAAGTGGGATCTAGCGTTACGGTCTTGGAGTTGGCGATCTCGCTGATGCGAGTGTCAAAGAGTATGAGCGACCACCACAGCCTTCGGCGCATTTCGGCCTCAAGAGGAGTACATTTTGCCAAAGCCGACTCGCTGTGAACACCCATGCGTTGCGCAATGCGGATTGCGACACCAAGCATAGAGGACAGAGACTGAGGAGCGGTGCTGGGTCTGACAGAGACCTAAAATAGTTAAGCTGGCAAAGGAAAGAAAGGAAGAACTTAGTCACTGGCCAGAACTTACTAGGTAGAGATATAATGCAGTCAAGCAGTCACGATCGCTAGTCCGTAAAAACCCACAGTTCAGCAGCGCTTGCTGGCATCCGAACTGATACCTCATCAAAAGATCCTCTTTTGAAGAACCAAACATGTTCTGGCAATCCTCCACGATGATACTTAGAATGGACATGCAATATATGCTGAACATGAGCGCCTCCAGGGTGGGATTGATATTTTTAACATTACTGGCAGCTTCTATAATGCGTCCTTGCAGACTGGGAGTGTGTGTGACCTTGAGCAGGGGGTTTACGTTGTCCAAGTAAATCTGCCAGAGTCTGAAAATCTGAACTGGGTCGGGATGCAAAGTCGAAAGGTCGACAGTTAGCCCCCGTGTGCCAAACAGAAGATGGTCATCACTGTCAACCGATTGATCCCACGCCTTCTTGAAAGCCGTCTCACGCACATCGTCATGTGAGGAATCGTCGTCATTGTCCGAGTCTCGGAACTGTTGCAATTATCAGTAAGAGCTTTGGAATCTAAACGCGATGTAATCGTACTCCTTGGCTCATGGCGTGCCAGATGTTCCTGGGAGAATTAGTCATCTTGAACTTATCTTCCCTTTGAACAAGCGCATACTTGGCTTCATAACCTCTTTCGGACTTGACGGTAGTCGAGAGGGTGGACAAATCTGGCCCCACAGTTTCCGGATGCTCATCGTCCGAATCATCGTCACTCTCCGCGTTGAGAGATTCTTTCTCTCTAGCCAAATCGTTTTGGAGTGGTTCGAAGGTAATACTGTTTTGACGGAGCAAGTTCTCGTACTTGCGGAGTCGCTCCATCAGCTCTCGTTCGGGAAATCTGCGTCTTCGTCGGCGCTGAGCCAGTTTTGCCGGTACACATTGCGCCCGGGACTTGGTGCAATTTGCGCAAGGAAATTTGCGATCACACTTCACTTTGCGCTGCTGACAGAGGACACACGCAAGCACCCGCTGTGGCTTCAAAAGTTGGGAGGACGGGGAAGGCGTGTGAGGAGACATATCTGGAGTACGATGCTCTAGCGTAGGCGCGGCACAGTCGACATGGTTTGCAAAACCAGCTCCGTCGCGCCGTAGTTGCGGCGACACCCTGTGACGCCAGAATATGCACCGCCTCCTGCGAGTCAACGGTCAAGAGACAGCTCAGGAGGGGGGAGGGAGTCAGTATCGATACGCGCTCGGAAGATCTGGGATAGTCTTCGTCATGAATGTTAGCCACTAGGAACGTAGCGCAAAGGCGCAGTAAAAAACCTGAGGAGAAGCAACGGAAAAGATCTCAATTAGTTTTTTGGGGCATTAAGAACGCTGTCTCGGGCGGACTCGGCATACATTTTGGTCGCTGACTCATCTGCTAACCCCGCCGCAATCACCGGTTTCATGTGATCATCGACCTCGGACTCTATTATTGTCCGACAAAAACAGTATCGAGATTCCCGAGGGCATTAAGTGAACTCAGACTTTGTATTTTTCCTAAATCAAGGTATATTTATGAGATTAAACACTCGCGGCTACTCAATTATTACGTGGTAAGACAAATCTCAGCCTGAAATTGCACTGGTTCTTTTCCTCGAATTGACAATGTCTTCCATAGCTTCTGCGCACTCTGCCAAGGAGGTGCCCCCAGCCGAGCGGCCTCAGCCAGTCGCGACTGTCGATGAAGATACTGAAAAGAATTTCCGGCCAAAGTCCTTCACGTTCTGGACGATTATCATTGGCATATATCTGTCGATTTTTCTTGTCGCATTGGTGAGTTTCGCCGTAACTTACATGTTCGAGCTGACAGCGCCGGCAGGATCGAACTATTATTGCAACGGCCATTCCACGCATCACCGACGAATTCAACTCTATCCAGGACATCGGTTGGTATGGCAGTGCCTACATGTTGACTGCCGCCTGTTTTAATCCCATTTCTGGCCGCGTCTATCAGCTTTACTCGACAAAATGGGTTTTTCTGCTATCGATTGTGATCTTTGAGGCCGGGTCGGTGCTTTTGCGGTGCCGCTCCTAACTCTACCGCGTTCATTTTCGGACGTGCCATTGCTGGACTAGGGTCAGCGGGCATCTTTTCTGGTGGAATGATGATCATACTTCCACTCGTCCCTCTTCGCAGACGCCCTGTTTTCACCTCAATGTTCGGTATGGCGTTTGGGTTATCGCCGGTGCTTGGCCCAGTCATTGGCGGCACTTTCACTGATCATGTGTAAGACGACTCGGTCCCTGCTGCGAAAACGTCTTTGTACTGACATCTATTAGGTCATGGAGATGGTGCTTCTACATCAACTTGCCGATTGGTGGCTTTACAATTGCTGGCAGTGGTCCTCTTCCTCCATATCGAATCGCCCAAGCACGAGAAGCTTACTATTATTGCTCAAATCAAACGAGTTGACCCCATTGGAATATTTTTCTTTATCCCGTCTATGGTGTGCCTCATCCTCGCTCTCCAGTGGGGTGGCTCTACCTATTCCTGGTCGGCACCGAAGATCATCGCCCTTCTTGTCACCTTCTCCGTCCTTTTTATTGCTTTTGTCGTCGTTGAGGTTCTGATGCCAGAGGACGCAATGGCCCCAACCCGAGTCATCCTAAATCGTTCCATTGCAGGCAGTATGACATTCATGTTCCTGCTCTCGGGGGGCTCGATGTCCGTTGTCTACTATCTGACGGTTTGGTTCCAAGCGGTCAAGGGCGACTCGGCGATGCATGCCGGTGTCAGCACCATTCCATTGATCTTGTCTCTGGTCATTATGAGTATCGTTGCTGCCATTTGTACGGAGAAGATTGGCTATTATGTTCCGGCAATGCTGCTCTCCCCCGTCCTCTGCTCTATTGGCGCTAGTTTGCTTTCGACCCTCTCGCCAAGCGGAGTAAAATCTGCTCCGGACCCCCTCCTTCTTGAGACGAGGGTGATGCTGCCTGGTGCCCATCTCCGGCTCGCACGCCCCAGGAGAGGCGCGCCCATCCATAACGATCAAAAAAGCGTTTTACCATCGAGCTACTCGGCAGTAATGGCAGGGTTGAAGACGTTGAGGCTTGGAAACCCACGTCATGGAGAACGAGACACGCTGCGAAAATAAACAAGACCACGAAAGAAATGCGAGAAACGGGGTTTCCAGCAATTGAGATTGTAAAGGGAACTTGTACCTCCTTTAGCGAGCCATAAAGCTGCCTTGAAGCTGCCTGTAGTATAGGACTTCACCTTGTCACTGCGATCCTGTTGCTCTTCCTTGTCTCCTCAACATAACCTGACTTGCGTCCGGTCACCCAGAGCTGCAGAAAAGACCTTTTGCCGCTCTTCTCTGGCGTATACGTCAACAGCTCGCCCTGCGCTACCTCAAACGGCTCGCAACTCGGCTTACCGTTGACCACCCACTGCGCCTCGAGTGACACACCGGGATCCCAGTGTCCCACGGTCGCCTCAAATACACACCCTTCCTTGTCCCAGTCCCCAGCCTTTACCGATGGTGGCGCCTGACGTGCGAGCGCGGCTTGGTGGCCACCGTATGCAAGCACCTCGCCGAAGGTGTTTCCCCGTGAGGACGATGTCGTAACAGCACTCGACAGCGGCGTTGCGCCATCGGGCGAGTGGTCTTGGATCCAAGTGTAGACGAGCTCAAGGTAGTCCCAGATTTCTCGGGCTTGGTAGTTGCCGCCGTGCGGCTCCCCGGGAAGGATTGTGATGTTGGCCCAGTTGGGTCCGCCAATGGCCTCGATGCGCTTCTGAAACTCCTCAACGCCCTCGTTTAGATAGTAGTCGTCCCAGGAGCCGACGTAAATGAACAACCGTCCACGGAGCGTCTCGCCAAGGTTGCGGTCGTTGTCCCAATTGCTGATGATATAGTTAGCCAGGTCCATGTGCTTCCAGTACTCGACGGCCTCGGGGTAGATTTCCCCTGTAACCTTGTCCCAGGGCTCCAGAGGGTAGCTGTTGACACCTTGTACACCAAACACGGCGTTCCAAATGTCCCATTGCAGAGAGGAGCGTGATGAGGTGCCAAATGTGAGCTCCCAATGATTCTCTTGCGCCACCGTGGCTAAAACAACTTCCCTGCCGTCTTCGAAGTCGCGTATCGAAGGGACTGCGCTGCCATCGGGGCGTTGGTAGGCGCTCTTAGCAGTGTACAGTGGGATGTCTTGGTGCCTGTGAAAGTCCAACGAGTCGGGGTACGATGAGAAGCAGGCGCCGAACAGATCAGGTCTGAAGACGACGCTGGCAGCTGAGATCCAGCCCCCTGTCGAGCCACCCTCCTGAATGCGTGCATAAGGGTCAGGGATTGTGTTGAATGTCGATTCGATATACGGGATTAGCTCGTCATTGATCGCGTCGCCGTAGGGGCCTAGGTTCGCGGTGTTGACAGCGTACGAATCATCATAAAACGGTGCCTCGTGACGGAAGGTCACCAGAATCATTTTAGGCGTGGGTCGGTCAGGCTGGCCGTTCTCGCCGGGAATCACTCCGTTGTCCCATGCGTCTGAGAAGCTTGACTCGGGATAGCCAAAAGCCCCGCTGTCTGCCGGCCAGTGGCCCTGCGAATAGATGACCGGATAACGCTTGCTCTTATCGTTGGCGTCGTATCCGTTGGGTAGCACGACGTTGGCGCCCACGTACATAGCACGGCCCCAAAACTCACTGAGAGCCTTGCTGCGGATCTTGACATACTTGAGCGTCTCGGTGTCTTTGTAATTACCCTGAGTGCACCCACCAATTTCCTTGCCTGTGAAAGCCTCAACGGCCGTCAACTTGTTCAAGGTGAGCTTCACTATCTGCGGACCCTCGTGGACGTCAACATCGATTATCGACGTGGTGAGGCTTCCGAACCCGTTAACATTAGGCGCGCCATCGCCACAAGGGAAATGGACGCTAACCGAAGACCCGTCGCTGCGAGATACCTTCTCGTACTTGTTCAGGAATGCTTGCACCGAATACTGACCCGTCGGAACATCTTCCAAGCTCACGTGAGGGAAGCCAAATACGCCCGTCATGGCGTTGCTGTTCCCGCTTCCGCTGGAAAGCGTGATCGTGTCCAAGCTGGATACATCGTACACGTTCATTCCGAAGAACAGATTAGGACTAGACGTGACGTCAATGTCGTTAAGAGGGTCTACACCGCGCGGTGCAAACATTACCACGATGCGACCGTCCGTGCCGCCATTCAGGAGCCCATTTGCAACTGATAGTCGCACTTCCAGCCGGGGCTTGGCGTCGGCAGACTCGGCAAGAGCAACAAAGGGAAAACAAGCCGCAGCTACAATCGCAGTTGCTGCGACATTGGTGAACTTGCCTGACAAGCGCTTGAGGAAGTACATGTCGGTGAGAGGTAGAGAAGGGAAGCGCTTACAAAGGAAAAGATGAATACTAGCTGGGATTCTCGGACAGTATAAAAGCGGCGAAGAAGGCTATAACAAGTATGATAAGGAAGGATTCCAGGACGTCATCATCTAAGGGAGTATCCACTACGTTCTAGCCGTGGGGGCACAGAAGCCAAGCGTTTGAGGTCGGGTAAAAGAGCTAAGGATGGAAGGTACCTAGATAATTAGAGCTAATGAGGAGTGTGCTGCGCAGATGGCTTGCTTGGCAAAGGCAGCCTTCGAATCAGATGGCAAATAGCGACCCACCCAGAAATTGTGTCCATCTTCCAAGGTGCCCCAGTGTTACTTCTTCTGTACCCTCTTGGTTTATGTAGTTGGGTCGTGATTCGGTCAAGTCGGCGGTTCCACCATCGTTTGATATATGGCTGTGTTCCGACTCGTCGCGTCAACTCGCCGCCAACTCGCAAGACTCGCGAGTACGAGTTCGCGAGTCACCGCTGCGGGACTCGCAAAGTCGACATCGACGCTAGAGACTTGGCTATTAAGCGGGCCAATTGTATTCAATAGAATTGTTGGCGTGTGCATAACGATTGTTGACGATTGTCCCAACCAATTGATTGGATAGGCTAACACTACATGTGACAGGAGTGTTAGAGATTCCGCACCAAAGGAGACACTCATTTTGAGTAGATGGACGTCTATATAGAGAGTACTGTGGTAGAACCACTCGCTCAAGAACCAGAGCCATTAATTCTATCACCTGTCACCCTGGTACCACTGCTAAAACCCTCGTCGTCGTTGCCATGTCCGCCTTTGACCATATTGTACTAGACGCAGTCGAATCACCTTCCCCTACTACTGGACCACCCCATATAAAGGGGTTGACATATATGGGGCAGTTGTGGCTGTCTAGCCCTAGTCCATGCGTGAACAGGAAAAGTTAGTAGCGTCGAGTCTGAGGTTTGGTTTCTAGCTATGAATATCTGAAGGAAATTGGCCCTAAACAACGTGCCTGGTGATGCCAGCGATGCCATCGATGCCATACATGCTATCTGTCAAACTTATGGTACAACTTGAGTTGGAGGAGTGCTCTGTTTTCTATCAAGCTGAGGTCCTGCCTCGCATGTTTATATAGACAAAGATTGTCTGTTGAACAAAGGGCTATTGTGTACAGGCTCCACAGCTGAAACACTGGTGAGAGGTTTCCATAGACGACGACGTTACTGATGGTTGCTCTGAGTAACGACGTAGTATTCGCACGTCTATAAAAGAAGCCTCAATACCTCGATAAATAGATAGAGAAGGGAGCATTCAAGACATCTCGAGTTGCACCCAGTTTGACATTGTCACCATCTTTCGGTGTCTCCGTGTTCAGCTCGTAGACGAAATCCTTGTCCAGCTGAACATTCATTGCCACGTTGAAATCGTTGCCCCATATTGTCTCACAGTTCAACAACAGACTGAAATACCACGACCCATCGGATCCAATCTCGAAGTCAAGACTTGTCCGTTCACGCTCGGTTACGAACCATATCGAGTGTGATTAATAGAACTTCTCTGGGTGGTTCACAGACTAGATCCGATGAAATACCACGACTCATCGGATCCAATCCATGGATCATCTCGACGTCGAGGCTTACCCGTTCACGCTCGGAACCATCTCGAGTGTGACTAGTAGAGCTTGTCTGAGGTGGTCCACAGACCGGATCCGATGCGTGGATCATCCCGATATCGAGGATATCGATATCTATCGAGTAGACACGGATGACGAGGATCCCGGAAAATATTTAATCCGTTAGGGGTGCTCCGCTGATCGGATCCAATCCATGTACCATATCGAATAGGAAGGCCCCTCCAACCGGGGACACATGATCCACAGACTGGATCCGATGAAAGCTGGTGCGGAAAATATTTAATCCGATAGTGGGGGAGCCGGAAAATGATTAATCCGTTGAGCGTGGACCGGGAAATGTTTGATCCGATACGATACGATATTCATACACCCTGTGCGGGCTAAGTCCATAGGGGACTAGCTAATTACTACGCGCTACCACCGTTCCCCACCCACGTGATAATGCCAAGCCATATGCTTACGTGATTGACCGGCTCGTCGCTCTTGGCGTCGCCGCGCAACGCCAAGCCCTAACCAGGCGATTTTCAGAATTTAAAAAAAAAAAAAATCAAGTTTATATTTTATAATGCCCAAAACTGCTTCAAAATTGACACCAAATCGTGGTTGACCTATCAAGGACGTAACCGAGTGGTAAAACACTCGGCTTGCAGTCGAACCGATAGAATTGAGGGGCCTTACTAGTGTTCGATCATAGGTAAGGTAAGAGGGTTGTCCGGCCTAGCTCCATTGAGTTTCTAGGTGCCCTAGATGGGTAACGTAATGCTCCAGCCAGTGATTGTTGATGATGTCGTCTTGTTCATACTGTTGGGAAGGTCACTGATTCAAACTCTTCTTCAGTTGAACTTGTCTGGCTGAAGCTTTCACTGGCTGCGGCGCCCCATCTATGAGTTCGTCAGAGATGGACTATAGGAGGGGGCCTTTTTTTTTGGTATTTCCGCCCTAAGTTCTATACCGATGAAGGATCGCGCGAGCCATAATCTATTTGCAAGCCCGATAATAATCGCAGCCCCGGGGGTTGCGATTGTTACAGCCAATTAGAGCACTCTATTCGTCGTGTTCAGCACTGCGCTACGTACGACCGGCCTTTCAGTCTTACGGACCAAGGAGATAAGCTCTAGATCGAAACTGTCATGCTTCTTCAAGCTGGGTTGAATTGATACCGGCTCGTGTGTGCCAATGGTCTCTGGCGAGTCAAGCTCGTCGGAACCAGGTGCTTCAAGAAAGGGCCCTTGTCAGGGCGGCCCCTACCAAGACACTAGATACCGGGCGAGACGCAGGCTTATAACCTGCTATCTCACCCCATCATCGCTTGACTCTCAAGCGATCGAGTCGATATCATATAGGACTGTCAATTCCATCAATTCCCTATTGAATCACGCTTGCCCTTCCGTTCCTTGGCATTCCTTGATAGAATACATCTCGAGTTGCACCCAGTTTGACAGATTCTCGAACATTAGCACGTTCTCGAAAGCTTGTCGTCAAGGCGTCAAGTAGAGTGGCACAGAAGGACCGTGAATATGCCTTGTGAGCTCCTGTAGATCGATTGTGCAAAGCAATGAATTGAGGCTATCACTAGATTGTGGTCTACCTTTGTGTGTAACATATACCTCGTTCTTCAGCACCACTGCGCCGGGACAGAAAACGCTTCAACGTCATCGTCACTAAGTGCTCCGAGTGTCTGCCAGTCTAAGAAAGGAATCTCCTAGTCCTCTGAAGGAAAAGATGAGGCCCGACCTCCACAAGCACCCCAACCTCCCACATTTAACCATCAGGGTGCTAGCCACTCAATTACCAATATCTGCCTTTCCGTCTAGTAAATGCTTGACTTGACGATTGAGTTCAGGAAATGGTAAATGTTCAGAAGGTTCCGGGAAGTCGGCATTCGTAGCAGTGAAAGCATGACAAACCGAATGCGTAGAATATCTAGCAAGAAACCACAATGTCTCTTTTACGTGTCACGAGGACGGCTGCTATTTAGTCATTACAGACGCTAGCACGTCCCGACATTCCCCCCCGCCCCGCAAAGTCCCTGTCATCACCTACGTTTAGCCAGCCTTATTGTATATATGTTATCATACACTAATACCCAATTCAGAACCCCGAGTTCCTTGGTGCTTGGATTGAGCATCGCAACTGACGTTCGTGTAGCTTCCATACAGCTATATATTATCTGCTAGAAATCTTCGCACACTGCACCGTCATAGGTGTCAGGAGTCTGTGTCAGTCTACCACACCACATCAACATGAGCGTCTCTACATACCCGACATTGGTGTGCTCACCATCAGCCATAGCTCCTCCCGCTCTTCTTGGTGTGGAGATTCTTTCCTTCTCAGCTATCCCTATCGCGAATTATAGTATCGACGTACCGCAAATATATAATTTCAATCACCCGCTTATATCGGTGAGAAACGCATCTTTCTGCAACGTTACAGTGACCTACACCCATCCCGGGGAGAACGATGTCATTAACGTGGAAACCTGGCTACCACAAAGTTGGAACGAGCGTCTGCAAGCGACAGGTGGTGCCGGGTGGACAGCAGGACGCAATGTTCTGTCACCTGGTTTTCTGTCGGGGGCCATCGGCGAGGGATATGCGACAAGTACCGATGCAGGATTACATCTTATCTGGCCCGGAAATCCAACATACTGAGCTCTCGTCAGTCAGGGAAACGTCGATCTTTATGCCCTGCAAAACCTCGCATACAGATTGTCAGGGTGGGGACGTACGAGGGAACGAGAGTGGAGATCCGACAATGATATTATTATCCCAATGCACTATAAAGTACAAGACGAGAGACAAAGAACACGAAAGTAGTGCGATGCTATCCCAGATACTTATGGCCAGCGGTGCACAAGGCTATCACGCAGGCACACAAGGCTATTCGACAGCCACAGTGGGCCTGCCAAGACCGTTCGAGGGGCTTCCAGGTTGTGCCATGACACAGATCGTTGGAAGAACAGGCTCTTGTCGGGAAAAGTCTTATTGGTAGCTTCTACGGCCGCAATCCAGCATACTCATACTGGAGTGGTTGCTCTCAGGGCGGTCGACAGGGTCTTATGCTGGCTCAGCGATATCCAACCCGTAAGTCTTCTACTCTATTCCCTTGCCGCCTCGTTCCAAGTTTTCAAGATAATGTTCGAGATGTTATCCCTAAAACCAGATATAATACCACTAAATTTTCCGAACTATAGTATATGATGGAATCGCTGCAGCAGTGCCGGCCGTTTACTTTGGCCAGTTAGGCATGTCGAGCTATATACCCCAGCTGACTACGAACGAGATCAAAGCGTACCCTCTGGCTTGCGAGTTAGAGTACCTCACACAGCAGGCTGTCGCTCACTGTGATGCCGACGATGGCGTGGTCGACGGTATTATCTCCAATATCGCGTCTTGCGACTTCGATCCTTTTACACAGGTCGATTCAAGTTTTCTATGTTTCTCGACCGGAGACAATAAGACTCTCAGTAAAGCTGCAGCTATAGTAGCTAACGCCACCTGAGCTGGCTATTTCAACAGTCATGGAGACCATATATGGCCTGGATGGAACTACGGTGCCAATATCACAGCCTTGGGCTACGCCCCGAACGAAACGAACGAGGCTGCGAATGCTCAACGAACCCCTAACTGGTTGGTCCAGTACTATCTTGAACGGAACGCAGACTTTGACAGCGCGACCATCACGCATGAGGGTTTTGATAGCCATTGGAAGCGGTTCATCACAATCTACGACGACACCATCGGCACTAGTGACCCTGACCTGAGCGATTTCAAAGCTACTGGCGGCAAGATGATTACTTGGCATGGAACCGTAGGTTACTGATGCTCTGCCCTGTGAAAGTTAAAGTACAAACGTGCCTTTTGTGCACAAGACTAATAATGATATAACATGGCCAGGCCGACGAAGATATCCAGACAAAATCCACCGAACGCTACTACCAAGAAGTCACCAAGCTATTCCCAGATGTTCAAGACTTTTACCGCTACTTTGAATCGCCTGGGTCGGGACATTGTGGGTACACTGGTATCGGGGGGCAGCTGACGACGGTCTTCGACGCGCTGCGCGCGTGGGTCGAAAACGGCACGGCTCCTGATGTTCTGCCCGTGCGATTTAACGGGACCACAGGCGTCGTGCAGCACCGCAACCTGTGCCTATATCCTTTGAATCAGGTGTACAAGGGGTCGGGTGATCTGTCCAGCCCAGACAGCTTCCATTGCGTGTGAAGATGAGGGCGATGGTGAAGACAGGCAACGTGACCAGCAATTAGTTCCAGCCTCGTAGTGACGCAACCAACCGCCTGCCCCCGTGTGTGAGGGTTCGAGGTCAAGGATACAAACAATGTATTCTAGCTAACATCGGGTTCTAGGTACAAGACGTAGCACGAAGAGAGTCAAAATGGGATGCTACGCAGGAAGTACTTGAAGGGGGGGTATTATTCTGTACACCAACTTTTGTTATTCTGTACACCGGAAAACCTGCTTATTCTGTACACCATGCCTCAACTCTCCTTATTCTGTACACCACCACCTCTCTCTCGCCTTATTCTGTACACTTAACGCTCTCATCCTGTTATTCTGTACACCGCGCTAACAGAGCTTGTTGCCGTTGGCCCGGCGATGGCGAGAAAACACTAGTAAGTGGCGTAGCTGTGGAGGGGTGACGCGTTAAACTCTCCCCGTTATAGGTGGTTGCGAAGCAATAAACACATTTGATTCCCTTTTCCTTGGTAGATAAGTACCGTGCATTTTGAGCTTCTCTGTATACTTTGTAAATTATTGTGGCCTACACAGCCGGATTTGTGTAGAGATCCCCTGCACGGTCGATACCTCGTGCTGACTAAGGTAACAAACCAGCGCCCATAGGCTTGGGAGGACCGCTCATAAGCCGGAGGGGGAAACCGCCCATGAACCGGGGGGAAACCGCCCATAAGCCGGGGGGCAACTGCCCCGCTTATGGGCGGTTCCCACCCAAGCCTATGGGCGCTGGTTTGTTACCTTAGTCAGCACGAGGTATCGACCGTGCAGAGGATACCATCGTTAACCATCATTTCTGCATTCTATATAGGCAGACTTAGGTGTTGTGACATCACGTATCTTCGAACTGCGCAGATAACCGGAAAAATAAAAATCCGGACCAATCAAAAGCGGTGTACAGAATAACAAAATGTGGTGTACAGAATAACATTACCCTACTTGAAGAACCTCTGATTATGTAATCCTTGGCATGTGATCCCGTGACACCGTGGTAAGCGGTATGTACCGCCCTCGGCTAATCTTCCGGGCGATCAATAACTTAGCTTAGTTCGACACAGGGCTTAACATGGGCACGCATGGGTCGCAGGTGCTGGGGTCTGCACGTGGTATCACGGCTTAGCGTCGATCGCAGCCTCAGACGGCCTTCTCTTCAAATAATCGTCTTGTTCTCCCTGCCATCAACGTCCGCCGCGAAGACGACTCCGCACGGACGATACCAACCGTGCAACGTTACTTCAAACCTACGACTCTCTGACTTGCATAACAGCAACCGTACGCTGCGTCTCTCGTTACCTTCAACAAACGTTATCAGCGATTAAATCACCGACCTCGCAATCCTTCTTCCTGACCGGCGAATCTCACAATGGATCCTCTGTCCATAACGGCCAGCATTTGCGCTATTTTGCAGCTCACTTCAACGCTCACAAGCTACATCAACGACGCTAAAAATACTACAAAAGAGCAAGCTCAGTTAGCGATCGAAGCCAGCAATCTCTACACGTTATTGACGACTCTGCGATTTCGAGTAAACGAAGCCCGATCTGACGACCCCTGGCTCAATCAAATACGGTTACTGGGAATGAAAAATGGCCCGTTGGACCAGTTCAAAGATATCCTCGAGACAATGGTGGAACAAGCATCATCATTCAGGAAAAGAGACCAGATCAAGTCCGCGGTGTTATGGAAGTTCACCAGACAAAATGTGGAAAATACGTTGGCGCGAATGGAGCGGTTGAAATTACTGGCCAATTGTGCCTTGACAAATGACTTAACGTGTGGACAACAATACCGGGAATTTGAGAACATACTAATATGAGAAGGACGCTGTCGAAGGCTATTCAAGGTGACGTTGTCGCCATAAGGGAACAGAACAAGCGACTTCAGAGTCGCACGGACGCGATTCATGACGACGTCATCATTGTGAAAGAACAAATCGAGACCCTTGCGGATCGTGAGCGACATGATTACCCATACAGAGAGCTGAGCTAAAACATACCGACCACAGAGGAGCAGCGGAATCGATTGTCACAATGGTTGAGGCTACCGGATCCATCGACCAATTACCACACGGCACTTCAAAAGCGCCACCCTGAGACTGGGCTATGGCTGCTCAATGGTCAAGATTTCCGCGACTGGAAAAGCTCGACATCTTTGATGTGGCTTCACGGGAATGGTAGGTCGTTATCGCCATATCTAATGAGCAGACTTGACAGAACTTCGCAGCGGGCTGTGGTAAGACCCTTCTCAGGTAAGCTCGACGAAAGCTGTATCTAGAGAATATGAGGCTGATCGACGGACCAGTGCCGCCGCGCTACAGCATATTCTAGAGCATCAGCAGTCTCACCCCGACATCATCATGGTGAGCTATTTCTACTTTGACTTTAATGATACCGAGAAGCAGTCCTGGCAAAACGCTGTCCGGTCATTGCTGTTCCAGCTTGCTCTTCAGTGCAGCGATATTCTTCAGGATCTTGAAAAGCTTTACCAAAATTGCGGGAAAGGACAGTGGCCGACTTCTGGATCCGCCATACAGTCACTATATAGAGAGGTAGTGGCTCGTCCCGGACAGAAGTATATCATGTTAGATGCCCTAGATGAATGTACAGACCGGAAAGAATCGTTGATCTTTCTCCGCGAGATGATGAACTCAACACCAGACGACCTCCATGTCTTGGCCACCAGCCGCCCGGAAAAGGACATCGAAGACAAATTGAGCTCAATTACCACCCACAATATTAATGTTCAAAGTGCCCTGGTTAATGGCGACATATGTGTTTACATTTGTGATCGGGTGGCGACAGACGAAACGCTAAGGAAGTGGCCATCATCCGTGCAGGATGAAATCGCGACTAAACTAATAAAACATGCTGGTGGCATGTATGGATAGTATTTCCCTACATGGTACGTAGTGTCCTAACAGCAGAATAGGTTTCGATGGGTGGATTGTCAGTTTGATTCTATTCAACAATGTGTCAAGTTGAGCACCCTCAGAAAGACGCTGTCATCCCTGCCAAAGACCCTAGACGAGACGTATGACCGGATCTTGCAAACTCTCGAACCGACCCCTCATTTTCAAGATGCTGTCAAAGCTCTGCGATGGCTATGTTTCTCGGAGCGTCCTTTACAATTAGCAGAAATGGCCGAAGTTCTTGCGATAGAAAATGGGAATGAGGGTGGATTCTTCCCGGAGGAACGTCTCCCCGATCCGAGAGATGTGATGGTTATCTGTTCGAGTCTAATCACCTTAAATTCCATCGAAAATGAGGAAGATAAGAACCACGCTCAGGATAGCGGTGTTGAAAATCGTTGCCACATCCGAATTCAGCTCGCACACTTCTCTGTCAAGGAGTTCCTCTTATCTGATCGGTGTGGCTTTGGATTGGATTTTCGACCCCAAATATGCCACCTTATGATTGCGGAGGGTTGTCTGCATTATTTGCTACACCTTAGTCAGAACAAACCCCTAGCTGAAGAGGTCATCAAGGAGTATCCGCTGGCCTCATACGCAGCGAAGCATTGGTGGCAGCATGTACAAAATATTGGAGGTATGCTAAACGACACCTTGTTAGATCTCGTGTTATGTCTCTTAACCGATGAGGATACGACTCTGCATTCGTGGATACAGCTTTACGAAATTGATAGACCATGGAGAGGATCACAGTTATGCCTAAGGTCTAATGAAATTGCTCAGCCTCTCTACTATGCGGCATATATAGGCGTACCGGAAATTGTCGAGAGGATAATAAAACGAAATGTCGATGTCAATGCTCAAGGAGGAGAGTATGGCAATGCCCTGCAGGCCGCATCAGCTGGTGGCCATGACAATGTGGTGAAGATGCTGGTGGAAGCCGGAGCAGATGTCAATGTTCAAGGAGGATCATATGGCAATGCACTGCATGCAGCATCAGAAGGTGGCTATGAGACAGTGGTGAAGACGCTGATAGATGCTGGGGCCGATGTCAATGCTCAAGGAGGACGCTATGCACTGCGGGCCGCATCAAAAGGTGGCCATGACAAAGTGGTGAAGATGCTGATAAGTGCTGGAGGGGATGTCAATGCTCAAGGAGGAGAGTATGGCAATGCACTGCATGCGGCATTAGAAGGTGGCTATGAGATAGTGGTGAAGATGCTGATAGACGCTGGGGCCGATGTCAACGCTCGAAAAGGATTCTATGGCAATGCACTGCAGGGCGCAGCAGTTCGTGGCCATGACAAGGTGGTGAAGATGCTGCTAGATGCTGGGGCCGATGTTAATGCTCAAGGAGGATACTATGGCAATGCACTGTATGCAGCATCAGGATGTGGTTGTGACAAGGCGGTGAAGATGCTGGTGGAAGCCGGAGCAGATGTCAATGCTCAAGGAGGACGCTATGGCAATGCACTGCAGGGCGCAACAGTTCGTGGCCATGACAAGGTGATGAAGATGCTGATAGATGCTGGGGCCGATGTCAATGCTCAAGGAGGATACTATGGCAATGCACTGTATGCAGCATCAAAAGGTGGCCGCGACAAGGTGGTGAAGACGCTGATAGATGCTGGGGCCGATGTCAATGCTCAAGGAGGATACTATGGCAATGCACTGTATGCAGCATTAGAAGGTGGCTATGAGACAGTGGTGAAGATGCTGATAGATGCCGGGGGCAGATGCTAATACTCAAGTAGGAGAGCGTTGCAATGTAATGCAGTAGAAATCAAGGTGCGACGACCACGATCTCCCGTTGGTGTCTTCGATGCCAAAAGCTTAAATGTTGCCGTTGGGCTGCAAGAAGGGACCAACGGGGCCTTAACGTAGGTTCGATTCTCCGAACAGATCAAGATCTACAAAGAATAAACATCTACAGTCCCGTTACGACTGAGAAGCAAAATGGTATGGGAAGCAGAGGAAGCGTTAGACCTGAATGTATACTTGTTAGCACCGCGGTTTCGATAATCTTATCGATAATGAATCGATCGATAATCGTTATCGGTATTATCGATGTCGATGTCGACAATCGCTATCGGATACCTGACTCATTTTGTGCTAAGCGTTGTCGTTAAGATTGCCGTGATCGCGATCGTCGATAACCGATTATCGATGAAGACATTATCAAGACGCCTATTCGAAGGCCCATTAGGCCGAGGAACGCCGAGTGGAGACGGCCCGCTAACTAGAGCTAATCGTCCATCAGTGATCATCTTCACTCCGAATACTTCAACGCCATTTAGTTCATCATTCCCAACACCATCAGCACAGTCTTCGGCTCGGCGACTTTTGTGAACTTCCAGCTCCTTTTCTCGACCAAAGGGACAAACAGCAGTTCAAGACCGCGTCGTCCCCCCACTCACAGACGAGACGAGAACGACTAGCCTATAGATAGGACGTGACCATCGCCGCGTGAATCGAACAGCGATAAAAGACATTATCCGCTGTTACCCCAGCATGACGTACCAGAGGACCCAAAGTAAGTTCCCTTCGAGAACAACGATGGAGAAGATGACACGTTGGTGTCCCTCTAAGAGAAAGAGCTTAGAGGAGAAGAAGAGAAGATGAATGACTTGAACAGTTCCGGTTCACGGACATTTCTACGCCTCTCAGGCCCCGTTGGCTACGATAGAGTCGGCCCCTCTCTAGATGGGCCATGGACTGGATCCGATCAGGCTGAGGCTATTCTGAGGTAGCAAGATGCGCCATGCACGCTGACAAAGGAACGAGACCACTACCCCGGTCCCACTCGGCCACATGGTCCACGGATTGGATCCGATGGCTGTGGTATCTCGCGGGATCCGACTACGGCAAAGTGCCAACGTACTCACGTGTACAACGCTTCCGAAGGTCTTTACAAGCCTCGGCGTCGCCACATATCACAGATATTGGCGTCGACACGTGATGACAGCGAACTCCAGTTTGTCAGTCCCGCAGCGCCGGTAAGCCTAGAACCTTCAGTTTCTAGACGCTTGCCATCCGTTGGATAGAGGGGTATTGTGGATATGTCCCACCACAGAAACATTGACGAGAGGTTTCCATAGACGACGACGTTACAGATGGTTGCTCTGTGCGACAATGTAGCATTCGCATGTCTATAAAAGGAACCTCAGTACCTCGACAAGTAGATAGAGAACAGAGCGCTTCTTCATCTCAAGTTGCACAAGAAGCTTGACACCATCAACATCCGCTCCCGTTTCCCTTCCTGCCCACGACATATCAATGCGATGGCTGCCAACAACCCATTCCAAGACATATTTAACTCTCAGATTATTGATCCGCAGAATGTCTCACAAGTGCCAGATACAGATGAAGTTCACAGCCGCGATGCATCCTTCTTTCCGAACTCTGTTCCACCGAACGAGACCCCCAACGAGACTTTCGATGGGACACCGGCAACGCCCATGTTTAAGGAAAGTCGTAATTCAGGTAGAATGGAGCTGTGCTTGCTTCAACTAGCCGAATGGGATTAAGCAAAGGCATATGATGAACATCCCCCCACTCGCCTCTACCGATCGAAGAGTACCCGGTGGCTGGGTCTGCGTCCCCCCTAAAGAGCTGACGGCCGCCCGAGGCCATGCTGGATGGAGAACATGAACAATACACGCGTCAAGTGCCGCATGATAATAACAGCTATGTGCTAGGACAGATCCATAGTCACAATGTAGTAATCGCATGCCTACTTGCGGAGGTATATGGCACCCTCTCGGCGGCGACCGTGGCTAACAACATGTTGAGGATGTTTCCCGCGATCCGGTTCGGTCTCATGGTGGGCATTGGACGTGGGATCCCATGCTCAAACGAGGGCGTGGACATCAGACTAGGTGATGTGATGGTCAGTCAGCCTGATGGCACGCACAGTGGCGTAGTGCAATACGACCTCCGAAAGAATTTAGGCGACAGTGTGTTTGAGCGCAAGGACGTTTTGCGACCGCCCTCGACGCTCCCGTTGACCGCGATTGCCAACCTCCAATCACGACATTAAATGTATGGTAATCAGATCTCGGAGACTACTTCCGCAATAATTCAGCGATTACCGCGATTGGCCAAGGTAGAATATGAGCATCCTGGACCCAAGAGAAACGTGTTGTTTTGTAGCAATGTCAAAGGCCATAACGAAGGTGACCAATTGTACCCAATGCCAGAATGGGATCATCGACCGAGAGCCTCGTGAAAGTCATAGTCCGGAGATCCACGACGGGGTCATTGCCTCAGGAAATGAATTGATGAAGAATGTTGTCGAAAGGGATCGCCTGGGCCGGGGAGTTTGGCACTAAATGCGTTGAAATGGAGGCCGCTGGATTGATGAATGATTTCTCGTCAAGACTTAATTGGCGATTACCTATATCAAACAACATCGGGCCTGTTATACGTCCATCTTCTGGACAAATGCTACCTCTGAGGTCAGCCTCAAGGCGAGCTTGCAGAACGCAGCCTATCGAGGGTTGCCTCCTAGAGACGGTTAACAACCTTAACATGAGCAGATTTACATCCATGTCTCCAACTGGCTCTCTGAGCACGAAAATACTCGATGACTGCTCATATTCGATAACTACGCAGATCCCGATCAATATTGGCTTTAGAAAATATTCTATTCGTCGCACACGGCTCAGTCATCGTGACCACTCGACAGTCAGGCCGAGCTAACGGAAAAATGGTTAGAGTATGATCTATGAGCAAGACGAAAGTCTTCGCATTTCGGCCACCCGGTCAAGACGAGGAAATGTGGAATCTGATAGGGAAACCTTGTTCACGGGCTTGAGCGTCCATATAGTATCTAACTGCTCGTAAACCTGGGTGCTCGACAGCTGACCCAGAGGCTGAACGGGCATCCATTGGCTCTGGGCATGGCTGGAGCCTTTTTAGGTCAGGCTTCTGTCAGCTTTGCCCGGTATCTCCAACAATATGAAGCCAAGTGGAAAGTGATTGACTCGATGGAGGAGTTATCCGACTATCCTTCGCATACACTCTACAGCACGTGGAATCTATCGTAGCTTTATCTCGCATCAACTACTATTAGGGCACGGTTCATTCGAATATCTGCATTGTGTCTCTGCATCGTGCCTTCAAAAAAGATCTTCAATAAGGCATACGGTAGCAGAATTCGCCAATATCCGTGCTTCTCTTCTCTTCCTAAATTAATTCTGTAATAACCCTGATGATCCACAATCATAGACCCTCGATCCCATGGGCACGTCGGCATTGATGAGCTCAAAGCCCGCGGTTGACAAGGTCGAGCCAGGCCTCGCCGATGTTAGGAATCCTAGGCTCGGTGTTGGAGAATTCGAACTCCTGGCGGTCGACAGTCGCGAGCCCTTGTCCCTGCTCGCTGGTGTTGACCAGTCCAAACGGAAGGTTGGCAAGGTCGAACCAGGGTTCGCCGGTGTTGGGAATCACGGGCCCGGTGTTGAGGAATTCGAACTCTTGTCCGTCGACAGCCGCGAGCCCTTGTCCCTGCTCGCTGGTGTTGACCAGTCCAAACGGGGGGTTGGCAAGGCCGCACCAGGCCTCGCCGGTGTTGGAGAATTCGAACTCCTGCTCGTCGATAGTCGTGAGCCTAAGCCTGTGATTGTTGGCGATCGGAGGTTCAGTGTTGGTGAGTCCGACATCCGCATTGGCTATCTTAGGGGTCTTGTGGATCCTTCTCACGTGCTCATCGCGCTTGTCTTTCCTTGGAAATGGCTTTTTGTGGCCGTGGTAGCTTTCACTGCGGTCGCAGCCGTGTTCCGTGCACCAAAAGCGATGGGTCTTATTGTGGATCGCATTCCGATGACGAATCATGTCGCTTTTCCTCGAAAATGTTTGGCCACACAGGGGCAAGTCACAGGGGATTTTGGGGCGTTGAGGTCTGCGATTTGGACACGTCACCAACAGGGTCCGTGCGACAGGGCGGTGGCTTACCTAGCCGTGGTCGTGATCCCAACTTGGGTAGTCCAAACTGAGGAGGCATACCTGCGTCGATGTTAAAAAAAAAAAAAGGGCTCACGTATTGGGAGTACGACTGCTCGGTGTCGGAAGGTGTTGCTCCAAGTGGCCCAAGATATGACCACCGGTGGTGAGTGCCATCTCTCGGACCGGGGCTCGGCGGTTGACAGCAGAACTGAGTCGAGGAGTAGAACGTTCAAAGGATTCGAACGTTGAAGGAAGCAGAAAGCGGAAAGTCAGGGATCGTAGGATATTATCATTGTGCAATCAGAGGCGGTGAGAACTAGACACAGTTACTCTCTTATAATTGGATAGTTGGGGGGCGCGCCCCGTGACTAGGTTCAACGTCCTCCTGCTTTACGATATTCATTCATGATTGGATAGCTCTGATGCACGCCCTACTAGCCGAAACAAGCGAGAGGCTGGGCGACCGAGCGCCCTGTTTGGGGACCTTGACGATCACAACTTTGATGTGAGCAACACCGTATGCTGACCATTGTGCCAACTACAAAACATCGTAGTTGTAGTTTCGAGTTCATTATGCGCACATCTCACACCCTCAGAAAATTTTGTTCATCTTGGATTCGGAACCATGGACCTTGATGATGCCGACACCGGTCTTAGCCACAGAAATACGCAAGTTATCAAATGTGTTGACTGTGGTAAAACTTTCGATAGGCGAGGATTGTTCAAGTATGCCCCTCGCCTCGCTCTCGAAGTATCGTTTGGCACTAATTGAACGCTTTAAGCCGTCATTACAAAACTCATTCACGGCCATATCATTGCAATAGCTGCGGCAAGGGCTTTGCACTGAGAAGTGACCTTGATCGACACAAGGCAAGCCACCTGAATGTCCATCCGCAATTTCATTGCAAATTTCCTGGATGTAAGTTCAGGGGTACGTCGCGGAAAGACAATCTGCGCAGACATATTCGGAATAACCATGAAGGGAGGGGGAAAGAAGGCGAAACGTCCCAGCGTGACAAAGTCCAGATGCTCGTCAAGGAGTCAGTATTGGACCGGAAGCGATTGATGAAGGATTTAAATTTGCTCATAGCGGCGCGGAGTGGTGATATGCAGATTCTCAGGTTATTGATCGAGAGTGGGGCGAACGTTGCAATAACTTCCGATAAAGGAAAGACAGCTCTTCATATTGCCGCACTAAAAGGCAGTGTGGAATCTGTACGATTACTGCTTGACGCAGGAGCTGACATTAAAGCAAGGGACATTCGGGCAAATTCAGCACTTCACGATGCCGTGCATTCTGGCAATGTGCCAGTTGTGGAATTGTTAACAGCCAAAGGAGCCAGCCTCGCGAGCAGAAACAAGGATGGACATACCCCACTCCATCTCGCGGCCTTGAAAGGCCATCTCGAGATAGCACGGATACTGGTACGAAAGGGCTCAGATCTCAATGTCGAATCTAATATGGGGAAAACGGCACTCCACTTTGCAGCCAATATGGAACACGAAGATGTAGCGCAATTTCTGGTTTGCGCTGGCGCTAACATCTATGCAAAGTCTCATAACGGCAAGACAGCGCTGCATTTGGCGGCCGCAAGTGGGAACAAAACGATTGTGCGGCTACTGTTTGACACGACAAATGCCAAGCGAAACGGCAGTAGCAACCAAGCAATCCTACGGGCTGCGGTACGGAAAGGTCATGAAGACGTGGTGCAATTCCTCCTGGAAAATGGATTAGATGTCAACGCGCAGAATAAATACGACAGCAGTGCTCTCCAGGTGGCGGCATCAAATGACAACGAGGCCATCGTGAGGCTGCTGCTAGAGAATGGGGCAGATGTCAATACACGGGGTGGATACGGTGGAAGCGCTCTCCAGAAGGCGGCGTCAAATGGCAACGAGGCCGTCGTGAGGTTGCTGCTGGAGAATGGGGCAGATGTAAATGCACAGGAAAGATACGGCAGAAGCGCTCTCCAGGAGGCGACGTTTAACGGCAACGAGGCTATCGTGAAGTTGCTGCTAGAGTACGGGGCAGATGCCAACGCACGGGGCGGATGCGGTGGAACCGCTCTCCAGGAGGCGGCGTCAAAAGGCAACG